GGTGTTCGGGGGGTCCATCTCCACACATGATGGAGTTGCATTGGTGCCATATGGGTACTCACTTGATGATGTTCCTGATCGGCTGACTGTATGTTGTGCATTGCTGATCCCTATGATCACCAGATATTGCGCAGGCGGGAGGTCCGTCAGTATCATATACAGATTGTGCAATGGACACCTGTACATGTACACCGTTTGCTCTGGGTGATTGTAATTTGTATAGTTCTCCTGTAACCTTTTCTCAGAATCCCGTATCGTTCTGCATAATTATTCTACGCCATGTTTACGACAGATCGCGTATCACAATACTGGAATACAGCCGTACAACCCATCACCATCCTCAGCGGGGCCTGTGCTTCGGCACTGCCGAGTCCCGAGTCCCGACATCATATCATATCACTATCAGGATCAGTATCTCTTATCAGGCAGCACCGTAGAAAACCCCAAAGCCGCGGAGATTGACAGACCCGAGACAGTTTCTCGAGGAATTGCCGTTCCCAGTTCTGCTTTTCCGATCGATGCGCTCATCCACAGTCGTCTTCTTCGTGTGTAGGTATTTGAGGTAAAACATGTATTGTGTTCCAACAAGTGGTGTTCGTTCATCCATTTACCTTCCTACATGCTTGGAAGACGGAGAAAAAGACTCTCAACAGTGGTGGATCACATTCCAAAATTTGTGAATTTGTGTAGGGCTGTTGAAGCCTATTCCCAATTTCCAGCACTTTGTTTTGAGGACCGAGTAACTGATGGACCAAGACTTCCGACGGAGCCGCCGAATGCGTCTCGTAGTCTACGAGAGGGTCGAGATCGTCCGGATGTGTCGATGGTCCTTGAGAGCGGTACGTCTCCGGTCTCCCTTTGAAGGAGAGCTCAGCCCAGCTTGTCGACTCTCTCCGCAGGAAAATCGCTACCGAGTCTGTCTCCCCGGTCGATTGGGATCGTATTCGTCGTATTCCAGCCCAAAAGTTGCACGGTCTCCACCTTCACTTTCCTGCCATGCTTTTCTGGAAGACCAGCATGTCATTGTTTTGCGTTCTGAGGAACCGTCTAAGCGGGCGATGGACTTGGGACACGGCGAGCAGACCCACGCTCGACGGATATAACTCCAGCTCCGAGGCCCGACACAGTCATCCGGTGTATCCCCAGTTCCACACAAGCACAAACATCGGGCAACTGTAGATCCGGGGATGGTACCGGGGTACTACCAGGTCGTTGTGTTTGCTTGCTGATACTCAATGTTTGGTGTCCGTTATACATTTCTCATCTCGAGAGCAATCTTCTAAGCTCAATGGACCAGTCTACCCGTCATCCCAGTTCCAACCACCGTCGGCGTGTGCCTGGCATCGGTCTGAACTCTGAAGTAGGAATTTTCTTGAATCCTGCAACTAGCCACGGAAGTTGCTAGGTGTATACGGCGATTAGATACATGCTCTACCTTGTAGAAGGTATAGGCGACTGGCCTAAGTAACCGAGTAACCGACGTTCTAAGAATCATGATTGAAACTCCAGTCACCACACCCTTTGAGACCGACCTAGGAACAGGGATCATGTACGGTAGAAGTCGCTTTTGGCCGTTGCATCCTACTCGATCTGGATTCATCCATTCATGCTCAGCATTCACAACTTCCTCACGATTGATCAGGTTCACTACGGCGATAAGTATACCGGTACGCCCAGCAGCGCTCGAATAAATACATAACCTAAGATTCCATTCTCGGAGTACTCAGAACCACTTCTTCCCTCTTTTGAGACAAATCCTCAAAGTCCACGAGAGACAAGTACAAAGTTTAAAGGGGGTTGTGTGACGTCTCATTCAACAGCCCCTTCTGTCACACCTTCTCGTTAAAGAATAAAGCACATCCGATTTGAAAACCCGCGGATCTCAGGAATCGTGTGAAGTCGTGTTGCGCGTTCTACCGGTACGCTTGTAATTGAAATTACGTTTTCGTTTCCCAACGGACCATTTACGCAGTATATCAGAAGAAGAAGAAGAAGAAGAAGAAGAAGAAGAAGAAGAAGAAGAAGAGTAAAATATATATACTGATCTAACCCTCCGACCGAGATGCAAGCACAAGTCAGTTGGACCAGGGGCCCGATGCCAACCTTACTTCCAGAAGGCTTGATGTCAGAAGATTAGTCCTCGGCTACAGAGTACTATTCTAGCGTGCGTGTGTCAGTCCGATATACAATTCTTTTCCAAACGCAGGACGGCCTAGGCTGTTCTCATGTCCGCAGGTCAGCATTCACAACAACAGGAACCTGCGGTCTACCACCTAGGCGGAGCCCCGGATTCATGTGAGCGGAATGAAGAGAACCGGTCAATACTGGCAGGGATCTCAGGGTCGAAGAGCTGTCCGTCAAAGGCTTGGAATCGACCCTCTGATTCGGTCAGGGAAGCGTGGACCAACCCTAACCACGTCTCAAAATACCGTGATCGCAAGGTACCCCGTGTGCGTGTGCGAACGTGTCGTCTATCATGTCCCTGTTGATGAGCTCGTTACCTGTTTATCTCTGTCGGATCGGATCCATTACAGTACATGCCTACATGGCCCTCCAGTGGCCACCTTTCCCACCCAATTCCTTTTCTTTTGAAAACACCACTCGATGCAAGATTCATATATCGTCTTGACCGGACTTTACTTCCAGACCGTCCCTACAAACAAAGTTTCCGGGGCCATGGTTATCTCGATATATGAATCGTTCAAAGGGTCAAACCTTCTTTCCCCCCACTTAGGTAAAACAGCCGTCTCGACTTTTCAAGTTCAATGTCCCGCTCCACCTCGTCCTACACCTGGCGTCCTGGCCTTGTTCACACGGTCACACCTGGGACCTAGAGAGACTGACCACCTAACTAACTCAGCTAGTAGATACGAGACGGGAGTCTTTAAGCAGAAAGCTAAGTGAGCCCAGCTCAGCCACCACATTCACCCTAGACGTTGCCAAGTCCTCTCCACATGGAAAGTTGACGAGGCGGTCAAGAGGGGAATATCAATAAAGACCTCCGGTCAGATCGAACCGAATCGACATGCTTGTTGGGAGGGAAACTCAGTAGACGACCCATATCCGGATCCCGTCCTCTGGAAATTAGAACGACCCGATATACCAAGACAGGCACACTTGGGTAGGGAAGGTTCCGTCTGATGTACATCCGCGTTGCGAAACAGAGAATAATAGAGCGTGAATTAGACCGCCAATAAGAGGCATTGCGAAAATACAATCACTCAGGAGTCAGGGGGTATCCAAAACAGGTATTCTGTGTGTTATTCCTTTATTAACGAGTAGTAGTCATATCTAGTACTACTGACACCAGTACCAGCCCCGGCCGACAGTCGGATTTCCGAACCCAAATAATCAACACCCGCTGTCCAGGGCAGTTCCAGGGCTACTACCTGCGATATCCCAGCATCCAGAACCGTGGCACCCAAGATCGTCAATCCCCAAGAACAAGACCAGCCAACCGATCCGAAACTCATCCAGTCAGACCAAAGACCAGCCAACCCTTGCCAACCTGAACTTTCCAGAACACACGTCAGGTGTAAGCGAGCCCCCAGTTGAGCATTGAGCAACGTACACGGCCTCGATTCTCCGGATGACTGATCAATGCGAGGCCGGGGTCCTGGGTACATGGTCAAAGTCTAGTAGTCCACTGGTAGGTCCAGTACTGGAGCTGCTTGATGTGAGGTGTACTCAGTAGTTCGAATTGAGTACTGATCCTTTTTTCGATGTACTCTGGCCGGGGACCGTCCGAAATATGCTGTATCCATCTCAGAGAAATCCAGGTGCGCGACTAAGGAAGAAAGAAAGAAAGAAAGAAAGAAAGAAAGAAAGAAAGAAAGAAAGAAAGAAAGAAAGAAAGAAAGAAAGAAAGAAAGGAAACTTCTCTTTTCTCGAGGCAAGCGCGCCAACCGAGGGATCAGCGTAGGTAGCGGTGCAAGCACCCTACTGATTCGAAAATCGCCAGGGCGTGAAGCCGTGAAGCCGTGAAGCCGTGAAGCCGTGAAGCCGTGAAGCCGTGAAGCCGTGAAGCCGTGAAGCCGTGAAGCCGTGAAGCCGTGGACAGCGGGCAGCTCGGCGTGTAATCCGATGATGATGGTGATGCGTTCCTGATGTCTGGCATAGAACGAGAGATGACCTAGTAACTACTTCCTCGTCTACGATGCCTCTTGCCACGATCATGCTGGTTTCGGGTTCGTGGTAGTCCTGACTCCTCGTCAGCGAAGACGGGATCGGGTAGTATATACCGCGTATCATTCTTCAAGCCAAGGGATCACTATTGCGGACCGCTTCGATGTATGACAACCAACAGCCACCCACATCCGATCAACAATGCGCTTCGGGAAGATCTTACTGCGTTCCAGCGGAGGTCCGACGGAAGCCGTCTGGAAGCGGAGGGGACTTGGGCTCGGTGGGTGACACGTCCATGCTAGACTCGGACTTATACGAAGGTGTGCACGCCTACTGCCCGGGTGGAAATCTTATCGGCAGAACAAGATAATTCTCGGGTCGATGCTTGTGCGACCTCACAAGATGAACGGTCCTGTCTCGTGGTGAGTAGGTACGAGCTACCCAAGGAGAGGTATATCGAGGACCTTGGTCTCTCGAGAGTACTACACGTAGCTTTTCTTTCGTGCTACCGGACTCGCAGTAGACCAAGCAATAAAGGCTGTACACTGATGAAATAAGATTGATGGTCGTGAAATTCTTCTCAGTCATCGTAGTCGTCAAAGCATTCCAGTATCGAGAAAAGAAAAGAAAAGAAAAGAAAAGAAAAGGGTACATGCCGAATGGATATCATAATGACAGCTGGGAAGTGATGAAATTGAGAACAATAGCAAACACAAAGCTGGAGCCCGGAGAATGGAACGGAAGATGAGAAATCCCTTTCAAATATGAACAAAAAAACCCCCCGCAAAAGGTCATGGATGGTCGAGACTGAAGAAGATCGGGCAGCGGCGGAAGTCGTAGGTCGACTTCGATACGTGACGCGCGACGATCTAGGTTCATGATGGATGCATCATTGTCCACGTAGCGGCATCGCAATTCACTTCCTCGAAGCTGTGGAGCATACTGAATCCCATTGAGGAGAGGCAGTCGAAGTTGCCGTCGCCGTCGACCTAAAAAAAACCGTGTTAGCATCGGCGGCACCAAAGGGCCGAAATCAACGAAGCGATTCGAAAAACCAAGACTATCCACATACACAATCCATGACCACCGCATTGGCGTTGAGCTTTCGGATTTGCTTGATCGCAAGTAATATCAACCCCTGCATCACCGTGGCATAATCATCCGCGACCGGCGAGATCACCAGTGAGGAAATGCCCCCAACGGTAGTGTGAGTGGCCCGCAAGGCAGGCATATGCTCTGCCAGGGCCGATCGCTCGTTATAAACCACGACACTTCCGACAATCATGTCGTCGGTTGACCGTTTGGCACGAATGATGCCACAATGAGGGCTGCCACTGAGTGCAATTCGATAGATATCGGCCACGCCCTGGCGAGCGTTGGTCTTGATATGATCCAGAACGGACCGCGCATAGTCCCAGCCGTAGACAAGATCGTAGACCACAGCAGCCGTGCGGAGTGTCATGGTTAGTCCTTCGGGCGGAGTCCACGCAGGCAAGTTTCGCAATATGACACTGCAAACCGGGCGCGACAGAGAGGTGTTCCAGCCGAGGTTGGCGAACCACTGCCGCAATCGCTTGCGCTCGACGTGATCGGCCGTGGGAATCCCGAGGTATATTCCGGGAAGTCGAGACCCAAGCTGAAACCGTTTCACACCCTTGCGTTGGAGCAGGTTGCGTACAGCACGGCTGTGAAGAGAATGCCCTATGGATAATTTCCGGCGAGACGGGTCCACGATCAAACATCCTATCACACCGGTACCAGACGAGCGAAAGAAGTACGTAGCACAGAATCCATAGAGAGCTTGTGTAGAGCTATTTCGTACCACAAAATGCGCCTCCTCAACGTCTTCCTTTCGGAGGAGAAAGGTGCTCGACGTCGCACCGAGAAGTTCAGACGGTTGTCCCTGTGTGCAGTCCCCACGAACGGCATCCAGCAATGCGTCCAGTCCATGCGCATCTCGATCTTCATTCCAGTTTTCAACAAGCCAATGCTGACGTGACTGGTGGATCTTTTGGCTGCGACTGAGGGAACCGGGAAGGGTACCGGTCGGGGTGAGATCTCCATACAGAACCTTGACCAAGGCCTGAAGGGCTGTTTCGGTAAAGTCGTACGTGCACACGTACGTCTTGATTGAAGGGTCCATTGCAAAGTCATAAGGTGAGCTGACCGCAACGACAATCAGCGGTTTCTCCCGGCGTTCGCCCGTGGCAGAGAACTGGGTCTGACAAATCAAGGAGACGTGCTTTGCAAAAGCCTGCTGGTATAGATTCCGATTGGCATCCGCCGTGACTACAATCACCGCGCTTGCTCGCTGAAGCAGGTCCTCGTGAATTGGACGCACTCCGTTGTGCGTGTACGAAGTGTGCAAGACACGTCCGCTTCTCTGGCGAGACAAGGATCGCCCGAGTTCTTTAAAGACAGTTTCCCCGCAAAGGACAGACGCCGATCGGTCAATTGCCGACTGGTCCACGGAGACGCCGTGATATGCATCGTTCGCGGAGAGTGATACTGCCGACGCTGCTAGAGGTTTGACCAAGGGCGTCAGAAGCAAGAGCTCTTCACTCGCATCGATGACATTTGACAGTGGCAAAAGGTTCTGCTTGTCGCGCAAGACGGTAATGGAATTGTTGTAGGCGCGCGTCGACAGATTGGTGTGGGATGGTTGCATTTGCGTGAGCGAGGCAAGTCCGGGCGGGTTCAAAGCTTGTTCCCAGGATGTGTATTTGGCCTTCAAGAGCAACACCCGGCGAAGCGATTGCTCGATTCGAGCGCGGCCAATAATGCCATTCTCCACACCGAGCTTCAAACCGTTGATGGCCTCTTGCTGAACGGGGAAAGAGCGACAGAGCAGAATCACGTCGCATCCGGCATTCTTGGCCATGACCGTCCCGCCGCCGACCCCGATATTGTGAGTCAGTGCCTCCATTTCCAAGCACTCCGACACCACGACCCCCTGGAACTTCAAGTCCTTTCGTAAGAGTTCGTCCACGACTTGGTCACTCAGACAGGCATGCATGACATTCATTCCAGCTGATGACATGGACACGCCGCCGACCATCATGGCGTCCAGACCCTGCATGATGGCATTTCGAAATGGGACGAGTGCGGTGAGACTCAGCTGCTCCAATGACTCGGTGATGATGGGCACATCGGTGTGTGAGCCAAGGAATTCCAGATTCCCGTATGAGGGGAAATGTTTGCCGCATGTCGCGAGTCCTGCCTCTTGATAACCCTTCATGAATTGCACTCCGTACTGCGACACTTCCTGCGGGTCATCCCCCGAGGTGCGCACCCCGAGAGGTTGATTGCGAACATTGGTCAAAACGTCCAACACCGGACCCAGAATCCAATTGACGCCCACCGCCTTCAGCTCTTGAGCCGTCGCCTTGGCCACCTCATGAGCCAGAGCTTTCGACCCCGTCGCTGCGATGCCCATGGCACTGGGGAATTGCCGAATAAAGATCTCATCATATAAGCTGTTGACACCGCCGTTCTCCTGATCCAATACGATGAGCAGAGGCACTAGGTGACCGGCATCCCGCGCAATGGTCTGCAATTCTAACACCAGTCGGGTTGCATCGTCGGCAGCTAAATGCGCACAGTATCAGCCAACAGTTTTCACTTCCAAAAAAACAAGGGCGATAGCGGAGGTATTTTTCTTTTCTTTTTTTCGGTCTCCGGTGTCTTCGGGTGTTATGAATGACGGGCCCCATCTATCGACAGGGGTCGAAGAGGGAATGGAAAATAGGACATGGAAAGTTGAGACAGAACCCGAGGTAGAAAAGGCAAGGAGAAGGATGATGCGATACATTTCAAATTCTTAGCGGATAGCAAGACGGACCCTAGGTGATAATCCTCGATAAGGGAACGGATCTGAGGGCTCACGACGGTCCCATCAAAGCCCATCATGAACAGCTGGCCCATCTGCCTGTACGAACCACATGGCCACAAGTCAGCGAAAGCTTACGCGCAAGATCAATCGTGCTCCGTCCCGCATCCAGGCACGCGCATAAGCACCTCCCCGATGGAAGCATGCTTGTGACGTGCATTGAGGTTCCACAAGAGGAGGAGGAGAAGGAGGAGGAGGAGGAGGAGGAGGAGGAGGAAAGGGGCAGCAGTGGGCGATGAATTATGTCGCCGAGTGAATCGAGGACCACAAGGTGCCATCGAGGTACCCCTCTCGGGCCCATCTCACCTGACGTGCCAGGGACCGAGACCTGCGTGTCATGACAGCTACCGGAACAAGGGTGATCAGCATACCTATCTAGATCATCCCAGCCCGGGGGCAACATGTCCTCTTTCGGGGCCATGGCCCGGGGGGAGGGCAGACAAGGAGGAATGCCAGCAATGCGCGTGGGAAGCGGTGGACGACTCCGGACGAGAGCAGGATGTGGGGACGATGTGGATTGCCGGAGGATCGCACTGGAGCACTTGGTGAGAGGCGCGACAAGGGGTGAGTGACCGAGTATGTGTGTTTGTGTCGCGACTCGCTAGTATCCAGAGGTGGTAGTATGTTTGGCCGTTCACAGCACTGTAGTAGGCAGTAGTGTAGTTAGCGGTAGTGCGCGCGCGCTTCCCCCTCGCGATCGCAGTCCGCTGTGTACCGTGCGGTGAGACGCAAGGTGAAAAGTGGGTATCGAGAATAGAATGGAGAAAAAAAAAAAAAGGTGGGAAAATGAAACGGTTCCGGAGATGAGAACGTTTCCCGGACGAGATGCAACCTGCGGCTCGTGGTCTTGCCACAGTCTCGACGATGGAGAAGATTCTTATCGAAGGGTGCCCCTCCCGGTGGTTGCGAGACGACAATTCCGAGCTGTCAGGTGATGAGAACCAGAGTTGCACAGAAGCTCTCGAATCTGCCTGTGCTCTGGAGTCCCTGTCCCCTTGGCCGTGTTCCCCCTCCCCGGCGTCTGTTTGAGAACTGGTCAAAAAGCGAACAGCCCCCCAGACTGGCGGTACAGCTGTTAGCCAGAACTCATCGTGGATGCCTCCAACGTGTGGTGAGTGGCCAGAGCCGCAATCGCCCCAGAAAGAGCCGGAGAGAGAGAGAGAGAGAGTAGTTAATAACTTAATCGTAGTAGGGAGTGTGACCGGGCGTGCGATAAGAGGAGCTCAGACCCAGCCACCGGCTGCTTCTCCGCTTTTTGGCGACATGGGGGAAAGCTAGTAGAACTAGACACTCGATCATAGTCCTACTCCAAGTACCCTACTGACAGTCACCCTACTGACAGTCACCCTACGGCTTGGTGATAGACGGGAGACACAAGACGTGTGATGGAGTGGAGCGCAGTGAGAACACCGAAGGAGAAATACATGAGAAACCAAGATCAAGCGATCAAACTGCGCATTACTTTTCAGATGATGGAACGTGATAAGACGAGACCACGGGGTGTGTGACATGTGAGGAACTGAGAAGTATTGGAGAAAGTAGAAACTGGGTTCAAGCTTCTGCGGTGGATCCTCTAGTAAGTTGTTCTCTCCGAGATTGATAGGACTACACAGTACACACTACACACTACACAGTGTCTTGTGAGTCCAGTTAAAAAGTCCCTGTAGGCTTGTAGGTTGCTACTGGAGACAAGTCCCAGTCATTCATCCATGAGGTCTGCTTGTCCCTCGCTTCCCTCGCCAGGCTGCGTCGAGAGCTTTCGCCCAGAAGGCCGGAAGCTTCTTATCTCCGGAGAAAAGAAACTCCCGGCTTCAAGGGACCATCACGTGCCTTTGATCTCCACTCCCAGACCTGGCAGACTCCAGTGACTTTCACCCCAGTGACTCCACTGCTCCAGTACTCCACTAGATATGAGACTATGCCAGTGCGAACGTGAAATCCTCAATACCGGTATGTAATGATACCAGACGGCCCGGCTGCGACGCTACAGGGTTGCATGCCCCCGGCCGGCTGTTTTGACTGCTCGTGGACAACGGCGGGTTTGCCGACTTCGCCGGATGCAACTCCGTCTGAGAGGCGATGAAACCTCCTTCCCTCGAGACCCACTTTGCCTTTCCCCACGAGTCGGTTGCCGAGACGCTGGATGAAGTATCAGTTGGGTGTAATCTCTGTGGATTCAGAGGACGCGGGATATGCCGATGTGGTGGTTGTGGCCAATTTGAAACCACGATGATGCAGGTGACAGAAAGGTGGGCGACTCCAAAGAGAGAGAGAGAGAGAGAGAGAGAGAGAGAGAGAGAGAGAGAGAGAGAGAGAGAGGGACGATGAGCAAATCGTTACAAACCAGTATGGCAACTGGATGGATGCAGAAAGAGAGTCCCGTTATCCAACGTTGGACATCTACTTCCGGCAGATCCTGTCGTCATTCTCACATGGACACATGGGATTGGGTTTGGCCAGTCGACCGTCTACCGTATGCTACATCATTCCTGGCGCTTCTGGTAGGAAAGATAATCAACAGCTCCACGAATCAGAGAGAACAAGGTCAGCTCGTGGAGATGCTGATTCCGGTGCATCCTGACGTCCACAGTCACCGGGACTTTCCACAATGCGATTCTTCTGGACGTGAACGGGTTCCGTGGTCGTTGTCAGGTACTTTACAGGTCTACAGGTCTACATGGAAGGATAACCGACCACTACGTCCAGCTAGCAACACAACCACAAAACGCATCCACATGACTCACGTAGTCTAGAGCAGCAGACGCAACAGACAGTAATCATGAGAGATAGAAAAAAAGAAATTACTCGAAAAATGAAAATCGACGAAACAAGATGTTCAACAAGCAACGCGGAAAGAGACAAATCAATACCTCCCTCGTGGCCTGGCCCACACCCGAACTACCACCCCGACACGGGTGCAGTAGATCGCTCTGTCACTGTCGTACACTATGAGCGCCTCGACGTAACGCGATCCATGGGGCACCCACCCTAAAAGTGTCAATCTTTATTGATCGTTGCGCTCTTTTCGTGTTCCTTTTTTTCTCTCTCTTTACCTCGTTGACCTTTCTACACTCTTACTTCAAGCACAACCGTTTCTTGACCGGCTTTACGGCTTCAATCCTTTCATCTTCTTACACAACCTCCATCCGGTCGATCCTCTTGACCTCGACTATCCAGGGTATCGAGATAGACCCTAGTCACGATGTGAGTTTTCTTGTTTCCTAACGTTGCCACTTTCAGGTCCGTGATGCAAGGAAAAAGGTGATGGCTGATCGCAGTGTCGTGCTGCAATTCTAGGCGTGTCATCATTCGCGAAGATCCTCACACGGCCTCGTTGTACATCGCCGAGTACATCGTCAGTAAGTGCCACCATTCATGTCTTTTTGTGTTGTCGACATATAATTATTCTCAGTCTCGTCATTCGCCGCCCTCAATCGACCGTCCACTGACCCCTTTTTTTTTTTTCTTTCAGGCCGTATCAAAGCTTTCAAGCCCACGGAAAGTCAGCCATTTGTACTCGGTCTGCCGACGGGCAGCAGCCCCGAGATCATTTACAAGCTTCTAGTCCAACGCCATCGTGCAGGCGAGATTTCCTTTAAAAATGTCGTCACTTTCAACATGGTCAGTGCATTTCGTTGGATACATCAAAGGATGCCTTTCCCCGAGAGAAGGGCAGAACAAACACAAAAGAGAGAGGAAATTGAGTACTGACTATTACCGTCATCCAGGATGAGTACGTGGGTCTGCCACGCGATCACCCCGAATCATACCACAGCTTCATGTACAAGCATTTCTTCTCTCACGTGGACATTCCTCCTCAAAACATCAATATCCTGGATGGCAACGCGCCCGATCTAGCAGCCGAATGCGCATCCTTCGAAGCTCGCATCGCCGGCTACGGTGGAATCGAGCTCTTCCTCGGGGGTGTCGGACCCGACGGACACATTGCCTTCAACGAGCCCGGCTCATCACTCGCCAGTCGCACTCGCGTCAAGACGCTCGCCTACGACACGATCCTTGCCAACTCGCGCTTCTTCGACAACGACGTGAGCAAGGTGCCCCGCTTGGCCATGACCGTGGGGATCCAGACCATCATGGACTCTCGGGAGGTGGTGATTGTCGCGACGGGAGCGCACAAGGCCTTTGCCGTGCAAAAGGGTCTCGAGGACGGAGTCAATCACATGTGGACCCTCTCGGCCCTCCAATTACACCCTCACCCGCTGATCGTCTGCGATCGCGATGCCACACTCGAATTGAAAGTCAAGACGGTCCGATACTTCGAGTCGATTGAGCAGGCAGGCACGGATGCGCGCACCCAGGGTCCTCCCTTGGTCTATCGGCCGCGCACATACGTCCCTGCGCCAGTCTCCGCCGAGAAGAAAAGAGTCTCGCCTCGCTCGGCGCCCGCGCCTGACCGCACGCCCGTCAAAGTGCCCAAAGACCTGCGCATCAACACGGATTTCAACCGGACTCTGGACGAAGATGAATTGACACCTGATAGTATGTCATCACGGATGGTGGATTCGGCCATTGGCGGGTTGGACGAGACGTTGAAAAAAGACTTGGTCTTTGATCGGATGGGGGCTCGTGTCGCTGCGCCGTTGTAGTACGCTTGGTCCACTCACTGCCCACTTGCCCATTGAATGATCCCCCCTTGCTTCGCAGCGTCTTGTCTCCCTCTTCCTCCCCCTTTTCTCTTTCTATCTCCTTGACATGCTCACGCCATGTTGAGTCATCTCTTATATCTCCATTATTTCTTATTTTTTTTTGGCTTCTCAAATATGGCTGGCTGGCTGTTCGGTATGGATACATCAATCGAGGAAGTATGTTTTCTTTTGGCTAGCGATTACCTCCGTCCGATTTCGGAAGTAGAACTAGACGGTGCAGTCTTCCGCGCTTTGATCAACGCTCCAATTAGAAAAATGAAGGTCCAGCCTCCAACTTCAACCTAGGCATCACAGACAGGATTTTCGTCGACGGATTTGCAATTACCTTTTTTTTCTTCAGAATTCAGACAGTAGTCCGAAACGAGTGGGATCGAAATTGGGAAGGTGATGGGTCTACAGTATACAATATTGAATACACAATGTACACTATATAATTAACTTTCTCATTTTGAGTTTCTCGCGAGGCGCTGGAATAGATCCCGAGGTGAGATAGGTCTCGTCGCGAAGTCTCGAGTCTTTGCCCCGTTTCCTGAACGTTGTTTCTTTCATTGCGCGTGCGCCATGTACAGTGTTTCGTATACAGACCGTTTTCCATACCATTAACGGATATATCAGGAATCTCATCCTATCGTATCCAGCAAATCCCACGACATAAGAAGCCCTCTCGCCGTGCGCCTATGCAGTATGCAGACGTCGAGGGGGTGAGGGGAAACGCTCAGAGCTTCGCAAACACCGTGGCCACCGCCCCACTCATATCAACCAGCGTGCTCTTGTTCTGCACCCACGACTCGATTCCCTTGTGACCATTTTCCACGCCCAGGCCGCTCTTCTTCCACCCGCCGACGGCCATCTCCGCGGGGCTCTCGCCCCAGGTGTTCACCCAGGTGATGCCCGCTTGCAACTGATCGATCAGGCGATGCGCCTGGTTCAGGTCCTTGGTGAAAACACCGGCCGCCAGGCCCATTTCCGTCGCGTTCGCGCGACGCACGGCCTCGTCGACGGAATCGTAGTAGAGGATGGACATGACGGGGCCGAAGATCTCCTCTTTCACGATGCGCATCTCGTCGGTGCAGTCGGTGAAGATGGTGGGTCGGACCCAGTATCCGGCTTGGAGGTCCTGGGGCAGGTTGGACGGTTTCCCGGGCCCGCCCGCGAGCAGGGTTGCGCGGTCCGTTTGGATGCCGTGGTGGATGTACTCGAGGACCTTTTTATAGTGGGCTTCGGAGCTCAGCGGGCCGAAATTGGTCTGGTCGTCGAAGAGAGGGCCCGCGCGCACAAAGGCGAGTTTCTCCAGCAGACGCTTTTCAAAGGCGAGTTTCATGGCCCGGGGCACGAAGACCCGCGTGCCGTTCGTGCAGACCTGGCCCGTGCTGTAGAAGTTGGCCATCATGGCGCCGTCGACCGCGTTGTCGAGCTCGGCATCCGGGCAGATGATCAGCGGACTTTTGCCGCCGAGTTCCATCGTCACGTACTTCATGTTGCCGGCGGCGGAGCCGGCGACTTTCATCCCGGTGGAGACTTGGCCCGTGAACGAGACCTTGGCGACGCTGGGGTGGCTGGTCAGGTAGGCGCCGACGTCGCCGGCGCCGTTGACCACGTTGAAGGCTCCGGCGGGGAGACCGGCCTCGGTGTAGATCTGGGCGAGGGTTTCGCCGTGGAGCGGGGTGAATTCGCTGGGTTTGTAGACCATGGTATTTCCTGCGGCCAGACAGACGGCAGACTTCCAGAGCGCACTGATGTCAGAAGAAAAGACGAGTCAGTGTCATTCGACGCACGGGTTCACAGACACACAACCTGTCCTTGCAAGCATTCACACCAAAGTAGACAAAAGTCAAGACGGAAGGGCACACACACATCTGAATCGGATAATTCCAAGCTCCAATCCCCACGCAGACTCCCAAGGGCGCCTTCTTCGTATACACCCACGCATCCTCACGCAGCTGCGTCGTCTCCCCATTCAACCCCCCACTCCCGATGTAATTGGCATAATACTCCAACACATCCGCACCCGTGACCACATCCACCGTACTCGTCTCGGTGAACGCCTTGCCCGAGTCGAGCGTCTCGACGCGCGCAATCTCATCATTGCGCTCGCGCAGCAAGGTCGCGGCTTTCTGCAGGATGCGCGCACGCGCAATGTACGGCGTCTTGGACCAGGTGGGGAATGCGCGGTCGGCGGCTTGGATGGCGGCGTCGATGTCTGCGTGGGAGGCGATTTGGATGTCGGCGAGGGGTTTCGCGGTGGCGGGGTTGATGGTTTGGAAGGTCTTGCCGGAGGTGGCTGGGCGGATTTGGCCGTCGTAGTAGAGTTGGCGGGTTGAGAAGGAGAGGGCCATGATGTGGGAGGGATCAATGCTTCGCGACGGGGGGTAAAGATGAGGATCCTTATGGAGTGTAGAAGAGAGAGAGAGAGAGAGAGCACCGGTAATGAAGTGTACTCAGGTATTGCGTAAACTGTAATGGGTATGATGGAAGAGTTGCACGTTGCAAGGATGTGGAAATGGGGGAAAAAAAGGTTGAATTCCTCAGGCTCCCCAATTGTCAAGAGCTACTGCCTCTGCGCTCTATAGTTCCTGGCTTGTGAGGACTGGGTGAGTGATTAACCTCGGGGGAAATGATCCAAAGTCAAAGTCACGATCAGGTGCTGGGTGATTCCGTGGCGGGAGTCAGGCCAGGTTATCCACCATCGATTTTGGATCTGCCAATCTGCCAATCTGCCAATCTACAGACTACGACCTCAACCGCGACCGCCTTTCACGAGGGGCGGTACGACACCGGCTGCCGTCGGCGGTCTGCCGGGTGGGGGCGAGCGCGGCGACTTGTACTCTTTGGGCCTAGTCTTGCCGCGGTGCAGTAGCGCCAGACTCTCGGAGTCGGGGTGGATACCAATCAGCAGTCTGCGGTCTGCACCGATTTTTGGCATTCTGATCCCGCCCGAAACGAACGGCGAAGGAGCGAGGAAAGAAAAACGGTCAGAGCCACGGAGCCACGAGTCCGCTCTCGCTGGGATTCGGAAGCCTCACGAGACCCAGTGGGGAAATCCGGGCGCATCGATGAGTCGGTGGCGGCCTCCATCTCTCGAGAGATTTCGTTATGAGGTCTACTTATGTATCGTCGGTGATCCCGAGTCAAGTGGTATGGTTTTATCGGTTCGTTCCATCGATGGTCCATCTGTAAGCGATTAACGGATCAAAGAGTCAGAGAGACGAGAACTCTAGCCCGGTCTGGGTTTACTTCAAACTGGGTTGGTCTGTTCGTGGGCAGTGGGCAGTGGGCAGTGGGCAGTGGGCAGTGGGCAGTGGGCAGTGGGCAGTGGGCAGTGGGCAGTTCTCTGGCGTCTCTACAACTTCCTAATTTTCAAAGCGGGTTGGCAGTCCCGCACAAGGGGAGAAGCGGAGTTTGGGACAGCACTTGTCTCTGTCTGGCAAGTATGTTTCGAGTTTGATCTTAGTCTCACCCTCTACGGCACGTTGCGCACGGAGGGCTGCCGCAGTCCTGCCGGTTTCATTTTACGTTATGCGAACAGGCGACTAGAACGGCTCTCGAGCCGCGCTGATCCGCGGCTACTTTACATCTAGCGGTGTATTTCCAGAGTCTGTCGAGTGCAGCATAGTGCAGAGTGGGTGACTCTCTGGGCTACGACTTCTTACTCCAACACGACGTGGACTACAGCACTCCCACTGCAGGATCAGTATCCCAAGTCTGGCAAGACTTTGTCGCGTGCAACTGGTGTAGTGGTGAAGTGGTGCAGTGGTGCAGTGGCTTGGGACAGGCGGCAAGCGGAGACTGATGACGTACGGGAAAAACTGGAGGATTCGGGGCGGTGGCTGACCCCAGTCTAAAGGAATGTCAAGGAATTGCTCGATCGGTGCTTGGCACGCGAGTGTTCACTATTCAGTATTGAGTATGGTGAAGCACTGAGTATCCTGGAGTTGTCCCGTCAGTTTCAAACTCTCAGTTGCATAGCACAAGTCACGAGTCGTCGGGGATGATTCGTAGGCCATGATTGTGACAATGTGCACAACTGCATACTGTCCACTGTACACAGTGTACAGATGTACATGCCTACCCAAATGATCAAGCGTGACAAGTCCCGGCCGGACTCGGTCCTGCGATCCGGATTAGAACGGGAGATCCTCCTGTCGGGAGATAGAAGAAGCCGGTCACATGAACTCTTTCTCATGGACACCGTCTTGACCAGACTCAGTAAGCTTGGCGACTCTTGAGTCCGTCGCTGTTGGAACAGACTCACAGTCACTCCAGTGATCTAACGTGCAAACCATGCCTCCTTATCATGCCCTTATCGAAGTATCGTAGATAAATCATCGTATCCTCTCTGAAACTCTCTCTCTCTCTCTCTCTCTCTCTCTCTCGGTCTCACAACTTATCGTCCGTCTTGAACCGCGCCGGCCAGCTCCCGACGGTTTTTTCTCGTCTCTATTTCCCACGAGACAACTAGCCCTGTCGATCGGACATGCGAATCAGCGGCGTTGAGATGGAGCCCCGGAAATGCATAGACTCCTTGCCTTCACATCCTATAGGTCTATCCCAGCCACGGACCTCGATGCGATGGGGCCCTTGTCTTTTTTATCTGCACCGTGTCTCCACCGTGCCTCCACCATCGCCTCCACTCGTCCACGTCGCCGCCCAGTGACGCTCGCCGATTGCGACGGAACTTGCAGTGAACAGAGTTTAGAACCAGCAAAAGAATCCAAGGAAGCCAAGGAAAACGCAGCTCGAAATGGAGAAAAAGATGGAGTCCACAACCTCTCGACACGAGACAAACCAAGCCTTGACTTGAAATGAAGCCTATACCGAATCAAGGTACTGCGTCGAGAAGGCTGACCGAGATGGTCTCCTCGCTGTACCAATGACCGCGACTCGATCTCTGAACCGATAATGGATGAAGGCCGATGGACTCGATCAGTGGAAATTTGGGAAAATGACAAAAATCCGTCCGAACGAGAATCGCGGAAAGAGCTGAAACGAAAAAGGAAAACCTTTTTCTTTTTTTCTTTTTCTTTTTGAAGCAATTGTCATTGAAAGCGCGAGAGTCAGTCCATCCGTACTATCTTTCATCCTCAAACCCAAGCTGTTTATAACGCGGCGACAACCCGTTCGCACGAGCATCGTCCCCGATTTATTTTTCTCCTCACCACTTTTCCCCTCCCCCTCCTCTCTTCTTCCTCCTCACACTAGACCTTTTCTCTCCTCTACCCCTCATTCGCTTTTCCTCCTCTGCAGTACTGCGCCTAACCTACATCTTGGCCACGCACCCCAATTGACAATATGGCGACTACCAATGACCTCCCCGCGCTGGATGTCAACAGCTACGATTACATCGTGGTCGGTGGTGGCACGGCAGGCTGTGTCATTGCCGCCCGATTGGCGCAGTATCTCCCCAACAAGCGCACCCTGGTCATCGAGGGTGGTCCTAGTGACTTCACCGATGACCGAGTCCTCAATCTGAAGGAGTGGCTGAATTTGCTGGGCGGCGAACTCGACTATGATTATCCTACGACCGAGCAACCCAATGGTGAGTTTTGAATGCTGAGACGAGGATCCGCTGAAAAAAAAGAAGAAAAAGAAGAAGAAGAAGAAGAAGAAGAAGAAGAGGAAGAGGAAAGCGAACGCAACAGAAGTGATCTCCCTGTATGTGTTGCGTTACCATTCTAACAATCTATCTCTCTCTCTCTCGAATACAGGCAACAGCTACATCCGCCACTCTCGTGCCAAGGTTCTCGGTGGCTGCTCTAGTCACAACACCCTCATCTCCTTCCGCCCCTTCGAGTACGACTGCAAAACCTGGGTCGCCAAGGGTTGCAAGGGTTGGGACTTTGAGACCTTCACCCGCATGATCGATGGTCTGCGCAACACCTTCCAGCCCGTGCACGCCCGTCACCGTAACCAGCTATGCAAGGATTGGGTCCAAGCATGCTCCACCGCCATGAACATCCCGGTGATTGAGAACTTCAACGCCGACATCCGCAAGAACGGAGAGCTGACCGAGGGTGTTGGTTTCTTCAACGTCTCCTACAACCCGGATGACGGTCGTCGCAGCAGTGCCTCCGTCGCCTACATCCACCCCATTCTCCGGGGCGATGAGAAGCGCCCCAACTTGACCATCCTCACCAATGCCTGGGTGTCCAAGGTCAATGTCGAGGGTGACCGAGTCACTGGTGTCAACGTTACTCTGCAGTCCGGCGTCAAGCACACTCTTCGCGCCAAGAAGGAGACCATCCTCTGCGCTGGCGCCGTCGATACTCCTCGTCTGATGTTGTTGTCCGGTCTGGGTCCCAAGGAGCAACTGACCTCCTTGGGCATTCCCGTGATCAAGGATCTCCCCGGCGTCGGTGAGAACCTGCTGGACCACCCCGAGAGTATCATCATGTGGGAACTCAACTACCCCGTTCCTCCCAACCAGACCACCATGGACTCGGATGCCGGTATCTTCCTGCGTCGCGAGGCCCCCAACGCCGCCGGCTCCGACGGCCGCGCCGCCGATATCATGATGCACTGCTACCAGATCCCCTTCACCCTCAACACCTCCCGTCTCGGCTACGACGAGCCCATCAACGCCTTCTGCATGACGCCCAACATTCCCCGCCCTCGCTCTCGTGGTCGTCTCTTCTTGACCTCGGCCGATCCCTCCGTCAAGCCCGCCCTGGACTTCCGTTACTTCACCGACCCAGAGGGCTACGACGCCGCCACCATCGTCGCCGGTCTTAAGGCCGCCCGTAAGATCGCCCAGCAATCCCCCTTCAAGGAGTGGATCAAGCGTGAAGTGGCCCCCGGCCCTTCGGTCCAGACCGACGAGGCGCTGTCCGAGTACGGTCGTCGTGTTGCGCACACCGTGTACCACCCGGCCGGTACCACCAAGATGGGCGACGTCACCCGCGACCCCATGGCCGTCGTCGACCCCACCCTGAAAATTCGCGGCCTCAAGGGTGTGCGTATTGCGGATGCCGGTGTTTTCCCGGACATGCCCACCATCAACCCCATGCTCACTGTTTTGGCCATTGGTGAGCGTGCCGCGGAGTTGATCGCCGAGGAGGCCGGCTGGACTCGCTCGCAGCCTCGTCTGTAAACAAAAAAAAAAAAGACATAATCCTTGCGCTACGATGAGCCATGTACCCTCGCTGTACATGTCTGCCTGTATATGCGATCTCGCCATGAGAATCCCGAAAAATCGCCCCCTACCATATATACAACACAGATAAAACCTCCCAACCACCCGCTCCCCCATTAAGTCACATTCCTCTATGATGAACTTTTCCTCTCCTCCCACTTGACGTCCGACCACCACCTCAATTGTCCGGGGTAGCTTTGTACTTACAAAGCATGTCAGGTCTGCCCGACGGATCCGGATCCGGTGTTTACCATTCTCTTCCGGAGATGACAATGTTCTTTTGGATGTTCCTGTCCCACTTTTTTTTTCTTTAGCTGGTTACTGCCAAATACCAATGACGAATTTTGACGATGACAAGACATTCTCGAGACCTACTACTATTCCTGGTAGTTACCAGGTAGTAAGTACCTAGTACCTACTCGTACTTGGACGAAGACGACGACCGTCAGAAGTGGTGAAGCTCCGGTCGATCTTGTGTACTATCGATGCGGAATCGGCAAATGCAGTATACATAATACGAGCCCACTAGGAATAGGAGCGACATCGAGCAGACGGGAGAGCCCGGGGTTTTGAGAGTGCATTGAAATCTTGTCCACGCTCACGTTTGTGTTCACGTTTGTGTTCACGTTTATCTTCAGCCTCGCCAACAATGCCGTTCCGAGAGCTTTTCAGGTGGAGATTGCAGAATGACGGCCGACTGCTGTCTCATTATTCGCTTGTGAGATTTATGCTGTGTGTGGAATGTGTACATTTTATGATTGTACCATGTGTAGATCCGGTATCTTGATGACTCGAGGATGTTGTGATAGTCGCTTGGGCTAGGTTTGTGGGAAGTGAGTAAGTGTGCGTTGGTAATGATATGTATGAACTTCGAGGTAGATTGTTAATCAATCCCCGTCCAGTGAGGTTCGTCAAAGTGCTTGGAATGGGAAAAGGGAATATGGCCCTCACAATTTAAGGGGGAAAAATGAAGAAAAAAAAAAAACTCGATACCTGATAGAGATCTTCAAGACAGAAGGCTCAAACATCTGCAAAATCCGTACAAAGTACTACAATCCCGTAGAATAAAACAGAACTCCAAACACAAAACCTGCGAAGAACCGCATGCATCGCACCCCTCGCTAGTCTAAACACCAACCTTCTCCGCATCATGAATCTTCACACCAAACTTCCACACCTGATCCACCGTCAACGTCCGCCCCGAGTCCGGATCATCCGTTTCCCCCAGCACCACCAGATCCGCATCCGCCCCGGCATCCAAACACCCCTTGACCTTGTCCAGCCCCAACAATCGCGCCGGCACCGCCGTCGCGGCATTAATCGCGTCGGCGGTGCTGGCGCCCGACCAGCGGCGGAAATTGTTCACACACTCGATGAGCGTGGCGGACGATCCGGCAATCTTGTCCGATCCTTCCAGGGTCAAGCGCGCACCTGTCTTGACGATGCGTTCGCCGTTGGTCCATTCGTACACGCCGTCGGGTAAGCCGCACAGACGCATCGCGTCGGTGACGAGGACCAGCCCGTTTGGGTGGGCATTGTAGGCGATCTTGATGGAGGTCGGATGCAGGTGGATCCCGTCTGCGATGACACCGTAAAAGGGCCGGCGGTGCTCGCTTCGGCCCAACAGACCGAAGACACCTGGGTTACGGTGGTAGAAGGGTCTCATGGCGTTGAAGAGATGGGTGATCATGCGAGCGCCCTGGTTGGTAGCCGTGACGGCTTGTTCGTAGGTGGCATCTGAGTGGCCGATGGAGTAGATGATGCCCGATTTGACAATCTCGGGGATCTGCGACATCATCTCGCCAACCTCGGGGGCGGCGGTGATCATGGTGATCGGGGAGCGGGTGGTGTGTGGCGGGGTGCTTGGGGGCGGGGCGAGATTGTCGGCGCCGTAGCAGTGGAGGAGATCGTTGTATGTCTCGGCGGCGCGGAGCACTTCTGTCTTGTGGATGCCGTTTCGACCGGGGCTAATGAAGGGTCCTTCAACGTGGGCACCTAGGGATTCGGCGCCGTCCTCGGGGCGATGTGTTGAGGCTGTAGGGCCGAGAGAGGGGAGGACCTAGGAAAGTGGAATTTGAGTAACGTTGGCATTATTACTTGAGTTTGAATCATGGGATTTTTGTTTTCCTTTGGGAGGCGATGGTTTCGCTTACCTTCCAGTATACCTCAGGAGTGGAGCTCACAACCGTAGGCAAGTAAGAGGTCACACCAGTACGAGCGAGACCTTGATTCACCAGACGAAGACCCTCATCATATTGTTCCTTGGTGTCGCAGGGCACCGAAAAGTCAAAGCCTTGAGCGCCGTTCAACTGAGTGTCGATTAGACCAGGCGCGAGAATTCGACCTCCCAAGTCAATGATCTCATCGGGGGACAAGTGTAACTCGTAAAAGGCTTCTTGATCCTTGAGAATCTTGCCGGTCAAGGAATCAATCCAGAGATCTTGCTCCACCAGACTTGACCCGCGTACAAGCCGACAGTTGGTGAATTTGGTGATGCGCGGCATGACGGGGGATGTGGTTTTCCCAGGCATGATTGATGATGGTATTGAGGGTGGAAAGGATTTTCAGTAGAGTTTGGAAGATGATGGGGGGGTCGTGGAGGGAGACCGGGGGCAGTGTGTAGATGTATGAGAGGATGGGCAATCAGAACGGTGACGGGTTGGATAAGGTCAATGTCAGGTATTTCAGAGCAGGACCCGAACAATCATCAAACTGCGAAGAGAGTTGCAGAAAGGCGAGGATCAAAAAATCAAGGAACACTTTGCACTTTCCAACTTTCCTGCAATTACCGGACACGATGTTTTGTTTATGGGGGGTGTGCTTTCAGGTACCTCCCCGGAGTCAGAGTCAGGGCCAGGGCAAAGCGACTGACCAGGTAATATGTTGTCTGTCGCATCCGTAGGTATCGGAGGTGTGGAGAGAGAACGAGAGAGGAAGATGCTTGTAGTACCGCTGGCGAGGATCTGGCTGCATAATGATGTAACCTCCCCAAACGGGTTAAAGTCTTCTTTTTACAGTCCTTGCGGTAGGAGAGGTGACATCGGCATGCCGAGGTGGTAGAAAGTACATCACTGCTTGGCGGCAATGGCTCGGGAAGTCGCAGTCTGCTGGCTGAACTCTGCCATGATCACGTACTATAGCATGCGCATCTTCATCGTCAGAGAGACCAGATACCATTCATCTCGAAAGCCAGGGAGTTCAGATTACTTCGCGACCTCATAGTTGTGTAAATAGACTGCTGTCTCGACGCCTGTTTCCCGCGGTGTCTTCCAGCGCGACATCTAGGTGGGCCTATCGATTGCCGGTCTTATCAGAGAGGAACGACGGGTAGAATTTAGAGTAGCATGCGGCAAAAAAAGAAGCACGCAGGTCAAGTGGGGTCTGTATTTTTGGGGTACTGTCATCATGTCATGACCAAACTGCACGTTACATACCACCCCCGCATGCGGCGGTAGAGTTGCACTGGAGTGACCCCGAATGCGACACTCTCTGCGTGCGGTCACATCGAGGCCCTCTTTTCGCTGGAGTCGGTCTCCCCATCAATTTTGACCCAGCAGGGCCATCCACCAGGCTGGACATCACTTGGCCTTACGTGATGCTATTGCAGTTTGCACTCTTCCAGTGAAAGAAATCCACTCTCCACACGAGAGTGAACCCCCTGTCAGGAGATCATTAGTCACCTTTCGTCTACCTTTCTGCCTTTTCCTCTTGGGTACCCTCGAGACTCCCCCGCCAAGTTTATCCGGGGTCTCCAGACGGACCAGAATGCTGGGAATTGATCTTTTTCCCCCGACCTTTCTCGGCTTCGTCCATCGGCACAACCAAGGAAGCACCGTGTATTATCGTACGGTCCTGACCGAATCTCTTCACTTGGAAGTTCATTATCATCCCATATCCAGTTCCAGTATCCAGTGATCCACCCTTTCCAGAGCTGGACCCCCCCCCCCCGTCTCGTCTATCGATGCGGGGAAACTCGATGCTGCTTATCGCGCCCTTATTCGCCTGCTCCGCCCGTTGTGCCTTTCCCCATAAAATTGGAATACCACCGATACCAGCGTCTCATCGAGCGTTCTCCATAGTTCATGACCCGGTGTCACTTGGTCACTGGGTTACTTGGGGGTGCCAAGGGGCTCCAAGTGACACATCATCCGTTCATCATCATCATTGCACCACCACCATTACAGTACCGTATACAACTGTACACACGACACAACTACACACAACACACAATCAGGGTTAGTTCGGCTCCGGCTATGGCTGGGCGGTTGGCTGCTGCTCCCTAAACTCTTATCTACTAGTGTCCCCATAGTTGACCCCGATCGGAACCCTATTAGCTTTGCACATCCGAGAGAAAAATACTAGTCGCTTTGCGCGCGTGAATAGCCGGGGGAGAGGAAACTCGCCTCTATTTTCGCATAAAACCCCAATCCTTCGCGCTCGGTGATTGTTGTTCATTCCGAAAAACAACTCCTTCACCTCCTGTCTTGGAATCCTGCTATCCTTGGTCCAGCGGGGTCGGACACGTGGAAGACAGCAAGAAAAAAAAGGACACTGCAAAGTGGGAACCACAACAGCAGATCCGGGACTGAAAAAAGGGGACAACAACATTCCGGAACCCCTTCTCGTCGCTGTCGGCTTCGACTGTTTCCTCCATTGCTCGTCAAGTGTGTTTCTCGACACGACAGGGTCCAGACTGAGCAAACGGGAGTTCTGCATCACGGTGTGATTGTTATCGCCGAGGTCTCCGCCTCTTCGTCCCCTTGTCGTCCGTGGTCCCTTTGCATCAACTTGACCACCACATATACATATCATGGCGAACCCTCCGCCTTCACCTCCACCACCAGAGTCGAACTGGTCGCAGCAACAGACTCCAGTGCAGCCCTCATCAACACCACACGAGAAACCACTCTCGATCAATGTCGAAGACCCCGAAGCCGCGACAGATCAAAGTGCAGAGGGGAAACCATGGATGTACAAGCCACTGTTCAAGATCGGCAAGTACCAAGCACCCTGGTTCGCCTCCCCCGATGTTCAACTCTATCTCGTCTCCTTTGTGTGTTTCTTGTGTCCGGGTATGTATAATGCCGTCTCGGGCCTCGGTGGTGGTGGTCAGGTGAACCCGACCGACGTGAACAACGCCAACACCGCCCTGTATAGCACCTTTGCCGTGGTGGGATTCTTTGCCGGCTCCATTGCGAATCGCGTGGGTCTGCGCATCACCTTGTCACTGGGGGGCTTTGGATATTTCCTCTACACGGCGGCGCTGCTCTCGTACAATATCAACCAGAATGCCGGGTTCTTGATCTTTTCGGGAGCCCTGTTGGGGGTGTGTGCCGGTCTGCTGTGGTGTGCACAGGGTGCGGTGATGATGAGCTATCCCCACGAACATGAAAAGGGGAGATACATCGCCATTTTCTGGGTCATTTTTAACTTGGGTGGTGTGATTGGCAGTTTGGTAAGACCCTCTTGATGGAATGGCTTTTGTGTGACCAAGTGCAGGGGAATATCAACAGGTTCACTAATCGCACCATGGTCGTCAACAGGTCCCCCTTGGGCAGAACATGCACAGCACGGCCGGCAGTGTCAACAACGGCACATACATCGCTTTCCTGGTCTTGATGGCCGTCGGATTCGTGCTCTGTTGGCTGCTAGTCGACTCCAAATACGTCAAGCGTGACGATGGATCCCGGGTCATTGTGATCAAGAACCCGACCTGGAAGTCGGAGTTCCTGGGTCTGTGGGAAACCCTGCGAAGCGACTCGTACATTGTCCTGATGTTCCCCATGTTCTTCGCCAGTAACTGGTTCTACGGGTATCATTTCAATGCGGTCAACTTGGCTTATTTCACCGTGCGTACCCGCGCATTGAACAGCCTGCTCTACTGGCTAATGCAAATGGTGGGCGCCTTTGTCTTTGGTCAGCTCCTCGACATGAAGTGGTTCTCACGACCGACCCGGGCCAAGATCAACTTTGGTATTCTCATGGCCATCACATTGGCAATCTGGGGCGGTGGATATGACTTCCAGAAACAGTACACTCGCGAGACAGTCAAAGCCGATACGGATTTCACCGACAGCAGCTACATCGGCCCCATGTTCTTGTACATGTTCTATGGCTTCTACGACGCTGCGTTCCAAACATGCACCTACTGGTGAGTGGTTCACACCTTTTCCCCCAAACTTTCCCCCAGAAGCTGCCTTGCCCACGGCGCAACACTGATTCAAACACGCTTCTAATTCCCAAAAATCCCAAATCTAGGTACATGGGCTCACTCTCCAACAACGCCCGCAAACTCGCCAATTTCGCCGGCTTCTACAAGGGTATCCAGTCGGCCGGCGCAGCCGGAATGTGGCGGTAAGTCGTTTCCCCCCGGGATGACCAACTCTCCAATTTCACTTCACCTTGCTGACATCTCCCACAAGCATGGACGCCCAAAAAACACCATACATGACCGAATTTGCCTCGTGCTGGGGTCTCCTCCTGGGCAGCATGTGTATTGCTTCACCGGTGATTTTCCGCAAGATTAAGGAGCACACCGACGTGGCCGAGGATCTGCGTCTCTCGGATCAGACCACGGCCGAAGTCCTCGGTGGTACAGAGCTGACACACTCACATGATAAACCGCATGTTGAGCAGGATAGTGGAGATGGGAACAGTGGGAAGATGTAAACTTTTTTTCCTTTTAATCCTTCCCACTTGGTTTCGCTGTCCCGTGTCCCATGTCCAGCGTCCAGCGTCCCATGTCCCATGTTTACGGGGTATACATACATATGTACTTTATCGTTCTGTTCTCTTCTCCTCCGGGGACTCATGTATCATGCCACTTTCACGGTATACTTGGCTGGATAAACGAGCATATATATCCAGCATATCTTCCTTTCTTATTCCAACATCATACATCCTGAACCAGATCACGCGCATCGTTACCGTTCCGTCCCCGCCACACGGTTCCAGCACTTCTAGCTCGGTATATCATGGAGATGATGGTCAAGGCCCCGGGACCACTTGATCATAATGAACACTGGGAGGTGGGACTGTCTTCCCGGGTATTTTCTCTGTTGCTCTCTCCGTGCCCGGCCGGTCTCGAGGCTACCTGGTGGACTTGCAATATGCAACTATGACAAAGAGATGGAGAGTCTACTTACGCATTCATTGTGGTTAGTTCGCTGAATAAGACGTATCCGTCTGCACGAGGGACGACCACAACTTCATATATCGACTGGGGTGAGGTAGGTACACGTTACCACGCCTACTTGGGCTTTTGGGAGATTCGTCGTAGAAAGCAGAAGGATTTGTCTATTTCTACGTCAAAGGAATATAATTCGAGACCATCACATGAATGCATTATTGTCATCGTCGTGGGTAATCGTAATCGCCATCTTCACGTCATCAAAAAGGGGCACCCCCGGTCTTGAATGGGCTCGAGATATCCAGCACCCTGGATCATCTTAATGACCGGTCTTTGTGGGCAGCGCAACCGACGACTCAGTATGAGTCGCCGTGGCCGGACCCTTGGTCCCCTCCTTCATGCCTAATTTCTTCTCTCCCGTGCTCAACTCCCATCCATTCAGCGTGCGGTTGAACAGCTGCAACGACGCAACGGGCTGATAGTACGGAACTTCGTGGCCCGCCTCATATACGCGGGTGAACGAAAAGTTACCGTACTCTCTTGTCTCGCCGTACTCCACACCGTCGACGGTGAAAGGCGCATATCCGGCCTTGCGGAATTCCTTGCTGTGGGCATAGTTCATAGCCAGCGAGACGGCCTGGCCGCCGAACCAGTTGCAGATGTAGTCTGCGTCGCCGTAGATGAGGGCGACGCGGACATTGTGCTTGAGAATATCCTCGAGGTCTTCCTTGAAGTTGGGCCAGACAAAGTCGCCAGTCTGTTGGAAGGCGAAGTAGACGTCGTTGTTGGACTGGGTGTAGTTAAGGTCGACGCCGAGGGCGTTGAGGACTTCGTCTTTGGCGAGGTAGGTTTGGTAGTATTCAGGAGGGGTGGGGTCGCGGCTAGGGTGACGGATGTCGTAGGTGCCGCGGCCGCTGAATTGGTAGTATGGGCCCTCTATAAAATGGGAGAAAAAAACAAAGTCCGTTAGTGAGGAGATCTTATCAAATGGAAAGAGGGACGGTTGTGTGTACGTACCAACGTTGTCACGGCACATGTTGGTCGCTTCGCTGCAAATCGCAAAGTCGGCGAGGGAAGTCCGGTTGGTGTACTTGCAGGACAGAACCTGGTCCTGACAACCGTTGGGCATGGCGTCGGCAAACTTCATGTAGTTGTAGACCGTCTCGTTGACCTGTATCCGTGGATCAGCGTGAACCACACCAAAGATATTGTCTATAGTATTGTCAAAAGGGGGAGGAGGAGGAGGGGCAATAGGAACATACAGCTTCAATACCATAGGTGTTGTAGCGCGCAAACTCCGGGTAGTGAGGAGCCTGGATACCCTCATCGATGATTCCGTTGATTATTCCCAGAGTGTTGAATTCAATTTCCACTCCTTCGTTGCAACCACTGGCAATCTTTTCATTCTCCTTCATGAAGTGGTCGTAGAACTAGTCGAGGAGTTAGTAAGAAGTCCCCCGCAAGAGGCAGTGGCAGGAAATAGCTTTTGTATTCCACTCACGGCAGGGCCATAGTGTCTATGGAAAAGTTAGCGTCGCTGTTCAGAAATCTTTACCATACAAAACATAACCGCACACGCTGGATTCAACTCACCCTCCGTAACTCTCAGTCCACAGGTTGAAGCTCTTGGACTTGACATTGGGATCCAGCTTACCTAGACCACTCAGGAAAACTTGCAGGACTTCCCAAGTAGCTTCGGCAGCAAGAACAGTGGTGTCTTTAAACAGGGTCAGTTCAGGTTCCGGGCCGTGCGTGAATATACAGATCACCGGATACATACCAATCATAGTGGCGTTGATGACAGGATAACGACCAGTCACACCACCAAACTCGGCATCCTCAAAGACACCAGTGTAAGGGTTGAGAGAACCGGGGGACTTGTCGGCATAGGAAAATCCTGGGAATGCATTAGACTTGTTTCAATGGTTTTGCAATATATCTCGTCCATACCGGTGCCCAGGGGCTGAGAAAGGAACAGCATGTTCGAGACTTCATTCCAAGAGTGAGGGTTGAGCTCCGTCTCATTGTTCTCATTGACACGGCACGGGCCGAGCTCTGTCAAAAGAGTTAGTACATATTCTGCATTATCACTCTTTTTCAAATTCCCATAATTTTCTATTTCTGACTGTCACTTACCCTGGAAGAGACCGATGAGCGAGTCACTACCGGGACCACCGTTCAACCACAAGGTGATTGGAGCAGTCTCAGGGTTCTTGCGAGCCTCGAAGAACCAGAAAAAGGTGTGCGCATGCTCGTTCAGATCGACGTAGCCCGAGTACGAGTTGACCCCGGGAGTGGTCTCACACACTCCCTGCTTGCCGGGCTCTTTGTACCGAATGGTGACATTGTTGGCCGTTTTGATGGTCTTAACATCGGTAGGCTCATTGGGCAGCTGACGACGAGCGATTTCCTCCCAGGGCAGCGAGGCAGCGGCCGCGAGAGGCAGGGCCAAAGAAAGGAGACTGAAGGAGCGCATGGTTGCGAGATTCCTCACGACCTTGGAGTGAAGCTTGGAGCAATCAAACAGCCTCTGCAAGATAGGAAACGGCGCAGTTCCAATCTCTCGACGTAGCGTGGGCAATAACGTGAACACAGCGTTGGTGGGGAATCGAGTCCTTAAATGCTAATCTCACCCTAGAGGGCCGACCAAGCGTCTGACATTGAGTTGTCACCAACCGCTGAGTGTGTCTGTCTTGTTGATTACGCCAAGGCGCGTCTACTGCAAGATCGGCCAGCGAGATTTCACTCTCCTCCGACTAAAACTTGGAGCACAAACATACCCAATCCCAGATAAACGCCGGTGGCCTGAATCTTTGATTCACAATCGTCATTTGTCATAGCTCAGCCAGCTTCCTCTCCAAGACAGGAAGCGAAGCGGACCAAGATTTTGCCAAGACATGGCTTTCCAGCGCACGAGGCCAGTCATGGGCGCGGCGACACTTGTCGTGGAGCCCCTCTGCAGCCATCTCCGCAGGAGCTCCGGGGAAGGTAGTATCGCTTTCCTAATCGGTGCAGATCGATTGAAGTTACGATGAGGAGGCTCCACGGGTCCTTGAGCATGGAAAGGGCCTGACTTTCGCCCAGCATCCCCGTTGAGCAAGAGCCAAGAGCCAGCCAACCGGGAGGGGAGGGCTCGGCAAGGCCCTCCAGACGAGGCTTGCATGATAACATCATAACGCCCGTCTTGAGCCTTGTTGCATGGATTCCTTAACAGCAAGAACGCCGACGGGACTCACGCTGGTCAATATGGTCCAGATAACAAGAAAATTGGGGCCGTGAACGCGGAACGAGCGGAAGGCAAAAGATCGACATCCGCTAAGCCTCATTGATAGATGATGGAGCCCCCAATATTGATCACGATGATTGGGGGTTGGAAAAGGGTCTCATCTCGAGGTCGAAGAAGGCGTAATCTGAGCAGAGGAAAAGATATCCCTCACTCGCTCGGAGACAATTGAGATCATGGATAGTCGGTCATGCAGGATGCCATCATTGCTCACTGCAAGCCTCCAGGAGAATTACATCACATTTGAGAGCTTACATCTGCAGCTCCGCCCCCCTGGAGACAATGCAATCCGTGAACACCACCAGCTCGGTCGCAGTCAAGAACCCCGGGAACAGGTTGGGCCAATGCTGTTCATCAATGGAGTCTGCCGGTCGGTCCTGTTCCTGTCCCTGGGAGGAAGACGTCAAGAATCGATTTGGAGGGTTCAGGTACAAGCGGGGAAATCTCTCTATCGTTAGGCGTACAGTACTACGGTTCAGTTACTGGATATGTACAACGATACGGTCATGTGCTCATGAGACTGTCAGTGTCCGCTGGTTCACTCGACATTCCATTTTCTTACACCCCAAAACCTTACCCTGCAATGTATTCCGAATCACCAGACAAGTCCCGCATATCTCAGTCGGACCCAGCAAGGGCTCGGATGGTGAGCCACGGACCTTGCGTATGGAAGAAATGAGTCGCCCCCTTCCACGGAAGATGAGACGAGACTACCTCCATTCGTCACGCAGATCGATGCAATGTTGAATGATCGACCATGGCATTGCATTGTATGTACCTCGGTGGAAACTCCCGATGCAATCGCGATGTCACTGTCATGATACCAATCCGTCGTACGTACCAATTTGCACGTTCTTCCTGGCGGCAACCAACGCAACTCCCTCGTTATCGAAGAGGATTCCACCATCTTCCCTGACATGGTAAGATTGGCGTTTTTTTCTTAAGCTCCACCACTTTCGCACGGTGGTCACCGAGTCACTACTGACTCCTGGCTCCTGAGTTGTCAGTATTCACTGGTGTTCCTTTTCGGAACTCCGACTGTTCAGAGATTGTTGCCACGGAACCCAAATCGCGCTTGGCGAGATCAGTTCCTTAGCACGCCCAAGTCTTCTCACGACAAAGTACAATCACTACTATGGCGGCGTCGGGCTTGCGATCGGAGCTCCACTTCCTGATGGCGTGACCATCCCGTCAATCAGTGCGCCACCATATTATCGTCCGCAATCTGTTGAACTAGTCGCCGATAAGCAAGACAGAGCGGAGAGGATGAAGAATTAGCTTGGCTTGGCTCTGGGCTGTCAATCAATTGATCCAGAAATCCAGAGGGAGATATCCAGATCAGGTAGGTGATAACGCGCGATGGGCTCGGATGTACATATATTGACGGCATTGAGCTAACTCTTTTTAGAAGGGTCCGGCTTGGTGATGAGAAGGCTGGGCTTCTCTATGTTCGGTAGCCGGAGCATTGGCCTTTGCCGCGTGGAATGTATGGAGCTCGCACCAGCTGCATCAATGTGCTCTCCCCAACCGGAACAAGCCCGCATCCCTCGGTTGAAATGTACATTGATGCAGATGGATCAGAGGACTTCTAGAGGTCTTATTCTTCTCTCTTTCTCTCTCACTCTCTATACATCACGGGTACCATATCCAACATCAGCCGGATAAACTACCCGCCCCGTTGAAATTCACGAACCACTGGGCCAGTGGGCTCAGAGCCCGTGGACTGTAGCACTTGGTCACCCGCAGAAGCCTCACTTCCAAGTTCCCTCCCATAGCTCGACTGTAGGTATTCGAGCTCGAGCTGGAGCTTCCCCGCAATTCTCGCTCAGACGCTGTAAGACGTACCTTTGCTCCTACAGGGCTCGGACGTCAGTGCAGAACAGCCCAGACTCTCGAATGGCTCGCGGTGGAGAAAAAAGCGACCAAGTGGCTGGGAGATTATCATTCCTCATCACCGCCAAGACGATGTTAATGACGTGCGACTCACGAGGCTGGAGTCTGGGAGCCCGGGTAAGTGGTGAGGGTAGAGTGCTGGCACGCAGAGCGGGTCGCTGGTGATTCTGGCAAGTGATGTAGCTACTCCATACTATTGTTCTCCGACATACTATAGCACATTGCTGGATTTTTTTTGCTGGCGGCCGGTGAGCAGGCAGGCTCCAGTTATCATAGGCATCATCTCAAAAGCTGGAGGCTTGTAACCTTGGCAATATAGAAGCGAGTCCAACAATCACATGAGAAGAAAGCCTAATTTTCCTCAAGCGAAATTGGGGCTAACTCGAGCAGAAGGGACTCTTTACCTTTTCCCAATCATTCAAACGGTCGCGCAACATGCAAAGCTGAAGTTTATCAGGTAAGCTGGCGCGGAATAAGCTTCGGTGAATGTTTTGCACGCTGCGATCCATACATGACCAATATAAGGGTAGGTAGAAATGACATTTTCGTGGACACCCGGCTACGTACCAACCCCAGCTATTGTTTAGATCGCTCCGAGACTGCAGTCTCAATAGGTCAAAATGGCGATAATGCTGAGATGAGAATGCCGCGTCATCAGGTTAATGGGAACATTTGGCAAAGGTTGTCTGTCGAGGTTGGTGTCTCCGTACGACGCTCACTTTGACGTATACAGAAGCATCCTGCCAGGAATATATGTGCTTTTGAAGTTTTATATGAAACCAGAAGCGTTTTCAATAGAACTGAACGCTGATGACTGGCGCATTCATTCAAAGACTGTCAAATAGCTTCAAGGTCTCGTGGATACTTATCAGTTCATAGGCGATAGACAGACGCCCCAGCTCGAGATAGTCGGTGAATGAGAGATAGCAGCAGCATTGAGGGATAGTCCCGCTAGTCTAGATGTAATTAATCCCCAATGTGATGAATTTTTCTTGGGGCTTGTCAGGTCTAGTAAGCTGCCTGATGGAGTTTGACATATGAAATCCTAAAATAGAGAGTCTCGAAGTTTGATCAGCGATCAAAAGATGTGGAGTGCAAATGTCATGGAAGCTACAGTGAATCTCTCTACTGGAGTTCGTAGGGGTCACTTCAAACTGGGACTGCGTGTGCAACTGTGCATCGCGCTTCAAATCTGGAACAACGTGTCCCCGGCTCCCACGTGAGCTGAGCTGCCATGCGAGCTCAGCCCACGTGTGATTCCACGAACAGAAAATGTCGTCCTCACCAGAAGTCCCTCAGGTCCATTGCTGCTTCCTGCTCCGTGTTTGATGCTGCCTATCGCATAGACACTAAGGAAAAAGCAACTTTCTTTCCCATCCAGCCATTAGTCTAATCCTTGAAGGACCTACACATCCTGAAACAAACTCTTATGCAACGGCACCGTGGATCCTGGTCAAGGCGTTTTCCATTCCAGATAATGTCTGTGAGGGTCTAGCTTGAGCGACGGACAAGAGACGCAATTTGATGCCTGCTGTTTGAAGAGTTGACTCCGTGAATAATGCCTGTGTTGTTCAAGGTTGAAGATGCTTTTCATATACACGACTCGCGCCTCTAGAGCTGATGGATTCTCTACCGAACGTCGAGGCTGTCATCACCAGACCACGAGGCAAACTCGCGCCGTCCAGAAACTAGCACATGTACTGCGCCAGCTAACTCCTCTCGAACTTACCTAGCGCGCTTCAAACAATCCAATCAAGCGGATAGCATCCTGCATCGTGCATTTCGCTTCCTCGCCGAAGGACGCGCAGCAAACCAGAGACTTCACCTGTTGCTGTCGACGTTTCCCGAGCTAGCCAGAACCCATGTTCAATTGCGAGCCCGGTCATCGCTCATTCAAGCTAAAGCTGAAAGGCCCTTGTCTGGTGTACGAGCAACGTCCAGGAGACTGCTGGCGCCCAGCCCCCCTCATCTGGACAAATCTACGAGGTGTCGCCCGATCGAAAACAGGGGGCCTGTACTTTAGACGAGTCACAGCCCCCACGATAGCTGCGAATGGGCGATTGGACTGCTTATAAGAGGCTGAGACATCCACCTCTCTCCGAATGCAATGGATAACTTCATTTCCACACAGCGCCAAGGGTAGAGTCGTTGCAAACTTTCACTCAACTGCTCCGTGCTTTCCACGACTATTTTCAGTTTGTCTTTTCTATCTCGGACTAGGGTGATCCGTCGCAAAATGGGAAAAAAAAGCCCCATGTTTGACACCCTTCCTTATACCATTGATATGGTATATAACGAGGATTACTCCGCAACCTGCGCGTACCGAGTTAAAGGGACGGACAATTGCGCAATTCATTTGACCAAACGGAGTCTGAAAGAAGCCAACCACATCCTGACCAGCAATTTCTCGGATTTGAGCAAACACCCAGAAGAACAGCGTCGCAGCCCTGCCTTCTTCAGGATACTGCAGAACTTTGCTGAAAGTAGGCTCTGCCACAATCATGCCAAGCATTTTGATCAGGCTGCTTCGCAATGGTGCGACGAATACCATCAAAACTACCGAGATGTGGCGGATACCTTGACGAGGTGTCTAGCTCTTCCCGGGACTCAAGTGCATGGAGCGCCTTTGAAAGCTACCACTCCGATGAAACCCCAGGTGTCTGTCATCTCAGTCGAACTTGATGAGCGTGAGTGCGACTCGGATGATGCTAGTTCTGTTGAGACCGAACAGGACGAAGAAGTCGAGGATAGCGACATTGATGGTGTGACCACCATAGAGAAGCCACTTTGTGGAACACCGCGGGGTATTCTCGACCCGGAGTCAGCAGAGATTCGGTCAATCCAGCGCAATCTGACTATGAGTCAAGAGACGATCATGAACAGAATCGCCTCTAAAATCTGCCAGCCAGTGGAGGGGAAGTCGTCGAAGAAGGGCTGGATATACCTTTTGAGGGTCCCTAGCTTGGGACAAGGAATGTATAAATTCGGGCATACGACGTCAGAGCCTCCCATGCACGATCGATGGGTTAAGCATGAGAAGTGTTATGGTCCAGTCCAGGAGATTCTGACCTCTATGACGCCTTGTGCCTACCGCTTGGAGCAGATCATTCTCCTGGAATTCAGAAATAACGAATACCAATTACAGGAGCCGTGCAAACAGTGCAAGTCATCGGGCAATGAATCCGACAAGAAATCCCCTCGTCACCACGAACTACTGAGGGTCGAAAAAGTTGAAGAATTGAAGGAGAGACTGAACCAGTGGGTCTTTTTCTTCAGAGACGGTCCGTATAGGAAATCCGGCACGCTCAATCGGAAACTTCTCGAAAACCTACCACCAAAAGACGATGGCCTCAAACAAGCGATTCAAGATCTTCTCAAAAGCAAGAGGCGAACATCTAGCGCCAAGAAAAACCCGCCTTCTAGCCAAAGGCAATCACAGGCATCAGTCCGGAACCCGATTTTCACAGATTCACATGCGAATGTCAGACCCCAAACACCGACTGCCGAGGACTGTGCAGGAATCACGTCGAATCTTCAGCACTTGCATCTGAGCCCGTCGCCCACTCAGTCAAAGGCCACTCGGAAAGTCCCAAGGCGACGCGCGAATAGTCCCAGGCCTTCGAAGGATAAAGACAGTACTAAGACTGCGTCCGCATCAAATTAATCTCGTCTACTACAGTCATCCACGCCCCCAGGGACTGCCGATTCGAGTACACAGAGTTCTTGTATCTTCCGGTGACGCTGTGCGATGTTCTTCCAAATCTTGTTTCTCCGTTTCGTGGATTCGTTTGGTTGTCTTGTTCAACCTGTCTGGGCCATAAACACGTCCCGAGTTGAATTATGTTAATCAAGAGCCAATTCTGTTTTGCAGCCCGCAATGCTTTTCTCCCATAATTGCCATTCCGTTCAATAACGTCATGAAGAGGATAATTATACACTAAACACTGGCACAAAAACGCGCCTGTGGTAAACCCATAAAAGACCATACGAATTCCCATATCCCAGGACACATCCACCAAGCATTACCCTCCAACACAACTCCGTCCGCGATCAGAATCCAAACATGGAATGAGATGAATGACAATTACGATCAAGACTCCAACCCGAAATGCTCCAATCCTTTCCCTTTCTCACAATCCTCTCATCACCTCGCTTTTCCTGCAGTCATCCGTTATCCGTATGACCCACCCCTCCAAGGTCCTCGGACTGAAGTATCTCAACCCGACGGGAGGACTTTAAGATTGCAGCGCGACTTCAGCGAGCATCTTCTATCAGGCTTGATACACGTACACACTCCCGTCTGATCAGGACCAAAGTACCACAGTTTCCCTCTTACCTCGTAAGTCCCCAACGCAAGCCCACCATGTATCACGTGGAAATTATCGGGCGTCACTTAGATCTCTTCCACCATGGACTTACATCGTCGCACTGATAAGAGTCATCCAATGCAATGGCCAGAGATGAAGTATATCGCATCGAAAAGCGTGTAGAACAACATTGAAGAATGTACCACCTGTCTAGATCTTGCTCGGTGACGCAGGGCCGGTGACTCCCTCTGAAGCACCGACGGTCAATGCTCTGCTGCGAGGGTGTGCGTGTTTTTCCGCTTCTAATTGACACGCCTACGTGCGGATCGATGTGAATGTCGACTGGGCGTTGGGTTTAGAGTAGAGGAGGTGGGTATGTTAGAGCAGATTTAATGTTGAGAGGTGATTTATTATATATGTACAATCAGAATACAGAGGGATGGGTTGGCAACGTATCTTCTTTGTATAAGATCTATAACTGTAGTATCCCGTCTTAGGCATGTTTTATGACTAGGTAGGTACCTGGGTACTCTATCCGCTCTGCTACGATAGACTCGATACAGTTGGAGCTGCAGCTGTGCCTATGTCTCCATAAAGGCCATCGATAATGTTGTGATGAGTTTTCATGTTTTGATTCATTCCAGTCATGCTGTGCCTGCTCTTCACATATCCCGTATATACATGATCATTCGAGATAGACGGGTGAATGAATATCATACTTGCAGGGGAGAACTCTGGAAGAAGTCCTCGAATCGTAGGCAATCATCATCCATTCATCAAGGATCATCGGAAAGTCACGTCACTGACTGAATCAATGACAGATATTCCAGAATGGAATCGAAAAAAAGAAGAAAAAAAAAAGAAAAACATGAAAAGGGATAACACACAAAGGGAAATCGTTCAATATACATTCTACCTCGTCGACTCCCAATACCCCCAAAAGAGATATCAATTGGGAGAAAGGCAGCCACGAGGCCAAAAGAAAAAAAGATCTTGAACAACAAACAAAGGGGTCAAACAACAGTCGCTCAAGTCCCCAGAAAGATTCAATGGCTCCGGAAAATGCAAAAAAAGGAATTTTTTTAGCACTGAATAGAATAGCAGAGCTGGACCGGTCCCATAATTAAAGTGGCAGTGTACTTCTCATGTGAGCGAGGACCGTAATTCAGAGTGGGGTTATTTTTACCCCTTTCGTACTTCCGCTTTTTTAAAACTCGCGGGCCCGCGGGGCACACAAAACACGGAGAACTTTCACAAAAGAGAAATTTCTCCCCGTGGGGCCCCACTGCCAGTAACGGAAACCGGGGCCGTCGACCGCCCGCTTCAGCCCGGGAACATCGGGGTTCATCACTCGTCAAATCCCATTCCGAGATTGGCGTCCAGGCTTGTGCGTTGAGCCTCGGTTGAAAGTCCATGGCCGCGGTCTTCAGAATGAGAGTCCGTCAGATGGGTAAAATCAAACACTTTAGAATCGGTATCAAATCCCAAAGCCTTCATATCAAATTCGTAGGCCTTTTCTTCGGCGCCCACGCCAGGAACAGAGTGCTCTGGCTGCTGTGAAGCGTGTTCCGTGAAGAGATCGGCGCCGGCGTCGTCAAAGTTGATCAAAGCGTCAAAATCGTTCTGTGTGACTTCGGCATCGTTGGCAAGATCCATCAGTTCTGTCAGACTCATCTCGGAGTTGAGGTCGGGAATTGCAAATGCGTCGTGAGAGGCGTAACTGGGGTTGACGTTGTTGGTGCTGCCGTTCTCGCTGCTGTCGGAGTGTGGAGGAGTAGAGGCGAACAGATCTGTGGTAGGTTGAGGGCGAGTCGGTGTGGGTCGTGTCTGAGGGTAGGTCAAGTCTGGGATCTTTTGAGCCAATGAATCCGGCGGCGGTGTTAGGGCGCTGGGACGATTCAGGAGGTTCAGAGGATCAGTGGTCGTCGAGGTGTAGTTGTTGGCCGTCGGAGCAGAGGCAGAGGCCGTTGTCACATCAGCCGTGGATTTCCGACTGGGGCGAGGGCGCGACGATTGCACATCTTGAGGGGCAACGGTGAGTTGAATGCCCGCTTTGCGAATGGCCGCCTCGAGGAATGAGGTGGCAAAATCAGCCGAGGCGTAAATCTCGCGCAAGCGCTGGAGAATTCGCATGCATTGGTAAAATCGCTGCAAACTCGTCATTCGAACACTGGGATCGGTGGACTTGATGTCCAGGAGATGGATGATCACAGCGGGCAGTAAGACCGTGACGCCGGTCGTTGGGTAGTATCGAGTCAAGTCGAGGACGTGCAGATCCTGGGCAATGTTGGTGATTTCAATCGCGGCAAAGCGAACTTTGTTGCGCGACATTTCCTGTAACTCGGCATCGGTAGAAGGGTAAGGGATAGCGGGGAGAACCTGAGGGCGATGCAGCGCACTGGAGGTGGTCAAGTAGACCATTTTCAACAACGCCCGGTGGGAGTGCAGAACCTCTTGGGCCTCGGAGAGTTTAGCACCTTCCGAGGGCGAGTATCGAGTCTCCATGGGAAGATTGGCCCGCCAGTCCTCCAGTTCTTGGTCACAGCGCCGCACCTCGTATGTCTCGGCGGTCGACTTCTTCGGTACCAGCATCATGGTCGTCTCCATTGTTCCGCCAAACTTGTGACTCAAGACGGAATATTGAGCCGAGAGCACGTGGCTCACACAGAGACATAGCTTGGCTTTTTCAATGAACATCAGGGCCAACTCTCGCTGGTGGCTGACATTCTGCAGGATCTCCGAATTGCCTACCATCTTCACAATCTCCGGAGAGAAGGAGTGGAATTCAAAGTCGTCCAAGGTGAGCATGGGGACGTCGCAATCATCGTCCTTGACGCGCATTGGGCGTCGCATACCCAGTGCAATCAACCGGTCGCGTGTATAGGTACTCCACCAGATGCGTTTCCACATGCGTTGGCGGCGACGTTCCATCCGGGAGTTGCCCGGATCACGATGTAATCCAATGGTGTGGGCCAGAGAAAGACTCACGCCCATCCAATGCCAGGTGTCCTTCTGATCGTCGGGGGTTTCGTACCAGTAGGTCATCAAGAGCAGTGACTGCACCAGAGAAATGCGATCCACTTCATAGTCAAAATCGTAGAGAAGCCGCGCACGTTGGAAGAAAATCTTGCGAGCGGCTTTCCTGGTATGGTATCCAGCCGCCTGGAGATGCTTCATATCGACAAAAGCCATACCAGCGAACATGACGGCCTGGAAAAGAAGCAGACTGATTCGACGAACGCCGTCATTGTGCACAATAGTCTCAAGAAACTCTTCCAAGTCCAGCAATGGCATATAAGTGTGCACGTAGTGAATATACGCCTTGATCAATTCGTTGCGCAGGTTCACATCAGGGATAGTGAGGGCGCCCTTGGCGGCCAGGTAATCGATATCTTCATTTTGAAGTCGAGATGGCAGAGCGCGAATGTAATCAGGTAACGAACGGGGTTTCGGTTGCGTTAGTCCAAAGTGCGGGTCGAGGAACTGCTGGAATTGCAAAGGAGCATTCGTAAGCGGTAATGATGAAGGAACGGCTGGACTGGGGGCCATTCGGCGACGGTAGTGATTATCTGAGCCAATTCGCTGAGCTTGTGACTGATCTGCAGTGATGAAGAAAACCATGAGGGATTGTTAGTCATGAACTGGCAAGTTTGAATCAAAACCTGACAGCCTGAAATGTACGCACACAACAAGTGAGGCATATGGTGGCCATGGTCAATATCGACCGAGTTCGACGAGGGCGAAGTCGGCTCCCTCTCGGCGAAACCGTGAAGAGGTCCTAGCGAGCCTAAGGGATTCTCTTCAGATATGTCTCCGGGTGAGTCCGAAGTGTGATTGATATCCATATCAACGCGCGACTTCCTGTTACACAGCGCAAAAGAGAGAGAAAGCCGATGTTAGTGACGAAAGTCTTGAATTGCAGCAGGAGAGTAAGAATGGCAACATCCTTGAGGGTGGGCTTTTTTTCAAAAGCACAACCCTGCGGAAGAATTGATGTGAAAATTTCAGATCAGCGTTTTGAATGGTGATGACAAACTTTCTGCGTTTACTCTCCGTTACCACACACTCGACCTGATCCAGGCGACAATTTGTGCAGGGAGAACCATTCTCCACTACGTCGCAGCGTACTTTGCGAGCCCTGCAGCAGCAACATGCTTTGGACGCACGACGTTTGACAGGACGGTTATGGCCGGTCAGACCGGCAACTGAGGACTTGCGTTTCGCCGAGTCGGTCTCGGTCATTGTGGCGGTTGTCGCACTACTCATGATGATGGTGGCGATTACGGGTGGGAAGATTGGTCGGTGCGGCACATTCGATCACTGCGGGTTGAGACTGGGTGTGCGGGTAGCTCGAGAAGGGAATTATTATGTCGTCGTCGCGTTCGCGAATGATGTAGAGAATATCAATACACAAACATCCAGAATTGAAGGATGCAGAAGAAAGGGAACAAGAGCAGAAGAGGGGAGATTGTTCATCAAAAAGAAGCGGATGGAAAGAGAATCTGGGGAAGAAGCCGCGCACGGGGCCGGGGAGAAGGATTGTTTAAGTAAAGTGTGTAGACTGTAGACTGTAGTCTCCCTCGATGTTCGGAACCGTGCAATATGAAATTCAGAAATACTAAATCGGAATATCATGAGAGAAAAATGAATTAAATAAAAGGGTTCTGTAGAAAAGGGCCAGAGTCACGAGCGGGAATGTTCACGAGGCAAGTCTTGGGTCGTTTCCCCATATTATGGAGAGATGGGTGGGTACTGGGCAGTCGATGTACCCCTACCACCCAACGGAGGATCAACACAGTCCGGTGCTCGAGTCCCCTTTGACTCCACGAGGCGATGAAACGAGACCGTGGTAGCAAAAGTGAACCCACGCGGAGGGTTGCGCAGGTGTAAATTGGTCGGAAGTTGGGGGGAAGAGGGCAGATCTGTACCTAAACTGCCATGCAGCGAGTCCACTACTGAGGCCTGGAGGTACCGAGAAGTGAATCATCAACCATTCACAACGGTCCGATCGGAGTCTGGGTAGTCTGGGGTGGGCCGTGGAACAGGATCAGACTAGACTCAAACAAGGAAAGACTCCCCACAGTCCCACTGGCGCGACTTTTCCCCTTTTGGCCGAGAAGTGTGGAGGGGCCGACTGCGTCACAGAGGCCGACGATTCAACTTGACGTCCTGGTCTGTAATTCTGTATTGGATGTTCTCTTTGTATCCTGGCTCGCGAACGAATGTCAAATTGTCGAGAAGAAGACATGGTGAGGGGTACTGTCTGGACTCGACGGTCTTATCATATAAGGCTTTGCAGTACCACGAAGATCTAAAATTGTTGCCATGGATGTTATAGCTCGTCTCGAATTTGCCGAGTCTTGTCGCAGGTCGGCACTGCAGGACTCCAGTACAACATCTGAACATACTCAATAGAGTCAATACAGATTCACTGCCCATGTACTCAGAATTAAAGCGGCAGAGTCAAAACCAAAGCTCAGGTCAACACATACTGTATAATGCCGTCGCTCCAGAATCTGCGACTGTACAGGCGAGTTGACAGGGGAGATCATCCGATGAATACTTACAACGGTTTCAATCACGATGTATTCTACTCATTATGCTTTCCACATCACCACCCCAGTGCCACAGTCGAATGGGTTTGCGTCTTTGCAGGTGCGCGATTGTTCCGACTCTCCGCAGTCCGCATGTCATGGCGCAAATTACCGCATCTGGAGGTATTTCTCCTAGACGCTCGGCCCGCCCGACCACACCAGGCTACCTTCATCGGGACCGTCACGGTGCCGGGGATCCGATGCAGCTCCTGGACGGCCGGTCGCTTGGGGGATGCTTTTTTTTCCTTTGCATCGATCTGGGAATTGAAGCCATGATATCATTTGGCATACGTCCATGAGTTTTGGCGCTCTCAGTTCGAGATCGATGACTTTTGTTGTCGGGGCCTGGGTCTTCTGCACTTTCTCCTCATGGACGGATTTTACGGATATCTCAATGTTCGCCCATGTCTGACCGTTCTTTTGTTCGTTCCGCATTTGAAACGACAAGTCACCGTGAAAAGGCAGTAGAACTTGACTGAGTAAAGTGGCTCCGAAAAGGGGGAGAGAAAATCACTCGCCGTGCAAGAGCGATGTGGAGTACTGGTGTGTCATTGGGGAAGAGAAGGTGGAGTGGCCCAGTCCACCCCACACTGGGAGATGGAGTCCGATGAGTGACCGCCACCCAGTCACATGTCTCCAATACAAATGATGAGCGACCGAGTGAACGCCGAATAGGGATAATATTCTCACGGTACCTGCCGTACTACTGATGTGATCACAGATTGGCGAGCGAGAAGGTTTCAATGGAGAACCTTCCAATTCAATTTGTCGCCTTAAGGCATCAAGTATAGATTCCTCGCGAGAATATACTCGTACTGTAGGTGTCAGTCTCATCTGGATTACCTATGCGCACATCTCCCGTAGATGGTAGGAAGCATGTACAGACCGGATTCCATTCCTCGCTGACATCGCAACATTCTTCGAGAATGGAGATTCGTACAATGGCCTGCATCGGCGTTTTGCCGAAACATGCGGAAATCTTTCCGACACGCACCGACGTCGCACATGAACACGTACGTTACAAGTGTAACGTATAGCAGAGCACTAAGACCCACTACACGGGACTTGGCAAAGTTGGGGGGGGAAGAAAACCAGAGGCCCCACCGGAACCAGGACTCGCTGGGCTGGACGCGCCGCTAGTCTCGATGCAGCCTGGCACCTGCAGGACTGGAGACCCAGACCCAACGTCAGCTCCGCTGACAACCGCCGCTGCCATCCCACGATAACCTGCGTAGTGCATACGCTTTTCCCCCTCTCGCTACTATCAAAGCCAAATGGGAGGACAGCATATTCGATATCAAAAAGGGATAGCATTGAGAGTCAATTATAGGTAGCCTCCATCTCGCTTGGTATGTTTGCTAAACCCATGTCAATATCTTCCAAAGGACATGTAAATCAATGGAGGCATGCAAGATGATGAAATTCTGTGACACCATCACGTGGTCGTTCTAGTCCAACGAACCGAGGTAGGAATCCGATTCGTAAGTACAGTCAGCTAGATCACGGGATAAGGCACCAAGGGATCGCATCCATGGGGATGCTGCGAGCCTGCAATATTGATGCTTTCCCGGACGTTAGACGGTTTTTAGAGGTATTAAAGACTGATCAAAGGTGCAATACATTGAATGACAGCAATTTTGTATGCCCTGCAAAGTCACACACATCACCTGCCCAGGGTCCATACGGAGATGTTTATCACTATAAGACCCCTACCATTCATTACTCACTTCTGCCGTGTCTCAACCCCAACTTTCCTGATCACGAATCAGTGGTAACTGAATCATAAGCCGACATTAATAAAGCGCAAGCCATACGGCAGCTCTACATGAAGATGGGCATTTGATCAAACTCGTAGCATTTGTACTATAAATGTCGTATTTCTGACCGCGAGTCGCTGATCCCACACGGTCCCACAAAGTGCGAGGCGATCGACCTGAGGGAAATGGATACACAGCAAACCACCGCAGATCACACTACGATCAAGAATGACACGCAATGTGCTCGCCACACAAGCACGTTAAAACGCAAGTGGAACCTTGACAGTGGACATTGAAACAATTGTTCGGGTCCAGTGACGAGTCACTGCCAGACTGCCAGTGCTTTCATTAAGATGCCTTTCGGCAGTGTTCATGACTCGCCAATATGCATCGAACGTTTGTGTAATCGACCGTATTCATTGAGGAAAAAGCAATCTCGTGCCAAACTTGCGTACACCGTACTATATGACTGCACCGAGCAATCTTCCCCTAATCGCATCGAGTGGTTTCGAGCAAGAGGACAGCTTCAAATGCGAGTCATGAAAATCATAAGCAAACTGGTATCACTTGATCATGTCGAGAATTTTGCATCCCACATTAGTGACCAAACCGGCATACATTGGATGACAACCATGACACTCATTGCGTGGCCGTGAACATCGAAGCTCATGACCCACCGCGCACAGCCGCAGTCCGTGCAACGAAACAATAATCCCGCCCCCAGCTGCATTGTTCCCCTCCCCAATGCAAAATGCATGGAGCATAAGCGCATTACTAAGTCGAGTTGGTCTGGACCCTCGTTTCTTGTCATCCAGTGGGAAACAAAAGCGTGAGCTACTACTTATCGGGAAGTCAACAATATCCACATGGATTTCAAAAGAGATCAACCTCAAAAAAAAAAAAAAAAAAAAAGATATTCAATGAACACAAGAACGGTCTCAAATAATTACGGGATGGTGTCTGTTTTCAGGATCTCGATCAAGGTCTCCCGAAAAAAGGGCTGGACAGTAACGATCCCCATTTAAAACGGTCAGTAATGACTCTGACTCATATTGCGCAAACAAGTCAACTCAGAGCCTCTACCTGTGTGTGATCTTATTTTCTAATCAGCACCACGCTATTAGTAGTACTAGCCTGAGACTCAAAACTTCTAGTACCGCGCCGTGCAGGTGGGACGAAGTGTGAAGAGCAAAAACTTAAAAACCTGGCCGGGCAGAGCGCCCTGGCGCCTTAAGCCACCAGAACTTGAATAATAATATTAATAATATTTGTATTTGTTAGCACAGTTACCGAGTCTACCGACAGACGAGGCTTGCTAGTTTAGGTTATGATTCAATTACTATGCAAACCAGCTTCGACACAGGCGAGGTGAACACGGGGTCAAATATTCATCCGTATCTCGGCGAGTTTCCAAGTTCCAAACACACGTGGAGTCGTACTGGGTTACCGACAGATGGGAACCATTAAGTGGATAAATCGCGATTGATGGAGCGCTCAACTGACTACTGTCTGGGCGTTGATAGGTCTGAAGATCATAATTATTAGAGAAACACTAAGTGCCGAATATCGGAGTGCGCTGTTTCCCGTCGAGTCATTTGCAGAATTCAGATGATGTTCGTAGTTGCACTGTTGCAGTGTGTAGGTCCAAAGAAGCGTGTATGGATGTCGGCAGAGATTTCTATTGGATCAAGAGTATGTGTGTTGACTAAAAGGGCGAGTTGATCAGATATGATCCAGATCTGGTTTCAATTTACATATGAACATCCGGTCCTTGCACCAGTCTACTTTACGCCGTCGTCCGAAGGGACATGGATGCAGGTCTGGGAAAAATGGCCCTTTTTTAGACTATACCAACTTATCATCCATTGGAAGCCCATCCGTGTTTGAGGCATTTTTTCTTGCTGAGCAGTGGACGCTAGTCTTCTCATCCGTGAAGCTCTCGTGACCAACCCTTTTGACAAGGATGGCTCATCGTGGAATGAATGCATCTTGACAAGCTCCAGAGTCTGCGCCAAGCACTCACCGCTTAGCATCGCTAGAATCAGATTCACAGAATGTACAGTCATGTTCCATAAGTTTTTAACCCCCTGCCCCACACACCCTTAATTACATAATATACTGCCGGTCGCAAAACCTCCACCAAAACTCCATAATATTGATAATTCTACCAAATAACTAGCTAACGCACCCCCATATGCCCTAATATAGCGTATACCACCCCTGCGATTCAATGATTGCTTCAACCCTGTTAGGCATAGTCTCTGAAAGGTGTTCTAGGTGCCGTATATTAATGTTTTGCCATGCAATTTGCGCAGTTTCGACCAAGATTCGCTTAGTCTTATCGTTGTTCTTTATATGCAGAAGATCAGGCCGAATCTTATAGATTTCTGCCTTCAATAGGGCCTATAGGTTCTCAATTAGGTTAAGGTTAGGCGAATAAGGCGGCCAAACCATCACCTCGATCTCTATATCTGCTAAAGTATCACGCACAACGTACGTAGTATACGTAGGTACGTTATCGTGTATAAAAATCCTATCTTCAGTAGGTAGTAACGTAGGTAGAACCCGGTAATATAATTCCTCGATAACGAAACGATTAACACCGCTACGCTCTGACTCAGGATCGCTAAATAGAGGTATTAAGCCCGTACGACGCGAGGCCGAGAAAGTAGCCTAGAATATCTGCTTAACCTGCTTTCCACGCTATAGTAAACCCTGGTATTAACCCTCGCGTGCTTGGTCCCGAGGGCGTATAAAAGTCCATTCACGACGTACACTAATTCCTCGCTCAACAGTACATTCATCAGACCAATAAACACGGGCCTAATCATCAGGTATAAATAAGCGATATTTGAGAGCCTATTAAAGTCGTTTTACCGCGTAAATTTCTTCAAGGTAAGGTCGCCAGCTACAGCGCTATTTACGCATATTCTCAGCGTTAAGTAGTCGTCGAATTAAGGCATATTTCACTTTATAGTCGACCTCAGTAAGTAGATCTTCCTATATAACGCGAGGGTTCTCATGAATAACCTAGATAATTCGGTCTTTGTCGGCCTTAGTGAGCTTCTTTAGCCGGCCTTTGCGTGGCTTCGAGACACCATCTTGTCTTTCTCGCTCTTTAATGATCGTATATCGAATTGTTAAGAGAGGAATCCAGGGGTAACGCTTATGAATACGCTTATAGCCCCAGTTGATTGTATATAGTTCGCATATACGCGCGCGTAGCGTAGGTGTAAGCTCCTTCGATCGAGCCATATTAATACAGTAGATAGTAGAGCGTGTAGAATATATGTAGATGTGTGTAGGATTAGTATAAATCTATCTACGTGGGAAATTTTGCGTAAAATAGTAGCTGTCTCGCGACGCGCTGGTTTTAGCGTGTTCTCTAGTAGCGCGTATAGGGTAGGCGGTAGGCTAACCTAGTAGGCGGTAAGAAAAGTGGGTCAGCAGGGGGTTAAAAACTTATGGAACGTCACTGTAGATTCCCCAAGAGGACACCGTCCGGTCGTAATGGCCGTGTATTAGAGCCGCGTATTGTGGATGACGGGGTATTGTGGGGGAAAGGGAAGGATCACGAGGGCGTGGAGAAAAGCTGGCGCATGGAGAATGTCGGGGTTGCGGGGCAAGTAGCCCGCGCGTAGTTCAGCTGGGATGGCATGCCGAGTCGGGAAGTCAGTTTCAAAGGGGGTTTAGCTAAGGCGGGATGGGATGGTGAGCCCAAAAAGTTGGCGAGATCCGGATTTTGACGCGACTGGGGAAGGAACCGGGTTGGATATGTTGGGCATTATTGGTTCGTGGTCACTGGTGAGGACTGAGCGATGTTCTTGGATTGTGGCTCGACTGATGCAGAAGGGGGAAAGTATGGGGCTCGAGATGCTTTGGCCTCTCAGGGACGACCGAGATATTCGAGGTTGAGGGTCCAGGATAGGAAAAGTACGAGAAAGGAGGACATTGAATGTGTCATCATTCAAAGACTTCAAGTATATTCACGAGTCTCGGCCCAGCGGACGTCAATGAATGCTTGACGAATGAGATGTCTTGCCACATGGAACAGTTGGCACCTCACCTATCAGGTCTACAAACACTGGACACTAAACACTGGACACTGGACACGCTGGGCTGGCAAGTGCCAGTACAAGTGCACTAACAATTCAACTAGTGCCGCCGTGCCATCCCACAGCGGACCAAGAACTAAATAAGCCCAGAGTATATACGATATGTGCTGAGGCGTAAAGCAGTAGACGTCACCCATCACCGCCCTGCTTCCTTTTTCCATATTTCCCAACTCAACGCACTTGTCAAATTCTCCCATGCATGACAAGGTCTCCCTTTTGGCATCAGTGAGTAAGTGGACTAGGTTCAGTGCAATTTCCGAACCATTCCATCCAAAATGGTTCAACATGTCTCCCCAACAGACCGCCCCAAATCCCCAAACCTTATATGTGTTGGCGGGTGCGCCTTTCCCCGATTCTGTCCGATCAACACGAGCCACGAACAACTTCTGCATATCCAATCAAACAGACACTTCATGTCAAGATGGAACCAAACATTCTTGGCACCTGCCCGACGGTTGGAGAAATCGCAGTGTGTGTGGAAGAAATAACAAAGAAGGTCAGGGAGTACAATCATCCTTACACGAGTCGTAGAGATGGATCTACGTCAATTATGCTGTATGTAGTTATGGGCTATGTAGTGTGTAGTTTGGAACTTATGTGCCAATATGCCACCTAGGCAGTGCTAGGCCTGCTACCTAGCTACCTGACCTACCTACGAAAATATACAGCAACGACCATCCATGGATAACCCCATCCTCTCACTTGAAAAACCTAACCACCTGACGCTAGGAAGACCCGATACGTATATATGTCTAAATAAGGTGGGGAGAGCTCGCGACTGGCAAGAATTTTCCTAAAACCCCACCGCAATCAACCCATTCGCCAGTCACCCTGTACCTAGCTAAGTCATGAATAAACGGAAGAATCCACCCGAATGGATCCGATGATAATCACCCACCTACAGGCCTTCCTACTAAAGTCAATAGCTACAAGACGACAACCAGCCATCCAGAGCTGGGTACCGGTCTCGTGGAGATGACTAACCCGAGGAAAAGTACTGACGGGTTCCTCTCAGAACAATCACTGGCAGTCGCAGGTGCCGATCCGAGCCTTCATGTTTCGTTCTAGACTTGCCTTGCCGAGCGGGATTGCCGATGTCGGGTTGACTCCAACCTTTGTTCTTGGCAGTGGGGGTTGACAAAGGAGGGGTGGATTAGATTCTTTTCATCTTTGATCTCTAGATCGTAGAAAAGAAAATGAAGACAGGAAGCGAAAGGGAAAAGAGCGCGAGAAACCCCAAAGAAACTCTGGTGGAAGAGGATACGATTCCAAGCTTGATATACATCCTCGTTGAGACGCCCTGATGACCCTTGAATATATGTCGGTTCGGGCTGTTTGGGGACAAGACAGCAAACTGGATCCATGGGATCCCGCCACACCCAATGAATCGTAACCACAAATTTGATACTCGAGATGCTACCTGTGCATCACCATGAATCCACCTTAGGAATGGCTGGGGCGGAAAATTCAACATAAAGTGCACAAGTCATGTAGACAACAGCACTAACAAGTTTGTCATATCACATAAAACCATCAACATCATAAACTAGTGTGAAACTCACCAGAGCCAGGGTGCGAAAGCCATAACCCCCACGCAGCTCCCAAAGATATCAATATGTCCAAACCAAAAAAAATCACCCCAGAAAAAGGTAAGCACAACGCCATCGCACAGGACACGGACACGATACACACCCAACAGTAGAATATCCATCAAGAACCTTAGCCATAACACAGTCATGTTGACAATCGTCTGCCGGTGTACGAAGCTCCCCAGGAACCAAAAACCAACACAGAGAACGAAAAGACACCACCAGCTGATAATCCAACAGTCTGACAACTCCGTTCGAAATCGCCGAGAAGGACAGTGCATCAAACCCCTCAGGCACCGCCTGTACCCCGTCCCATCCTCTCAATCGAACTCATGATCCCGCCACGACCAGGTGTGGGCATGGCGATGCCCGATTTATTTCCACTTTGACCACGCGAGTGGCCAGCTGGAGCACCAAATCGAGGGATCCGCTTCTCTCCTGCTCCGGGAGCTCGCGTTCCACTCGGTGCTGGGCCAGGAGCAAGTCCCATTCCAGAACCAAAGCCTGAGCCCGAGCCAGATCGCGAGTTTGACCCTGACCCCATGCGGCCACCACGGGGATAGTGATTCTCCACGGGTTCAGCACTGGCGCGACTCTGCACGTCGTAATCACCCATAGAAGAGACCGAGGCTTGACGCTGACGTTCGTGTTCCTGGGATGGACCGCGCTGCGCCGTCGTAGTATGCTGTATGGAAAGCCATTCGTCCACAGCGGCCACGAGCTCGCCCTTCTCTGTGCGTTCAGCATCGAGTTCCACGCGAAGATGTCCCATTTCTTCCTTTAGGGCGGCAAGTTCCTCCTGCAGACCCCGGATCTGAGCCTCAAAGACGCGTTTCTCGTTTTGATGCGCTTCATTTGCATGCTTGAATATGCTCGCCTCGGCCGCCTCAGATTGCGCCGTGTCTCGCTCGACTCGGAGACGTTCACTCTCCTCCACGGCTTCGGCAAGCTTCTTTTCAACTTCACGAAGGCGCTTTTCCCACCGGGTCTCGTAGCTCTTCTTCAAAGCTGCCACCTTGGTCTCATGCTTGCTCTTGTAAAGGGTATGCAACTCACGAGCCACCTTTTCAACAGCCTCTTGAACCTCCCGCGCGGTAGCTTCATTGGACTGAGAAGCGCGGCGAGATCCATTCTCAGAGCCTGCTTGAGAAGCAGATGCCCCGGCAGATGAACGCGCAGAAGTAAGCTGGGTCTCCAGTTCAACGACCCGTCCTTCCAAAACTTCCTTGCTCTTCTCCGCCTCTTCGGCCCGATGCAAAAGACGCTCTCTCTCTTGCTCTCCATTCTCCAACTCATCCCGAACCGAGCGTAGCACGGTCTCCATCTCCTTGCCGCGACGATCCCATTCTGCCTGTTCCATCTCCAATTCGTCCTTTCGTGCCGCCTCGTTGCGGACTTCTTCGAGAGCCTCGCCAACGCGGCGCTCGGCGTCGGCAACGGCAGTCTTCAAACTAGCCACCTCGGCTTCTTTTCCACTCAAGGTAGCCTTTAGAGACGAAATTTCGGACAAGAAACCCGACTTGAGTGATTCAAGCTCTCGTGGGGTAATTGAGGGAAGCGAGCGCGGAGTGGGAGCGGGAGGGATGTCAAAGTCCAACAATGACGACATCTTTGCAGGTGTGCGATCAGACTGCATAGACTGTCGCATAGGTCGCACGGGAGACCGTCGATTGGGGGAGTAACGTGCGCCTTGGAGGGATTGACGAGGATAAAAGTTCATGTGATCTGTGAGATCAAGCAAATTGGATGATTCGCTCACATGACCAACCCTGTGAGACTCTCGTCGTCTTGGCGTTGGCGATCCCACTTGCGGAACCGCATCCATCAAACTGTTCCTATATGGTCTCCGTGCAGTGCCGGGGGTAGCAGGAGCAAGACTATGACGGTGACCACCCGCGGAGGCGCCCCCATAGTGACCAACGCTCGTGCGCATAGACTTGAGAGGAGACTCAGCCCGTAGCTTTGCAAAAGAGGTCATATCAGGCAAGACGGAAAAATTGCTGAAGCCAGTGTCATCCATTGGGTCTTGGTCTTCTTCAGTATGACCGCCATGCCGATCCGCGCGTTCAAAGTGCTCGTCCTCGTGAACATCGTCCTCGTCGTTGTGTAGGACGGTACTCATGCCTTCATTACGTATTTCCTCAACCACGCTGTTGCCGATTGTTGAACGATCGTAAGTAGCATTGGCGGTAGATTCGTAGTTGTCAGTGTGGAGGACACTGGATTCTTCTTGCAGCTCAATGTGAATCTCTGGCGTCTGGTCCCGGCTCACCATGCCTTTCTTGTATCGCTCCTTGGCTTCCGCATCATCGTGATGATCCCTAGGTGTCTGATCAAACGAGCGTTTTCTGGGCGTAGTAGAAAGAAGATTCTTGTCCAATCCAAGTGAGGCACGGCTCAGCGCGTTGGATGTAGGCGAGTTGGCTTTAGGGATCTCGGCGTCATGGCGACCTGAGGATCTTCGAGATCCAGCCGAAGACTGTGACTTTTCGCTGATTGACTCCCGCGGCGATGGCACAGACTCGACAGAGCGGAGATGCTCATTCATCACAACTTGCTCACGAGCGATAGACACACGTCTATCATCATCCGTTGAATTCGGAACGATCTTGCTCAGCGAAAGTCGTTTCTCAACGGTCTCGTACTGCAGATTCTGCGCACGTCGCGCGGCAATGCTGTTTTCCCTGTCATGACGAAACGGCGACTGGCGCGGACCTTTAGGAGACTGTGTTGGACGGCCCCCAAAAGACTCGCGCTTCAAAGCCCTCGTCGCACTAGGACTAGCCATCGCAGCCACGATCTCCGGACGGATCGGCGAGCCAGAAGCCTCAACCGTGACTTCTTGTCGAATTTCTTCCTTGGATATCTCTTCCTCGGATAGGCGCTGTTGCTCATCCTGCACATCTGCGTCATCCTGCACTACTTCCTCCGTCTCAGGCCGAAAAGGTGAGCTCGCCTCTTGCACCTCCAGATCCCCCATCACAGGCGATCTGGGAGTGGAAGCCTCACGCGCGCGATCAAACTCCTCTTCCTCGTCCTCATCCCGTACATCCGCGCGGAACGGGGAGCTAGCCGGATCGTCATAAGCAAGCCTCCGATCCAAACCCGGTGACAAGGTGTGTACATCCCGCAACGGCTGCCCTTTCTCCTCCTCATCTTCGATGTATTCTTCTTCATTCACGTCCACAACATGAGGTCGGAAAGGCGAACTTGGCGGCTCTTCCTCCTCCTCGATTGCGAAGTGGTGGCGCATCCCCGGAAAAGTACTTTGTTGATTCGTTTGCTCGCGCATTTTCTGAAAATCGACCGTATCCTCGCGGGCTTCATAGCGAAACGGCGAGCTCGCGATGTCTGCGTCGGCGTCGTCGTTATCGTTTTCGTCAAAGTCTTGATATAGGTACTGATCTCGCTCATGACCATGACCGTGGCTTCGATCATCCGCGCGATCATCATCGTACTCGCGGTCCTCGGGTAGATAATCATTTGCGCCATCGTAGTTATGCACCGGCAAGTAATTCTCGGCGTCATCCTCACGGATTTCCTCGGGGCTCAGGCTTCGCGCCTCGTTGTTTGAGCGCGACCATGCCTGTTTCAAAGGACTCGATTGCATCCCGGGATCTGCGACGCTCGGGGCATCCAAAGTTTTTGTGAGGAAAGGCGACGATCCAGCCACCGAGGATCTAGCCCGGACATTCTGGTACGACGAAGACAGCGGTGAAAGTGGTTTGGACATTCCTGAACTGAGTGACGAGAAGCCCTCGGTCCAAATGTCTCTAGATTTGTGGGTGTATGCCAAAGGGTAGCAGAGCAAGGAGAGCTGTCTGCGATCGAGCAGGGTTCTCACTTGTTTGGATAAACCGCGGAGCGGAAGCGGGATGGTTGCTATGTAAACAGAGCTAGTCCGCTTTGAGTATGGTGGGTGTATTGATAGGACAAGAGCCTTGCGCGCCAAGAACAATGAGGCGCACCACTCCGCAGTCTTATCCAATACTGGATGGAGACCGATGGTACGAGCTCTAGCTGAGTGCATTATCTCATTTTCGAATGGACTTTATTCTATGATAGTTTCTCTCATATTCTAAATTCAACAAATAAACCAAGTCGAGCCCTCATACGCCATGCAAGAAAGGGAGGAAAAACTTGCTTGCACCGCGGAAATGCAGACAACCCTGAAGACCCAAAAACCGCCTGAGCATTGCAAATTGAATCGTAACCATGCAGTCGTAAACGCATCCTCTTGTAGACTTTCCAGACAATTGAGGTGTATGCATCGGAAAGTGCTGTAATGACGTCTCCGCCTCAACCCCTCCCCCCCCCAAATCTTCAATCCCCTTTCCCGGTCTCGTTAGCTCGAAGATCAGCCTGTGCCGTACCCTCGGTCTCAACATCGGTCACCAGTATATGAACCACATCGTTTCGAGGCTCTTCTGAAACTGACATGTATCGGCATCGCGCAGCGGGAGCAACTGTAGCCGATGAATTCTTCTTCTGGTGGATGAACCAAAGCTGCGCGGCACCAAGCAGCGCAATAAACGAGCTCCCCCACCAAGCAAGCGCAGTGCAACCAATCTGAGCACCAGTACTATAGAGAAATCCCGCGACCGGGGGTGCGACAGTGCGAGACGCAGCGCCAGCAGATGCAGCCAACCCGTTAATTTTTCCAAGTACAGAATCGGACGGGCTGGCTTGCTTGATGAGGATGAGGAGAACGGGGTAGTCGATGATAGACAAGACATTTCGGACTATCAAGCAGGCGTAGATCCCAACAAAAGTGAGATGCGGGGGCAGAACAGCGACGAAGGGGACCATGAAATAGGCAATTGGATGAAGAATTGTCACAACGACAAACAAGCGCCAAACACCGAGCCACTGGGCCAAAGCAGGGAATATCACGCTTTGAATGACCAACGCGATGATACCGTCTGTCGACATAATCATTCCAACTGTCTGGGTCGACAGGCCCACGCCGCCTGGAATGTCGAGAAATGAGTTTTGACCAGCTCCATGGCCACGGCTATTCTCATCTTGGAGAAAAATGGGCAACAGGTGGTCATAGGTCATTGAGTGATAGGTGAAAATGGCAAGCGCGACAACCAACATTGTGACTCGCCAAGTAAAGGCTTGTGGCTTGCTGCTCTCTTTCCAAGCCTGGGGTGAGCCGTCTGCCATGACTTCCCAGTTGCCATCATCATGCAAGCTGACCTGGTTGAATGTCCCATATGATTCCGCACGTAGATCAACTCCAGCATTGGCGGTTGCACCAGATGTGGCAAGAAGGGGCTGTTCAGCCGAGGTGTGCTCGAAGAATTGGTGAGTACTGTGAGGTTGCATCTCCGGATGGGTCTCCTGAAGAAACAGCCATCCGCCAATGATGCTCAAAAGCAACATCAGGGAGCACACGAGATTAGGCAGGAGGTACGGGAAGCGTCCGAAGAGACCATCGGCGGGAAATAGAGCAGGGTAACCTTCGGCAGGTTTAACAAGCAGCCCGCCAATTGCTAAAGTCAGTGAATTAGCGTGAAACCGAATCTCCAAATGGGTTGGGGGGCCAGTCTGTCTAGAACTGAGCCCTTACCTGGTCCAATGATGGTTCCAATTGACCAAACAAAGGGCATGATAGCATATGCCCGTGCTGTGACACCAATCTGGTAAGCTCACCCAGTTCCATCACGTCTCAGGGAAATCACTAAGAAAAACACACTTACGTTCATGCTCCGGGCGCTTCACCAACTCGCCAACCATGGTCTGGATAACGCCGATGTTTCCGTTCAGCGCACCGCCGAGCGCTCGGCCGAGAAGAGCGACCCAGAAGTTGGGGGCAAACCCGACAAGCAGTAACGAGAGCATCGTTCCGAAACAACCTGAGAGTAGCACAGGTTTGCGGCCAATACGGTCGGACAGACTGCCCCAGAACATTCCGGTCATGGCTTCGGCCAGGGAGAAAGCGGAGATCAGGATGCCCGCGTAGAAAGAGGCATCGCTCCCACTAGCCATGTGAAGATCCTTGACCATGACCCATGAGTAAGGGAAGATAGAGGTCAAGGCAATCGGCTCGGCGACACGACATATTGCTTCAAGAGCCGAAGAGAGAGGGAGAGAGAGAGTCAGTAAAAGGAGAAACGCAGTCATGCGACAATCACGAAGAACAGCAATGGACGAGAAACTCACCCAGAAGAAACAGCTGAAGGGAGGGGAAACTGTCGTCCGGTGAAGCAAGAGATCTTGTAGCTGGTGTTAATACCATCGTCCTGAAATATTAACCGAGTTCTTACGGCAAAGCGTCTCAACAGATTGGCGCGTCGAGACTTGTTTGGCGAAATTTGGTTTGCCGCTCCAAGTGATGAGTATGAGGGAACTCGATGTCGGTGAGAAAGTTGGTTCAATAGCACGTGCGAGGTGTTGAGTGGAATCTCGCACGAATTATGCGAGCAGGACGAGCACGGAGAAGAAAAATACGGCACTGAAGAGCGAGCAGCACGAGGGTATCGACGAGCGGTGACTTGGGAAGGAATTGACCGCGGTAAGGTGAGCAAGTAGGACTGCTAAGGTGGCAGAGGGATGATCACTAGAGGAGACAGAGGAATTAGAAGAAGTCGCATTTCCATTACTAGAAAGTCTCGCTGTAACCAGCCGAACTGAGACCCGCAGGGGAGGGGGGTAAGTCGGAACCAAACTTATGTCGGTCACGGGCACCCCTTGTGATGTACAAAGACAATCAGGGGTACTGTACTACATTACATGATGGGGGAGATAGTACCTTAAGGTACCGGTCGAGTATTCTTCTGCACGAGAACGCACAGCAAGTACTGCAAATTGTTGAGCTTGATGCCTACCAACCTTGTACAACTACACGATTTCTCTCATGCGAACGCTGCCTAGGCTGAGCATTGGGTTTCCGCGTGACATTTTGTTGCCGAGTTGAGGATGAGACCAAAAGAAGGCCTCGTCGAGAGAGCAGTGGTCCAGGACCTTCAATGACAAGCAGTTGCACAGCCAAGATCTCGTAAGTGCAAGGCCATTCGCAAAAGAAATCTATGATCGCAAAGAGAGATAACTGGATTGCACACGCACAAATTGCCCATTACATACCTGCTACTAGTACAGTCCCAGTCACTCATCCTGCAGCAGACATCTTCCAAAAAAAAATCTCTTAACCCCTCCACAACTTAGACCTCACCCAGCCAATGGCCACCAGCCTCTGGGCGGGATCCCCGAACAGAGTTTTGGAGGCAGGTGGCGAGACCCACCAGGGCCCTGCGCCAAATATCTGGGAAACAAGCAAACAGGTTATGCACAGTTGCGCACTATAGTAGGGCGCTAGTAAGGTCGAAGGACTGGCAAATCTACCTGGCCGTTCCGAGCACCCGTTATCGAGTGGCAGAGACGGGCGAGGTGTGGGAGGGCCGAGGACGGTGTAATGTGGTACGTCGGAGGGTACGCGCGGATGGGGGGATTGTCCTTCCGCGTGGCCATCTCACCGTATTTTTCACGTGATATTGCATGATAACTCGATGCAGCCCACAAAGAGATACCGAGTCACCTTGGCGTGCACTTCCGGCAATGAACGAGTCATGGCCGTAGGCGCAGCCTGGGCTTGGTGCATGATGCAGGACAACTCGTTTTTCGTTCGGAGCAGGCATGCTCGAGGAAGGGGACTCGATTACTACTCACGGTCTGAGACTATATATACGATGAATGACACAATTATCATGAAAACCTTCGACCCTCAACCAACATACTGGCGGGCGGTACTTAACTGACTTGATGAATAGTACATACGGTAGTGGACGTCAAAACTGCCGACGGCGGGTGCCATTGCCAGCACCTGGGGAACACCCGTTGGCCACGGCACCCTTTCCGGACCCACCCGTCGCCTCCTGCACTTACTTAGCGGCCGCAGGGGGTCCTTTTCTTATTTGATATTCCACCAATGGTCATGCTTTGCAGACCCCGCTATGTCAAAGAGAGATCGGTGCAAGTCCACACGCTGCTGGAGTCAGCGCTGGTGGTCAGGTGGGTTGGACGCGTGAGTGAGGCTCGCTGGATATATTCAAGGGTTCTTATGAACGACGTACGGGCCGTCTCGGAAAAGTGACTGTCTGAATTGAAGTGTCTTATGATCACATGGAAAAGACTCTTTTGTCGCAGACAAGGCCCGACCGAAGTACTCGTATTCACCAGGCATAAGCTTTCCAGCTCACCTCTGCTGTAATTCCATTGATGTACATTCCTCTCATCGTAAAATCCAGCTTCAACGTTTCCCACGAAACAATGCATCTATCCTGCGGGATCGGGCCATGTCGGCATCCCGTAGTCATTGGTGTACCAGCCGGCTCAACCGGGCTCTTGACTCGGTCCTTGTGTCTCGGAAGCCGGAGGTAAGGCGTAAGATTCCCTCCTCCGAGCCTGGGCCATCCACGCACCACACAACACTCATCTACTTACGAGTCATGATTCATGGGGTCATGAGTCAAGTCAAAGGTACAGTCCTCGTCATTGGAGCTTCGAGGAGGTCGCGATCTCCACTCGGTCAGCTTGACTGTTCCCAATTCACCCCGAGCTTACAGATCCAATTCTATCATGATGTCAAACAAGTGCAAAGAAGGCCTCATCTTGATTGTAGTGTTGATCTCTGGCTCATGATAAAAGCAGGTAGAAGGAGACGGAGCAAAAGCAATGACGGTTCTTGCCCGGTGAGTACAATTCAGGGGAGAAAGATCTGGACAAGGAGGGGTGTTCTACACGCCGAAGACAGAGGAAACAAGATAAGAAAAAAAAAACAACAACAACAACAAAACCCGCCACACCGAACAAAATGAAGCGAGAATTGCGAATTCATAGCCATTCCCCAACAACGCCAGCTCAAAAGGTCTTATGCAAGCTGAAGGATAGGAAGTTGTGATGACACACGGAACAAGACAGTGCAGGTGAAAGTGGAACGCAGTGCAACGACGAGTCTACATGTAGACGTCAATTCAGCCTCTCCACAAAGATCCGTTTTCCATCACGAGCGAAAACTTAGGGCGCTGTCTCCCTATTCGTGTTCTGAAGTATCTCCACTGATCGAGTCTCGAGTTCTTTAGGCATTGCCTCACTCGGGGAACCGTGCGCGTCGATCGTAGAAGAATCGATGTTGGTCGGGTCAGCCGGTTGGGCGTCCGTCAGCTCGTGATGAACAGAAGGAGCCTGGCTCGAGGAACCTTCCGCTCCCGGCGCTGCAGCGTCTTCAACATGTTCAGCAGATTGGCTCTTCTCATCATCGTCAATCACGGCCGCCAAACTGCGAAAGTTGAACATTGGTTCAAGGGAAGGATTGGCGCCATCAGCACCGGCGGGGCTAACGTCCATGTCACCGGGGACACCCTCTGTCAGGGAAGATATTGACGAAGAGGCACTAGACACTTGGCGAAGATGAGAGGGCTTTGACAAGTCCGCGGTGCTTATAGCGTTCGGGGGTATCAGGCTTTGATCGGCCGGACTGGAAGAGGTGGACGGAGTCGACGTGGTAGCAGCAGCAGCAGCAGCAGCGGGTCCTGGCGACGAACGATCAACGGCCTTGCCTTTACCTACCGAGGAGGACTGCTCCGCAACAGATGAGGCACTACTGGTTTTGCTCGTTGCCGGATCCGCTTGAATCCCCAATGCTAACGCACTGGCATTGTTGCTGTATAAACCGTTCTTGCGAGCTGCCTTTTCAGCCTTCTTAGCCTCCTTCTCCTTCTCCTTCTCCCTGCGCTTGGCCTCCTTTCGAATTTCCTTCTCTTCCCGCCTCCGTCGATCCTCCTCACTCGCGAGACTCAAACGAATAGCCTCCATCATCATCATTTCTTCCAAATCGTCAATGCGACTGCGACGTGCAGTTTCTCTGGTCGTGGCTGGATTGTTCTGTCCTTCCTCTGTCGAGTCGGTCTCTGCCGCGGGGCCTCTGGGTGGCGTTCGATCAGAACGTTCGCCCAGGAAGGCAAGGGCATTGAGAGCTGGGGACCCGGACCGGCCGGCGTCTCCATGGGTTGCTCTCCGCAACCCTCGTCGGCTCAGACCAAGGCCACGAGAATCATTGCCGGTGCCGCTGCCGGACGGTGTGGCATTCATGAGATACGCCGCCGTGTGCAGGGCTGTGGCAGCGGCCGATCGTCGAGCGGCATGAGCACGGGCGTTGGCAAGCTTCTGGGCCCAGTCCGGGCGTACCCGGTCGGTCGTTACAACACCTGGATCGGTTGCGGACAAAGACGTGGCGCGTCGTCGACCGGGGATTGGGAGCGCATTGGCCGAGGTCAGAGAAGTAGTAGAAGAAACGGGAGAGACGACATTGGGGGAAGGGCGCGTGGCCAAATCGGTGGCATATACCAACCCTCGGCGGAACGGTGGCGCGGCGTAAGTGACTCCAAACTCGGGCTGCACGCAAAAGGGACAAGATGAGGGCTCGGAAACCAGTTGCCCCTCACCTGAGTCCGCTGCTGGCGCGGCACCCTCAGCAGGGGGTGGCGCATCGGCGTTGGGTTGTTCGTGCTCGGGGGGATGCGGATCGGGGCGCTTGATTTGCACGAAACATTCCGAACAGATGGGCTGGTCACAGCATCGGGTTCGGTTGAGATATGGAGGATAGTATAGAAAGCAGATGGGGCACTCCGTCGCATCTTTGTACAAGTAGACCTCGAGGGGCTGCCCATTCACAAAGGGATCCTTAGGGAGCTGAATTTCCCGAGGTGTCAGATCAGTCTGGGAGCCATGGCGGGAGGAACTCGACAGCGCGGCGAGTGTCTTTGCGCGAGTTCGAAAGAAGGGCGAGGTGGATGTCCCAGACGGAGCCGCGGTGGGTAGAGAACCATTGGCGTTGGAATTCTGCGAGACGTCTGAATTGAGAGACTGTGACCGAGAGGTAATGGGTACGGTGAGATGTTGAATGTTGCTGTCGCCCGACGGTTTCGTGTTGCCGACCTTGGGCGGGGAGTACTCCAACTCTGGCGGGATCTCATCGGGCGGGGGAATCGGCAGCCCTCGAGCCGCAGCCATGATCTGGTGCTCTGCCCATGACTCGGAAAAGTCATTCAACCCTCTCCAGAACGGCGCGAGTCGTCGTTCGATCTATTAGTGTACGATTTCAGCTTGTCAGCACGTCTGCGGTCGCCTCTAATTTTCCCATCCATGGGACATTTCCCCCGCACGCTGGAATCTTACCATGAGTTGGCGAACCACCGCCTTGTTAAAGTCCTCCGTGCCGACGTAGACGCCTTGTGTCACGAGATAGCCTCCATCCACATGCTCCTCGTTCATGCTGCGCTCGCGCTCCTTCAGTCGAGCGGCATTTTCCTTCTCCTGGCGACGAGCCTCTCGCTCTTGCTTGGTCTCCCGCCGTTGCTCCAGCGTGGTTACATCACGCTCCTCGCGATGACTGCTTCCGAAACCCAGAACCGAGAGATCCGGACGACTGCTTCTCCCTGAGCGAGTGGCTTGGTAGACGTTTCGGCCACCGCCGGATGCATCGGAAGACGAGCCCTGCTGGCGAAGCGCACCGGATCGCGATTCCTTTGTCTGGGAATTACCCATCGCGACAGGAAGGGAATTCAGAGAGGAGAGGGAAGCACGGGGGAGGGATGGGGATTGACAAGGTGGGAATGCAGAGGCTGGAAGAGCCGTCCCTGTAGAGAGGTGGACACTATTCCGACCGCTCCAGAGTCACGACACGGGATAGAGATGGGTTCGCGGGAGGGAGAACAACCAAATAGTCGAATACCTCCAACGACTGGGACCTCTTGGAGGGATTTGGGGCGTCTCAAGGACGATGCGTGGCCAGGCGGTCCAAACGAGCGATCCCGGTCAGTGCCAAGATGACGGAATGGAGGACATGGGGTGGTCCTCGGGTTGGAAAGTTGGGTAAGTTGGATGTGGAGGGGCGATGGGAGAGAGCTTGAGAGATAAGGCGGGGACGGAGTTGAGGGGGATAGGGCGATCAGTCTGGAGGAAGCACTTGTGACCTGGGGAAGGCCTGTTCGGGGGGGAAGAAGATTGAAAAGGGAAAAGAGAGCGACACGAGCCACAGGACAGGGCGAGAGCCCGAGGCAAAGCGTATGATGTTTGTTGCTGCGTTCCAGTAAGCGGCCCACCGCAGTCTGAGTCTAGTAGTAGTCTACTAGTCACTCTAGTGCTTGTTAGTCGTTGAGATTGAGACAAGGCGAGTGGAAAGAATGGGGCGCTGCAGGACCTCAGGCACTAAAACTTCACGACTACGTAAGGCAGCTGAGGCTGGTGGGCAAAACGGGAAGACGGAAACAGGAAAACCTGAGAACCGGAAAAGCCTTAATCATGGGCGAATTGAAAAGTACTTGAGCTTCATTACTACGAGTGAGTCAGGTAGTTTGCAGCTGAATACCTACCTTACTAGAATTACGTTTTCGCACGACAAGATGTGCTGAGTCTACTGACAGTACCCAGGAGAGTCACAGTCACTTACAGTAGTTACACAATTCAGTACTGAATAAGTATGAATTATTACAATAGGTAAGGTCTACACAAGTCATTTCAAGCCAAGGGGGAATATACCTTACCCACTCGGTGGCTTAAAATATGTTCACATCAGTACCCAAGAGAGGCGTTCAATCTTGTCAGGCATTGCGGCCGAGGCTCGTGGCTCATGGATGTACCGAGTAATGGCAGGTGTTTAGATTCACCTTATTCATGGTCTAATCAAATGCGTTTCAATTCTAGTACAATGGATATCAGTGTCCATCTTGACATACAACAGAGTCAATAATATCATCTCGACCTACACCTGAGTTCATCTCTTCCTGCGCCAGTGACCAGCTACAATAACCGGATGTGGCGGATGGGATGCGTGCAGTGGCCCAAGCATAAGGCTGGCTCCATATTTGGGAGCCTCTCAAGTCTCGAGTTGTTGAACAGCTGACGATCGTGTGACTTGACAGGGTAGGAGAGAGTCTCTTGGGTGCCAAGAATCACTGTCGGCGACTCCGCAGCAGGCAGCGAGGCATCCAAATAATAAGGAAGACCGTGTATTTCTCAAGCAATGACAATCAATCTGTGTACATCGCACAATCCTGCTTGACACGTTACTCCCAAGCTCTGGACGTTATATTGAGGATTGATCGTGCCAGAACTCGAAGGAAGAGACAGCCGAGTACCTGACCGCAACCTGATCAACACCTCGTCGTCGCTGCTTCCACTCTATTGTCTCGGGGAGCGTTACTTGAACTGAAAACGTATCATCCAAGGGAGTTGACATGTTTTCTTGAGCAGCTGTGAGTCAGGTAAGCATGCATGTTCCGCACAACAGTGAAGCACGGTGACCGTCCAGGATGTCAAGGCTCAGTCGCGTACTATCGAGGAGGCTCCACTAAATTATTGACTCGCGCCCGCGTGAGGTAGGCGGTGGCAGAATTTTAATTGAAGCTCCGGCGATCAACCGAAGAGTAAAAAAAAAAAAAAGAGAAGTTACTAGGGCCATCCAAAGCTGCAGTTGCGGCCAATTTTCAATTCATACCTCTCAAATCCAGGTCAATACTGGCCAAAACACCTTCGATGAAATGAGCGAGACGGTCAGGTTACACATATCTCCGTTCACCCCCGAGATTCTCCCTGTCGTTCTACCTCCCTCCCTTCGTGAGACCGCAACCGAAATCTCATTTCACTCCATTCCTACGTTTCCTGAAAACGCCTACGGCTACGTCACACTGCCCAAGATGGATGCCGAAAAGATCAAGAAGAAGCTCAATGGCTCCATCCTCAAGGGTCGGAAGTTTAAAGTTGAGACCGCGCGACCATCGAAGCGGGACCGGGAGGACGGCGAGGATACGACGAAAAAGGAGAGAAAGTCTTCTAAGAAACGAAAATCGGAAGAGCAGGAAGACGGTGTTCTTGAGGGATATGAACTCCCCTCCGATCGAAAGGTCAAGCGAGGATGGACGGAGCCCTCCAAGAAGGATCGCCGACGGGCGGAAAAGAGCAAAAACAAGGGTGAAAAGACGGCCAAGCCGCAGCCCAAATCCAAGTATACCGAGAAGGAGGAGTGTCTGTTTCGAACCAAGATCCCATCCAATAGGAAATCTTTAGAGGCGGCAGATGAAAAGAAAGCAAAGAAGGTGAAGAAGGGCATGGAGAATGTTGTACACGAGTTCGCCAAGGCCACAACTTTCCCTTCCTTCCTTCGCACGGCGAATGAAGGTACTGCACCCACAGCGGAATTTGAGGATGAAAAAGGATGGGTGGATGCTTCGGGAAAGGTCAAGGAGGTCGTCAGTGAGAAGAGGAGGAAGTCAGACCATCATCCCGGACAAGTGCCGGGTGCCAAGGTCAAGAAGTCGGAGATGAAGAAGCTACTTGTGAAAAAGAAGAGTCCCGAGCTGTCGAGTGAATCGGAGGACTACACCTCCTCTAGTGGCTCCTCGTCGGACGAAAGCTCCGACTCTGAAAGCGAAGTGGATGAGTCGACGGATGAATCATCAACTCACGAGGAAGCAAATGATGCGTCAGACAGTCCGAAGAAGACTGTCGAGTCAGCCCCTGGCTCTGATCATGCGGCAGATAGCTCCAGTGCCAGCTCCAGCTCGGACTCAGACTCGGACTCGGATCCGGATTCGAATGCTGACTCTGACTCTGACTCCGAATCGGATACTGAAATGGTAGACCAACCAACGCAAGACACCCTATCCCGGGTTGCCGAATCGCAAGAAAGCAAGCCTCGGGAGACCGAGACTCAACCGACACAGGAGGTTCATCCTTTGGAGGCGCTCTTCAAGAAACAGCCTTCCACTGCATCTAACAAGGCAGAAGAGCCAGGGCCTGCTACTGGCTTCAGCTTCTTCGGTGGTGACGATGTTGAGTCTGAAGAAGAAACGCAACCCGCAGAGCCTCAAACTCCCTTCACGCCTTTCGCCAAGAAAGATCTTCAGTTCAGAGGTTTAAGGAGTGCGGCGCCTACACCTGACACGGCAGCAGTGAATCGTCGCATGAATTGGACAGGGTCAGAAGGATTTGATGAAGAAGATGTGGAGCCAGTCATTGATACTCCGGTCTCCAAGACTCGGGAACAAGAAGAACCCAAGGAGGAGACCGAATTTGCAAAGTGGTTCTGGGAGAATCGGGGTGATAATAATCGTGCCTGGAAAAAGCGACGACGTGATGCAGCCAAGGAGCAAAGACAACGAGAGAATCGCAGGAAGGGAATGAAGGGCAAATCCTAGAGCTCGTCTTCATTGATTGGATACTGGGTGCTTGTCGTCCTCGTTGAGGCACTGTGAAAATAGAATGACCACATTTCAAAGCTGAATATACCCTCGATTGCATGTCATCTCTAACTCAGTAAATTGGAACCTACTTCAGGCCGACAACAGATCAAAGTGCTCACGCCTTGATGACCGTCATACATGCTCGTCCAATCTCACCCAAGACGATCACGTGCAATGATCGATAAGTGGCCGCGATAACCTCATACCCAGCGAGCTAGCATTCCAAATCCCCAGCTCGGCCGACATGCAGCGCAAGCGAGCTCCAACATATGCCAGGATGCAGGTCATTCTGCTGCTCATTACATTCCTCTCCCTTATCTCAATAACGACAGCAGCGAGTAAGTCTCGCCCATCGGTTCTCTGCCTTGAAAGCGCCTCCAGCCCGAGAAACCGAACCTCCGCTTCTCCGCACATCTCACCTCAACCACCAATGCGCAGGCTCCCCGTACTGTCCCATGAAGCTCACACTCCACAATTGTCTTCTCAGCGCCGACCTCCTTTTGCAAATGCACCTGTTTCTCCAATAGCACAATCATCCCACTCGATGCATCCAAGTCCAGCTCCGGCGACGGCGACCACAAGGATGCTCTACGCCTTTACGAACGCACATTCGAGACAAGCCTCGATCGCGACTTCGAACGGGATCGCCTCGACGAGACACAGTCATTACAAGATGTATCGCATGGGTTTGCAGGGACGGACGAGACACAGTCATTACAAGATGTATCGCATGGGTTTGCAGGGACGGACGAGACGAATCCTGGCGTCCTGGCCGCGCGCGCGCAGACGTACCGCGCCTTGACCTGCAACGACTGTAATCGCAAGTTCTGCCTCGACTACAAGCTGCCGATTTGCAAGGATGCAAAGGAGGAGGATGTTTTTACGACCTGTTTCCGTGAGTACTATTCGGCATCGAGGCAGGATCGCAACTTATGGACACTCGCGGATGTCTGGGTTTACTCGGGGAGAGTGCTTGGGTCGCAATTGAGCTGGTCGCGCGATTATGAGAAATTGTTGGCTAACTCGAACGTGATGGTTTTTTTTTCTAGAGCGAGACTCGCGAAAGGACCAAGCAGTGGTGTTCATTTTCATTTTCGCAACAGGCGGGCTATTGTTGTGGGCGTTACTCAAGCCTTGGATCGAGCGGTTTATCGAGGTGAGAAGGAATCAAGTCCTTGGAATGAAACCCCTCTCGTGGTGGTTGATGAACGTGCCGCGTAAAGTTGCAATTGCTAACATCAAGTCGATGGAATGCACAGGCTGCCAGAGAAAGACGGTCATATGTGCCAGTTGGCGAATCTGAGGGATCATGAACTCTCGACTGAGAGCCGGGCGTCTATAGAAAGTTGTAAGCTACGTGGGACGAATATTATACCTCCTTGTAGGCTTGTACTATGAGTATGCGCGTCGTTGATCATCGCAGGGCAGGGATGCCTCGTCCGCATTCGCAAGCAATGATAATAGCGAAGCTATCAAAACCCGCGGATTACGTGAGTTCGACAAGTGCAAGGTTGTGCGCTACCTAGCAGCATATATACCAGGAACAAATACCTAGCCATCTATTGAATCGACAAAAAAGATATTTTTGTTGTGATTGATCCTTTAGTAGGCAGTGGCCTTGCTGGGATTACTTCATCTAAAAGCTCGGGGGAAAAACGCCCCCAAACTAAATTGCAAGTCGTGAATGAACCGTCAATGACGTCCTCGAGCAAAGTCAAAAGGCAATAGCACCAACCTTGAAATGAAGTTCAATTTTTTTTTTTTTTTCTGGTGGAGAGTTCAATCGAGATGCACAGGAGACTAGGCGATCTGTAGACAGTTTCATTCTCAGCCCGGCAATTGCTCTTCTCCGGGCGCGGTGAAATTTCAAGCGTGGGGAATGGGGATGCATGAACTCCGAGCTACGTAGATTGGTCGCTTACGGTAGAAACTAGAAATTGCCGTCCCGCGATCACCGAGCAGTCAACAGGCAACAACTAGCTGGACACGTAAGAAGAATAGATTCTTGCAGGCGCAGGAACCAATATTGGTCTTGAACGTCTCTTTCGGTTAGTTCTTGGCAGTTGGCAGCTGGCAATTCTCGCTGGCAATTCTCCTTGGTAGCGAGTCTAGCGACTAGCTAGCTAAGGTAGTTCCGAGTCGTGATTAGCGGGTTTTGGTTACTTCGCCCAACTTGGGATCCCCGAACCCGAAGAGCTCGAGCCCTTCCCGGCGTCAGACCCAATGGCAGTGCCTTTGTTGAGCATGAGCTGTGCCATGGCCCTGCAGTTGCCGGGAAAGAACCTTGAAGCCTGCAGCCGCTGAGCGCAGATTTCAACACTACGAGTTGAAGACCTGCAGTCAAGTACTTAGTCTGACCAAGTTACTTGGTAGACACTAGACACAGTCCAGATCTTGGATGCCGAAGTCGCACTTTTGCGTGTGGTCACTGGTCAGGGGTCAATGTTCTTTACGAATGCTGATGACCAAGGTTGGATGAAACGTTCACCAATCTGATAGGTCTCTTGCCCTGGATTCATATCAGAGTATCTACGTCAGTAGTGGACACGACTCGTGTTTGTGATTCTGTTTTGGCGCACTAGTCCCGTACAATATAGTCTCAAAGGGGGCATTGAGGAACCAGGAAACTCGGTACTGACATCTCCAGAATCTCAGGGCAGGAGTCAATGCTGATTCCTCATAGCCCTTCCTTGTGGAATGGATCCAACCCAAGGGGGACCACCTGCACGGAGATTACGACAGTAGTAGTTTGACTTCGTAGTTTCATGTTATCGGCTGAGTGTGTACTGGACTCGCTCAGCCTCACGATCGTTCTGTGGCCAGGGGCCAAGGACCCGACCGGGACCCAATCTGGTTCATGGACTGGATGAAGACTGGAGAGCACTTCTAGCGCCGCATATTGATGAGGGTGTCCCCCAACCGAGTCAGACCCAATGGGCTCCACTTGATGGAACGGAGATGAAACCTTTGGGCATCAGATTGGACATGTATGACGATGTGGTGATTTGCTTGGGGGGCGCGGGATCTGCAGTTCTACACTAAATGTGCTGTCACTGCCGTGTGTATTGTTCTGGCGTGGGCAGTGGTCCTCGTCATTGTGTCAAAGGCGGTTTATGGACTGGGTACATAGTCATACTACTAACTACAGTCTACACTCTACACTCATAATGAACAATGCAATTCGGGAGTTGACGTTCTATAATCAGCTATGCATGTGTAGATCTGATGTGATGGATGCCTTGTACTCTCTTCCTGATCTTCCAATGATGATCGCGGATAAGACTCAATCTCAGCCTCGGGAGGTGGCTTGGATAGAATCATGTCAGAGCTTCAGCAGTACTTACTCTTAGTAACTAGGTATTTACCACTTACTCTTAATCTCTTTGTAGTGAACGGGTTGACATGCTATTCATATTCTACAGTAGGTACACTAGTATCTTACTCTATTCGTAGGACACCGAGTGAACGAGTCACCACTTTGCTCATTGCTGTACACAAATACCTGATCGAAGATCGTACCCCAAACAATACGATGATTTCATCCCAAGGCTGTCGATGATCACTGCTCTGTGCGGGCATCACGAAGCCAGTGGACTTGGTGCGTTGTTTGCTGTCAGTGCACGACTGCACGTTGCACGTTGTCTTCGTATCCGTTCTCATGTCGTTGATGCATTCAGGGGAAAAGCGGATCGTGGAATGCGATCGTGTCGGACAAGATTCCTGGTACGTTTCTGGAACCTCTCCTGTCCATGATCCGGCCATGAGAGAGCCTGAGAGGTCAGAGAAAGGGCCCGTTCCGCCCAAAATAAGTGGATTGTCCCATGTCCACCAGAGAGTTATTGGCAAGTGGTTTTGGTCGAGCGAACACTTGTGCATGATATGACTGGAGGGTTGGATGAGGAAGAACGGAAAACTTGCTTGGCCCCATCGTGACTCTCCAATTTTAAGATTACGACCAACTGCAGTCTTTGCTGGAGGTGGGCAGCTTGGGCCCGCTGATTTCTTGGCCTTGTCCATGGGTCTTTTTGCTATCGTACAATTGGCACAATCTGCATTTCATCTTCGTTTTTCACTGTTCCTACTTCTGGTTGTCGTTTTCTGGTTCCCGGTTGACTTTGGTGATCGAGTCCGCGCCGGGGTTGCACAGTCCCGAGCAAAGCAAGCAGTTGGTCTTGGGTTTTTTCTTGTTTTTTTTTTCCCTCTCTCTCTCTCTCTCTCTCACAACATCCTTCACTCTTTCTTTACCCTTCCAATCTTCCCGTGGTTCCTCAACGACCTATTCTCTCTTTTCTTTTTTTTTTCGCCTCGTGTACGACCCGTCACATTTAGATCTGTCGCTAAATCACTGGTGGCGCATTCCAATCGGTCGGACCGTCAGAACCACTTTACCCATACCCACCACGTTTGCGCCGGATCTATACACTACTGGTTTCGCTATCTTCTCCCCCTCTTTTCACCCAGCGTGCGCCGATTGGCGTCTTCACCGTGACTTAACCTCCTTCTTCCTTTTCGAAAATCCTGTCTGGTCGCACGGAACCGGATTTTCAATATGGCAATTTTTGACTCTGAAAAGCGTCCGCGGGGACTCCGTGTGCCGTCCTTGACTGCCATGAAAATGGGCTCGGCCGCCACAAAGTCCCAATTATTTTCTCACAGCAAGAAATCCCACGATACGTCTGCAACTGCGACCTCGCCGCCAACTAGTGTGACTTCACCTCTTTCAGTCTCTCCAGCAGACCTATATAGCAAGGTGCCTCCACCTCCCCCGACAAAGGAGCTGCCGCCCACACCAAGGGAAGACTTGCCGCAACCGGCGCATCCGGCGCAACCTGTACAGCCTCTGCAATCTGTGCAGCCAGTGAAGTCAGCTAGAACTCAGCTTCCTTCTACACCTTCAACCGTGATGCCAGCGCGGAGAGAAGTGCTCCGAAAACCACCGCCTAACGGCGTGGTCCCCATGGCCGGAGCAAATAAAAATGGGTTGCGACAAGCTTCTCAACAATCTCCATCCGAGCAGCCGCAGCATCAGCCACAGTTCTCTTTGCCCTCGAATGCGCCATTGCAAACGCAACCGATGCCTTCCCATCCTGCATATAATGCGCCGCACCCATCGCAACGGTCGGCGCAGCAGCCACAGCCACCACAAGCACAGGCCTCCGCACCAACACAACAATACCATGCGCAGTCTATGCCTGCGCCCCATTCGAACTATACAGCTTCAGGACCGGTCACTCACCAGCCTCGAGCTGCACAACCGCCGGTCCAGGCTTCTCAAGGTCCAGTCCCACCACCAGAGACCATTGTGCCAGCAACATCTCCTGCCGACGGCAACACCACCTCTGCTTCACCGAGCAATGTGATGACTCCCCCAGAAGAACGCATTCATACACCCGAAGAGGGAAGTGCCTCCTTGGACCCCACTTCCAGCGATGATCAAACCTCCTTGTCCACCCCATCAGACGACCTCGATATCCTTCCCGCTACTCTAGGCAAGGTCCACTATAACTGTTTCCAGGAGCATCGCAATATGCCTGTGGCCCAAAATTCATGGTGTCCGGTACCATGCATGACTTGTCATAAAGTCGATCGGCAGATTCGCCATCGGTGCGTCTTTTGCTGTTTGCGGATTTGCGAGGGATGCCACGTGACGCTGCAGAAATGCAGGGGGAGGTCGTTGGCGGAGCTGATGAGCAAAGTCAACTAAGCAATGTGGACGCGACTGGGACCCCCCTCCGGTGCCTAGAGTGTTCGAGCGCATGTTCTATAACGTTTCGTCCCAATCTTCTGTGCTCGAGCCGCGTATCTTCACCCATGCCATAGTGGCACCCTATTGGGATCTTGCGGGCTCTTGCATGGGCGCTTATGACCCTATCTCGTTGTGTCTTTTTATCTTTCCCCCGAATTTATATCCCATCTTTCCTTGGACCCCTTATCATTGATTACCCCCATCTTTTCATATACTTTCACTCATCTTTCTTGCATTTTTACCACCATTCCCAATTGGCAGCTTTATGCCCATGATATAGCCTGGCCTGTGCCAGGCCATATATATATTTGACTGTCGAGGATTGACGAGGAAACGCACTCCTCACTCCCAGCACTGTCCGACAACATATTGGAGGGTTTTCCTCCTTTCGTTTACACGACTAGCTTTTAATCTCCCGTGATACCAGTGAGTCAATCGTGTATACTTAATGCAATTAGCACACCAACATAGTGAACTCTTGATTTATGAATGTCCAGAACGAATTGTCTTAGACATTCAGCTCAGGGACCAGGTCGTGCAATCTACTTAGAAAGCAATTGTTAACTCAACGACCATGGAAAAGCCACTGGTGCATATTTGGGTCATGCAGGGTTTGTAAATGTGTTAACGTTATACTTCAAATGGAGATTTCTATCATGATATTGTTCATCCGTCGCGACTCGCCACAAATGAATTGGACTGTGGCTCGTTTATTGATCCCACCTGCTCAGAACTCATTCCTGAGGATGAACAGGTAACTTGGGTAGTAGATGCTGGGTACTAGGTACCCAGTCTTACACCACGATCATTCCAGCACGTGAAACCTCTCAATCATGATCCTCTTCAGTCAACCCAGGACACCCTTCGAGCTCTTCATCCGTCTCATATCGATATTTACACCAAAAACAATACCGGTACGTGTCCCGAAGATACAAGACAAGCTTGTGCAATCGCTCCGTCGGTTCCAAGGCATTAAACGCCTCCAACTCGGGATCTTCGTCTTCCACTTCCTGTTCCACGATGGCTGTGTATGCGTCTCTTGTGCCGAGAGCTTGCTGGTCCTCGTCGTCGAGAGTTGCGTCCGAGTAGCCTGGTAGTTTTGTTCGGGGAAAGAATGATGATGGGAGGGATGTTTCGAGTGTGTGGCGGGCTTGGAGCTCGCGCTCGCGCTCTTCGCGCTCTCGGACAAGACCGCGGTAGAGAAGGTTGATTTGGGAGGTGGGTTTGTAGGGACGCTGTTTGGGAGGCGGCTTGGTGTTGGTTTCTGAGTTTTCGTTTTCTTGCGCACTTGACGGGGATCCAGCAGAGGGGGAGTCTCCTTCCGGAGCCGTTCTGGTTGATCTGTCCTCTGCCCGCGTGTTCTGGTCATCACCTTCAGTATTCTCCGCCTCGGCGTCCAGTCTCTCCGCGACTTTCTGCGCAGCGCGAACTTGCGCCTCTGTACGTCTCGTCTCGCGCTCTTCACGCACACGGTCCCGATAATCACCTTCCTCCGTCTTCATCTTCTTCGTCGCATCCTCGGCTTGTTCCCTGATTTTCCGCTTCTTCTCACTATCGAGTCCGATTCCCCCGCGACCTTCCTTGAAAATGAGATTGAGGGGTCTCTGCGCGCGCAGCAGGGATGGACTCCTGCGCTGATGTTGCTGTTGTCGGATGTGCAGCGTCCTGGGTCGTGGTTCCCGCTGCAGCGGCTGTGCTAGTCGTCATGGGGGTCTGTTTCTTGCCGAGCGATTCACCGGGCTTGAAACCTAGTCTAGCCATCATTTGGAAGCCTTTGTTTGTAGGGTCGAGGGTACTTTTGGAGAGAGCTTCATCGCGACGGGCGGCTTCTTGAGCTGCGCGTTCTGCTTTGGAGGGGACGCGTGCGCGGGCTTCGGCCTGTTGTGTTTGCAAGAGGCAAGATACGGGGATTAGTCACTGGATTGAATTGTAGAGGAAGTTTGAGAGCATCGACTTCGCAGAAGGAGGGGGAATGGTAAGGGGGTGAGGGGAGGGTGAGGGGAGGGTTGGCGAAGTCGGGCCAGGTACCTCGCGCTGTTCACGCTTCTTGCGCTGCGTAAAGGTTTCTTTCTGAGTTGGTTCCTCAATGACCATGGACATGTAGTCGTCCGCCTCCTCGTCCGACATGCTGGGCTGACTCGTGTGTCTAGACTCGGGCTTGACAGGCAATTGAATTTCGCAGTGGGGAGGCCTTCTAAATTCTTGAGGGGTTTCTTTTCTTTTTTTTTTTTTTCCGGTCTTTTGCGGGGAAGGATCCGGACAGATGAGAGTGTGGGGGCGAGTGACGTCCGCAGGAAGGACAGAGGCTCAAGTCACCGAGTTCCGCACCGCTTGGAACATTGTTCTGGAGCAATTCGAAGACTTCGACATAATGATGCTCGAGAGCCACACGCTGGGCCGGATCGTCCTATTTGATCAAATGACCGGGTCAGCAAGTTCGTCTCCCATCGTATATAAAATTTGTATTTACCTGCCAAGCGGGACTCTCCGCTTACTGCCTTTCTCAACGGCACCAAGTTCTACTACCAACATGATGAAGTTACCTTTCGGAGGTTGACTGGATTCGGAGCAGATCTTCACATTCAACCAAGTTCCAGTCCTCAGTGGTCGCAACGGATGGAGACACGGTCGGGCGCAGGCCATGAAACTATCAATCACTTACCCCTTCAGGTCAATGTCTCGGTAACACTCCGGGGTTTCTATTCCGGGGGAAGTCTCCCGGCGCCGGGGTCTTCTTCTGGCCGCCGAGATGACCGTCGTAGATCGTTCATCCAGCCTTTATAAGCACGGTCCCGAGACCAAAGTTTCGGAGAATAAACTCGAGAAGCACCTGGTCGCTGTCAGTCTCGATCCATGGCCAAATTCTCCCTCTTATTCTTGGCCTCCTTGGCCGCGGCCAAAGCCCCGGTGGTCGACCTTGGCTATACTAAATATGAAGGCCGTTCACTTGCCAACGGCGTCTCACAGTGGCTGGGCATTCGGTATGCGGCTCCTCCACTGAACGAGTTGCGATTTGCAGCGCCGCAGGATCCTCTAGCACAAAAGGGAGTGCAACAGGCGACCCAGGTAAGACATTGACGGGTTCTCGTCTCTAAACTGTCCAAGCGTCTTTGCTTGCAGCACAAGAAAACGGTCGATCTCATTACATGTCGTAAAATGCTGACAGTGGCCGATCTACAGCACGGTGCCCTTTGCGTGCCTGTTGCTTCCAGCCTCAACCAGTCGGTGCCGGAGGGAACGTCGGAAGATTGCTTATTCCTCGACGTTTACGCGCCGACGGAAGCGCTCGCCAACGGCAAAAAACTGCCAGTCTATTTCTTCATCCAAGGTGGTGGCTTCGCGTCCTTGTCGAATAACAACTACAATGGATCCGGGCTGATCAAGGCTTCTGATTCGAATATTGTGGTTGTCAACTTTAATTATCGCGTCGGACCATTTGGGTTTCTGGCCAGTGAAGAAGTCGCAAAGGGCGGCAGTCTCAATAATGGGCTGAAAGATCAAATCAAGGCTCTGCAATGGGTGAAAAAGCATATTGGCAAGGTATGTGAGAAACCAACGCGGAAGACCTGGATTTGGAAGAGTCCACAGCTGACCACATCAATAGTTCGGCGGTAACCCTGACCATGTTGTCATCGGCGGTGATAGTGCTGGCGGAGGCGCGGTCACGCTCCTGCTTTCCGCATATGGAGGCCGTGATGACAAGCTGTTTGTTGGCGCCGCTGCTGAATCCCAAAGCTTTGCAAATATGCTTGACGTAAAAGAGAGTCAGTTTGTCTTTGATAGACTGGCTTCGCGCACAGGTTGTGACAAAAGCGCCGATTCTTTTGCCTGTCTTCGCAAACTTCCTATCGGTACTCTCCAGGCACAGAACATTGTCTCGCCGTACCCCGGAGCCCCAGGAAATCCACTGTATTTGTACGGTCCCACCGTTGACGGCGATCTCGTGCCGGATTACACCTTGAAACTCTTCAACCAGGGCAAATTCATCAAAGTCCCCGTCATCTTTGGCGATGCAACCAACGAAGGCACGGTCTTTGTCCCCAAGAGCACGAACAACGTCTCTGCGGCCGATGACTTTCTCAAAAGCCAATTCAACACCATCACCGACTGTCAGCTCGCCAAGATCAACAGTCTCTATCTCACCGAGAACCAAACCCGCCAGTTCCCCGATGCAGGCATTTACTGGCGCCCTGCAAGCAACGCCTACGGTGACTTGCGCTACACCTGTCCCGGCGTCGATCTCTCTTCTGTATATGAGAAAGCCGGTGTCCCCAGCTGGAACTACCACTACGACGTCAAGGATCCCAAATCCGAGGCCAGCGGTGACGGGGTCACGCATACCGTCGAGATCAATGCGATTTGGGGTCCTGAGAATGTACATGGAGGTGCACCGGCCTCATACTCTGGAGTCAATGCCAACATTGTGCCCGTCATGCAGGGATACTGGACGAGTTTTGTCCGGGCTTTGAACCCGAATACACACCGGTATCATGGTACTCCAGAGTGGAAAACGTGGGGAAAGGGGGAGGAAGCGTATCGGCGGATTTATATCCGTACAAACCAGACGCACATGGAGACGGTGCCGCAGGTGGAGCGGGAACGATGTGCTTATTTGCTGAGTCTGGGAGAGCACTTGAGACAGTAGAATAGTAGTATTATGGTTTTTCACGTGCTTAGCTAGAGGATGGTTCAATACCTGGAGAATAAGCAGCCAGATTCGCAACTTGAACTTGTACGATATCCATGGCTGAGATGAACATTTACCCAACTGCTTCTGCCTTCAATCATGCCCCGACGGACATAACACAGTCAGACGATATCTGAGGATCGTCGAAAGCCTTGTTTGTCTAGAGACGTCGATCACATAGCTAGGTACCTAGTGCATCAAGCCTTATACTCCGGCGGTGGTGGCGCGGCCGTCCTGGCACTTGCTGATCCAGACGAGGACCCTTTGGAGCGTGCGCTCGCACTATTGCGCAACATCATTTTGATCTTCGGGTCATACGTGAACATCTCCGCGTCACAGCCAACTTTGCTTTTCCGGTCCGTGGCCGCACCCTTATCAAGCAACATCTGAATAATCTCAATACTCCCCGCCGCCACAGCTCTATGCAACGGTCTCTGACTATACTCATCCTTCATTTCCACGTCCACGCCGTGGTCCAGAAACGCCCTGACCATCTCAACATTCTTCGCCTCAATGGCTTCGAAAAAGCACAGCATCTTGGATTTATGATCAAAACTCCCCACCAAAGACGGGTAATGCTGCAGGAAGACCTCCACCGTGCGCGTATGGTTCTTCGTTACGGCCCATGAAAAAGGCGTATGACCCAGTGCGCCTCTTGAGTCTACGGCCAATTTGGGCCCGGTCATGCGTTCCCAAATCGAGCGAACCAAGCGCTTATCATGCGCGAGGAGAACATCACATATCTCATGATGTCCCTGCATCGCCGCAACATGCAGCGGCGTAGAGCGATTCACCGGCGCCAGAGTCGGCGCGCCATGGTCCAGAAGATCTTGCACGATACCGAGGTGTCCGCACCGCGCCGCGAGACAGAGTTCTCTGCCTGTTCGGGGGCCCGGATCACATTCTAGCAGGAGGTGGACGACTTTTCGATGACCGGCTTGAATCGCATAGTCTAGAGCGGTTTTGTCGTGTCCGTCTCTGAAATCTGATGATGCTTTTCTCTCTAGGAGGAGTCGTGCGACGTGCCAATGGCCTTGCTTTGCTGCGTTGTGTAGGGCAGTGGTTCCGATTGTGTCTGATGTGTTGGGGTCCGTGCCACCGTCGAGTAGTTTGGTGACGATGTCGAGGCGACCTTGGTCGGCTGCGATGATGATGTTGTGCTCGAGTTCGGAGACATGCGTTGATTCAGATGCTTGTGCCATGGAGGAATGAGTCTGGAGAAGCGTTGTGCCTTGAGAGGCAGGGCTCATGGTATGAAATTGTTTAAAAGGGTGAAATGTATGTAAGAAGTGCGGAGTCAACCATAATGCCGCCTTGCGATAGAGCCATTATAACAAACGGCTGAGGGCGTCCCTTTTCATGATTCGCGCGCGCCAAGTTTGAGGCTATGCCTCATTGTGGTAAGATTTAGCGGAAAGTGATCTCCCTCCGTCCGCGCCTCCTGGTCATTCATGACCAGTTCCAGGCAACATCAACGACTCGGTAATCGTGTCCCTAGGCACAGTAGTACTATGCCCTTACCTTAAGTCATAGTCTGTTCCCACGCAATGCTCTGCGTCTCCTCGTTTGTGCCACGATGCACCAGATCTTATCTCTAACCATGTGCCGGGGACATATGATAATTGGGGAAAAGGCCCGCTTATGGATTTACGGGGATGACTCACCCGGACTTAGCGGTCCGGATCTGCCTAAGCAGTTGGCGTACCTTCACATAGTTCATGTGGTACCGAGCAACAGTCTGCTTAATTATGGCGCGAAAGCAAACGACATCCATATAGTTCAACTTGTGGGCTAGACAAAGTAATCCCCTTGAGGGCAAGATCATTTGGCGTCAAGAGATGATACCCGTATTTAAGTGACTTCTAGACATAGTTAACTATGGAGTAACAGTGCGTAAGCAAGTATTTCGACGCCAATCGCCATCTAGAATGGTTCGCCCCGTCAATGGCGATATCGCGGCAATCGATCTATATCAATGACATTGTCCGTTGCATCCTCCACTGCCTTGATCTCATCACACATTTTCACCCGCGAGGTTCGCATAAGATCTTTTCGCGTGGAGATACTCATAATCGGGCATGGCGTCTCTGACACACTTTTCGATTAAATCGGCCATGTCAACCCCAAACTCGGATTTCCATTTGGCGGCCTCAGTCGCAATGTCGAGGTCGGATTGACTCTTGGTCTTCATGACCCCTGAGGATTTCAAGAGGGTGCTTCCAAAGATCTTGTGGAACGGGGTCTTGGATTTTTCTTTGTGTTCATCCTCGTCCTTGGTTTGCTGCTCTTGCTTTGGAGGAGGGTTTCCCTCCTGAGCGCCTGTATCCGCCCTGGATTCCCACTGGAACCTCAGTCGCGTCGCATCCAATCCAATATCTGTACAGAATTGGGCCAAGGCGGCTTTGTTCAAGATCACATCATCCGCATCAAGCATCAGCGGATGTGGATCGGTTTTGCACGCCCAGTCGTAGAGGAACCGACTCCATCGCAGAGTCAGACTCGCCCGCAGCAATGGTTCCATTTCGGAATCGTGTAAGCCTTGATGGCTGCGCACGGCCAGGGATGCGCGATAGTACGACGGGAATGCCAGAGCAGGGTGTCTGACCAAGAATACGAGACGCCATTTCTGGAGAACTTGATCGCTCATGACTGTCTGGTTCTCTGGGGACCAGGTTGAGGACGGCGCCTTCTCTAGTTCGGAATCCCCGACTGGATGAACCCGAAAGACCGCGGGAGGGTGAAGATTCGGTTCGCCCATCCATTCTGCGATCGCAGCAGGATTGGAGATCCATAGCGCGTGTTCTTTGAAGAAGTGGATCTTGCCTTGCTCTCGGGCGGAATGGGCATCGCGTTCCAAGTCTTCATAGGACCTTTGAAAACATTCCTGTCGCTCTTGAGTTTCTTTGGCACTGATCTCTCCAATTGGCCGATATGGTTTGCCAGTCACCCAGTGTGGCAGGAATGCCGGGCGGAAATAGTAGCCTGAGGATGGATTGGAAAATGCACGGGGCTGCTCATCGAGGGCGAGGATCTTGCAGAGTAGATTAGAAGCGGTGCGAGCGTAGCTGACTAGAAAGACGCCTCGGGGCGAGTCGGACGAGGAGGGCTTGTCATTCATAATGAGATGGTGCTAATGAAGCTGCGGGTTGAGAAACAGACCGAATAATTTGCAGTCCAGGTTGGTTGTCAAAAGACAGTAGCTGGAGACAATCAAAGATCTGGGGAGTTGTAGCCGTCTTCCTACCCAGTGACAAGGCCAAAATGATGTTCCATGTCATGTGGATGATCTGCCTCATTTTCGCCTAGATTATTGGGTTGTGGATGTGTGGATGTGTGGATGTGTGGACTCTGCCGATCTCCTTACTTCTTCATGCATAACCTGACAGGCTCAGCGTGGCCCACATCATGCTCATTGGAAGGGAAAGTGTTTGGTAAAGTCAGCCGCTTCACAGAAAGCTGGACAAAACATGGCAATTGCATATACAAAGTCGACCATATCAAGCCATCTCCCACAACCAGACTACATATAGCCAGTATCGAACATGTACCTCGCCGCTGATGCGACAAGCAGAGTTTGGAAAACATTAGTCGTGTTTAGCGGATTTCCCCAGCTTGGATCGGCCCGTGGCGGATCCCATCGGCCTCAGATGAGCGGGTTAAACACCATGACCAAGTCACTTTTCGTCCTATCTCAACCCAAGTTTTCTGCGTCCACTCATTCACCTTGACAATGTCTTTATATATCTGCAAGAGAGCCTTGCTCCTTACGGCTTCCACTGATTGACCGGTTTGATGCACTATCTCATCTCTCAGCGTGTCTATTGGAAATGGATCTGATGCCTTGCATACCTCTTGAACAGTAATGAGAGGCGGACACCTACACATGAGATCTGTGCCGAAAGCGCCGAGAGCAGCCTTTTCTGTCCAGAGTATTTGTAGATATCGATCTACTGAAAGTGAAAGAGGAAAATGAAAACACAACATGATTGGTGTGAAAAGAAGGAAGAAAAGCTATCTAATATATGGGTTTGTGGGTTCCCTCGATGACGAGGCAGAATCACTCAAACACAGAGACAACGAGCGACCGAGATGTTTACACTACCACCCATTGTGGTGCTATTTCGCAATTACGCATAGCCTTCATATTGAAATGATTCTACTTTTGTAACAAACGCGAATTGGTCTACTCCACGTAGCTGGGATACAATCAGACGTTCATTAGAAAGATAGGCAACTCCAAACGATCTTGTAGTTTGTGAGTCGCGAACCAAAATAAAGATTTACGCAGATCTACTTAGGGCCCGGGACGGGATGACCGTGTTTGTATGACATGTGATTCTGCCGCTCACCACAATCCATAGCTTAGGTAGAATCTCTCCCCCATAGCAATCTCACTCCTCATCCCTCTCACACATCGATACTGCTGCTCCTACAGTAGCCGTATCTCATCAGACCGCATGTACTGCAGAGAGTAAAGAGACTGGCACGGAGATGAGTATCGAATGGGGACCCCCTGTTTTTGTCTCGAGTCTCACGAAGAGGGCACCAAGTCTGGTGACCATAAGTTGCAGACTGTCGTGGATTCTCTAGGTATACACGGAATTCCGCACAACCTCCAGTACATATGGTGTTTCATTTCACTGCGTGGTCTCTCTTAGCTCGACAAGATTCGAGTTTGTTTGAGATCTACTCTTACGTATTTAGGAAATCCAGAGAGTCAGAGCAGTACTTCATGAATGGCATTGTGTGAGTAGATAGACAGACAAAGAGGAAGACAAAGAAGAGGGAAAAACCTGTGCACGGGAAGAAAAACCCTCTGACTCTGCACATGTTCGTTTGAGAAAGTGTGAACAGATGGTTGAAACCCTTTATCATAGGTGCCTCCATCGGCACAAGCCCTTCATCACCGCAGAGAACCATCAAAAGCTCACATGCAGCTATACAACCCAAGTGCTTCTTCTAACACCAGTCACTATGGTCACTACCACCGTTTGAGCAACTGTTACCGCAAAAGCTGAGGAAAGTGATGGCGCCGTTGCCTCCATTAGCGCAGTAAAAGAGAGAGTTCTCAATATGGGCTTTGTCGGTTGGTTGGCCAGATCGCTGGAGCTCGTTGTAGATGTCATCATAGTAATTGCCTTTGGCACGTGCTTGGGTCAGAACCGCCAGCTGATGCAAAGATAGTCCCACAAGAAGTCTAGCAAAGAAACAAACTGACCTCGATTGAGTAGGTTATAGCCGCAATAATCTAGCTGGTATTGGCAGTTGCTTGCAAGGGCAAGACCAAGACTGGTAGCCATGATGGTAAGAGACGTAAGAGTGATTTTGACCATCTTGATGGATTCGCCAGTTTGCTTGGGAGTCGGATATTCACTGGATGGGCTTTGTAGAAGAGATGAGATGATGGTTCAACTGAGCGAGAAAAGGACTTATTTATAGGCCAGCTCGATCTCTGCGGAACGGAAAATCAACCTATATGAGCCTTGTGACCGTCTTCATCCCATACAACATTGCACAACCCACGCAGGCACATACACACAAGCCATATCCTCTTCCAGCCTCATTGAATGTAAACAGACCCTACCAAATTTGTCCCGCTGTTTCAACGTGCCAGAGATTGATCCTGCACCAACATTGGTCAATCTTTACGACCAGGCGCCCATTGTCGAATGCAGATCTCTTCCGCGAGTGATAATAGCACGAGATTGAAGGGGGGTTGATTCTCCGGACGGCACCTAATCAGGAGAACTTTTCCCGCCCAAGAGATCGTGAGACCTTCTCAAGTGGATTGCTTATAACTTGAAATCAGGCCGCCCAAGATAGCGTCGTTGCTCTCATGCAGGATCTAGTTCAAGAGTAGTAGGTGGTATTCGTAGAGGGAGGCCTGATGTCAACTTTTTCGAGCGACATGGGGATTGGAATGGGCGGCAATCTTAGAAACGCACCCCCGACGGCCCCTTAGAGTCAAATCTCACCTCTTGCTGTAAGTGGCTAGTGTTGAACCCATATTCACAGTCGTTTCTCGCTTGAGCACCCCAAGCTCGAATTCAGATTGGACTTCGAATATGATTACTTAGATCTCCGGCGGGGGGCCAGCGAATGAAGATAGGTATGAAGTCCTGAAGATATCTCTTTCTGGTATTGCTCTCAAAGCTACTACTTTAAAACTTATCCCCTAGGAATCGCATTTTTACGAGAGGTCGCAAGGCAATTGAGATAATCGACATGGTCGAATCCACGATTATCGCACTTGCTCTTGCAGCTGCAAGGCTTCGATTCTCTCTTGCGGCCAACTGTACACCACACATCTCATAATGTGGCTACAATCTCCTCAAAGAAGGTGATAGATTATGATGGAGGAACGTGTTTTTAGAACGAAGTGCTGTTGGGTCCAACGTTACCGAGCCATCGACTGACATAAGTGTGCAGGGAACTACTAGAATCAAATCACCGACGCGCTGAGAGCGGCTGGTCATCCCTCCAATCAGACACACGTTGATCAAGATTTATTCTGGTGCATTAGTTACTCAAAGGGGGAAATTACGCTGTAAACTTTCGGTCAGTCCAGCTGTCATGATGGCGGGAGTGATCGAAGTGACTGGTGCAACTAAACGAGCTTGTGTGAAAGGCGCGCCAGTGTCTGTGTTCTGACAATTATTCAAGTGATGATTCAGGAGATCCATTATTGGCTATTTTCAAGAAAGAGATACCCTGTCCCTGGCGACTTGGTAACATCCCGATTTCGTAACAGACTTGCCGGTTTGCAAGGTTGCGGGTGAGTCTGGGTGATTCATAGCGGCGAATCTTCTGATATATTGTGGAGAACATTCTCTCTCGATGCTCCAAGCGAGCTAAGCATTGTTAGATGCTTACAAAACTGACTCGTAGTGTAAACAATGTCCGACCCGCAAGGGTCGCCATATGCATGTCAGTAGCAGGGAAAGTATCATGTCGCACGGGTCGTCAACTTAGATATCCTCACGGGCGGATCGTCCCGCCGTCAGGCCCCCCGAAGGATTAACCTTAGTATCCACCCTCACAGGACCCTGCCGCCATCTAAACAACCTTCCAGGACTGTGCTGGTCTAACCCAACTTCAGTATTACTTACCAGCTGAACAAGGCATGCCAAGAATAGTGACTCGCCTGAAAGCGGGGACTTCCCTCTACTCGAGGTGGAGGAAACCTGCCAACTATCCATAGGTTCTCAGGCTCCAATGCGCTCTTCCAGATCTATCACGCGACCATCCCAGCATCGTTCTGTGCTCTAGTCTGCCCAATGTCAGGGCTCCTGTACCCCAGTAGGTGAGAAAGAATTGTATCTTGCGAATAATGCCTTGCACTAATCGAGCTGTTCGCATGACAACCATGCACTCATCTGTGTAACCGGGAGACATTCATGGTTGGACCTCGATCTAGACCTCGCTCTTCAATCCGATTCATGTGACACCTAAAACAGATTCAAACTCAAGCCTCACCTGAGTCAGCTACAAATGTACCAATCGCCAACCCTAAAATAAGCATGATCTTGTTCTCCGGTGCGCATACACCAGGCCCTCCAAATCTCTTTCAAAAATACCAAACCCAATTCCTTGAACAACCTGACTCATAGGTAGTTTGCCGGGCACATGGGTGTGGCCATTTCTTGAGGTTCCTTGATTCATAAGACTGGAGCAGCTTACTGCATGTGCGCAACACTTCCCTGGATATGCTCCCCTGTCTAGAGACCAACCTAATGCACGACGCTGTTTCTGGACGGCGTATTTTCTGGAACTTCATTATGGGCGTCAAGCCTCCATTTTCCGCGCAATAGGCATTTTCGCGGCGGACAAGAATCGGAGCCAAGAACAAGACCAGATCCCTTACGTTCCCGACAACAGATCTGGAAACTACAAGAGGTGGTAAATCCAAAAAATTCCGTGAGCTTAGCCTTGTTCACCTTCTGTGCCTTCAAAGTCATGCGGAACGTGCGAACTACCAGGGGCACCTACAGTCTCCTAGAGAAGACTTGGAAATACCCAAGTCATGATGGCCGGGGCTACCTTGTCCCGAATACTGAGGTACATGACTGCTTGGCCGGAATACACCATGTCTAACCACTATTTTGACCCTCATGCTTGGCGTCAATTCCTTCTATACTAGGTAGTGGATGCATCTTTCTACCTGAAACCCTTTAGCTGAAGAATGGCAAAACGTTTAAAGACACGTCAACTTTTATTTCCATATCATGCATCAGTCCCGAAAATAACAAGGGACCACATAGGATATATACCAATCCAACACCGAGGAGTATAAGATAGAAATGAAAGGAGCATGAAGCTGACAAGTGATATGCAAAGAAAACCCCATGGAATACAGTCCAGCATATACAAGACGATCTAGCGCTTGCCGGCACGTCCTCTCTTCTCCCGTTCGTACTCGTTGGCCGCACGACCCTCTTCGCTCTGAATCTCGGCAATAAGACGCTTGTACTTCTTCTCGTACTCGGCATCGCGCTCCTTCTTCTCGCGCAGCTTCTCGCGAGCGATGAAGCTGGCGTCCTTGCGCAGCTCCCGCATGGCACCCTTCTTCTCGCGCTTGTACTCGGCCTTGAGACGGTTGTTCTCCGCACGCTCGCGATCTGGGTCGTAGTGCTTGTCGGGGTTGAAGTTTTCCTCGAACTTGGGAATGGCGGATTTGATGGCCAGTGGCCGGTGATTGTGAAGCAGCAGCGGACGGCGGGCAAGGCGTGATTGGGCCAGATGGCTGTCAATCTTGTCTATCGTTGCTTGAACATGATCACGGCCAGCAGCGAAGAGTTTGTTTTTGAAACATTGTCGGATGTGGGTCAGAACCGAGTGAACGGGAGTAAAGATCTCAATGAACGCGGACATGTCGGCCCAGAGATCTGAAGCGGTATCAAGCAGAGAAACATATAGAGTGATGAGGGAGAACTTGAGATCCTCTTGCGCCTGAGCGTCGGAGGGAACGGTCTTCACGTCACGGAATTGAAGCTTGCGAGACATCACCTTCTTGATGGGTGCAAGCTTGACTGATTGGTGAGCTTTGCGGAGAGGGAAGGCGAGGTGCTTGGCGGGCATATCCAAAGGAGCCAGATTGCAAAGAGCATTGAGGGTAAAGTTGATGAACTCAGGCATGTATCGCTTAGCAACGCTTTGGTACTGCAGGCATAAGCTACTGGCAAATGCTCCAGTCACAAAGTCGCTCACGCCATTGAGTGAGCACTGACCGAGGAATCGGGCAAGGCAAAGGTGCGCAGGTGTGGTCACGGAGTGGAAATGATCAGAAGTCGGGAACACTGTAGATACACCTGTCAACACCACCAGATCCCCGGGAAGAAGACTGAGAGGACGGTCTTCTGAAATCTCGCGAAGACGAGCACGGAAAGCCATTGCGACGTTGATCGGATGAGTCTTGGCGAGAGAGTGAACGTGGCGCAGGATGTTCTCAATAATTGAGAATGAAGGCTCAGCGAGTTCATTTGCCATGTAGGCCACATGTTCGACAAGAATCTCGGCAAATCGGCCGAGCTTGGCCTTGTTGTCAGGGTGAAGACGAGGATGGTGTAAAGCACGAATGCGCTGAATCACGGTTGGTAGATCCTGCCCAGACACGTTCTCAATAATCTCGAGGAACTCTTCGTGGTTTTCCGGGCAAGGATAGGTGAAAGCCAATTTACCATCAGCGGTCTGGTTGACTTGCACTGCTGTTGATGCGGTGGCGCTACCAGCAGTGGGCAGTGTCATTCCGTTGATCAGCTCGTCTTCCTCCTCAGACTCTTCACCGTCTTCTTCGCCTGACACTTCCTTCTCTTCCATATCGCTTTCATCTACTGAAAGGCTGACATTCGAACGTGTCTCAACGAGATCATCATCGATAACAAAATCATCTTCGTCTTCGACCGCAAGCTCTGGTCGAGGTTCGTATGATTGTGTGTGCAACCCGAAAGCAGCGGCATCGTCCACTTCGGACTCCTCATCCTCCTCGCCCTGGAAGAAGGAGTCTTTGTCGCTCTCCTGTTCCTCCTCTTCATCGCTGAGCTGCTCACCACGCATCCGGCGTTGACGATCTTCCTCCAGCTTCTTTAGTCGCTGAGCCTCTTCCTCGATCTTCTCTTCCTCCGTCTTTGTTCGGTCAGTTGGCTTCGACCGCTTATCGAAGGTCAACTGCTTGAGTCGCTGATCGTACTCCTTTTCCGAGTCCTTGCCTTCGGGCTCACGAAGCATGGCTGCGCGCTCTGGGTTCATGGTGTCCAAATCCTGCTTGGGCGGCTCGGGTTTGGCCGGTGCCTTAATTCCGCGCAACGCAGCGAAAAGGTCTGGTAACTCCTTGTCCAGCTCCTCCCGGAGGTCATCGTCGTCCTCTTTTGCCTGTTGTCGCTCGGCCTTGTGGAACTTGGATTTCGCGATGACCTCCTTCATGACCTCAGCCTTGGACTTCTTGCGTTCGGGTTGAGCCTCGCCATCTTCCCCGAAATCGATAAAGTCTTCGTCATCCCCGTCATCTTCACCGACACGTTTTCTTTTCCGCGGCGCTTCGTCATCGTCAGATTCGGCTCCGCCCAGGTCACCGCCGTCAAAGTCATCCACAGCGGTTCCATCCAAAGTCAGAGACTGGCCCATATGGGTCAATTGGAACTCTTCTTCATCCTCCTCCAGGTTGAACATTGATTCCTTGCGCATTTTCCTTTGACTTTCTCTTGCGAATCGTTCAGCGGCGCGCTCTTCAGGCGTCATAGTCGGATCATTTTCACCAAAACGGCGATCGACAAGTCCGCCGACTTTGTTTCGACTGTTCATCTCCTGGAGTAGTGTCGCCCGTCGCTATAAAATAATCCATATTAGCGTATGTCGAGAGCGTACAGTGTTCCGTGTTGCAGTTTATTCTCACCCTCTCCTCTCCCAATGACTTTGTGACACCGGGACGACGTCCGGTCGCCTTTGTAGATTTAGCATCATCGCGGGTAGTAGTCTCGAACTTGCTCCTCGTGGCGGTCGGTCTGATCTCGAACGGGTTAAATCGGTCTCGAATTGCTTGCAATGCGGCGTTCCGCTGATTTCGATTTTGCGCTCCCACCCCAGATTTGGCGTTCTGGCGCTTCTGCTTCTTCGACTGCTGACGCCCGAGAACTCCAGTCTCTCGCAGCGAGGCTTTCAGTTGCTTGAGCTGTGAGGGCGGCATCTTTATTTCGAGAAGCTTTGCAGCAAGTGGAGTTTTTTCGTTGATGGTGAAGCCGATCAGAAAAAAATAGATTCACCGCCTCCGGCGATTAGAATTCTGCCATAGGGTCTCCGCATCTCCAACAGCTTGAGGTTCACTCACGCCATGTCTAGTTTCTCGGGTGATAAAGTGCTATGGCTCTGTCTGGGTATGTCTACGTGCTACAATGTTATCTATAAATACAAAAACTGATTGGATTAGGAGTCTCGCTATTCTTCGCCGTGCGTGGGATCGTTCACGATCTACGCCGAGTCGTGGAACTCACGGAAATCAAACATGTGGAGAAAGAGGACAAGATTATCAGTGACGGAGCAGAGGATGGTACGCAACAATCTTTGGCCATATAGGTGACTTACGACTCACATATCACAGTATTGAAGCTTGATACTCTCCTGACATTATCTCAAAGCACGAGTCATGAGCTACGATCTGCGTATGTAAAAAAATTGCCATTCATGTTGCACAACTCCAACGCTAATGGGTGTAGTGCTTTGCGCATTATCTCCGAGAGAGCTACCAAAGGTCCAGCTCGCGATCTGTTGCTAGAAGACTTGTCATCCAAAAACAAAGACAGACGAGACAAAGCGCTGACGGCGCTGCATTTTCTCACATCGAATCGCGCCTGTAAGCCATTGATCGACCCTTCTCACTGCAAAGGTTCTAATGCTAACAAGTCGCAGTGTCTCGAGCCTCAGTATGCGCCAACCTGCAAGATCTTGAAACTTTTACGGCGTTGATTAATTGCCTTTGCAACTTCCTCGACGAACACACAGAAGAGACTTCCTCGACCGTCTCGCCGATTCTACCTAAAACCAGGCCAATGGGGGAGAAGAAAGCACTTCTAATACTGAACGTTCTTCTACCTGAAGACATTCCTGAAGCTTTGTCAGCAGGGATAGTATCTAGATGGCTGGTCAAATACCCCTTCCCCTGTGCTCTTGACGAGTCCTCCGGGCGAGACAATGTCATTCTCCTCATGAAGAATTGGTGGTCCGACGATGCAACTATGAGCTCAATACTCGGCACGTTGACCACACATCCAGAAGGCTACGAACAACTTCAAGAATATGGACTGATGAGTATTATGGGCGATGAGTCGGATGAGGAGAGGTACCGACGTCGGGATGAACAAGATGCGCGAGAACTTGCCGCAGCCATTCAAGATCTTGATGATGATGACGACAGCGCGATTTGGGATTTCGACGAAGACTCAGATGAGGATGCCGAGGAGGATATGCCCAGGGATGGTGACATACTAATGGAAGAGGGGGAAGACACTGCTGGACTAGGTTCGCGCGCTCCGTCACGAAGACTACACGAAGGGACAACAGAAGATCAGGCTCTGAGACGGCGAAGGCGTGAGGCAATGGTGTTGAGTGAAGGCGGTCGACCATTAGGCCGTGAGAATATCATTCAGCCCCCTCTCTAGGTTGGAGATCGCCTGCGAGTGATTAGTTTACACCCCTTTTGTGTTTTTCGTCGAATTGCAAAACCATGATACCCAAAATTGCTACACGCCTATTGAATTGAGAGAAATTGGATGCACACTTCATCATTAGACTGTTGTTCTCGAATCGTTGCAAAGTCCCGATATACATGCTAAAGCCCAATCCACACGGACTTGGAAAGATGGTCTGTCTTCTTTCTGCTGTTCTTCACCATACCAAAAGATCTCAGATCTGATAAAGCACCATAAAATAAGGCCATGACTAACCGCTCGTCACATGCGTCTCCCTGCTCGCTTTCGAAAACAGTGTAGAAGGTCTGCCAAAGATCATGGATGTTTACCAATGCCCCAGATTCAAGGTATAGCTGATACAGTATCGCAGTGGGCGGCTGCTTCACTGAAATTCTTGCAGCGCTTATATCGGCCGAGGAAACCAGGTAATCGAAAGGATTTGCCAGTGCACGCTCGATCGCAAAGCGCGGTCTTGGTGTGAAAGTCTCTTTCAGAGGATTACGGAAGTCGAATAGGAAGGCTTCGTGCATGAAAAGTTCCTGGGGCTGGATCAGTGTTTCCGCAAAGTATTCCTGAAAGGCGCCGACGAGTCGGTCAACAATCCTGGTGTACTCAAGATCGCGCTTTGCCAGATTGGATTTGCCTTTACTCAGTAAGATTCTTTGCTGGACGACAGTCGTCTTCATTACGGAGCTGTTGATGTTGTATTCACTCCGTAGCGGTAATGAACGTGCATGAACGTCAACGAGCGAAGCCAAGTCAGCCCTGATGTCCTCAATGGGCAAATGAGTGAGTTCTAGTTCGGGCAAGGCGTCAAGCAGGCGACCCATCTTCTCCGAGTCAAATGTCCTCATGGTGGCAAGCATGTCATCCAAAACCTGCGATTCGCTCAGGTCTCCGGAAAGGCCTCGCACAGAAAGGTCGGAGATATTCGTTTTCTTCAGCGATTGCGTGTATTGCAGACATGAGAATATAACGCCAATAGCACCGAACAGGCGTCGCATACTCTGCTGGCCAATTTCAACATGGTTGATCGCCTCCTGTAAAAGAGTTTCGTCGCTTTCAATGAGGTTTCTCGCGTTTTCTGGCGAGCCCGACTCTATGAGATCCTCACAAAACCTGTTCCGTGTTAGTCTCCGCTGTCATTTGTTAAACAAGTGAAAGAAGCCTTACATGCGGAATGATGGTGTGTTTCTCATGGCCTCACAAAGCACGGTATGTGAAAGTGTAGCTGGGCTCGGGTTGGCTAGGAGAACAGATAGAGGATTGGCAAAGAAGTGCGACATATAGGCATGCTTGGCCACGTTAGCGTTCAAATCTCACAAGGCCTCTCGCAAAGACTCCTTACTTTAACCATTCGACTGAAGGCCTCGGGAGTCTGGAAGTAATCATGAGTCTTCTCCAGAAGGGTGCTGGTGACATTGCGACCGAGCCACATCTTCCCTTCAGGTCCCGCCTGAAGAGATTCGTATATTCGATCGACACAATTTCCCGCATCTTGGACTTCGAAATGCTTTCCTTGCAGCAGGGAGATACATGCGCGTGGAAGACGGCCTTCGAAAAGCTCGACGGATGTAGAGATACCGAGAAGTACCGTGAAAGGGATTCGATCGAGCCAAGACCTTGCGCATTGTCAGCTTAGGTTCTATTTCAGATAATATTTTTCACTTATTGCTCACTTGAGAAGTGACAAAAGATCCATGAGCAATACTGGATCAAATGCCTCGCTATCCCGGAATGCAAGTACCAATTTCTTGGTGCCCTTCCTCTGGACATAGTCATGAAGAAGATCCAGATCGTATCCGAGTAGCCGGGGGCCCTTTTTCAAGTCAGTCAAACCCTTCACAAACGAAGTATAAGACGTACACTTCTATCCGTCAAGAATTTATGATATCCATCGTTTCCCTCGGTGTTAGTGATCACAGCTCGAATGACATTCTTGAGTGTCGTCTTCAAATTCGGGGCATCGCCTGATTCAAGTACCACAACTCCGCCCTCATCATTGCTCAACAACTGATCGTTGAGTCGAGAGAGAAGTCGGCTCAGAGAAGACACGTTTGAACCAACCGTCACCAGTCCCGTTGGAATACAGCCATTGCACCTAGCATTATAGTCAGATCCCTGTTTGGATAACGAGTTTCCATTGTGACTTACGTCTCGGGTGTATTGTCTCTGACGAAGGAGAGTACATCGGCCAAGACTCCGGCGTCCACATCTTCAAGAATAGACTATGAGCTGAACTTAGCGCAAAGCACGCTTTCGAATCAAGCGTATATAGACCGCACCTGAATCCTATCCTCCTGCCTTGACCAGATTTGTTTAAAACAGTCGTGACGCAGTTGTGTAGATATCAAGTTTTCTTCTCCATTCAAGAGTGGCACAAAGATTTGCGAAGCGGCCGCCTGCCCTTGGTCATGAGCGGACGAGACCTTGCGGCGTTTAACAGGTCGCTCACTGGCGGTTTTCCCGGGTTTTGCGGGCTGGTAAACATATGCGCCCTGCAATGAATTAGCCTGAGCCATTCTCGTTCTGGAGCCTTTCGCCTCACAATGCTTTCGAAGAAAACATACCTGATTCGGTGACTTGTCTCTGGACAAGTCCAGTACGTCTTCCTGTCCTACAGGATCCATTGCTTGCTTCAATAAGTAAAGTCGCGTCCAGCGCGGATGACTTCACGCTCGGGGACAAAAACGCGCTAAACCCAAACAGGACCATTAATGGTTTTCCGATCTTCAACTTTCCACGACCAATTCAGATAACTTCGAACTTCCCCATGAAACACTCCATATGCTTCGCCAGGCCGTCCGAGGAGGTGCTCGATGGTACCAAGTGGTCCACAGCTCAGCCTCTCCCCTGCGCGCTTTCAGCGTTGTGAATGCGCGGCGACTCGACTTCGGCGGGCCGAATGACAAGGTCAACTTTTACGAACAAGAATCGCCCTCGAGCAAAAATGCGCGGAAAGTCGATCCCGAGGCCGAAGACAATGAAGACAAAAATGATGTGGAGGGCGAACTCTCAAAACTTCAACAGGAGCTGAAGACGTTGGAAAAGGGTCCTTTCGAACCTGATGGCGAGTTTATTCGGAGTCTGCCAGAAGAAGACCGGAAGATTGCCCTGGAGGCTCTACAGAAATACGAAGCCGAACGGAAACCGACTGGTCCCGAACCTTCACTCAGCGACGTTTTCGATGATGAATTGGATCATATCCTGAAGGAAGAGTTCGAAGGACTTGCGAACGAGCAAGAGAATTGGCAGGATAGCGCCAGAGAGCGTCAAAAACTTGCATCGCGCAAACGATCCCAGCAAGTACTCGCGGAACGGCCTACCCATGCCACCTACTCTCGTTTCGAAGACTCACTTCGACGTTACACAAGAAGAGACACAAAAAGAGCCACGGAAGAACGTACCAGGCAAGATCTTTGGAAGTCATATCGTCGTTGCAAGCAGAGCGTACCGGATTTTCTTGAAACGCTTGACGATGACATGCTGGACTCGCTTTGGGAGTCTCAATCTACCGTACAATCGTCGGGGTCTACCCGGTCTGAGCATCTCCAGATTCTCGCCAAAGATATGAAATCTGTGGGCAAGAATCTCGCTATTCCTCAGATTCTAACCTATATTGAAGCTTTGCACGACGGCGGCGCTGTCGCTCAGGCCCTGGAAGAATGGGAAGCATACCAGACGGAGCTCTCACAAAACAAGCAGGACTTGGAGGAGTATTGGATGCTGGGCGTTCGGCTTTTCGCGGCTGAGAGCAATCCACAACGAGCTCAAGATATTGCCTTGGCATTTCTCGCGAACGACCGGTCCCGTCAGCCTCGCGTGCTCATTCCAGTAATTACAGCATGGGCTAGAATTCCTGGAAAGGACGCTGAGGTGAAAGCATGGGCTCTCTATTTGCAACTGAAGACTTTCCTAGGTCCAGACATGACCATGGAAGACTACGATCGAGTGAGTATTGGCCTGCTGTCTGCGGGCCGCTCAGATGCCGCCGTGGCTGTGTTCAAAGACATGATGGTGACGGGCCAAGATCCGGCGAACGATTCGACCTCATTATATAAATCAGCCCTTGGCCTGGCCGGAAATCTTCAGGCGTCCAGTATCGACGAGGCAGCTGTGAACAAGGTATCGCTGTCCGCGCTGACAATGCTGCCTCGTCGATTCCACAACCGTTTCTTCTTTGCGAGCTGGATGAAGAAGCTTATCGGCATGGGCGAAGTCGACTCAGCAGCAATGGTCATTGAGTTGATGTACGAACGAGGTGTTAAGCCTGACGCGAAGCATCTCAACGGCGTCATGGCCGGCTGGCTGCGTGAGGGTAGTGCATTGGCTCGAGACAAAGCAGAGCGACTTGGTTGGTCCATGATTCAGCACAGGATTGACGCCGTCTGGAAAAGATACCAAGTCGTTGAGGACTCCTCCAAAGTTCAAGTGAACCAGCAGCCGATGGAGACAACTCGAATCCCAAAGTTCCTACTTCGTGATGTGCCACCCGCGACCATCGAGACTTTCTCTCTTCTTCTCCTCCACTACACTCGACGCGGAGACGACGACATGGTTAGGTATCTCGCCAAATGCCTGAGCGACGCGCACATTCAGCCAAACTCCTACTTTATGAATCACCTCCTGTACGCGGAACTGCGAAAACAAGACATTCGCGGTCTGTGGAACAAATTCGAAACCATGTCTTCAACTATCCAACCCGATCTCGAGACCTACGCATGCCTTTGGGACTGCGCCAAGGTGCAATACGACCGTGGTCGTACAGCCTTTGACGCCAGCTTCCCCTCGGCACGGCTGCTCTACTCTCGCATGGTGCGATGGTATTCAAGTCTCTCTCCCCGGAGCCAGAAGTTGACTTCTGAGCAATTCACCAAGGAGCTCTACGACCAGATCATCCGCTGTCTCTGCCTCTCCAAGGACATCCCAGCCACACTCGTCGCTCTTCATTCACTAAAAAACATGTTCGGCTACGGGCCAGACGATGTCACCGCCCGCATGATTGTCCTTCAAATCGCTCGCCTGGCCGGCGTGCCATCAGATACCCCAAAACGGCGCCTGCGACGGCTGTCTTCAACTCCCCGGAGTAAAGAGAACATCAGCCAGGTCACACAACTCTTGGATATGCTAGGCGAGCGCAAGTCGCTGGCGCTGCAGTCACAAGGCCTTCAAATCGAACAGCTCGATCGGCAAGAGAAACAGCAATACCAGCTGGAGGTGATCTCGACGTTGCTCCGCATAGTGCTGAGTCGAACAGAAGGCTTAGATCCCGTGCTGGTTGAGGCTAAATTGAAGCAAGCTGCGACTGACATGTCGGTCAACCTGATCGATCTTGGGCCCCCTCTCGGCGTGGATGATAGCAAACTCCTTTAGCGACTTTGTGCGTGTATCTTCTCTTTCTCTGCATCGCATGGCATGGATGTGGCGTTTCATGGCTTTGTTCGGTTCCGACGGAGGTCCTTGACCTCAACTATTCTTGTACATTAATGACGGCACCATCGCCACTTATACTGCATGTGGAACACTTCTCTCATAAAATCTGCAAATCTAAATGGTACTCTGTAGTATGCAGTATGCACTACTATCTGCTCTGTTACGGTCGGTGGAAGGAGAGACGTGAATAAATTGAATATCAAGATGGTCGAGGTATTTCAAACACTCCGTCGCACGTCAACTAGTCCAAGGACTGTCTACATTGTGGATCGAGTACAAAAATCTCAAGGACGCCATTCCGGATGGCTTGAATTGAACTAAGAAGGGTGGTCCTCCCCCATAAATGTAAAGGTGGGAATTTTGGGGAACACCTGGCGAAAAAAAAAAGATAAACATAATGTTCTAAAGTCACATGCATGAATGTATAGCGCTTATTTCTTCCCCTTTCCCTTGTTCTTCTTCTTCCCACTCACAGACCCCGGTGTGCCAGGGCTATTGACCGTGGACGTGTCCGCCTCTACCATAACCGCATCATCATCGCTTCCCTGGACAGAGGGCGTGTTGGCCACAGACGCAGCCAGGTTTTGCTTGGCCGGAGTAACAGGTCGTGATGCGCTCACAGACGCAGGCGCAATCGGGGAGGTAGATCCAGAAACATCGGCGATCTTAGCATTTGGAACAGCACTCTCCTCATTCAACTCTTTCATAAACTCCTCCTGGATGCTGGACTTCTTCTTGTCCCACCACGCGCGCTCTTCGGCGGCCTTTTCACTGTGCTCCTTGAGACGCGCGCGGTAAAGATCATTGTTCAACATCTCATTCGCAGACTGGAAAATAACCTGGCCCCAGCCGGGGACGTAGGCGTTCGCCTCGGAGACAACGTCCCGCACCTCGTCCTCCATTTCTTTCTCTGCGCGGAGGAATCGCTGCCAGAGATCATCGCCGACACTGCCGCGCTGCAAAAGGACTCCAAGAGCTTGCTTCTGGGAGCGGAGCGTCATCACGCGACGGATGTCCTCGGTTGCGCGACGGAGGAGGGACGCCTTGAGGACAGATTCGGGAACCGCGGGGGACTTCTTCTCCGCAGGAGGATCGAGATGCATGAGTGAGAAGTAGATATCACGTTGGATGTGGGCGGGGAACCATGATTCCAAACTGGCCGCTTTTTCTGGACGAGTGAAAAAAGGACAGATGTTAGCTTGGTGTAGCAATAAGAAACCGATAATTGCCCCTCTGTTTAGGTGTCGGCCAAAGCTTTTTTGGCCTGGACGCGCCATGTGTGCTTGGGGAAAGGGATACGTACGGGCCTTGCGCTTTCTATATAGAGAGGAGAATGTCGCGAGAGAGCCGATCAAAACACCCAGGTAGGCAAGAGGGACTGCGAGACTCAGCCAGTCCACCATGGTGTCGGTTTGATTGCCGTGCGTATGCTCCGAGGTGAAAGGGAGATACTAGAGTTGGGCGCAATGTGATGCCGCGGGCGGAGAATATTATAAGTTGACTTTCTTTTCCAAATTCAGCTCAAGCTCCTCCAGAATGAAGGCGGACTGTTTTCAATTGTGGCGGAAGACTGTGAGGTGTTGAAGATTGGGAGTTGTGTTATCATCGAAAAGGCAGGAAGACAGGTACACTTCCCGCCGGGGCCACAGGGCCACAAGGCATAAGGCCAGAGTGTTTTAGTGGTGGGTCAACGTCACATGTTCCGCCCGCAGTGTGTTCCGCCAAATGCTTGCTGGTCTCGACTCACTCACTACTCATGTCGAAACAGCTTTGGAAAGTACAGACACAACCTCGACTTACGAGGATGAAAATTGATATGTTTAATCATTTTCATACAAAGTAGGGTGTAATTTGGACACATGGTTGCCGTCCATGAATATTAAGTTAGACATGATATTTCAACAATACAACACAAAAGCATGACAATAACGCCCCATGCAACCATGCTATCCCAGCATCATCCAGCCAGGAATTTCATCGCAATATTGGTATCTTGACAGAGGCAAACGAGAGTAATATCAACAGGGAAAGGCCCAAGCAATCAAACAAGCTTCACTCTCATGCGGAAAAGCTAGCGTGGCCCAGCTGATCCTTGGTATTCTGGCTGATCGCTCCAATCTCCTGGAGAGACTGCATGTCGTCCATGACAGCATTGAAGGTATCAGTGACACCAATGGCGACCGCTGTGCGATCCCACTCACCGCGCTTGCGCCAGACATAATCCATAAGACATGTGTTCACTTGCTCGAGCTGCTCAACCGAACATCCACTGGTCTGTAGGGAGAGCTGCTTATGGAGGTTTTCAATGTGTTCCATGTCGATGATCAGCTCAGGCATAGGCTTAGTCTGATCTGCATCAAACAAGGGAGGTTGAGGCTTCAGCTGAGATTGGCTGCCGTATATCGCACTCAAATCTTCGACTGGTCCAAGCACCAGGTCGCGGGGCCGAGGAGATGGTTGACTGCTCGCGCCCTGTTGAGTGTCAGGCAAGTGCTCTTCCTGTTGCGGATCGCGATCAGGATACTGGTTGAGATCAGGGAATTCATCTCGTGATCCGTGGAAGCTCTGAGTATGTTCGAGTGTATGATGACCAGAGTGCGTAGAATGTCCCGAATGACCTGACGGGCCTGACGACTTTTTGTCCGAAGTGGTTTGTGTTGTGGAAGCCTCGTTGGTATAATCGGCGGGCTGAGACCCCGCGACCATGGGAGTTACAACACCTGTCTGAGAAAAGCTGGAGATACCTGACTCCCGACGCATTTGCTGTGAAGGAGCAGTGTACGAATGTGGCGGTCTGGGTTGTGCAGATGGCCCAAAGGAGCTCACTTGGGTATCTTTGCTGCCGGAGTGATCCTCGGAGTTGGTCATGAAGACATCGCCATCACCATCACCATGAGAGCTATTGCTGTGACCATGATGACCTGATTCATTCAGATCTGAGCCGCCGCCGTTGTGATAGCGAATACCATTGGTATGGCTGACGTTACCATGCTGATTGGGCGTGACGGGTCGCTCGTGGGCATCAGTCTTGAAGAACTCGCTACGATCGGGGATCGTAGTGTCCCCTTCTTCGGCGGTCACGGGTCGAGATGCAGCTGCCCGAACTTCGTCCTGCGCCCGCTGTGCGCGTTCAGTGGCTTCCTTCTCACGCGCCATTTCCCGCAAATAAACATTCTCACACTCTGCGACGAGAGCTGGTTCGGTCTGTTCAATGGTGGAAATATCAACTTCCACGTTGGACAGAAGCTCATTTGCTCTGAGGAGCCGCTCTTGTTCCCCTAGCGTTCGCGCATCCTTCGCGATACGCTTGACATCCGCCAGGAAGTCAGACGGGCGTTTGTAGAAGCCATTTGACAATCGCTTCTCCATCGTCACAATCTCCATGTTGTAGTAGAATTTACCAGTGGCTGTCTCACGAAGACCAGGTGAGCCGTGCTTGTCAAAGGCCTTCTCGTAAGGCCGATTGCTGGTCATCGGGTCAGGAGTGAGATCACTTGTGACGATATGCGGATCCTCTTCTTCCCACAGGTATCTGATATGGCTTTCATCGACAACACCCTGGCGGAATCGCTTGTATTTCTTGATCTGATCCATAATCGGCTGAATCCGAATCTTCAGGAGGTTGAGAGTATGATGATCTTTCTTTTTCTGAGCCTTGCGCTCCTGCTTGGAGATGGGTATGTCGGCCTTGGGAGGTGGCGGAGGGGCAACTTCCAATTCTTCAAGTTGACGTTTCTTGCGATTCTCAGGATCTGGGAAATCTGAAGGTGCCGTCTTGACGTATTCGATGAGCTTGCCGAAGAATTCATGGCGAGCTTTCTCACCGGGCGCGTGCAAATCAAAGAGATTTTTCTTAGAGTACCCGAACAACTTGTGGAGAAGACTAGCATCAACATCTTCGCCCGCTGATTCGAGCACTCCAAGCAGCAAGACAGGATCCGTCGGCGGGATTGAACGCAACAAACCCATGAACGTCGAAAGAACAGCGGGGCCCACAGTCTCGAACCATGTTTGAATATTTGGAATGTAGATTACACTGGGTTTGTGTCGTTTGACCTCTGCAAAGAGTTGGATCACGGCAGCTTCGGGCGATCGCGTAGAGTCACTGAGCAGAGTTGGAAGATCAAACGCCTGAACGTGCAGACCCTCGAAGTGATGAAGAAGAGCTGCAGCAAGGTACTGCTGGCCCATGCCATGAGCACCACGCAAGAGCAAGCGAGGGCGAAATACCCGTGAACGATCAAAGTCTTGCATGATCTGTTCTCGCTTGAAACCATTTCCATCTTCTGGCTCTTCAAACTGAGCTTCTTCGAGCGCAGTCAGTCGCTTGCGCTGGGGGAGAATTTCTGAGAGCGAGGTCTCAATATCTTGTAGTTGTTCTCGGAGAAGAGGCTCCACGTTCTGAGGTAAGGCGGTAGCTCCTGAAGATGTAGAGCGCTCGGACGACGGTACCATCTTCTTGATGGCGATCATAAAGTCTTTGGGCGTCACGTCAATGTTCTTGGGGTCAATCACCAATTTCTTGTCAGACTTGTAGATCTGAGGGTATCTCCTCTGAACGGCATTTAGCGCAGCTTCCGTGCAGAGCGCACGCAGGTCAGCACCACCGTAGCCCTTTGTAATCTTAGAAAGCTCGTCCTTAATTTCATTTGGCAATGGAGGATTCCACCCCTTGGTGTGGATATCGAGGATGGCCCGTCGACCCTCGTTGTTGGGAAGGGGGAAATAGAACTCGCGATCGAACCGGCCCGGGCGACGGAGAGCGGGATCAACCGAGTCGGGTCTGTTAGTAGCACCAATTACAATGACTTGGCCACGACCGTCCATACCGTCCATCAAAGCCAGCAAAGTGGAAACGATCGAAGCATGAATTTGTTCTTGCTTGCTGGATCGCACAGGTGCAAGGCCTATCGAAAATTAGTTGGCAGCTCAGGCTGGACAATCGGAATATCTTTGTGACACACCATCGATTTCATCAAAGAAGATGATGCTCGGTTGTGTTTTGCGAGCTTCCTCGAAGAGCAATCGCAGTTGACGCTCAGCCTCTCCAACCCACTTGCTCAGGGCATCTGCGCCCTTTCTCATGTAAAAGGTGACTTTTCGACCTTCGGCGCTGACACTGTTGGCCAGTGCGCGGGCTAAAAGTGTCTTACCAGTACCAGGAGGACCGTGGAACAAGACTCCACGGGGTGGTACAATATGGAACCGTTGAAAGATTTCAGGATAAAGAAGCGGAAGAGACACCATCTCCTTCAGCTGATCAATATGACCTTGCAATCCTCCAACACTATCGAAATTGACGTTCACATCCACTCCCAAGGGGTCGGCATCCGCCAACGCCTGCCTGTCCTTGATCTTACCCAAATTGGCAGGTGTACCTGCAGTTTGCTGAGCAGGATCAGCCGAATGAGTTTGAGCGACCAGTCCTGCACCAGGTAATAGCCCTATGGGCTTGGGTTGCTGTGTCGCTTCGTCGTCACTGCTGTCACTGTCAACACCTCCGGCTGCAGCAGGTGCTCCAGGCGGCGCAAGAATAGCCGATAAACCGCCACCCCCGAATGGTCCATCTGTTGGGAACAGAGTTCGCTGCCAGCCACCTCCGCCGCCAGCACGGCCACGTCGAGAGGGCGATTCAGTCACGAAATTATCCTCGATATCTTCAATTGGCAAGAATTGCTCTGGGCGAATCAATCGATAATCAACTTCCTTGCGGCTTCGACGTGGCTTCTCGGAGATAGTTTCTTGCGCAACACGTCGTCTTGGCCGACCACCGCGGAGATCTTGGAGCTCTTCGGCGAGCTCCTCTGCGACCTCAGAATGACCACGAGAACGGGTCGGGCGTTTGCGCAAACCAGGACGACGACCAGCGGCACTGCTATGTCCCTCATCATCCGCGTCATCGCGAGCTTGGCTGGCTTTTCGGGGGGATCCATTCGATGTTGCAGAATCGGACGCGTCGTCATTGGACTCCTCGTCTTCGGGTTCAAAGTCGCTCTCATCGGCCTGGGATTTGCGCTGAGAAGAAGGCTTCTTGCGGCTTGAGCGACGTGGTTGAGCGCCGTCAGATGCATCGGCGTTGGTAGTCTCAGGCTGCTCGGAGGCTCGAGACTGCCGGGTTCGCTTGCGAGATACGGGACCCTCATCCTCGTCCTCATCTTCATCTTCGTCATCATGTTGTTCATTCTTCGCATCGCCCACTTCGGACTCTGGAACGACGCCTTCCGTGGTCATTTCAACGTCGTCGCCATCATTCATGAGAACAGTGTCACCTTCAGTGGGTTCCTGAGGAACATCACTTTCGAGAATCTCCAGGGACGCGGGGATCTCAGACTGCTCAACAATCTCTTCTTGGATGACGGGCTGTTTGAAACCACGACTGTTTCGTCGGCGCTGCGCGGCGGTCTCTGGGCTCTGGGTGCCTCTCTCCACTGTCTCCATATGATGACCCGAATTTGTCAGGGCATACATATCCTCAGAAGCACCCCGAGTTCGCCGCGTAGTGCGTCGAGTGATCAATTCAGGCTGAGCGAGGATTTCTGGCGGAAGCTTCAATTTCACAACCGTCTTCTTTTTGTAAGGTGGTGATGAAACCTCTGGCGGTTCGCCATCCTCGTCGTCGCCGAAGGACTCTTCATCGGAAGGCTCTTGGTAGGTTTTGGACTGGGTGGTTCGTCGGCGCGCTGTTCCACGCGCATTTCGTGGGACATTTGGGTCGTCCTGATCCTCTTCGGACTCGCTCACTGATAGATCTTCGTCCAGGCTGGCGCCATCGGAGACAATATCACTATCCGAACTTCTGCGACGCCTCTTGGCCGGCCGCGACCTCTTTTTAGGACTAGCTTGACTTTTGCGATTACGTCTGCGAGGTGCGCGATCGGTACCATCACTCCAGTCTTCGTCTGCAGAGTCAGACATGTTGGCGAGCTCCTCGAGGGAGCGTTTAGCAGTTCCGCGAGGCATGGTATGGGTAGGTTGCGATAAGGAATGTGATATGAAATTGGCCCCTATGATTTGGAATGGCCATCGTCAGCGAGAGAAGCAAATCAAAAACTCGTAGCAGCGATTGTAAATGGAGCAAAGTACAAGTGACAGTTAGTAGAGTGAGCTGGGCGAGATAGCTTACGAAAGGCGAGATAAAATGCTCGACCGGCGAGGATCGGAGTCGCCTGGGTAGTCTGATCGCGCGTCAAGGCTCTGCAATATCTTCAAAGCCGACAACGAATAGTTCAGGCCCTATTGCAAGAAGCTCAGCGCGCCATGGGCGATGGCGACGATGATGGAGCGCGAAGTGATGATTTCCAAAGCGTGATTCTCCAAGCACACAGGTCGAACGCGTCGATTGAAAAGAAAAGACGGCAGCGATGAGGTTGTCTAGGTGTGTTTGGCACAGGCTGAAGACGACCGTAATAAAAGAGCGAATGTAATTGGTAAAGTCGCTGCGGTAGCCGTGATGGTATCCCAGTGTCTCTTGGTCAACAACGTGGGCGGTCGACTCAGAAAGGGACTCGCACCGCCCGGGCAGAGCATTTAAACACGCGCCACCGGAAGCGCCACATTGTGGCGCGGCAGCCGCGCTTTAGTCAGTCCGCACGTGCCACCCATCTTCAGACTGGATCATTGAAGCGATTCACCATCGATGAGATGACGGATTTGGGGAACCCTGTAGAACCATGTCTAGAAAGGACTGGTAGATGTTCAATCACCTGGCAATTTCATTTTGAATCCATAAGAGCCTGTCTCTGATGGATTTTAGGGCCTTTCCGACCGGGATACCGAGTGATGACCGGTGAGGGGAGGAGGTGTCAGAAGGGCGATTAGGGATGACGAGAAGCACAGCTGGAAGCCTTCTTTCATTTGGGTCGTGGCTCCCTTCGCAATGGCTGCCCACCAGAATTGACCCCGACCTGATATCATGTGATTGATGAGTCAGCTGGCTTTTCGGCTCCCGCCCGTCTGAGGACCCCCGGCCGTCAGCGGGAGTGATGTAGAATGGTGATAAGTGTATAAAAGTCCTCCAGCTTGAATATAATTGAATATTGGGACTGTTGAAGTAGGTCGAATTCATAACATTCATTCTGAATTTTCTATTCCAAAAGCTACCTCTGAGATTGTAGATCTATGTACGGTCACTCTGCGAACTCCTGTAGTTAATGCCGCCCGCAGCCATGATACGCAAAATATATTTTTCGCCCTGGGGCTTCCGCTGAATTTATCGGGGGTCAGGGCTGTCTGGCAAAATGATCTCAAAAAACACGTGTTCGCACAAAATCACAACGGGTCAAGTGAACAAATCCCCACAGGACAAGTCTACAAAATTTTCCATCTGTTACTCTGATGTCCACCATCCCAGAGTCGAAGTGACCCGAGGGCCCAAGAGTAGTAAGTAGTACTAGAGATACGGCCTGAATCCACCAGTCAGTAGGTCGGCATTCTATCGAAACACGCTAAACCGTAATTGGAACATCAACTCCAGACCCCCAACCTTACTCCTACGCTCAGAGGACCCGACAGCCGCAATATCAGCCTTTCGAATATCTGGACTGTCCCCCAAAAAAACCTACTACAATATCTCTCTTCCACCCCAAGAATCTATAAAAAAAATGCTCTCTCAGCAATCCCTTCTCAAGACCGCACATGCGATTCGCGCCGGCTACATCCGGTCCACAGCGTCCACATTCAAACGATCCCTGACATCCACAAGCGGCCGGCTCAATGCGCCGCCGCCGCAACAGCAGCAAGAGCCGAGCGCGTACAGACAGGGAGTAAGTCACTGACCGTGAAGATCAAGTGGATACCAAGTTCTCTCTGTGGACAAGCCAGGAATCGATTAAACTGATGAACGTGGTTCCAGATGGCCAATTACAAGACCTTTGCAAAGCCCTTTAGCAAAGTGTTTCTGGGAGCGGTGCTTACGTATCAATTGATTTATTGGACGTGGCTCAAGTTGGAGACGGACGAGTCGATGCTCGAGAAGAATGGTAAGATTGAGCGCTCTTATATATTTCGTGGTTGTTTGGTAGTAACGGGAAAATTGATGCTAAATATATGGTTTAGAAGAAATGACGGCTTTGGAGCAAAAGGCTCGGGAGTTGGTGGCTGCTCAGAAATGAAGACCAAGACAGCAGGGCCAGGGTTTTCGTTTGGTAGGTGAAGGTATTCACCTGGGCAAAGCACAGAAAATGTGCACTGAGGTCTGCGTCTATTTGTTCCGGGTGTGGGACTCTTGGGGTCAATTCAGTGCCTTCATGATGACGTGGATGGATCTTGTACGATAAGTGTTGAAGAAGTCTCGAATCAAGTCTGAGACCTTGTGGCGCTATCTCATCGAAACGATAATTGAGTAATTGGGTATGCCCTTCTGTATGATGCATGTTTGGTCATTACAGGGGTTTAGTACCTGCAGGGGGCTGTAGGCAGACAACTCATGTTTAACAGGGTGGTGAGGTCAGGTGAAAAGTGCAAGGCAAGGTCACTCTCGAACGTGGGAGCAAGAAACCGGACCCTTCATTATCGGCATTGATTGTGATTCTTGGTCCAAGGACATGGCATATTCAGCCCTGTACATCGAGAAACACGTCCGGTCGAAGAGAAAATATGCTGTCTGATGCCGCTTTCTATTCATGATAGATAGCAGCGGTGAAGAACTTGAGAAATTTCTGTTCTAATAGTTGGTGGAAGAGGGAAGGCTACTGTAGAGGTAGCCGAAGGGGGAAAGAAAGAGATCGTGAGCTCGTCGTGGATGGGAGGCTCTCCCTTGGCCAGCCTGGGCATGTTGCAGAATTAATATGCTCGATATCGAGTGAATGGTACAGTACAGTCGAGATATACAGTGGCATCTGAATTAATGGAAAGAAAGTACATAGTCATGTACGGAGTATCCGTGTATTAGTCTAATCGATGGGGTCCAATAAAGCCGAGCTAAGAAATGTGATGCGCCAGCATCATGTTAAAAGAAACGCAACCATGCACCTCCAAAAGCTTACGCCATGATGCACTCCCCATGCAACCCAGGATAGCCCGATCTTACATCCTCAACCCGCGAGCTTTCGCTTGCGACTGCCTCTCTCCAAAGCCGTTACACTCTGGTAACCTCCCGCAGCAAGACCATGCCCACCCGTGACACTCGCTGATGGAAATTGCCACTCCATCCCTCTAACCCCCTTCTTGAAATGCTCAGTGTCGATGTGATTGAATCTCTCATCTAGCGCCAAACTCCCCGAAGTCCGCAGCGGAACGAAATGAGCGCAAAACCCACACCAGAATTGGGATTGCTGCGCCACGTCAAGACGGGCAGAATGAACAGCTGATGTGGTTTTGGTCTTTGAAATGCGGTGTGTTTGGTGGAGGTGTTGTGCGAACATTTCTTCACGGTAGAAGATGTGATCACACGCGCTGTTCTTTGCGGGGTCGTGAAGCGTGCAGAGCCAGCTGGGGATGCTGAGATGCTGGGATGTCTCGTGCCGCTTCCAGTCGGCTTTGCTACCGAAGGATTTGGCACATTGGGGAAATGTGCAGCCGTAGGGACGTTCGTGACGTTTCTGGTGTTTTCTATTCGAGGAATATGTTAGCCAAGATACGATAGAAGGAAATTGACATAGTTATCGAAAGGTTGGAGAGCATGGAACCTACTTCATTTCACAACGAAGTCGCGTGCGCTTAGGACAAACGTCACATCGGAACCAGTCTTGCTTGTCGTTGTCGAGTCCAGCATCGGCAGAGGATGGGATCTGCTCATCTGACAGACGTTCGAGGGCCGTAGAGAGGATCTTTTGTAACATCTGGCGTTCAGGAGGGGAAAGATTGGTGCTTCCAGACTCAATTTCGATGCCTTCGTCGCTGTACTGACTAGATCGTCGAGCCCGGTTGTTCATCATTTTTGTCATGGCGTTGATAAGGTTATCTGCTGCGTGTGTGATAGATGTGGCGGATTTGGTAGGCTCCTGGCCTGCAGTGATTGAGTGATCGTCAATGGTAAAAGAAGGAAATGAATCCAAGTGGGAGTGTCCGGACTGTGCCAGAGTAGGGCAATTGGACATAGGCCGGGGTGTCGCGAGATTTGAAGGAATGGCATCCACGTCTTCTAGGGAGCTGTCGGTACAAGACACTGATAGGACTTCTGCTGCATTACTGTGAACCAGATCCTGCTGGGTCTCGTTGGAAGAGTCTTCCGAAGCTGCGTCTTCATGACCATGGGCCAATTGCCCGGAACTTTCATACCACTCCATTGATCTACAGCCGGTTAGCTTCTTGTCTTCCACCTGTTGCTCCAAGGTACGAGTGGTTGGGTTCTGAAAGAAGACCTACTTCTTCAGTAGTGCATCTGCATCTTCGCCATGATGCATGCGACTTAGGTGTTGCTTGAAATTATCCTGCCGCGGCCACAATTTGTTGGGGCGAGGACAATTCATGCCGAAGCAAAGATACATCATCTTGGGCCCACGCTCGGGCTCTTTATTATGAACGCACTTTTTGTGCCGGGCAAGATCATTGATTGTACCAAAGCCCTCTTTGCGTGGGCAATGAGGCTCATCGCACTTGAATAGCTTGCGATGGCGGGCCTCATGCTTCCTGAGAGTCGGAACCGTGTCAGTACTTTACACAGTCACGAACGGCAGTGTCCGAGCCAGCATATACATACCTCTTGTCCGATGGGCATTTACCCACCCATGTGCATGTCGGATGATCGCACTTGACGGACTCGACCAGCGAGCTTGTCATATCCTCCAACAAAGCCGCGGAGTCCATGAAGGCCCGGTTGAACATGGCTATGGATTCTCCCACGGTCTGCTCATGGGAGCCCGCCATCGGGCTTGACAGTGAATCGATACCGTAGGGTGATGGAACCACCGACCCCGTATCACAGCTTGTCCCGCCATAGCCGGAGTCGCCTGAGTAGAGGCTGCCGAGACACTTGCTCCCCGTCTCCGACGGAGTTCTATAATGGCCCTTCTTGAAGCCAGCTTCATGATCTCCATCAGCCATGCACATGTGCGACATGGTCGATTGACTGGGAACACCAGTGACCTGCAGCGGGTTCCACGCATCTTGAGCGGCGGCGAGACGCGATGAATGATAGATTGGGTGATAAAAGTCGTGCGATGCTGCCGACGGAGCGAACGTGCTTGGCCAATCTGGCACTGTCATATGGGAGTTTGATCCAGCAGCTCCGAAGTCCAGATCGAATGTGGGATCCAGGGAGAGGCCGACTTGAGGATCGTGACTTAAGCCGGTATGCAAATATTGCTCATCTGGAGGAGCCATGATGCCGTGAAGCAGATCGGTTGGTTCATTCCAGGTTGTTTGGGAGCACTATTACTACGTATTAGACAAAGCGGAAGACATCAAACAGACGGGTGGGTTTAGTCGGTAATGAGAGGAAGGGTGGGTGTGAGAGTGAGCGAGCGTATGTATGTGCGGCACTGTGTGTATGGAAATCAAAGAAGAGCAGACATCGGAGACGGAGGTGTGATGGTAGTCCCGAGTCAAACAATCATGCCCGTACGAACCTCCATGACGTGCGGAGTTGAAGATGAGTTGGGGTTTAAGCCGACAGGCCAAATCAGGTTGTTTCGATGGGCGTTGAGGGTGGATCTACCGGATGACCAGGGTGCGTTCTGATGTATCACGAGAGTTTGGTCAAAGTGAAGTAGTTAAAGTCGGTTGGTTCAGAAGCCAGCTGAAATCGCGAAGAAGAAAAGGCCGAGTCTTGGGCCGATAGGCTGATCAAAGTACGCGGGTTCCAGCACTGCTGCACCGCGCCACCACCAGGGTTTTCAATCGAAAGTTCAGAGGATCAGGAAGGAAAAGAGTTTGGAAAAAGGATAGTGTGTTGAAGGAGAGCGAATTGGGAGTGGTGGGCACGGACGGCGAATAAAAAGAAAAGGAAGGCTGATGACTCCAAACCGGCGGATCTGCGCAGGGTTAAATGTGGAAGACACGACAGACGAGGGAGCGAAAGAGAAGAGTCGAAAGATCATCTCCAAGTAGAAGCCAAAAAGAAAAGAAAAAAAAAGGAAAAAACATCAACAAGGTGCATTTGCATGGCTGGGCGAATCCACGCGACAGTTCGAATATGCACGAACTGGACCGCATTGGCCATGATTCGCTTTTCGTTGTGGAAACTGCGCTTCTTTTTTTCCTCTCTCTCTCGTTTTCACGTATTTTCTTTTCTTGCTGTTTGGCTTTCCTTCGATCATTCTTTCATTCTCGATTCGCATCGACTCGACTGTCGTTCCCTTCTCATGCCCTCGTCTCCCTGTCCTCCACATTGTTTCGCGACCTCGCTTCTCGCCTCGGGCCGAATGACCACGCGGTTGATCCAAGGGATGGCGTTGAGGACATCCTTGAGTACGCTCAAGTACGAAGCGAGGTCTCCAAGCGAGAGTTGATTCGTGGTGCATGAGTGCTCGAGAGCGTGGATGGAATGCGTGTCTTATCCCTTGATTCAGTGGAAATACCAGACACAGCCCCCCTCTCTCTCGCGGACGCACGCGCTGCAGGATGATCTCTGCCGAAGATCAAATCAGCACTGACCCGATTGAGATGCATGATCAGCACTGAAGCGTTTATGATCAAGGGGACCAACTGAAACAACACTTGATTGCAGAGACGTAAAGATCTCACAGTTGAACCACCGGGAACGGTGGGGGCGATGATGGCGGAGTGGCTCATCGAGGTTAAAAGAAGATCTCCGACTCTAATCTTCGGTTGTTTGATCAGATTCACGATGATGGACCAAAAAGTGGAGGAGACGGAATTTGTGACTACTTCAGTCTAGCACAGTACTACAGACTACAGTATAGTATGATGTCTGTTGGAGAGGGCACGTGAAGAGAACTGGATTCCCACCACCATGAACAAGACCTTTGTCTCCCTCTCCCTCTCTCTTTCTCTCTCTCATCACCACTCTGGTCATCCATCAGACGGAATGAGATCAAGATCCGTTTCATCTGGACTCACCAGCTCGAAGTTGTCCCCCTTGATTTAATGTTCAGGTCCTCCCTTGGGCGACTGTATTCTGCGATGACTCCCGGTACCCATCCCCGGCCATCCCCAGCGGAGCAAGACCTTAATCGGGATGGATGACAAGGCGATCGACGCATCTCGTTCCTGGTATCTCGTTACTAAGTCGGTGCCGTTTGCCCATTAAAATTGATGCTGAGTCACGGACACGTTTAGACCTGCCACCTTCGGCACCTACCTGCCCTACTCGTTGAATAGTACGGCTGTATCAATGAATCAATCATGCCGTGCCGTCCACCCCGGCAAGGGATGGCGTCAAGACATGCCCTACATACCCCCGTGATAGCTCGCAGTGCTTACCACGATAGGAGCCCGGTACTGTACCAGTGCGGACGACCGACGACAGACTACAGACTACAGTGCAGTCTACCTGTCCCCCCTTCACCCGAGGCATTTCTATTTTCAGCGGGTAAATCAAACAAGCTTCCCGCGAGAGGTTAAAATTGATCCAAGCCAAGGATCCTGAGAACAAGAAAAAAATATACTTTGCCCTAGCCTAGGTGCTGGACTAACTAGTAGCTGATGAGACACACCCGACATTCTGTCCACCACGCGTTCGTCAGCCAAGGTTCGCGCACTGTCCACACGGAAGACACCTGCAACTTCCAACGAGCGAGGCTCCTACAGGACTAGGTCATTGAATCATGGATATCTGGCGATGATGACGAACGGGGGTTGCTCACATTCGATCTCGGTAAATCTTCTTTGAAGATTACGACAAGTATGCTGCAGTCTACTAGAGCGCTTCGACATAATTCAATCGCCACATTTTCCCGGATTCAGACCATCCAATACCGTGATGAGGGTAAAGCGTACCTACCAAGCCGGAGGTAACGATACCCTCATGATCTCATCCTGAACGGTGTCAGGAAGCACGACCAGGGTGACCTAACCCCGACCTAGAATATACCTCAGTCAAATGAGATCAGAACAAGTAGATGGAAGAAACAGACCCAGATGAAATTCCCCACAAATTTATCCACCAGACAGACTGCTCCCGTCCCTAAGGTTACTGATCCTTAGGCCCAGCCAGAGCAACACACTACACAGTCATCTATGAGTGGAGACCGGACACTGGACAGTGGATAATGGATATCCGGCCCGGCAGCACAGTATTCAAGTACTGTACAACTCAATGTGATCTCTCAGATCAACTCGCTCAAACCCGGACCGTGCACCATTGCACAAAGTACACAATCACATACCTACTAGCTCACGGTATAGTACTGCAGCTACCGCTATTGAAGAAAGTACTGTGCCTCTTGATTCGAATCGGACAAAGTCTCCCGTCTTTCAGCAGTCCGGTCTAGTCGGGAGGTACTTTTGCAATGCCTATACTCCCCCGGTCCTCCAGCTCAACTCCGGTCCTACAAACACTCTAGAGCACTGCTCCCCCGCTCAATACTTGAAAACCAACAGAATCACCAGGGACATACCTAGCCCAAGCAGCCAGCTTCAACATGTCCAAAGTTTACACTAGCAGCCTAGCAGGTCCCCGCCACAGTCCCGTCCCGGCGCACAAGGTCCGGTAGTTAAAGTGAGAAGCCCCTGCCCATATAACGATTTACACGCGCCACGCAGTACTATTTGACCTCCTTATGTAACCTTGGGTACCTAGTCAGTATCTTACCTAGGCAACGTTAGTTTCCAAGCACTTTCATCATCCCTTGTTGAAGACCAGGTCGTAGTGGTACATCCGGGCCGTCCCGACGTCGACCCGATCTCTGCGCCGCAGCGTGGGAGGTATGGACGCCTAGGTATAGATTCAAGAGTATATCTGTCTTGGTGAGGACCTCGGATGCTTCTAATTTAGCAATGTCTACCTAGTAAATCTACTGACTACTGTCTAATGTTTACTAACCCATATTGTGGCCTATGTGAGCCCAGTGAAGAAGGCAGCAGTAGCACCTGCTTTGTTGCAAAAGCATGTACCGTTTATACAAGTATGCACTTATCTTGGCTGGAAACCGCCCGTGCGGACGTTGGTCTATGCCAAAGTTTTACGGGGCTTGAGAATCTACGGCCCCGGGGGATATACTGAATGCATCACCTGCTTTACTCGATTCTCTTGAACACTGGTCGCCTGAATGTGCAGTCCACGTGGGTACCAGACTTACATTTGGAATGAGGGTGCCCGGGAGAACGCCAAAACGACATGCACAAGTGGAAGTCAAATTCGGCGATCAGAAACAATACAGGAAATTAGAAACTGCAAGATCATATTCAATGTCAGAAAAGGGGGGCGGGGTATAGCTGTAAATCATAAACAAACAACCAGACTGAGCAGGTTCCAGTCAAACTTGTCAACAATGGAACTCGCCCAGATATCATATCCTCGAACAATCAAGGTAAACGCTCACCGCCGACCAGACACACACACGTATGATACAAGTTGGCGTCTCAAGATGACATGCACATAGATATCGTTGCGAAAATAGAGCGGATGCGAAAAACAAATTGGAGGCGTAAAACACTAATAAGATCCATGCTAAGAGTTCGCTGCGTAACGAATCACAAGAAGCGATATCTATCCCATCTGCGAGGAGTAACTGGAATCGTACTGTGCCTGCACGTGGACATACGGGTTCGTGGGAGGCACGACTGCCCGATATGCTTGGTAATCAACCTGTTCGGATATCGGCTGTTGCACGCTGTAAACTGTGTCCAGACCCATCGCCGCCGACGCTACTGCCTGTTGTGTCGGCAGCGCCTGGGGCGGCAACTGAGAGGAGACAGAATAGGAAGTTGGGCCAACTGCGGAACCAGCGATTCTCGGCGTGCAGAGTGGCGGATAAGAGACAGACATTTGATGTAAGGGGTGTGGGTGAGCGTGGACGTTGGCATGGGCAAAGGCATGGAGGTTTGAACGCGCGTGGCTCTGCAAGTTGAGCGTGGCGGGCATCGTGGCTGGAGGGTGCGTTTGACTTGCACTGAAAGATTCGACGGTAGTAGCACATTGGTCCTCAAATGGACCATTCGTCTGGATTGGGTCAATTATCTCTTCTGGCTCCATCAAAATCTCGCCACCGGTCATGCTAGTGTAGTTCATGCCAGAAAACTGATCAGAATAACCCGGGGCTGGGGCTGAAGCGGCCAGCTCCGGAAATTGCAGTGGCGCCGAGACCTGGGACTGGAATGTGGTGGTCAACGCATCACTATTGATCTTACTGCCATCAACCCCTTTCCCAAAGGAGGCTGAGGAGAAACAAGTAGGTTGCTCCTGTGTCGGTTGTACCGCCTGCATCTGGTTCGACGCGACGCCACTCTGCATCACCAATCGCAAAACCGGCATGGCTAATTGTTCCATGTGCTTCGCCACATGAGCCGTCAGTTTCTTGATCGAACTGCAATGATTGTCGCAGAACGGACAAGACTCTTGCGCCGGGGTAGTGCCTGCAGTGTGCTTGCATTCCTCGACCAATTGCTCGATAGTCCTCCCATGGTGATCAGTGGCCAGCCTGCCCACTATGCCTGGAGCAGCAGGGCTGTCTTCAAATTTGTGCTCCCGCTTCAGGTGCTGGATGAAGTTGTTTTTTCGGAAGCATCTATGAGCGCAACCATCAATCGAACAGGTCCACCACTCCGGCTGACGATGTCGCTCATTCTCGTGACGAACCCAGTCAGCCTTCCGTTTGAACGACTTTGGCTCAGTGCAGTCGGGGAATGTGCATGTGAAAGGCTGTACGTCCTCATAGACGTGCTTTGACCAGTCTGATGGTTTCTTGATCTCTTTGACTTGAAAACAAACATTGCACTCAAATACAGCTGGTAGTCGAGCAACGGGGGGGAAGGGCACACCGGCGGGAAGTTGAGCTGCAGCTACCATTATCCCTTCACTCGTACCCTGAGGAGCGTCGTCATCGTCCAGGACACGATATTGTGTATGCCCACAGTCCCCATCCGCGGCCGGTCTATTGGGCGCCAGTAATTTCGCCTGTCCACCCACCGCAAAGCAAAACTCACCAGACTCGCAAAATCCTCTAGATATTGCAGTGGTGTGCGCTTGTTGATACTCAACCAATTTCCGGTGTCGACGCACCTGCTCGTCAGCAAAGCGGTCAATGAGGCTTCCACACAAGCGCGGGTTGAGCTGCATGATCTGCGACTTGAAACCCTCCTTGCTCGGCACGGGCAACGTAGATGGCATGGGGAATTCCATCGGGTGCGTTTTTTTTACGCGGACTTCTGTTTCCTCATTGTCTTCGGCGTCTGACGCGTTGACTTGGGATACTGGGCCTGGTTGCAGCTCATCTGGATCGAGGCGCACTTTGTGGAATGGAGCCAAGTTCGCGACGGGCGGGCCTCCTTCGTTTTGCATTAGGCTGAATAGACCAGGTGTACTTGGTCGCGGTAACTCGCTCTTTGCACGGTCACGGCCCCATCTGGGCGCGAGACCCTTGGGAACAGTATCAGGTTGAGGCGACGTTGCTCGCACAGAATGACTGCCACCGACTGCGGCCATTTTCCCAGTCATGGAAATGATCGCATTTGTTAAGCTTGGGGAGCGAGTGTGCGGCCTTGGCGAGTGTCTGCCGGATAAGCTCAATCGATGTCGGTAGCTGGAGCTAGTACTCTCTTTTCGTTGGCTGGCGACGGGGACTGTGTCCGTATATTGCTCCGGGGGTTTGGCACTGGCCAGTGACAAGTCCGAGGCCTGTCTCTTCAACCTCTGTTGCGCTTGCTGGACTCCACGTTTGAAGAGAGAGCTGCTACTCCAGCTGCCAGTCTTTCTCTTCGTTTCTGGGAATCTCAGAGACTGCTCAAGGCTTAGGCTGAGGTTTCTGATACTGTTTTGATCTATGGTCGCCGTGATGGAAGCCGCGTCCTGCTCTCTCGCGCGTTCCTCGAACTTGGCCATTGCAAATGCAGAGGTTTGAGGCTGCTGTCTAACGGGTTCGCGCGACACATCATAGAGTGAATACATGGGGAAGGCCTCTTTCGGGGACCCAGTGAGATCTGACGAAACTATCACGGGGGGAGAAGAGGCCTCCGGGTGCTGATCATCAGTAACCAGTGAAAGGCCATCTGGTGACGAGTTACCTTCCGAATCATCTTCACTTGCATTGCTCTCCTCACTACTTTCATGCACCATCAGACCGGGTCCCACAATTGAACGTTGGCTTGTGGTCAAGTTGAAATAATCGACGTGCCGAAGAGGCCGATCACCGGTGCTTAGTGCGCGTATGCGATTCGAGACCTTTTGACGGCCTCTCGGGACATTTGACGGTTCATCGCCAGCATCACTGTTGACTTCAGACACACTTTTCTGCCAGCGATCAATCTCTTCATTTTTCCGGCTCTGCTTCAGCTGCGCCTCGATCTCATTAGGGCTCGGGCCATATTCATGCCCCCGGGAATGAGGATCTAGCCCGTGACGGGCATCTGCATGGCTCTGCGAAAGGCCAACGCTGTGTGCGAAATCTGCAGAAGCAGAACCGGGGAAGAAAAGATCATTCTCCCGATTTTCATGATTGATTGAGCCATCTTGATGGCCAGAGGGCGAAAGGAATGAGGAACTGGGAAATGCCTCGATGGCCTGCTCTTCCGGCGAGTCTCCGCGTGACGTCGCTGAAATGGTGATGATAGGGCTCCGTCCCCTCATTGGAATGGAGGTATAGTCCGTGGAGATTGTCAATCTAGGTGGACCTTGAGATGGATCCTCAATCGAGCTGCTGTCCTGGCTTGTCAAAGCCAATGTATTTTCGGCCAGCATAGTGTTGAGATGATGCTGCACCGATGCCACCTCCGGCATGGATGACGGACTGGGCATCATGTACTCTGCGCTTGTATAGAGGGTCGGGTCGACCGTCTCAGATGTCAGCCATTTCGTATCAATGGCAGCAATTGAAGACAGATTCCCCGAGCTTAGACCGGACACCTGAAGCGGGCTTTCCAGAAACGCGGAGTCAGCACCTGTCACTTTGAGTGTCGAGATGTCCTCCCCCAAATTTGCGACCTTGTTGGAGTCCTGGAATGTGCACCCCTGAGGCTGCCCGGCGAAGCAATCGGCTCCCTCCACAGAAGACGGGTCATCGGCAACAGCCCCAGTCTTGGAGGTCAGACGAAAGGCGCTCGCATCGAACTCGCCTTGCTCGGGATCAGAGGGCTGTGCTGTCAAAAATGGATCATATGGATCCGACTGGTACGGCTCCAACGGCGAATAGTGGGACCCCGCTTTGACAGGAGAGATCCCACGATGGTGTTCCGCATACTCGGCAGCGGTCGCCATGCCGAAAGTTAGATCTTTTTTCAGATCACTGGACGCGAGATTATTGATCCGTGCAGGCAAAGACTGATTGGGTGAGCTGATCTCCGACGGGGGCGAGACAGGCGCTGACGGAGGGAACTCATTGAGGGGATATTGGTACGGATCGCGTTGAGCCAGTTCGGGGCAAGTGGTATACCAATTCTCGGTCATCGGGTTGACAACCCCCACTTGTGAGATCACTAGACAGGTCCTTCAGGCGGAAGAGTCGTACAGTTGGGGCACTGTTCTGCTCTGCTGGGTCTCTCTCGCGGTCTGTCTTGTCAGATCAACGAGAAGTGGGCGCAACTCCGGAACAGTTCTCACTGCCAGCGGCAGACCCGAGAAGGAGGGGACTTGGAAAATTGGGGGCCAGACGGAATGACAAGCAGCTAACGACGGGTCAAAGGAGTCGTTTCCACGCCAGACCAAACTCGAGTATAACGTAGCGTTGTTCACAGCTTGCAAGAACGTGATATTAGATAGTGCAGAAAGTGTCCGGAGCAGACCTAGGGGGCAGAAGACCGACTAAAAGAACCCGGTGGGTGACTCCGATTCTAGTTTGTCCTGGTCGAGCTACCCTGCAGACAGTTTGACAGTCCGTTCCTTTCGGGTTTTGGCGCCTGTGGCAGACGAGAAGGGGGTTCAGCCTTGAGAGAGTCGGGGTATCCGCTGGCCACGAGCCTGATTTAGCGCCCGGGTGTTGCAGTACATCGAACACAAGAATAACTTCCCTGGCGCTGTATCTCTTGGGGTGAGTGACCTACTGGGAAGTCGCTACTAGTCTATGGTCACGGGTCGCAAGGCACGAGATACGGGAAGATTGCAGGAGCTCAAGACGTCGGTTGAAGTCAATCACCTCGGGGTACCTGGCTACCTGTACCTGACACTACCTGCAGTGCCGAGGGAGGTACTTGGACTCCTGCGGTACGGACATGCGCTCACAGCCAGCCGGTGATAAACAGAGACCCTTTCCACAGGGTAAAGGTTAGAAGAGGAAAGTAAGTGTGTAGTGTATACCCTAGGCAGTTCCACAAATAATTTCGTCGACTTCGAGGCAGATGGGTACCAAACCTTCATCTAGATCAGGCCTCGAGTTCACTGTCGACCTCCACCAGTCAAAGCTAGTACTTTACTCATCAGTAAGTAGTAGTAGGTACTAACTTAAGTGGATAACTTAGTAATTAGTACTAACTACTAGTTAGTTAAATACTGACTACTTACGATTTACCACTGTACACTGTACACTGTACAGAACTTCCAAAATTGCATCATCCACCAAACAAGGCAGACCGCAAACTGCAGCACGTTCGCATACGCCATGGCGGCCACACAGCGATGTGCGGTGTCTCCAGTCTCCAGTGCTCCACTGCCAGTCAATGTCATTGCGCGCGACGGAAGCATCTGAAACAGGAACGGTCCCCTGTCAAGACTCAAGACTCCAAGCTGCCCAGGTCCCCGAGACTGCGCCACCTCTTGTCGTTTGTCTGGAGCCAATTTGCTTGAGTTGCACACCGCCACACCCTCTGGCCATCCAGCGATCAGCCACATGACGGATTCATTGGGAGCGTTTGTGTCCAACAGATGGTGTCCAACTACACCGTTGCGGGAATGTTCGGCTACGTGGTCGTACGGTAATCAACTATGGACATGGTATTGTGGTCTAGAATACTTTTCCACCGCAAATTGTGGAATGACACCTGGGATTAGGTGGAAAACGAGGCAGGATCTCCGGGAAATGGAAACCAATGGGCAAGTGAAGCATTGCAAGTATGTAACTCTACGCTCAAGATGGAAATGAAGGCGGGTAAGAAGACTACCTTATCGACTGAAACGACAACATCCTGAATTCATCATTGACATATGAAGACGCACACAATATTAACAACAAAACCGTGATTGACCCAGAAGAAACTTGACGTCCCAACAAAACTTCAAACCCTCGCTTTGACAACCTTCGCTAGGCTAAATAGACCGAGACCAAAAACACAGAAACCGAAAAGTCACACATTAACAACCACTTCGTCTCTCGCATTCACTCACACATCACCGCTCTACAGGTCTTTCCCTCTTCTGGTCTCTCTCTCTCATGTTCAAGCTTCAACAGCGTGTCCCTTTGCGTTGGGACTGCTCGGTGGTGAGAGACACACTACCTTCTTCTGTATCGGGGTGGAACTCCGCACCGGCAGCGACCCGCCTGTTGGCAATGCGCCACCCACCGGCTTAGGGGTCGCGCATCGAGGCGCAGGAGACTCGGACCGAGCCGGGACCGAGGTCGAGAGTTTGACAGCTTCATTCTCGGGAGTCGGCGGGGGACTGATCGGTTTCTCCTCAATCTGCGGAGATTTCTCACTCTCATCAGCGGGTTTCACGACTTCCTCGGTGCCCTTGCTCAATTCCTGTAAGCGTGCGATGACCACCGGCGAGTCCATGTACAGCACTTCGCCCGCCGCGTAGACACATGGAGTTTCACGGTCCGGATCGCTTGCAAAATCCTCATGGGCGGCTTCTCGCACGATGCGTGGGAATGTGCGAAGCACAACCTGTCGTCTACCCTCAGGCTTGGAGAGACTCTTCTCGGGGGAGCCCACCTCGTCCTTGGAGGTATACTCCACCCAGCCATCTGACTCGACCATCTCATCGCCTGGTGCAGGGAAGTGTGCAATGACCAGCTCTCGTTCGACTCTGGCATGTCGCCAGGTCTCGGCCGCGAGCTTGACAATCTTCCTGACCGCAGTCAGAAGAGAGTCTAGCTGACGAGGATCAGCAAAATGACGAATTTGATCAATAATTTCATCAACAATCACAGCGGCGGCCACGTTGATTGACTGCTTGGCATCAGAGGTGGTGTAGGCCGCCTTGAGTGTCTGCTGGCGCCAAAAAGCTTCGCGACGCACGGATTTACGGCGGATATCCGAGGACAGCATTTGGAAGAATGTGTCGGCCTTGTCGTAGCGGCGACCGAGGGTGAAGAGGAATGGTTGGAAAACACGGTAAGTCAGAGTTTTGGAGACAATGTGCTGTACGTAGGCAGCGCGAAGGGCTCGAGACGGGGGCGAATTGTCCAGGAAGGATGGAAGCTCGGAAGGGATCTTGGAAAGAATATCCTTGGGGGGATCGATCGGTAGATAGACAAAGTATTCGTTTGACAGATCAGCGATGAGAGTTGCGAGTTGGGTGAAGCAGTCCACACTAGAAGTTCATGCAAGAAGGCGTTAGAACCTTGTGTAAAAGATATCTAGATGTCGTTGTAGGAAAAAAGATCGGTTTGTTTGAAACACGACGGGAAGATTGACATTCTATAGCGTAGCTGGACCAGAGATCATGGTAGTCGTTGCGGAGCAGCCGAACGTTTATGTATAGAAACGCTCAAACAGACGTGAAAGAGAAGCAACGAAGGGTGGGAACCGACAGTGGTCGCTGATCATGCCGAGGGGTTGATGAAAGCAATAGATAGATGGCGAAACAACTCGAAACGCTGGAAAGGACCACGATACAATAGGAAAAGTCTACTTACAAGAATTGATCACCCTTGGTTGTTTTTAGATCAGTCGCCTCCCCAAGACTCTGCAGTGTTCGTCGCAGCCGGTCACAGTCATGGTCCAGATTGTCGATCGTCGATCGCATCTGCTCCACTGCACGTTGAAGCTGCTGTTCCTTCATCAATCCGTCCCCTTCGAGCTTATCTTTCTCTCGCTCCGCGCTGCTCAACTCTTCATCCTTCTCATTGAGAAGCTTCTGCAAGGCAGCTCGCTCAGCTTCCCAATGTTTTTCCTGCTCCTGGAAATGAGTCTCAAGATCGGCCATCTTCTCCTGGAGTTCTTTGGCGGCAGCTGCGAGTTGTTCTTCATGGCTTTGGCGAAGGTCTGCCGCCTCGGCGGCGTGGCTGGCTCGGAGAGCATCTTGCTCACCAGAGTGAACTTTTCGAAGCTCTTCACAAGCCTCGGCGTGTTCTTTCCGTAGGTCCTCCAGCTCTCTGTTTTTGGCTTCAAGCTCAGCAACCCGAGAGACAGCCTCTTCGCGGACAGCATCAAGCTCGGCAGCTTGGTTCTTCAATTCGGACTCTTTGCTCTCGATCACAGCAGTCTTGGAAGCAACTTCAGACTTGATGGCCTCCACTTGTCCTCGCTGTGCCTCTAGATCGTCTTCGAGTTCCTTCTTCTCCTTGCTCCAGTCCGCCTCGGCGGCCTCAAGCTGATCACGCAGTTCCTTTTCGCGGACCTCCAGTGTCTCCAGAGCAGCCTTTTCATCCTCGCCCTTGATCTCCTCAAACAGCTCAGTCAGTTCCTGTTTCTGGGTCAGGATTGCTTTGCTGTGGTCCTCCTTTTGACGCTCCATTTCGGTAGCGTGCGTCTCAGCTGCAGCCTTTATCTCTGTGGTCAATCTTTCGACCTCAGCTTCGAGGTCAGTTTTGCTTTTCGAGAGCTCTTCGTTAGTCTTTTGATGATCTGCCAAGCCGTCTTCAAGATCCTTCTGTTTTTCTTGCAAGTCGCCGACTTCAAGGCGAAGCTCGTTGATTATGTTCTTGAGTTTGGCACATTCTTCAGCGCTTTCGTTGGCCGTCTTCTTCATTTGAGATTGCAATGCCTCGATGTAGAAATCTTTGTGCATGATCGCTTGCTCATGCTGATTGCCAATTTGCTTGATCTCAGCTTCGCGGCTGTTGAGCCTGGTATGCGTGTGACGGAAGCCATGGAGAAGACGGTTGATATCCGGGATAGCCGACTGAATTCGCTGTAACAGCTCAACGTGCTCCTGATCATTCTCCGGAGGGGAGATGACGCCATTCTCATTGATCTGCCCGTTGCCCAAGCCGAGATTTTGAATGGCTTGGAACGAGGCCGCGTAAGGCTGACTGGATCCACTGTAGCTGCGTTGCATGTAATGGCTGTCGTGTGGCTGATGCTGTGGAGGAGTGTACGGATTATATGGTGGCACAACACCAGCCGAGCTCATCACTGGAGACTGGGTTGCAGATGCATAGCTGTGAGTGGCGGACGGAGGTGGCATCGGGGCCATCGCAGACCCCGTAGCCGGCTGCGCTGCGGGCGGAGGTGGGGTCGCAGTAGGGGACATCACCGGCGATGCGTATGAGTAATGCGACCTAGCAAGAGGGCTGCTGACCTTGGGCACCGGGGAGTGATAGTAAGGAGCCGAGTAATGGGGTGTCGCGTACGGCGAGTAGGGCAGTGGAGGCGGAGGATAATAAGGGTAGTAATGGGCTTCGGGAGAAGCACTTGACATAAACCGTGCCTCAGTCAAAGACGGCGATGGAAGTGGCACCAGGGCCGGCGGCGATGGATAGGGAGCAAAGGGAGATGAGACCTGAGCCCTCTCGGGGTACTCGGTAGGATACGCCGGGTAAGCTGAGTAGCCAGGATAGCCGGGGTATTGAGCGTAAGCTTCTTCGTAAGCTGGCTGTCCTTTTGGGGTTTCTGGTGATGGCTTGGGCGTGCTACGGCGCGTAGAGGTTTGCGAAGACCGGCCGGGTGGACGATACTCAGGGTGCTCTTCGTACCGCTGATCAGGGCTGTCCTTGGGGTGGTGATGACCTTCGAACTGATCTTGAACGTGATGTTCTTCGTACACCGGCTCGCCTGTTTGCTTTAGGGCTTGTGATCCTTCCTGCTCTTCTTCGTTCTGAGGTGTTACAAGACACTCCAAAGATGGTGAGGGTGACACTGATGGAGCGTCCACCTCGAGGAAGTCGTTCACTGAGAAGACCTGCTCATGCGCTGGGTCTGGTAGTTGAACTGATGGCTCTGAGACCCGAATCGATTCAGCCTCTGCTTCCACAAGCTCCAGGTTGGCACTTGTGGGTGAGCCAGCAGGTGTCTGGGCTTCGTTGATTTGAATGATGTCTGTGGGTTCTGGATCCGCGACAAGATCTGGGCTCGTCGCCTTCTTATTCTTCTGCTTCATCAGGACTTTGCCATGCTTCGCATTGCCCTTGGCTTTCTTGCTACCTAGCACCATGATGGTCGGCTGATGAGTGCCCGAGATCGTTGGTTGAGAATAGAAGCAGACGTGTTCCCAATGGTCTGAGTGGATTATTGCGTGCAAAAGTGCGACAAGGACTTATCTGTCGAGTCGGCTGGAGGATGAGGCGATTTTGCTCCGCAGTGTACATTTGCAAGATTAATCTGACAATGACTTGAAATATAGTACCAAGATGGTCTACTACAGACGTGAGTAGACGCAAAGATCAAGGTAGGCAGCGAAAGCCGGGTTCTCGGAAAGCTCAAGGCACTCAAATGAGAGGCTTGGGCAGACAAAGGAGCAAAGCGAGAGAGCACACACGAGCCAGATGGTCTGACTGTTGAGGATTATGGGCTTGTAGTTGGCCACAAGCACACAAATGGGGGTGATACACGAAGACAGGGCAACCAGTCTTCGTTCAGGAGTTCTTCAGGGCGGTTCGATTCTCAATTTGATGAGAGTCGAGTGGATATAATTTTGAGTGATATTGTTGGCACGTATCAGAAATGAAAAGGAGAGGGAGAAGAAGAAAAAGAAGACGAGTATGAAGTATCATGGAGTCTGGCCATGCACCTAACTACAACGGGAATCTATTTTCGCATTTGTGTGGGGGAGACGAGCTGCATTCCCTGGGTCTGAACTGGCCGGGGCAGATGTACAATACCGTATGTAATGCTGGAGATGATACAGCACGATACAGTAATAACAGTACAGTCTCACACTCGAAATGTTGCATCGACTCTCGAGTCATTCGAGATTTCGGCGAGGAGCACAGGTGAATGGTGCGTGTGCTGTCCCGCCCGGTCGTCGCCTTCGAAGAGCTGTCCACACGGAAAGGGCTCGTAAGTTGGAGTGCCTCGAATAAGTGTGGCTGTGGCAGTAACTTGGGTATAACCGCGACGGACCGAACCGTTTCTAGATTCTAGTGTGGATGGTTTGTGATACCTTAATGCGCAAAGGTTCTTGTGCACTGCCCAGCTGCAACTTGATTGGGGACCAATTGACAGCGTCCATTGAGGAATGCTAAGCGAAATGCTGGTTGACTCCCTGGGAGGGCATCATTTATTTCAATTCGAACTGAAGGCATAGCCAATGGGGATAAATGATGTGTGGGCGTTGGGCGTTGGGCATCAACCGGCTTGGGCACGATGGACGATAGGAGCCGTAAGGTAGTTACCGTACGGTTCTGTCGTAGGGCAAGCAAGAGCAAGTTTGGACATTCGGTGGGGACCCAAAAGACGATGCAATCAATGCCTCGTGACGCGGGACTCGACGAGTCGAGTGACTACTTGAGTCAAATAGGAGTTCAAAGCCTGTTAGTTATCCCTCGCGCTCGACGCATCGCTTGGGTGCCTTGTTGTTGCCCGAATGCTCCTTGGGCAAGGTAGAGTGCGCCAAGTCAGAACCCGATGGATGTGGGATCCAAGGACATACACATCTCGGATCGGCAACGTAGTGGATTTCCAACCTCCCGTTTCCACGACATCCATTAGGTTTGTAAAGCTGGAAACTCTCGATAGATTCTGGGATGTAGGGACCTGCCCCTCCTTCACTGTACGCAGGTGAACTATGATAGAGTAAGATTACTCCAGCCTAAATTCAGATCATTCCACCCATGATTCACCATGTGCCATATGGTACAATGATATATTTGTTCGCGAGTGGGCGGTCGTCGCGGGTGATACGTAGGTAATGGGAGGATTTCGCAAACGAGCAATATGTACATTAGACGATCTTCTGATAGCTTTTATGATTTATCTTAACAAGAGAGGAATCAATTCTTTTCCAAAGTCCCCTCAAATTGCCCAATAACCTCAGGGATCAAACTGCCGTGAGACTGCTACTTGTCTACGTGAAGGGCTCCAGTTCACCTGGTATTTCAATAGCTTAAAACTGGCATCAGATTCATAGTCTGAGTATTCCCGTGTAAGGCGCTCCGTTCGGCAGTGTTGAAGGTCCGGTGTTTATAGTAGGCTGGGGTTCATGGTGTCCTACAGAAGACAACAATTGAAGATCGCTCTCTCGTCTTTCTTTGTGCATTCTGCTATGTGGGAGATCAGTCATCTACGCTACATTAACATTCTTGCTCAGAAAAGGGTCTGCAGATGTTCGAATTGCAAGTTCTACCCTGATATAGTGCTCCTTTGGGGGAAAGGGGTTGTATATTTGCTTGATTACGAGGTCGAGTTTAGATCGGTCTAGAAAGAGGTAACAGAGGACTTTTTAGGTAAAGGGGTTGACCTTGCGCGTGTCATATTTACCGCGCAGCAAAGCAACAGTCGTTGTGATGATTGCCATAAAATAATGGTGATTGCCATGTGGGACTCAATGAGGCCCTACTTTTTTTTTGATTTACTCCGCGCAACGTAGAATATGTTAGTTGAGTTAAACTAGCGTTCAAGAGAAATGTCGAGACTACTATGGTATGGAAGGGACGCTAGGCTCAATCCAGCCGACATCACGTGATTAGAACGGATCACCAACTTCGTCCTAATATCACCGTCCGCAAGGGCATCATCATTTGTGTCTTGCAAAACTTCGCGTCAGAATCATGTTCGCCGCTAGACGTTCCGCTTCCACGACGCGGCAGCTTTTGCGCCAGACCCCTCGTCGGTTTGGCTCCCATTCCGCCCACTCCGAGCCCGTGAACGAAAGCTTCGGCGTAAGCTCCTCCTCCCCCGCTGGACGAGCCTACAAGTTGCCCACAAGCAATGAGAGCCTCGGACGATTACTGTTCGCCTGAAAGAACCTGCTGACTCGGTTCCTACTTTGAACAGCGAAGCTTCTACGTGGTCATTGGCACCATTGCTGGCTCTTACGCCCTCTATCGCGCCAGCGCTGCCAGCCAGGAATCCGGCTCCGAGTCCTTCATCTCCAGCCTGGTCAACAAGTTCAACACCCCTCAGGAAGTCCTGGAGCAGCGCAACGCTATTCACACTGCCCTTCTTGAGAAGGCCGCCGAAGATCGTCACCTTTTCCAGACCCAGACCGGCCCCGGCTACTATGAGCTCAGACAGCCCGAGTACGCTGTGCCCAACTCTCTACCCGTTTGCGCGACATGAACGCTAATGCAATAATAGGCTTCTGAACTCGTTCCCTCCCTACAATGTCTCCCCCGGCACTCGCGCCGACCTCAGCGCTGTGACGGCTCACTATCAGCGCCAGAACCAGGCAATTGAACAGGCTCGTGATGCGCGCATGAAGGACGGCAAGTACCAGTCCGTCTACGAATAAGCGTGCAGATCAAATCGTTGTCATTAGTTTTTCATTTTTACTTTTTCTGATGTTCTGTCGATTCGACTTGTCTGGTCTAGACACGTCACGGAAAGCAAATCATGTACATATATGCTGGGATCAAATATCCAATTCAGACAATCTGATCCATTCAATTTCATTTGTTTCAGGGCCCTTCTGTGCATCAATCGCTCTCATATTGAACGCTCTTCCAGAGCGCTCACCTGAATTAAAAGTGCAGGATGCGATTCCCTCAGTCAACACGATGTCTCACTTCTAGCACTACTCGACCAACTCCCTCAGACTGCACATCCAGTACCCGCTCAACCTGCAATTCATCACCACAAACATCCTTGAGCACGGCAAGGAACTCATCAACGCCCCCTCCAACGCCAAAATAGACCTTCTTGGCCGCGACCATGGCCCGAGAGCTTCCTATTTGTGTCTTTGAGCGGCGCAGCAGCGATAAGAGAGTTTCCGAAAAGGGCAGTAATGTTGCGGGTGAGTAGATTGTTTCGCTTGCAAGCACCAGGGTTTCGCAATTTTCAACCGCAGGACGAGAATAGACCAAGTCGATGAATTCGGGGGACCAGCCACCCGAAATAAGGTCGATGGAGATTCCGCGGCGTGCAAGGTCATTCTTGAACTCGTCGATAAGTTCGGGCGTGATATCCAATTCTTCCTCTTGGTCAGGACGGGAGGATGCTTGCGTGAACTCAGCATTGACTGTGCTCTGCGAGCGACTGCTCTGCCATGTCAACAGCAGATTGGGAAGAGTCACGAGACGGAGCACTGCGTCGTTGTAATCTGCGAATGTGAAATGCGCCTTGCGTCGACTCGCACTCTCACTTTCGTTTAAATTTGTCTGCGCGAGAATTTGGGCAAATAACGTCAAAGAGGGCACAGCAGTGCCTGCGCCGAGCTGGAAGTTTCGCGATCTCAGCAACTGTTTGATTCAATTTCTCCACTCGAGCGATCATGACACGTACCTCAATCATATGGAGATCAGTCTGCGAGTTGCTCAATGATTGGATAATTCTATCGTCTTTACAAGCCACATTGGCCAGGTCGAGGGCACACTCCCACGTCTTAAAGCCGCCTTCGTAGAAATTAGGCTTGAGGTCACCTTCTTCAAGGCCGGCAATGAGTTCGGCGTTGTCGTATTTCTCATTGTCTTCGGCCATTAATTGGGTACGAATATCGAAGATTTCTCGACGAGCGATGGTGATAGGTGCCTCGCCTATTGAGAGTCGGTTGTAGTATATTTGTGATGGAAGTATTGAGAGCTGAACGAATGTTAGCTTGGACTATCACATCAGATAGGATTGACTGAGCTTCATAATAGAGCTCGTGTGGAAACAGAGCGACAGATGCCATCTTTCGCAAATGATGAATCTTGGTGATTCTGATAAGAATGTTTTGGCTCGGGGTTTTTGACTCGACTTACCCATTCGTTGATGTCATGCTTGCGAGCCTTCACCAGCTCGGGAAGTGAGTTGGCAGTACCATTGGTAGCCACAATTTCCGGCACACTATTACTGAGCTCAGAATCGTCCATGTCGATATCATCCCCCGAGAAGCCAAAGCTGAAAGCCATAGCTGGCGAACTCTCTTTTAGAAGTTGTTGAAGTACAGGAAATAGAAGCCAGGGAGAAGGCAGTTTTAGCAGCCTCACTTCAAAGAACAGTCCTCGTGCAGTAGATTCTAGCCCAGATTTGTTCAATGAACTGTACGAATCCAGCGCGCTCTTGCTGACTATACGATAAAATCGACAAATGATATCTTGAACCCGTGTCACATGAAGAATGAACGGACCACCAAAAAAATTATGGTTCTCTTATCGATAAGGCTGACTCAGCCTCCGGGTACGGCGGCCGGACGGGAGCTTCAATTAGTACCTTAGTACGGTAGGAGTGTAGGTCCATTGGAACTCGGTATGCTCCCGCCAGGGTCGGAGCGAGCATGTCGGACGGGCTTGAGCTTCGAAATAGTCGGCTGCCCATTCCTACTAATTACCTATTAATACTTTCACATACGAGTCACTATAGTTGGCAGATGTATAGCCTTTCCTAAATGCCATTACCTTTGCAGTCTCCTGGCATTGGATTTCGCTGCTACCAATTTATGAGATTAAATAAATCGCAATTATATGCCTTGAAAATTGCTAGCCTCTTTGCCAATCGGTTTTGAACCAGTAATATTGGTGGTATACTGGGAGAGTTGGTTGATGGTGGAGGATCTGTAACCTCTGCGCCGACCATTTGGTGCGATTTGTATGTAGACCTCAGAGAGCTTGCCTGGAAGTTCCTCCGTGAGTGAGTATCTGCAGGAGCAAGATATTGCAAACTCTCAGCTCAATATTGATCCTTTGAGGATCGGCTGATTGTATTGAATCGAAGAGGCGTGAGATCATCACATTGCCCAAACGAGCCTAGAGCAGGAGTCTTAGATCCCGTCCAAATTGGGGGAATGGGGAAACATTACAGTAATTTCGAGCAGCGCCCCGGGGCAAGATCGGGTCAACGCTCAGAGAGAGGATCTTCATCTTTCTAGCAAGGCTGCGCCTCGTACCCACTGTAGAGTGTAGACTGTAGAGGGAGAACGTTTCCGTTTCGATGGGTCAAGCCCAGACCCGATCACGACTGACTTGAAATATTTATCATAGCCCTACTTCACTGTCTAGTTGTCTACTGTCTAGATTCTAGCCTTGTTTTCCTCCATGGAATTGGGGCCAAATGATCGCCTTGGGGCGCATCGGATACGCGGGTACCGTCGGTTGACGGGTCCCAAGGGCACGGGCTAGGCCCTTTTCTGTCGAGTTGGATCGATGGGCTTAGGATGAAGGTACACTTCGTACTTACTTAGTCTGACTGCTCAGTGATGGGTATTCGGGAAGAGTAGTCTGAAACAAGTCCCCAGACCATGAGAAGTCGGTGATAGTGTAGGAATCATGTTACGTGGCCATCTCAGCAGGTTCAGCTTCCTCATCGCGTTAGTGACCATGGGCACATGTTCGTTGTTGGACCCACTAACAGCTGATGGAGGCCTACCCGAAAGCATGGTGGGCATGGTGGTGGTGGATCAACGTCAAGCCCAGCCATGCACCTGAACAATCTGACCTCTCACTAAACAAACACCACCCATGAATGCGAATCCATTCCGGTCATATCTTCTTCAAGCTCACAGCACCACGCTTTGCAATGACCGTGATATAGCTATCTGCGATCTCGGTCTTTGCTATTGACCAGTCTGGTTGAATTTGGGGGCTGACCCGCTAGTCTACAGCTGACTGGGGGGTTAAACTTCGTTGCTGACTCGTTGCTTACGACCTGCGGCAGATACTCCGACTGCCAAGATCAATGGCCAGATGGACTGTATCTCCGTCTTTGGTACAGTTTCCCTTCATTGCAAGAATGGACTTTCAAATTACACTAGTCCGGTGGTGTATCAGCACTAGACTGTTCTTGAGCTTCCCAAGTGCCGCCGTGCAGTCGAGCCCAGTACCTACCTCAAGACATGCGTAATCACATGATGCCCCCTGAATCAAAGTACAAAACAATCGTTTCTTTTCATGACCGTCTTCCTGCTCCATTGAGAGCCTAGACACCGTCGCTTTTCAATTACCAGTCATGGCTGTCTCATCGCGGGCTACCAAGGCCGGCGCTTCGTCTGCCAGAACCACGAGCAACCATACCTCTACGCGGGCCGCGCAATTTGTGGATGGCGCCTCGGATGAGTTTGAATTCGGAGGTGCCATGGGATCGGCGATGTTGATGTCGGGTTTCCCTCTCTTGATGTGGTATATGTGGATTGGTGCGACGTACTATGACGGCAAGCTTCCTCTGCCCGAGGCTGACCAGACCTGGATCGAATTTGGCCGTCATCTGTGCCATCTCGTCTACGAGGGCGCGTATCCGACCAGCAAGGCTTGGGCTACGTACTGGATCTTCTTCATTGTAGAAGCGCTGATGTACTGCTACATGCCCGGTGTGTCAGGCTATGGTCGACCGTTGAAGCACGAAGGCGGCAAGAAGCTTCCCTACTACTGTTCTGCGTACTCGAGCCTCTATGCGACACTTGGCCTCGCTGCAATCTTGCATGCGACGGGTATCTATTCATTGTACACTCTGATTGACGAGTTTGGTCCTTTGATGACAGTGTCAATTTTGTCGGGCTTCCTCAACAGTTTCATTGTCTATTTCCAGGCGATCATCCGTGGACGCACACACCGACTGTCCGGATCACCCATCTATGATTTCTTCATGGGTGCCGAGCTGAACCCTCGCATTGGCATGCTGGACTTTAAGATGTTCTACGAAGTCCGAATTCCATGGTTCATCTTGTTGCTCATCACCTGCTCAGTGGCGGCTCGCCAGTACGAAACACTGGGTTACGTCTCTGCCGAGGTCGTTTTCCTGGTTGGGGCGCACTACCTGTACACTAATGCTTGCGCCAAAGCCGAGGAGATGATCATTACCACTTGGTAGGTGCCAAAACAGATTGCAAGGCGTCGAGGTCGTGGCTAATGAAGGTTTAGGGATATGTACTTTGAGAAACTCGGATTCTTGCTCACCTTCTGGAATATGGCTGGGGTTCCGTTCACCTATTGCCACTGCGCACTGTACTTTGCCAACCACGATCCCTCCGAATACCGCTGGAATCGATTCGCCCTTGCTCTGTTTGCCGCCTTGTACATCTTCTTCTACTGGATGTGGGATAGTGCCAACGGACAAAAGAATGCATTCCGACACAAGACAAGAGGAGAGTTCCACAAGCGCAACACTTTCCCTCAGGTCCCATGGCAGGCGATCGAGAATCCCATGACCATTCGCACAGATGCCGGCGATGACATTATGGTCGATGGCTGGTATGCCATCATTCGCAAGCCAAACTATGTCCCCGACATGTTCTTCTCATTCGCATGGGGCATGATCACCGGTTTCAAGTAAGCATCCAGAAGTACAACACCATGTCACATTTTCGAAGCTAACAATGGAAATAAAGAAGCGTGTTTCCTTGGTTCTATTTTGTCTTCTTCATGATGATGATCCTTCACCGCACCAATCGGGATGTCAATCGCTGCCGACGCAAGTATGGCGAGGCCTGGAAGCGATATGAGAAGGAAGTCCCCTACTTGTTTGTTCCTGTCAGTGCCACATCATCAGCAAGACGCATTATCCGGGTTTTACTAATGCTCCACAGTACATTTTCTAAGTGCAGTAAGCACTGCTCGCTAAAAGGGTTTGCGTCGGGTGTATTGAGCTATTGTCTGGTCTCTGATGTTCAAGAACGCGTCGCGCTTCGTCCCTCTAGGATTGCCAGTCTTGCAAGGGGGTTGAGTGACTTACTTGAAGTGTACACTTCTCTGCGATCTATACCATGTTCATGTCGTTTTTTACAAGGCGGTTGTTGAAGTGTTTTTGATGGACATGGAAAGCTGGAGAGTCTTTAATGTTTTGTAATATCAGTTCCAACGCAATGAATAGAAGATTTCTTGTTCTTCGGCTGCTCTGATTTGTTCACTTTGTGTTCTTCAGTTGTCTGTAGTTATATCGCGTGCTCAGAAGAACTCAACGCGCCAAGAGAAATTCCCCGTTCGTAGTAGTGCAATTCAATACAAAAGATTCTCAAACACTCCACTTCCCCATCAGTGGAATTTGACTTCATGTCTCGCGCTTGGTTAGTTATACCCCCTAAGTTTGCACAGGCTTGCACCACGGATGCAAATAAATGCCTCTTGGGATAATACGCGGCAATGCACTCCCGCCACTCCATATCCTCGGCCGTCGTCCCATCAATCGTCATATCAAAATTACGAACCATCGTCACAAAGGCAATATGCAGCTCTGCCCACGCAAGATTCATGCCAAAGCACATCCGCGGCCCCCGACTAAAAGGCACAAGTCAGTGATCAAGATCACTCCTCAGGGTGCTCATCGAACCGACAACCTCAGCATCCCTCGCCTCACTGCTCCTGGTCGTTTTCTCAAACCATCTCTCAGGTCGAACGTCCAGGACGTCTTCTCCCCCGACCGCGGTGGCTTGATGGACATGCAATATCGCCATGCCGACGGTGGTTCCTCCGGGGATGTGCGTGTCGGCTGTGATGGCGTCACCGGGAGGGACGACGCGAGTCAACGATACGCCGGATGGGATGAGGCGCAATGATTCCTTGAGAGTCGCCGTGAGTAAAAGCAAAGACTCCAAGTCGCTCAGGGATGGCTGAAACTCGAGGTCCGGCCATACGGCCAGGACTTCTCTTCTCAGATTCGCAAGTAGGACTCGGTTCCGCATCGTGTGCCAATGGCCCATGAGCCGCGAGTCTGCGACTGTGTTTGCGCCCGCGAAGATCAAGGTGAATCCTTCGTCGTGCAGAGCCTTCAGGCCAGGAAGTTGTTTGCTGCGGTATGCTTAGGGATCGAGCATTTGGTGGAAGAGAATTTGATGGGGTACTTGGTCCAGGTTGGATGGGCAGTTTAGGACGCCCTTGAGTTGTTGCTAGATCAGGTCGCGGACTTGATAGAGGCGGGGGGCTAGGGCTTCGGCGTTGGGTTCGAAGCGCATAACTAGTGATGGGGGGACGGCAAGGGTCAGATCTCGGATCATGGGGAAGTTTTTGAGAAATGGTAGCATTTTGAGACTGGCGTCCATGGCTAGAATGATTGGATCGCTGAAGGCAGGTGCGTCGAGTGCGTTGACGCAGCCGCCGAATGTGAAACACAATGATTGTGTCGAGTGTGAAGGAACGAAAGGCGTATAGAGGGTCAACGAAGCTTTTGGTGGCCGTGATGTTGTTGATGGAGGACGCGAGACGAGTGGCCTTGTGACGGGATAGGCACGGCATGATGAGTATCTTTGACTCGAACGCATCAAAATGCCTGAGAGCACTGGGAAAAAGGATACAGGTTCTTTTCACTTACATTTCGCCAGACAAGATGCTCTAAGCCTTTGTTGGCGTTCTTCGAGAAGAACACTGCATGAGCAAAGGTACATGAACAACACGACTAAATCCTGACATGTGACTAACCGTATTTCTCATGAAGAGCAAAGAGCTCTCGGGCCAGTGTCTGTTTTTTCATCACCGCTTTGTATGCCTTCCAGCTTGACGTAGCTCCCGCGAGCCATGGCCCGGGAAAGCTGCGCAATGGATGCAAAAAAGACATTGTAAACAATCCGAAAAATCTCATACAGAGCCGCAGTCGTCAGCAGCGACACCAATAAGACATAGAGCGCCTTAATGATTGCTGAGGTTCACCAAAAGCTGGAATATAGATTTGCCAGAATATCTGAGAGCAAAAAGCTCATACTTAACCACCACCTCCAACGCCCAGGTCTCCCCTCACAGCCTCGATTTCTTTGATTTCCCTGATGATTACCTACATGGCTCGTCGAATTTTTCATTCCACGTGTGAGTGAGGGAAGTCTCTGTCAGAATTGCTCTTCCTATTCATCCATGGGGGGGGGGGGGACGCTCAAAGTTCAGCCGGTGGGAAGGCCTTGCAGTCGGAGAAGACTATATCCACCGGCGCTTGGGGTTTTCATTGCTTGTGATCCGTCTAGATGATTACCCTCTGGCTGCACTATGATATTAGGTCCACTGAACATGATTCTTCACACTCCCGTGAGAGTAGTAGTGCCTTGGCGGGGTTCGAAGAACAATCCTCACAGTGAACTCTGATTATCGAATCGAGCCACATGGCGAAATAAGCGAGCGATTTGTTGGACTTGATGATCGGTACCTTTTCAGCCCGAGGTGGGCTGTGTCTTGGCTGCCACGTATGAGAGTGCCACCGTTGTCACAGATGTCATTGATATAAAGATCAGCCTGACGAGATAAAACAGCTTCGCTTTTCTCCGATTCAGCCTCAAGCCGAGGACCTCTAGAAGCTTAAGCAATTTATCTTCTAACCAGCATCTAGGAGGACACGTTCCAGTCTCGTTATTTTGATCTGAATACCTGTTTCTAAGAGTAAGGAGTACTCACGTTGGCCTATGTTCACAACTGATATCAACCATCTCTCTACTACCACGTGGGTGACCTCATTCTCACGCGCACTGTCCCCTCTCCTATCAGTCGACTACTGCCGTCAACAAGGATGGTCTAAACACAATGCCACCCTTCCCGATATACCATCGAAGACCGCGAATTTCCAATTCAAGCAATGAACGAACATCCAAGGGTTCGACCCGTCCGATATCTAGAAGCCACGCCCCTGCACACAACAAACCGGAATCCCCGACAAACCACACCCACCCCAAAACGATACGAAGCCTACACGTTCCTCCAAGTCGTTGAGACCTTACAGCGTCTTGAGCAAAAATGCAAGTCCCTCGAAGAACGCATACACTTTCTGGAGCAGCAGTCCGGCGAGCAGAGTCCGGCTTCTGCGGGGATTCCTCTTCCAACAGGACCCGCTAGTTCGGGAGATCTTCGCGCTTGCGCAGTCCGTTCGCAGAGCGTTTCCGAAACAACTAGTACGACATGTGATTCTGCTGGTGATTATTCATACTCTGGTAATGAAAATGGAAGCTGGTGCTGGTCGCTTGAAGAAGCTTTTGATGTTGGGTTGGGCTGCGAGGCTGGGGAGATGCCGATGGAGGGTTTTGTTCAGGTGGTTCGGCGGGATGGGATTGGGGAAATGAATGTGGATGCATTTGCGGAGTGAGCTTGGTCAGACTGGACTGGAGTGAGCCCTCGCTGACTACCTGTTTGAAATACATACTTAGTGCCAAGATTGTTTTCACTTCTCTTGAGAGAAACCCTGCTTAGGAGGAGGAATTGCTCTTAAGCCTGCAAAGGCTCTCTCTGACTCGTGCGGATCCGAGGTGTGCTAAACTAGTAGCTCCCCGGAGGATGCGACATTACTAGTAGGTTTCTCGCAAGGACGAAGATCATGTACTGGTGACAACGAGATATCAAAATTGAAGTTGATTATTCTGAAATCATCAGAAATAGCAAAAATGTTTTTGGTCCTTTGCTGGAGGACATGCAATATGAGTAATGCAAATGTTCCAGCCCGGACAAGGGTCCCTGTCGCCCAATGGTGACCTTCTACGGTCATCACAGACAGGTCCTTCACGCCAGGCAGATCGCACAACATAAAGGAGAATCGTCTAGTACTCTATGAAATTTCCACCATGAAAAGGATATGCAAAAGAAAGGGGGGAGAAAATGAAAACAAGAAAACAAGAAACAATCGCACACGGTCATTAATATATCAGCGGGAAATCACGCCCTTTCAGGCGCTGCCGTTGGCTGCGCTGGCCAGCTCCAGAGCCTGAAGCACATCCGTAGTCAAATCGGCGGCATCCTCGACACCACAGCTGAGACGGACAAGGTCATCGTAGACACCGGCAATCTCACGCTGCTCCTTGGGGATACCCGCGTGGGTCATGCTGGAAGGGACCTCACAGAGGGACTCAACACCACCCAGGGATTCGGCAAGAGTGAACACCTTGGTGTACTTGCAGAAGTCATGGGCAGCCGCCTGGCCACCCTTGATGCGGAAGCTCAACATACCACCACCCATACCGTTGCGGTGCTGCTTGATAGCGATCTTACGCTGAGGATGGGAATCAATACCGGGGTAGTTGACGGAGGTGACGTGGGGAGAAGCCTCGAGGGCCAGGGCCACGGCGGTAGCGTTGGTAGTGGCCTCACGAGCGCGCAGGTGCAGGGTCTTCAGACCACGGTGGGCCAGCCAGCAGTCGAACGGAGAGGGAATAGCGCCGATGGCGTTCTGAAGGAATGAGAGACGCTCCTTGAGAGCGTCGGAGTTGAAGGCAGCAACTCCCATGCAGACATCAGAGTGACCGTTGATGTACTTGGTCACAGAGTGAACGACGAGATCGGCGCCGTGGTCCAGGGGGTTCTGCACGTAGGGGCTCATGAAGGTGTTGTCAACGACCACCTGGATGCCATGGCTATGGGCAATGTCGGCGACAAGACGGATGTCGACCAGGCCGAGAGTGGGGTTGGACGGCGTCTCGATCCAGACAAGCTTGGTCTCCGGACGGATCAACTTCTCGATGTCAGACTCGATCGTAGGGGTGAAGGTGACCTCAACGCCGTGAGCGGAGGCGACCTTGGTGAAGTAGCGATGGGTGCCGCCGTAGACATCGGAGACAGAGACAACGTGGGATCCTGCGGCGAGGGACTGGAGAATGTTGGCGGTAGCGGCGGAGCCGGAGGAGTAGGCAAGAGCGTACTTGGCGTGCTCGAGAGCAGCCACGGCCTGCTCAAAGTTGTCGCTGTAGAATCAGGTTAGTGTCAGATAGATGGTCTCCAAAGTAGAGGAGGAACCGGATGCGGGCAGAAAAGGCAAACTCACCGGTTGGGGTTGGAGCTGCGGGTGTACTCGTACAGACCGACGGGGTTACCGACGCTGGTCTGAGCAAACGTTGTGGAGAGCGAGATCTAGAGCGAACACCACATGTGAGTAAACCATAGATGGGGGCATACGTCAACTTTACACAAGCATTGGCTCGTCACCGGCAAAACGGGTGTTCTGCCGAGGAGAGGTGAGCAACATACCGACTCAATCACAGCGCCGGTGGCGGGATCATGGGGGGCGCCAGCGTGGACGGCGAGAGTGCCGAAGCCCCGAGCAGTGGTCTTGTTTTCCTCAATAGAACCCATTACAGTGTATGTCTGAAAGATGAAGAAACTGGAAGCAAGTCACAAAGGAATTGATCGTTGAATATATGTAGATCTAAAGAGAGAAAAATGCGGTGTTAAAAGACGTGATTGCGCAAGGAAGACGATGAAATCACCGGCCTGGGAAACTCGGCGGCCGAGTCTTGGTAACGTACCTTGATGCGGCGCTGATTAGCAAGCAATGTATGTAGGACTTTTGGAAATGGCAAAAGAGGGAAGAGCACAATGGTTATGTAGTCCTTGAAGATTATTAATTCTTCGATAATAGTCTATGCTGGCTCAGTCCTTTGACTTCTAGCAAGGCGCTCGAAATTGGAATTTTTTTCCTTCTCTTCCAGTCCGAGAAAAAAATTTCGAGGCCCGTGAACTATGGAACGGAGAATGTCGACATCGCTGTTACGTGAGTCGGACCCTTCTGACGGGAAGGTGATCGATCATCAGAACATGATTGGGTTGAAGACTGGGAGTTGATCCACCATATGGGGCTCATCCGTTATTCCATCACGGCGCCCGGGTCGGACAATGATTGAGATCACTCCGACTGATCGGAGTGATCGGAGTAATGGAGGATGTTCTTATCTAATCGATTCGGTTAGCAAGAACGCCATTGCGCGAGGGAAACTTGGAAGGGGCATGCCATATCAGCCAAGACTCTGGAAAAGACGCCGGACGCCGTCGGCCACGAAGATGACACGCAGTGATCCTTTGACAAATAGGCTCGGGCGTGTGGTCCACGAACGCGGGGTCATCTTATCAAACTGGGACATCATTGGGGTAGGTATGACAAGACGGACAAGGTACCATCACCCCCGCTTGATAACAGCAATGCTAAGCAGTAAGCACAATTCGTTTGTCATGTCGATAAAGAGAAACTGCAAAAGTTTTTGATTCGGTATCATTGAGCTCTTCATCATGGCAGAATGGAAATGGAATGGAGCATGTCGCATAGTTCAGCCCCTCGTGTCTTCCAACATCCATGTCCGTTGGTGAACATTGTCCACTTGTACTGTAGGTCAAAGCTGTAAGTTAGGTACTCGCGATGAATTTCAAAGTACTGGATCGGCGGATTGTCATAACTCCATGTTCCGTATGCCATTCGGTCTGCCCCGCTCATTTCGTCAATATTTCTAAGCTTCCGTCGCTGTTACAAACGACCAGCTACTGTTCTCAATTCACAACCCGAGGGCTGCCAGCTGGAGGGCATCGCTGTTGAATGCACTACCCTAGTTGAGCTACTAAAGGACGACGGTGATCATTCAGGTGTCATCAAAGGATGAAAACAACATCCGAAAAAAAAGCTCTGATTTACGCCTGGTCCGCTATGTACCTGATCTCACATGGGTATCTGATCTGTAGAAAATAATGCACTCCCCTTGAACACTGAAACCGTTCTCTTCGTGCCGCGATCCTTGAAGAACCAACAAGGTTGAATCTGAATTGCGAGAAACCTCTCACCACCAAGTGATTGGTCCGAGACCGTGGATCTGCATCGAGCCCTAGAAAGATCTCTGTCAGCTGAAGCTCCGTTGAATGATCCATGAGCAGGTGGACTTACAAAGATCGAATACGCAGGCTTCCGCTCGGTAGCCAATTCTTCGCCCAGATCTGGGGCATTCGGGATCTGGTCATGCCACTCTTCCGTCTCGACGCGGAAGCGAACGATTTCGCCAACGTCCAGGTAGAATAGGGTGCCGTCGTTGTCCCAGGTCCAGACTTGATCCGCATAGTCACTGGGTTCCAAAGTCAGTAACGCTGGCCCTGCCGAGATGTGAATAAGGGAGCAAGACGTACAATTTGGCTCCATCCATGAGCATAGGTGGAGGGATAAGAATATCGTTGAAAAACTCAACACTGACTGCGCAAATGTGAGCACACCGTCAATCACAGCAACGACTTTCTCGACACATACTTTTGATCCCGTTCTCCGTACCACTAGAGATTTTACCAAGCAAGATCTCGCCCTTGAACGGCCGGAAGACGATCATGCGGAATTTGACTTGTAACGAGTGAGCCAGCTTGTCGAGATTGGGCTGGGAGACCTTCAAACTTGCTCACCGTTGACATTGACAAGGCCCGTTCCATGGCCAATCAGGCCATCTGATGACTCGAGCAGATCGTAGAAGCTGATACATAAGCCAATTTTTTGAATCACCTAAACGAATATCAGTAACAGTGGTCATATTATTTGTAGCTGGTTTCCATACCTTATTGGCGTATTTTTCATTGATATTGTCTTCAATTGCAATTGCACTGAGCTTAGAAAAGTCCTCAGGACGAATCTGGATCAGATCCGAGATAGTGGTCTGTGGTGGTCAGTCATGCTATACAGAAAAAGAAAATTTCGACCCTCCGCGGACGGCCATGGCGCCAACTTACTAAAATGAACATGATCAAGTTCTAATCAAACAAAAAAAAAGACACCGAGAGAAAGAGAAGGAGACAAGAGGACCAAGCTTCAAAAAATGGTCTCTCTCTTACAATATCGTGCGCTAGGGAGAGCACTTGGTCTAAAGATTGAAATCCGGTCACTCTCCAGACCAGCCCGATAATGTCACGTGATCAACGGAGCTTCTCAAGATAGGTCCAGCTCTGCCGAAACTTTCGCGTCGAAGCTTGACTCCGCGATATGGTGTAAAGGTTTCCCAAACGCTGGGACCTCAGAAGAGGCACGGCAAATATGACTTCTCAGGGATTTTCATTTCCACCACCTCCCCCACCTCCTCCTCCCTCAACGCAACAGCCTCCAGCATATCCTGCTCCTCATACCGGTCACCAACAGCAATGGGCCGGTCGTGGATCGGGAGGCCGAGGCCGTGGCCGCGGCCACGGCAATCGAGGGAGAGGAGGAGGAGGTCATCACAATTCGGATAAGAACCGACCTACTTATACAAATCCGTCGGGCTATAATTGTCCACCTGGTGGTTATGGCTATCCTGGGCAAGCGCCCCCAGTTCCAACAACGTCGTACATGTCGCCAAACCCAACTCCCGCCCCGCCGCCATATCCTCACTCCATACCACCTTATCAGCATACACAACAAACGAACATGTATCAGCATAGCCCCAGCTATACGCAGCCTACCGGGTCGACGGTGTACCCGGGACTTCCTGGCTACAGTCATCCAGCGCCCGCAAACCCAGCGCATACCACATCATATAACGCACAAACACCTCACCCGTATCCGCCCAGTCTGCCTCCACCGCAACAGAATCACCTCAATGCTAATGCGATGATGGGTGCACCATGGGGTGCACCTCCGCTTCCTAAGCCGGGGCGGGGGGGTTGGGGACCTCACGCCCACGGCAACAACCATTCGTCCAAACCTCGACAACACAACAATAACAAGCGTGATCACACTACCGCGTTCAATAAGCCGCAAAACACAGTTCCGCGTACTCCTGCTGCGCCGGCTGTTCCCAGCTTTGGAAATCCGCTACCTTCAAAACCTCCTCCGGTCGCAGATGCAACGCGCAAGAACAAGAAACGCAAAAGAAAGCACAACCAACTCGGCTTGACGCCCAAGACCGATGATCACGAATCCAGCGAAGAAGAGGAGGAAGTGGACGAGGAAGCTAAGCTGGCACAGACCGGCGCTGATGCTGCGGCTCCTCTCCAGTTCACCTACCGTGGCCAAACAGCCACACTACAATCACAGTCCGACATCGCGGCCTGGATTGCTGAGCGGAAAAAGAAGTTTCCCACGCAGGCCCGTATCGATGAGAAGAAAAAGGCTGCCGAGGAAGCCAAGGCCGTCCGCGATGCCGCCCGACTTGAGAAACAAAAGGAACGGGAAAGGGACAAGGCCAAGGCCAAACCGCAAGACAACTCGACGGCTCCGACCAGCGGCTTGGCCACCACGCGCAGTTCTGATCCTGCTCTGGATGCGGCCATGAAGGCGCAGCGCAAGGCCGAGAAAATCAAACGCCACCTTGATCGGGAGCAGAAACGGTTTGCCAAGGCAGAGGCAGAGGCTGAAGCTGCGCGTTTGAAGGTAGAGGCATTGCAAAGACAAGCGCAAGGCTTGAAGTCACAGGACTTGGTTCCCGAACACAATGTAGCGCCTGCTGGTGTCAAGCCTGGCATCACCTTGGCGGCAGACGGCACGACTACAACAACAACGACAACAGCAGCCGATATCAATATACCTCAGGCAGCAGATTCAACGTTACCCTCCAGTGAAACCACTGTATTTGAGCCTGCTTCCGTCTCAGCAATCGGTGCAGTGTCCGATGCAGCCCTTGAACAAATCAATCAAAACGCCGATCCCGATCCTGTACTTTCCGAACTTAGCGACTGGACTTCGTCGAGTGGATCAGATGCCGGCAGCGCCTTGGACTTTGATTCTGACTCTAATAGCGGCGATTCCGCTCCAGAAGAAGTGAGCTCGCGGCGACAGGGTCCCGAGCGGGTACCCGCACCACCTCGGGAAGGCAAAAAAACCGTCTGTCGGCACTTTGCGCGTACCGGGCGATGCAAAATGGGGGATCGATGCAGATTCTCCCATGAGGCCGGTGAGCGAGGATCCAAGACGAAACCAGTCGAGAAGGAAAAGAAGGGGCGGAAAGGCCTACTTCAAGCTGTAAGTTGTTCTTTTCACTAAGTGTTTTCAATGTTGTAGACAAGCTATTCAGCTTGGATTTGGGAATATGCGATTAGAAGACAAGACTGATGATCTATCTACACAGCTACTGGGTCGTCAAAAAGAAGACGAAGACCGCCGGGCGATGGAGGTGATTACTTGGTTGGGTCAAAATGGTCACCTCGCGCCACCAGAACCGCCGAAGGATGACGTTCAGCCAGGGCTACATGATGATGCCGCAAAGAATTTCGCCATTGACGATCCACTGGTAACAAAAGGAACAGGTGATCTGCCTGTCAACGATCAACCAAATGATTTGCACACTGGCTTTATCCCGTCGGATCCTTCGGGTCAGGCTTCCTGAAACACCAAGTTGGAAGACATGTTCATGTTTCAGCTCTTCTTGACATTGGCATTTTTGTACTCGGTGACACAATTCAGGGTAAGAATACAGCCATCTTCAATCGAAACCAACGTATCCCATTATGTAGTCTGACGGTGCTTGACATTTCAGACACTGTGCCAAGGCTCGGCGCCGAGAGTCTTGTGCGCAATCGAACAACTGATCTCTCCAATGAGGCCGTGTTTACGAATCTTGACCCGTCTTGACTCGTCTTGACCTATATAGACTACACAAGAAATGAGTGATGAAGTCTAATTTCCCCCTCATCGAGCTTTTTTGACGTAGGACTCAGTGTGCGATTCCACATCCCTACAGTCCACGAATTTTGTGGGACCTGACAGTCTGGGAATTACACCACAGCCTTTTGGATGTCTTGCTATAGCGCCTCCTGTGCGGATTGCAAGCCATTAAGAGATGGGCTGCGCCTGGGCTGGCCCCCGAGTCTAGACCTTCGTAGGTAGAAAGGAGACTATTGAGTCTTTCGGCTTCGCCTGAATATACGTGCCGAGTGGCATGTGATCCGTCTAGTAAACAGAAGCATTAAGAGCGGCGCGGGTGCACTGTGCAATGTGCATTGTAAGGTGTAGAGTACCACCGGTTCGATAGATAATAAGGAACAGTTCGCGGCCCGAGCCAATATTTGTGGGTCGAGATGAACACTGTTCGAGATCGATGAGATTGAACGCGTGTGCGAGTGTATAAGATTAAGGTGTCCTTCAATGTTGACATGCATGTCCGACAGCAGTGGATTGAGTTCAACTTTTACTCTCACATGACCTTCAAGAGTATGACTTTAGTGTCTTTTCATTTGTTATAGTGTGATACGCTGCACAGCTAGATCAGGTGACGAGGTTTAATTTTGTTGCTCGTTCTCGCCATCTGACGAGCATCATTATCAATTCACCCTGCATAGCCATACAGTGCATACCATAAAAGATCCATACTACTACATTACCACTCACTACTCATCATGACTTGCAGGATTGAAGACTTGATCTTATTTCTCAACTATCCGGAAGGGGAACGTTCGGCCACCGGATCGCTATTTAAAAGTGGCGATTTATTGGCTCGACCTGCATTTTAGGCCAGCCGAAGTGCAATTTGCTCGCCTATGAAGACCAACTCCAAATGCCAGCACGCCCCAAATGTGGAAACGAGGACCGACATGGGGGAGCCGCTATTGGGTGAAGATGGGTTTGATGGATATCCACCTTTTTCAGAAACATCCGAAACGGGCCTGGTTGCTTCAGCCTAGTCTCCGACACCCGATCACTGTCGGTCTTATGGTACTTGCTGTCGACTTCTACAACTTTGCCACACAATATTGGCCTATGTCCAAGGGGATGAGACTTGCTTGCAAAGAGTCACAGCTTGATTGACCTGAAGATAGGATCCTACCCAGACTGTCCAGACGAGAGAGGCAAAACAGCGGCTATGCGACAAGAAATTCGAGGCTCGGGTTGCCATCCGTGGACGAGTGAGTGGATCGTGGATCCCAAACTGTGCAGTGGACCCCAACAAATGGTCGACAGCAAAACGAATCTCTCACTCGACCATTTCCCGATCGAGCTCCAGAGGTCCATTCACCTTTGTCTGTTTTTATGTCCCGCCGCAGGAACCACCGGAACCGCTAGGGCCGATGCGGCTTAGTCGAGTCCGTTCACCACGCGAAAAGAGTTTGAACCTGGGGGAGATGAGGAATCAGAACGCTAGGCTAAGAGACTTTCAGGCACGGGCTCACAGCCACCCATTCCAATTTGGGTGCTGGGAGTCATATTTGGGCCAAAATAGCTGCCCTCAATGGCTGGTTGACTGGTGACTCTTGCGCCCATTCCCTTCGCATCGCCTCCCCCGGCGTCTGTCTTGTTGGCGCGACCCTTCCCCTTCCCGCTCTCTCATCGACTCGAGGAATCGTTCTCTCTTCGCTTCCCTTCTTGCTCTTCGCCCTCTTGTCACTCTCCCTCCCCTTCGGTCGCCACCTGTTTGCTTTGACCTCTGTCCATTCCTTTAATCAGTATCGACCCGCTTCTGTGTGTGAATATATACGTCGGTCATTTGACTTGTACATTCTTTGTCTTGTCGCCTTCTTTCTTCTTTGTTTGATTTTCAAAGGAAACATACCCCTTAATTGTTTGCCCGACACCATCAACATGCGTGCCTTCACCACCCTTGCTACTGTCCTCTTCGCTGCCATCGCGTATGCCGACAACAAGGCCAATGCCTTCAAGAACCCAACTGGCGGTTATCAGTTCACCGCGGGTCAGCCGACCACTCTGAACTGGAAGGCCGACGCCGGCACCACCGTCACTTTGCGCCTGCAGTATGGCGCTGTGACCACTGCCGACTCGGGCAAGGTCATCGCTGGTGAGTAGACTGCTCTTGTTTCTGAATGCGCTTGATATCATGCAACTATCATACGAGAAGGGAAGTAGATCTAGTTGCACTCTGCAGGGTACCTGTGAGACACGAGCGAGATCGAGGTCTCTGGACACGTGCAAGGGTCCGATTTCGATTCGAACGGGTACTCGCAGCGCAAGGCACGAGGCAGAAGCTGTCCATTCCTCAAAACGAGTGGACTGGGTCCTTTTCCTTTGCGACTACAGCCTCGTGCCGACCAGAAACGGATGTATCACATCTTCCGTCCTGAGTCTCGCGCAGATCTCATCACCTGATCCCATCTAGTCCCTGTAGCACTCCTACTACGCAATTCTCCGATGTTATCTTGATATTCGCGAAGCTCAGTATCTGACTGACCATATGTTTCAACAGCCAACATCCCCAACTCCGGCAGCTACACCTGGTCGGTCCCCGCCGATATTGTCGCCCAGCCCGACTACACCATCGAGATTATCGATGACCAGGACCCGTCCAAGTACAACTTCCTGCCTCGCTTCGTTGTGTCCGGCGCCAGCACCACCCCCAGCTCCTCGTCTTCAGCATCCACCATGACCAGCACCACCACCGTGTCCACCACCTCTACTGCCACCAATACCAGCACCATGACCTCCGGCTCGGCCTCGGCCACCCCCAGCACCATGACCACTGCCTCCTCGTCCGCTATGAGCTCCAGCTCAGCTTCTTCCTCCGCCACCGGTACCTCCAGTTCCTTGACCGGCTCCACTAGCGCCAGCACCTCCGTGCCTACCAGCAACGCCGGTGTGGTCAACCGTGTCTCTGGCGGTCTTTTGGCCGTTGTCGCCGGTGCTGCCATGGTGCTTTAAATCTTGGAAGATTGAGACGGACGTAATTTGATCTGACCTTATTTGATCTGTACTTCTTATCATGTGTCACTCCATCAGTGATGAAATCATTGAGAGATGCTGTCAATCTATCACTGCGATGGGCTTTTGCATTACTCTTTGTCAGACTTTCTGGCCTCTGGAACCATTTGCACCCGATGAATTCTCGACACCGGGTGCTACCGTTTTCTCGACTTCCAGTCCCCGTCTTGTCATATCAGATGGACCTATAGTACATAATATCTGAACTTTCTTAGCCGAGACATATTCAACGCTTTTATGATAAATCACAGCATGTCTTCTAGAGTCAGGTCTGAAGGTCGACCTGCATTCGAGAACTTCTAGACCAGCACCCAAACTATATCGAACCCTGCAATTGTGTACGCCACAGCAGCACTACGCCCCGAAGGACGGAGATCTCCCGTCGTAAGATGATGTGAGGCCAGAAACGCTTCAATGCAACATTGACAGGACTATAATGACAAGACCGATTCACGGATACCTCCCTATTCCCACAAGAAGTAATCAAAGACACCGAGCAGGACGTCGTAAAAGCGTGCTCACCGGAAAAGTCTCTAGATCTCCGCAACGGTCATGTTGGTCGGGCAGGTAAGGTACCACTTAGCATAGCGCGTCTTGGGCAGCTTAAATCCCAGTCGCTAGCACCCAATTCCGGACCAAGGGACAGGAATAGTTCGAGATTTTATATCCCAGGCGCGTGAAGGTACTCGGCAGGATCTCAACCCGACTCAACCAACGGAGGGCCAACGGAGTCTCCGCACACCTGCCAAGGGGAAGTGAACAGGTTACACAATGACAGGGCAGTGCAGAGCAGTGCGGATCTCAGTGTAGAACCGGGTGCACGAGTACTAGTAGGTACGGAATCCGTCTGCAGGAGTGGGTAGTGCGTAGCAGTCAGCCCTGGGACCTTATATGGAGATGGAAATAGGGACTGCGTCATATCAAAGGAGCTATATGCGAACTTGGGCTTAGAATTTGGATGACTACCTTACCAACAAGATCATGTGAGGGACCGTACTAGGTGAGGCTCTTGATAGTGACTAGAATACTACTACTGTAGTATGTAGTTAGTATGTACTATGTACTGCCTTCCATGGAGACATAGACTCATAGAGTCCCTTGTGTGGATACGGCCCTTTTCCCATTTGACCTGTCTATTGATCTCCATCTCAAGCACAGGGGCACATCGTTTACCTCGTTTATGTGGTACATAAAGCTACTGCAAAAGCGCCATCATCCTTACGCGACATCGTCTTACGTATATGTCTGAGTCAGTGCCTAAACAAGGGATACCCTTTACTATGGTAAACATCCCTTGTTCACGACCATGCGTAGCCCCCAACTTCAAACATGCAGCCTTGGAAGGATCGATCGCAGTGTGAATTCTGTGATGCTGCTGTCTCAGATGTCGACTTGGGATTGATGTGCAGTATTGTAGTAATATTCATGGTGTGGTATCTTGATCCAAGATCCGGGGAGTGTCCGCTTTGAATTCCAGGAATGGAAGGGCGAGCCTGTTCATGAATGGAACATGTAAGCTTTGGGGTTCGTGGACGAACAGTCAAGGGCTGCAGTGCTGCGGTAAGGTTGAGGATGCAGCCTTGGTCCAGGTGGTTCTCTTGTCTTGTTTGAGCCACGGCGTGGTCGTGCAATGATCTCATGGTCCACGTTTCATTATAGTGACGAAGGAATGTGATTGTGTTTCAAATTTGGACTATGCCGACGTGTATATTGTGTACTAGGAATTCACTTTACATTTACAGTAGACAATACATGGTTCTGAGATGCTTCTCTTCTTGGGTTCTTGACTGTCAACTCAATACGTGTTTTGTGATGTCGTGGGCTACATGCAGACGAACGAGAAGCACCATGGACAGATTCAGACAACGTCCCAATTAACCCAAGGTTGAATATTTGAGGTGCTCTGATCTCCGATACTGTATGGCAAGTGCTACGATACATGACAGACTGCCTACAGTGTTTGGAAGTGAAGACACTCAAGATTACAGGAGCTTGCTGTGTTGTAGCGGCTGGGCTATTGGAAAGTGACGTCGATGAGGACCCTCGATAGGGCTGTAGAGCCAACATGGTCAATTACCATCCTTAGTCTAAGTCCGACGGTGAAGCGCATCATTTCCATTTTTGACTCATTGACGACCAAGGGACAAACTTGATGTCTCAATGGCTCAGCCCCTCACGTGGCCAGGACAGGCATTTATCGTAGTTCCAGCAGAAATGGTCCACCGCCAAATCTTACCTCACCACATACATCACCCCAGGTTCCGCAGTTCGTATCCAATCGTACTTCTACGACATGTCATTTCCACGGAGTCCCTGAGCTACTGTAAAGTGTAGACTGCTTCTACAGTTCTGCACTGCCACGCCCAGGACTCCAAAGCTATCAGCAAGGGTCCATGTGAAAATGCCATGCTTCATCTGCAAGGTTCGAGAGTCAGTCCATATCATTCGTCTGGAAGCAGAGCACTCGGTTCGAAGAAGAAGCAAAAATAAAAACGAGGGGACCACCACCAGAAGGCAAAGCCGACCCAAAAATGACCGCCTTTCTGCATGTGAGTTGGATACGTAAGCAGGGGGGTTCCTGCCCGGGGCGAATGATGCACACCTCATCTTTACCATTTGAGAGTTGTGCTATCGACAAGCCGAGGAATGGAGGTGCCTAAGCATGCCTGGTACGCCCAACTCCGTAAAGGACATGCATCTATGTTCATCAATTGAAATGTCTCTTTTGTACGACGCTGACTGCATCTTGTCAGATTACGTGTCGAAATTGTAGTCCGAGTCGGGTCTCTTGCTGTCGCTTGTTCCAGACGGAATATGTACATGCAGACGAAACGACCTTGGTGCTCTGACAGGGCGAAAAGGTCGATCTGCAGCCCAGACATACGATGATCTCTGCACGCTCTGCTCTGATCCAAAGATATCCAATCCCTGTGCCCCGATCGACCCGCTCTATGGGGCCATGCATGGAGTAGAAAGATGAGGGAAAGTCGTAAATTTATCGCGGTCCGACCACGCGTCGGTCAGGGAATTGCAACGTTTTGATCTCAACCAGCTTTCAGCTGTCAAGGAGGGGAAGGTGGGACTGCATGTTGCACGAGGGGTGCTATCATATAAGATGTGTTGTCTGCCGTTGTTTGTCCAAGATCCGCACTCTACCTCTGCGGAATCTACAGGACCGGCTCTACTGAGGGAGGTATCTCAAACATCGCAGTGATCGCACATCTCTCAAGTCGCCCCAGATATTCGACTCATTGGACTCGAGCCGGCCATTTCAACTTCAATCTTTGGACAATACTTAGTCTTCAAGACCAAGATCAGCATTCCAAGTCATGCAATCTACCAGCCGACTCGCTGCTACGGCGGCCGCATTTGTCGGACTACTCCAAGTCGCCTGTGCCCAAACCAACATCACGGCCAGTCAATGTGTGGCTCAGTCTGTGTATTCCGACTGCAATCGCAACGTGGCGAACAAGTGGCAAAGCTGTATCAACTCATGTAATGGAAACGGGAACTGCCTCGTGGATTGTGGGTGTACCGCCCATCAAGAGTATATCAATTGCATGGCTCAGTCATGCTGGAACCAGGTCAGTTTCTGTGATGTTTCCTTATTCGTCTCTCGCGTCAATGACTACCACGTTGGTGTTGTATCATGTAAAAATCCCATGATACCATAATGAGCTGTCAATCAGACAGACACTCCCACGGAAAAAGAAACCGTGGTTGATATTCTGCAAATACATCTTCGAATTGTCTATGCAGTCACTAATCCCCCGAGGCACAGGTCTACTCCTGCGAATACCAACTCTTTGTCCAGCAGTACTTTGCTGTCTGCCCAAGTGCCTCAGAGCCCATCCCCTTCTGGCCTGCTCCAGATAATGCCCCAAACCGTTGCTCTTGCAACATCGGCAAAGTTCTATCCAATACCTTATCTGCTCGCAATGACCAGGTCAACTGTGCCAGCAAAATCGCCAACCAGGCCGTGAATATCCCCGATATCACCAATATCAACAACCTGCCAAACTCGGTCCAGGATATCGTCAAGACCGCTACGGAATGTGCATGCTGTGGTGCTAGTGCCAGTCTTTCTTCGTGAGTTTGACCCTTGTTTCCAATTATGCGAAGCTTCACTCAGTCCAGTACCACTCTGCTCTGATGATCCCTCTCCTCTTCTTTCCAATATCAAAACATCAAACTCCAACATCCAGCAACTCATCATACAATACTAACCTCTCCCTCTCATCAACCAGAGCATGGCAAATCTGCCCCGACACCCGTCCCACCCTCGCCGGCGCCGACCTGTGGCCTCTCTTCTTCCCCTCCAACTATCCGAACCTCTACCCCTCCATCCCCAACTTCGCCTGGTCGGCCTCCACCTGCGACAGCACCCTCTCCCAAACCAACTGCAAGGACCTCGGCTTCTCCGATGCCAACAACAACTTCTACAAGCCCGGCCAGTTCCCCAGCAACGGCACCAAAACACTGAGCAATGTCGCCGGCACGGTGACCGTGCCCCCCAGCGGGACCGTCTTGACCTGGTCGCAGGCTTCGTCGACGTACACAGTTACGGCGACGGGGCTGGGGCAGAAGGGTGTTGCTGGTGCGAGTGGAGGTGGCACACAGACTAGCTCGGGTGGATATGTGACGCAGACGGAGAATGCGGCCGTGGGAGGACTGCAGGGTCGGGGTGCTGGATTCGTGGGGGGTTTAGCTGGGTTGGTGGTTGGAGGGGTGGTGATGATGGTTTGAGGAAGTTTGGATTTCGGAGCATTCTGATATGAGAGTTGGAAGGAGGTTGTGGTGCAGCGCGGATGGGTCCCTGAATTGAGGTACTAAAATTGGGAGACCGGACGTCCTTTTTGATGGGTGGTACATGGAAGAAGCAGAAGAAGAAGAAGAAGACGACGACGACGACGATCGGATGGATATGATTTATGAGCTTCTATTACGACTCGCACTACTATCATTTTATCTCCGTCGATTATAGGAATGCACATGTTGATGATACTCTGAACCCTGGACATGGAGTCTACTCGATTATATAGTTCCATCGATCGTCATCACATTAAACCAGGACCTCAACAACTTGTGAATATTTGTAATCCTTCCTCTTGAGGATGGGAACACTGTGCAATATTCTTCTCCTTCTCAAGCTCCACCCTGTCTAATGATCTAATGTTCTCGTCTATCTCTAACAATAGCAAACCTCTGGACCCTAATTGACCGCTCTCTGGGACTTCGGGGCCATGGAAAGAACAGAGGACAACCTCGTCAACGCCTTGCAATGCAATAATAAGACGCACCCCGTTTTCTTCATAGCATGACCGCACCCCTGAAGCAGCCAAGCTCAAATGCAGCTCAAGACACCCAAGAAGGAACCACTCTCTTCAAAAACTTCATGAACTTGAAGAATCCAACGGCATATTCTGCATTCCCATGAGGATCAACGACTCGTTCGGGAAACGCAATTCCCGCGCCAAAGAGGCCCGGAATCACTGATCCACCATCAGTCTCATGGAACCGTCCTGAATTGTGGTCAAATTCCATGCTCACGGGGTTCCCATCCTTGGTAAGGTGCGGCAGTGGATCCCTCGTAAAACCGACTGCATGGACAATGTGAGAGCAACGAGGGAGATGGGCCTCGTACTGAGCGTTTTCGCGGGCGGGCCCGCCCCCGCAGTCGATTTTCTCGACGACTTGACCTGCGGGCGAGGAAGGCAGTCTGTCGTCTTCGAGTTCTGCGCGTGCAAAGTCCGCGGCGAGACCCTTGAGACCGGTATTGTCCCGCAGGATCCAGCCATCCTTGTACTCTGCATAGCGGAGTGGGTGGCGCGTGAACCACTTCACTCGCAAGTGGGGATGGGACTCGCGTGCAAGAGTGACGAGGTTGAGGAGTGCGAGAATGGCACTGTGAGAGGCACCCACGACGGCTACGGTAGCTGCCTGATCAACTGGGAGAATTGCTGCAAGCTTGGACGGTTTCAAGACTGTATCGAGATTTAACCGGGCGATGTCGAGATCGGGTATGGGAAGAGACATGTCCGTGGGATGTGCGCCGGTGCATAGAACCAAATGCGCCGTTTGAATGGTGATGGGTCTTTGGGCGCTATGTTGCTGTACGCTCACAGACCACCGGGAGTCACTCGGTGACTGGCTTGCTGTCAGAATGTCCATAATATAGCTCAAATTTCGCGGTAGAGGCTTGTAGAGAAACGAGGGTCATGCTCGAGACTTTGAGGAGAACGAGTCGAAAGCTTACCGTACTGTCGAGTTTGGCTGCCGTTACGAAACCGCGGCACGCATTCACGGGCTCCATCTTGACCAGGCCTTCCGTGAGGGCCCGCACCATGTCTGCAGCATAAGATAGCTTGCAAGTCTGTTCTTGATCTAGCTTGGCCAATCTAGTGAATGCGTTAGGCTTGGGTGTAGCCTCCGTGATCTTCTGAAAGGGTTCAACAGCTGTGGCGAACGACTGGAACAGGCCGACTTTGGTGTTACTTTCACAATAATCCATGTTAGACGGATTCCTTGGTCTCTCTACTTGATCGGAGTGAGGGAGTGAATGCCTCGAGACTTACCTCGGCACCTCGCGATATTTGCGATGCACACGGCCCGATTCGAAGCTAGGATCAACCCAAGCGATGGCGCCCAGCTGGCGTGCGAGCAAATTGCCCATCGCCGCTACTCCCGCGGGACCGGCGCCCACGACTAACGCGGCGCACTTTTTGGTCGCCATTGATGCCGACGAGAGCAGTAACCTGAACTCCCACTGAGAGATTGACAGTGTCGAGTGAGTCAGGAACAAGGCCAAGGCAGTTCCACGAGTTCCAGAGGTCAGTGTGTTGAGTGGATGGGTCCAGCCAACCGAAACGAAGGAAAGTCAAAAACGGAGGAAGAATGACCGACGATAAAGATAGAAGAAAGTTCGGATTAGGTGACTAACTACGTAAGAAGAGAGTGACCAGTGGACCACTAACACAACCGCCCGCCGGTCGCCAACTCTCCATCTCTGGGTCCGTTGAGGATCAAACGTTGGTTCCCAGGAACGTGGTTGCGAAAGAGGCCGGGCGCATTCCTGTTTATTTCTCCAGAACAAAAATCAAGCAAGAGCCAAGACTTTCGGCGGATCGGCGATTCCGCAGTTTGGTCACCGATTCGACTGGCAGGCAACAGGCACATGACGAACGGGTGCGCATCAACCTTTTCCATCATCGCAGAGCGTAAGCTGCTCTCGCATTTGGCTGGAGCCCACAATGTAAAACATCATAATAGTGACGCATTGCGCCGTCATCGGTGGCGGATTTCAGACAAGATTTGTGTCACCCCCGTCAAGAGAGTATTTGGGTCGACACTCAGTAGTCAGTACTGGCCCCCCTCACAGCCGCCGTGTGCTCGGAGAGCCGCGTAATCAGGGAATCTCAGTAGCCTCTGTGGACGACTCCACGCCCGATCGCGATGCATGAATGTTGTCGGCCGAGAGAATGTATATTTGGAGTCCCCACACAAGCCAGACACTTGAATTCGGCTCGTCTGAGCTATGCCAACAGGACAGCATAGAGGAGACCTCGATCTGACAAAGTCACCATGTGTGTCTGTCATGTTAGTCTCTGATGGAAAAAGTCTGCACTAGGAGTCAAGGAAACATGTGAGCACAGCACAAGGAAGCACCATAGTGTTCGCTTCGAATTCCTCACGCTGCGTTGTTGATCGTGCTGAAAGCGCCAAATGTTTCCAGGGATAGATGGGGAAGTGCGCTGGCTCTTATACTTATTGATCGCTTCAAATGGATCTCTTTGGGCTTGGCGAAATCGCCTGATCGATCTCGAGCCTTGGTGCCTGAACTCACTGCGCTTCTACGGTACGCTTCGAAGAGTTACAGGAGGGGAGCACAATGCACATACATCCTATGTACAATCCAAGATCAAGAGTCTATACACGCGCAATTCTACGACATCAGCATCCCTTTTGCACACAACATCCAACTTTCTACTGCCCGTGACCTGCCATGTCACTGAAAAATACACCTGTGGAAGTCTCGCTTGAATTATCAATACAAAAGTGTGGTGGAGCAACCTGCTCTTTCCGCCCTCTCTCCGTCAGTCGCCGCAAGATGGTGGAGGTAAACACTCCACAGTATTAAAGTAAATTGAATGCTGGTAGGGCCCCTCCCAGTTTCAAATCGCCCAGAACACAGTCGCCGAAGCATAATAGACATGGTTTGACCAGCCCGGGAACCGGGCTCGAGCCCAAATTGCAATGGAATCTCCCACCTGCAGATCACGAACAAATTGTCCGTCCAGCGTAGCTCGGCCCCGGCCTTTGGTCTTCTCCATCTCCAGAGCCTCAGGCGAGTCGGCTGGGATGTTGTCTTGATAATGCCAGACAATTTCCACATCTTGTCTTTCTGCAACGCGAGCACCGTTATTCTGAAGCTTACCCGGACCTGGCAACAGCAGAGGGTCTTCGATGGTACGAGGGGTGACCACATCGCCAGACTCGTGCGGCAGAAGCTCTTGCTCCTCACCGTTGGCATACATCTTCTTGGTGTGGGCCGCTCGAATGACTTCCACATCGAACCAGGTCCATGAATGTTCGTACATATCCGGGTGGCACCGTCCGGGCCCTTGGTCATGTGAGGATATATGGAATACAATTTTCCGGCATGGATGGACGTAAGACCGAGAGGGCAATGGATGTGGTGCATCGGGTGCATCTTCAAGTTGCTTTTCGAGGCAGCAATCAAAGATCCAATGGTTAGTGAGCGCATCCCTCGTTGACGTCACAGGAGAGGGCGGAAGATTTCCACACAAACCTACCTTGCGATCAAAGCATAGTGGTACAGTTTTGAGAAGTACTTGGTCTCGATCCTTGCGGATATGCCGGTGGGATCGGTCTTGTGGAATGGTCATCTTGACCGTGGTCGAAGGCCAGTACTCGGCAGTATCAATAATCTGGTCAATAATTTCCACAGGCATTCCGAGTCTCCACTGCAGCAAAGCACGGACTTGGAGCACATCCCAAGCATCTGGTCTGGATTCCTGGTCCTGTGAGTTGCGGGTTCAGTATGGCAGGTAGACTTTGAACATGGAGCATGGACAGACTAGCTGATAAGATTTGAGTCACGTACCTCGGATTCTGAACCTTCAGTGTCTGACGTCTCCTCATCCTCATCGTCCATTGTGGGCTGCAGAATCTGGCCTAAGGTTCGCCGGGCGCCGTGGGGCAGCAGCATTGGTAGCAATGAGAACATCGACCCGAGCTTAGCGAGTCAGGGGGGCTGGCTTGGTGCGTTGAGTGAGAAGCAGTCTCCAGAGCATAAAAGACAGTTCTACAAAGGCAGAGCGGCACGATGGTGTATTGCTGTGAAGAAGGGTTTGAAGGTCGAAAGATAGTTTAAATGTACAGAGTGGTGGCTGTGGTCTGTGGTGCAGGTATCGGAGCGGGTCCCTTGAGTGGAGTTCAGCGTGGAGATGGAGCCAGTCCTGCGGGTCCTTTGCCCTGCCCGCGTGGAGATAAACTGCTGTCAACTATGGATACTGATATGCTGAGGTCGATCGAGATCGATCTTGTAGAGTCAAGACTGACAGAAGCCTTTATAGACACGAAGACGAGAGTGAATCTGTAGACTGTTGAATGCCTGCCCTGTAATTTCTCGAAAATAGGCCGTGCCCGCCATCTAGACCGCTTGAAATGCCTTGTAGGCTTATGGGATATGCTCCTTTACATCGACTGGAGAGACCATCTGAGACAGTAACTCAAGGTTGTTTTGTGTCTTAGGGAGCACATACCTATATTAGTAAGGTAGTCTCCTAATGGGGAAGCACGTGATACGCAGAAAGAAGGCAAAATATAGGACAGCACATGGTAGCTGGGACGCGTCTGTCTGTTACAAAGTAGCTGAGAAAACAGAGTATCATGGTGCCAATGAAACTGGCGACAAAAAATCTATCTGGACACAGTATTTCTCATGTCCTTCATTCCCATTTCATTCCCATTTTGCAAAAGAAGGAAAATTTGATACCCTCTCCAAACGCCTCTGGACAGCCAGGATGTCTTATTTTTCGATGAGATCGCTCAGTCTTGTAACTTTCAAGGCCGCTGTCCACCTGCTGCTCGATATGCAGCCGCACGCTTGCTGCTTCGATTCTTGGGCTTGCCCTTGGATCCACGACTCTTGCTCTTCACTTTGAGGGTTGACTTGCCTTCACTGGCCCGGTGGCCCTCAAAGACAAATGAATTGCCAGCAATGCCTCCCTTGCTCTCAGTCTTAAGCTTGGAGGCACCCGCACGACCAAGAAGCTTGCCTGCACGACCTTGAAGGGTCTTGCGAGCCAAATCACCGGAGCGAGCACCCTTGCCACCCGAATCATCTCGCCTCTTCATCATCTTGCGGGCTCGGGTCACACGAATCTTACGAGGCAGAAGAGGAGGGAAGTTCTTCTCATTGAGCAAGATGGCCTGTTCAACACATGTACCCTCATAGAATTGAACATAAGCAAAACCTTTGCCGACTCGGGTGTTCTGATCGCGAATGACGCGGACAAATTCCACGTTCTTCTTCACAGACTTCTTATCCTTGGTGTCACCCGTGTGCGCATTGAACACTCGCCAAAGGCCCTCCTCAATGTCAGACGGCTTGCGAGGCTTCTTCTTTTTGCCGTCCTCGTCCTCCCCTGCGACTTCCTGGTCCACAAAGTCCAGGTTGCCCACAAAGACACATCGCTTGTTGTCAATTTCAGCGGGGTGCGCAATACTATCGACACGCAAGTGGCGGTCCAGCACAATGGTGCCGTTCAGAGCTGCAGGGGCCTTACGGGCAGCCTGGACAGTGGTGTACACAGCATAGGCGTTCGTGCTGTGAGTGGTGTCGTCCAAGATCTCACGCCGAGCAAAGGAGGCTCGCTTGGGAACGCCGCCACCGCTGGCGAAGGGCACAGAGCGGAATCGAATTGACTCAACCTTGTGTGGACCGGAAGATTCGGGCAGATCGGAACAGAAAGATGCCAAGTGTCGGAGAAGAGTTTTCTTTGCCGACTTGGACTTGATTGCTTCAGTCGATACGTTGCCCAAGAACACCGTCCGACTAGATTTCTCCACTTCACTGGCTTTGGAAGCTCCTGACAAGCTCTCGTGAACAGGTACCGGCTCTTTTGCGTCTGCCGCCTTCTCCTCCTCGCCATCACTGGGTTCAGCATCCGACTGTGAATCGTCCGCTGCATCGTCACTTTTGTCGTTGTCGTCGTCTTCAGTGGACTTCTGTCTCTTGGCGTGCTCGGCTTCGCGTTTCTCCTGAGCTCTCTGCTCTTCTTTCTCAAGACGACGCATGTACGATCCTTCTAGATCATCCTCTGCACCTGCACGCTTGCGCTTTCGACTCTGTTTGTCTGACACCCGTTGTTGTGCGATCTCAGCTTCCTGGCTCTCGGAAGAATCCTCGGCAGAGCTGTCACCCTCATCTGCCATTACCTCATCCTCGGACTCAGCGTCTGATGGAGCAGTTTCCATTACATCCTCGGCTTTTTTCCGGGGCTTAAAGTCGACATACTTGACAGTCGGCGTTTTCACAGGACCGGCCTTTTTTGGTTTTCAACGGTCAGCAAGGACAAATTTCTTCTGCAGGGCATATGATACATACACTCTTCTCGAATAGTGAAGAGAGGCTAGCGTCGAGTGGTGCACTGCCCAGGAAAGGAAGGCTTCCACCTTTGGTGGAAGGCTCAGCGGCCGATGTAGCCTGCGACTTGGATTTTTTGCCCATAACTGAAATTCCCAAACAGCAAAGATGTAACTTTGCAATGTCAAAAGTGAGTGGACAATTGAGGTGAGCCGTTGCTGAAGAGGACGCTCCCTATCTCCGAACTTTTTTTTCCTTCGAGGCTTATCGGGTCTTGGCGCAAGCGTTCAAGGAGGTCACATGATGCGATTGCTCCCCAAGCAGTGTCAAAACAGGCAACACTCGAGCGTCAAGTTGATAGGAACGAGCTCAGATGAAGTCTAGATGCTTGGAACTGACGATATAATCCCAACCTTGTCTCCTCCAACGACTTGATACCGTGATTTCATCCCACATGAACAGACGCAACGTTGTTCAGATGACCCTCAAGCCGCCGGTTGAACTGAACAATATCCTCTTACACCCCATGACACTTGTGACAACAGACAAAGTATTGAGACTCATATTCATTCCTACTTGTATCGAATGCTTTCTGTCTGCTGCGAGTATACTCGCTGATATGCAAGTCGATCTATATCTCCATGGAGATGCCGTCTTCGGCGACGTCAATCCCACGTGATTCGGGAGATTTTGCGGGCGGTATGCCTCGTCCTCGCTGAGACGCGGCAGAACCCAATCACTCGCTTCTGTTGCTGCACCCCATTGCAGCGCTCTACTCAACTTGCCCTGTCTCTCGCGGGGACTCGAGTGCGACAGATCAATCCACGATTTCCCTAGACCTCCAGGGTCTCCTTGGCCACTCCTGTTCGGGGTCGATCCATGCGAAAACCCCCTCCTCCGCTCTACACCGCGGTGTCGTCCACCTTCTAGCCAATCTCCTCTCGGTACCCCAGCTCTGGTGGTCGGAAAGAGCAAAGAGCTGTCTTGGGGCATTGTACGAGTACCAAACGCGTGGAATCATATAGCTCTCAAGGTCTGCAGACCGGATTTTCGTCGCAGCCAGAGTCGAGCTCGATCGCAAGCAGCTGCGCTATTCGCCAGCATTAACTTGAGCGCATCATTGAAACGGTACGTCGCTGTGACTTGGTGACCACTTCCCTGTGGACGCAGGTATTCCTTCCCCGTGGTGATCGACCGAGCGCCCAAAAACCCCATAGCCGTCTTCGCGCTTTCTGGCCTCTCGCGCGCATCTCCGTTCTCGACAGGAAAGCTGGTTCCCGACTTTGGGGCATTTCGGCGACGATCAATCTCCGCACCGCCTGCAGAAGGGCGATTACCCACACCTTGCACCCACCCACCAGCCTGGCTTCGCTCAACCGCGGGGGACCACCATTTTTTACTATGAAGTCCTGGGCTGATTGATTTGCCATGTGCTCAGAAGAAAGCGACCATCACCTCATTCGCACAGAACTTTGACCGAACTGCCCCGACCCTCCCCTACCGACGGTCGCTTTGTCGCTGACGGCCACGAGCACTGCTAGCGGAGCAACCTACACGTTCAAATCGACCTCAGATCTTGTTGGATTTTGTCAGACTATATTGTGCCCGTTTCCATTTTTCGGGATGGAAGTGGTCGAGAGCAGAGAGCAAGGCTCCACCAGTGGGACGACTGGGCCGGAGCCCATCATAACCAATGGCGAGCGGAATCCCTTCTTAGATGACTCTCTCATGGATGATGGACGATCGAGTAGCCTGAGTGAGATCGATGACGTGTCCGACGACGAGCCGTCCGACTTTGATGACTCTCCCAAGCCTGAGAAACAATTGGAAAACGACTCCGAAGCGGAAACCGAGCGCATTGAAGATTCTCCTCACAACATTCGGAAGCGCGACATAGTTCTCAGCGCCGGTGTCGCAGGCAGCGCCGGACCGAGTCCCAGCAAGCTTCACCAAAGTACCACGCTTGACGATGTAGACGATGACGAACACATAGCGGACGACTCACCAAGCAAACCGCGACGGTCCTCCAACAATAAAATGAGCGATGACGAAATGGCCGATCTGGATGACTCGGAGCTTCCTGACAGTGTTGGAAAGAAGCGCAAGCGGGTTGAAATTGGAGACGAAGTATCAAGAGAACACGAAGAGGACGAGCCAATGAAAAAGCGTCGCAATTCTCTCAAGAGCGACCTGAGTGACCCTCTTGACGACGACACACCACTTTCGCCCGAGCCAATTATGGACGAAGAGACCGCGGCTCTAATGGACGACGATGTGCCGGTGGATGAGAACGCGGATGCAGAGCTTCCAGCCACTTCAACGAAAGGCAAAAGAGGGAGGAAAAGTAAGTCTCTTAGAGATTGCAGGAGGGTTTTCGGGCTTGTTACATTACACAAGCAGGGTCAAATTGCTGACATTTTCTCATTTGAAGCTGAAGAGCCTGCTGAGCCTCTCGACGAGGGAGATGAGGTCGAGGTCGCAGCAAGGGCCGAGGAGGAATGTGAGTCGACCGCAGAGAACTGTGAAATATTGGATCGATCAAGCTGATTATTGAACTTTGTCCTGCAATCAGCTGTCAAGAAGATGTCCGCGATGGAGTCACTAGCGACCTTGGAGAAAGAGTTCGCCGCCTTGCGAGACAAGTAAGCTTCGACGTGATCTCAGCCCACATCTCCGCTTACTGACGCACTGGCAGAATCTACGATGAGCGTATAACGAAACTCAACCGGGAGTTAGAGATGCTCTCGGGACCAAACCCCATGCATCCCGAGTACTTGCGTCAGATTGAATGCGTGCAACGATATCGAGACGCGAAGATTAAATACGAACATACCTTGTATCGCTATCGTTTGGAGGCACTGCTTCACAAAAGCCTGGCTGAACGGGCCCAGACCCACAGCACATTTTTCCAGCGTGTGCGAGATGTGCGCGAGCGTCACTCCAGTGCAATTAGCAAACAATTCTATGCGATTCAACATGATCGCTTCAAGACGGATGAGTTGAGCCCACATCACGTGGTGCCATTTCCGACTCGTCGGTCGCAACAAATTGCACATCAAACCGCTTACAATCACGAGGTTTCGATTATGGCTGGAGTGGCCAAGTACGTTGGTTTCCCAGCAGCACCAACGTTGAGTGGGGCCCGTTCCTCGGAATTGGACGAGGATTTGGAAAAGATGGGCGTCAGTTTTCTACTTCCACTAATCGAAGGCAAGACCACTGACGATGTGTTTTAAGATTTCTATCGAGGCGCGAATGGCATTGCCCCGCCATTCACATTCGATGGCAATGCCTGCTAGAGGCGCTGTCTCGGCCATGTCTTCGAGCATCTTCCGCACGGCTGCCGAAGAGGCCTTCCTAGAACAGACACCGTGGGCGAACCCTCAACATCCTATACACCAACAACAGCCGCAGCACATATACTCGCAGCATCACCGGCCCCCGATCTCCTCTTTCGCAACTCCAGCCGCGCAAAAACGGGTTGTTGACATCAATGCTCCCAATGGATCCGCGTCCACAATACCGGAAAGCATGTCGGCCGCTAATTCATCAGCCAACAACACGCCGTACGGTATTGAGCAAGATCCAAGGCATCACCCCCATGGGCCATTCCGCAATCCCGACTATGATATGGAGCACAAGTCTGGGTTGCGCTCGCAGAGCTCGTCACCACTAGACGTACGAAAAGCCCAACCGCATTCCGTCCATCCCAAGGAGCGTCGATCTCCTGGCCCAGATCCCGCCCACAATCTTCTCTACTCTCCGTCTCCTGCTCACCCCAACTTATTTCAACTATCGAAGCCAAAACAAGGCCCGTCGCAGTCTCAAAGTGCCAAGTCAGGCGACACGATACACTACCACTCTCATCAGCCTGAGATTGCTGCGGAGTCCGGTCCTGGTCATGGACCTCTCCGCTAGCTAGCTGCTTGTTCGACGACTCAGATTTTCATATTTCCCTCACTGCCAACATCCGGATTCGTCAAGTCATTAGCACCTACAAGCCACAGACTTGACGCAGTGTACGAGGCATGTCATTCCACCACATTCAGGATGATCCTCCTCGCCTCTCAACGCCTCCTCAATACCCTCCAACTCCTTGATATATAACCCCCTCCCATCCTCAATCGTCACCATGACATCAATCTCACCTCCCCTTCCTCCTCCAAGACAACCACCATTTTGACTAGCGTTCTGTTCTGTTCGTGCAAGAAGACGATTTGTTTGGCTCGAAGATCAAATGTTGGAGTTTCTATCATGTACGAGACTTTATGTGGTGAAAGACTTGAGCCATAGGATTTTCTTCTGTCTTCCTTCGCTGAATACATATTTTTACTGAAACAGTTTTGGTGTACAGCTTTTTTCACGAAACCCTTAGCTTGGGCTACGACTGCATTGCTGGAATGGAAATCGGGGTGTTCTACAATCATAACTTTATCTATTCTTCGTTTTCACACATTCCAGGGCGTTCCCCCAGGATCAATTAGTGCATCAAAGTGGGCGGACAAATCCAAAATACCTCGTCCTCCTATCTCCCCAGGTTTCGTGGGACCATATACATACCCCCAAGACGGATACGCGGATTTGTACACAAAGCATCAGACCCAAGGCTTCAAATTCCCGTGTGGACAATCAGTCAGCAAATGAAGCTTACTTCATCCACAGCCCAGTGTTACCAATTAATTGCAATCAAGCCCATGTATTACGCTATCACAGGTATGCCTCAGCAGACCTACCAAATCTTGGGTGCTCCAAATACATCGGCTGCTGAATTACACAAAGTAGCGATACATTAGAACAGAGGTGATCCGAAGATGAATGAGACCGGAGAGGGAAAGTACAAGAAAGCTATCAGAAAAAGCCGAGATGAAAATCAGGCTATCTTCAAACTAAAAAGAAAAAGCAGTTATTCCATGTTCCAGCTTCACTAAAAAGAAATATTCACGTTTATCGCTATATTGAGTACAGTTTTGCGCTTTTTTATGAGACAGAACCCATTCCTTCCAATCATGTAGAAGCTTGTGCCTCGGTTGAAGGCGCAGGTTGTGTGGGATTGGAAGAGTCATTCGTCGAGGCCTGTTCGGCTGGTGCGGGCAGTGCTTGGGGTCGCCATTTGGCGAGAACCTTGCCAGCTGCGGGCCTTGACTCCTCGTCTGAAACGAGATTGGAGGTTAGCCACATATTCTGTTGGGATACGTAGCAATTAGTTGGGTGATGCGGGTGGGAACATACATGTCTGGTAAACATCTTCCAGCGCATTCAGGCACATTTCCCGTGCTGGTGGTCGGAACATCACGAGGTACCTATAGAGAGACGTGCGTTAGCCTCCGTCCACAAAAGGAATGAGATATGAAGTGGAAGGTGGTTCAGAGTGACTTACATCAGAGCTTGCACGGTCAATGTGATACGCTCTGGATCTCGAGCAAGTCCGGCCACTCGCTGAATGATGGCAATCGTGACTTCGGGGATCTCGCTGAGGAACCGCACCAGGATTTTGATATCCTTGGAGTCAAGGTAAGGTAGGAAACCGTCAAGCAGGCGGAGTACCCATGTGTCATAATAGAGTGTAACTGTAGGTTCGTCATCTGCATCCGTGCGTTCCTGGTTTGCCGCCTTCATTCGAACACGGTCATTGTACCATTCCTCGTTGAGCCACGTAATCCCGATCTTAAGTCGGGCCCGGAAGTCTTCCAAGATGTAGCGATAGAGGGTCTCACGGATCGAGTCCGATATTGTAGAATGCCGTTTGACACCAGCGGAACCGGCTTTGACTTTGTCGTCAATCTCCAGGCCAGCTGGAGCGCGAGTTGCAAGACGGGTGAGAAGAACGACCCAAGCTTCGCGGTCAAAGGTGCTTCCAGCCAAGCGGGCAAAGCCTAACTGCTGAGGCTTGGTTTGTGTGGACGATGACGATGAAGCTGCGTCTACGGCGTCGATCATACCAAAAACACGAGAGACAGCACTGCGACCAACCTCGCTAGCCTCCTCTTCTGACAATGGCGGTGGCTGTGGAAGTACGAACGGACCCAAGGAGACTAGATCAGGCTCAAGCTCTGCTTCCTCTTGCGCAATAGCAGCAGCTTCGCCTGGTCCATTGTCTCCAATATCTTCTGGCTCGTAGTCGGGTTCGTAATCATCGTCATCGTCAGCCGCTGCGGCGGTGGCAGCTTGGTGCAGCTGTTGTCGCTTGTGATTTTGCTCTTTTGTGATGGTCTCATATCGACTTCGTATAGCCTGCCACAGCATCAGTTCAGTCCGTTCAGGGGTCCTTTGCTGGACGATTCACTTACATCCACAGCTTGCGTAAGCAACGCCGGGTTGACTTGTGATAACAGTGGAATGGCGATCTTCACCACGATGTCCGGAGGAAGCTGTTTCACGTCGAAGGATGACAGACCAATATCCTGGGTCAGGGTAAAAAGCTGGTCATAGCTGGTCGGCCCTGCTGGCAAAGGAGGGATCTTAAGCGGAGGAGGTGCCACAGCATCGAGACGAGCCCTCTTCGTTTGGTCCAGTCCGTCCGTAGGTTCGGCGGGTGGTCCGCGCTTCCGTGAGGAGTCTTCAGCTGTCTCAAGCCGGGACTGCATGAGACGCTCGATGTAGTGTTGCATCTTTCCCATAAGCGGATGACCAGGATTTCTATATGTGCATAGTTAGAAACTCTGCGTGACCCATGAAATTCGCTTGCTCGTTTTCTACTCACTTCTTCATCACATTGAAGAGTAGCGCCCGAGCAGTTCTCTCCATGGACTTGACTCCAACACGAACGGTGGGAGTGAATGGTGGACGGACATGTTTGGTCGGGAAGAAATCCATGATTGACTGAATAATCTTGTTCGCGATCGACTGTCGCGTACGAATGAGAGGTGCCAGGCAGTTTAGGGTTGCGTTGACAATGAGCGGGTTACTACTTAGATGTTAGCCTTGAATCTTCATAAATCAGAGGTTGAGCTTCCTGATTCTCACCATGTCTCTTCTTGAAGCACGTCCAGAAGTCGATCGAGGAGGCCCGAGGACTCTGCCTCAAGTTGAGGAAGCGACAGGAGAGCATGATTTCGGGGCACAACTGCGAGCGAGGTTTCATTTTGGTCGGGCCGCTGCATATTGTAAGTTTCAAAATACTGCGCATCCGGGGACCATGCTGGGATTTGAGTTGGCGGACGTACTCTGGGATCCGCGATTAAACCGGGAGTCTGAACCTGGACTACCCTCTGCAAGAACTTGATGCAGCATATTTTCACTGAGCAGGGAAAGGAATCCATTTTTCGAAGGATTTCTTGCTTCACAGCGCTCATCGTCTCCCAGGTCTTGTTGTCTCCGGGGTGGTTGACGCTGAACGGCGCGTTAGTCTCCACAACACCCATTGTCCCTGCTCTAGATCAGCTTCCAATGACTCACGTATGGCGAAATATGAGAGGATACATGCTTGCGCATGTTTGGATCAAGCTGGCCAGGACCGCATTGTCTGTCTCCGGAAGCAGGAGGGTCTCTTGTATCGAACTGAGGACGGTTGGAGCAAGCTGCTGCTTCTGTGAAGTCGCAAGAATCGGGCTTGCCAAGGTCTCAGCTAGAAATTCTGCACCCCATCTCCGCAGTTCTAGCCTGGCGTTGGCTCCGACGATTGGGAGGATGCCATTCACGATTTGAGGGTAGAGGGCGGCATCGCCGAGGACAAGCTTCCGGGCGGCGTCAAGCTGCGCGACTTGGTCGACGACCTGCTCCGGCGATTGAGTCATCGCCGCTCAGAGAGGGTGGCAATTGGGGCTTTGCGCCGGTTGCAAGTCGACGAAGCTTTGACCGAAACGCGAGTGGAGATGGGGGATCTCTTGAATAAGCGTAACGGATTGAGCCGAGCGGAAAACACGCGACAGCAGCGTCGGCCTGCGACAAGACCGCGGATCAGATTTAGTGACAAAGTTTAGTCCGAGATTGACATACTTGATCCGATACCCAGTGGAAAAATTCTCAAGTCAGAGGTGTATGGTGGAACGAAGCCAGTGAAGACCGCAGGGGTGCGAGAAAAGTTGGAGAAGAAGGCGCATGATGATGCTCGGTGCGCGAGTTGGCTGTCTATTCGGTGTCACGATAAGCGTTGGCGGTCCTTTTACTGCTACGATAAGCCATGAACCAGAACCCAGGCACAAACAATAAATTCGTACGCACCACTATAGCGCATGAGACACTTACGGTTGAAGTGACATGAAACTCGATGACAGATTTCTATCTGTATGGAATTCTGTAACCATCTTGGCAATTACCATCTAAAAATGAATACTTCGTAATGTTCGCGGCCCTTCGCGAGACGCTCATACCTAGATCTCTATCGCGAATGCACGGAAGTCTGATGCTTGAAAGGGACACAAGGGTCAAAAGTGCAATTAGCATGGAACCTTGCTTCATATAAGTCAACTGTAACAGACGGATTCGAGCAGGTTTGCAAAGATATCGGCAAAAAAGAGAGTCATAGATCGCAATCATGAACAACCATGGAGCGGATGTACTCAAATGCCAAGACCCACGGACATCTCGGCCGGACATCGAACGACTGCCGGCTGCTCCAACATCTGACATTTCGCCCTCCGTTACAGCATACAGCCACAGACCATGGCAAACGGAATGTACGTGCAATGATCGGGATCAAGCCATTCGCAGGTCTGACTGACACTCTCGTTCTTCTAAACAGCTTCAACTCAACGTATTACGGCAAGGACTACCGCGCCGGCGCTGCCCTTCTGCGTGCCCGCCGGCCGTATCTCGTCAAGAATGCCGTGACTGGCTTTGGGCTGTTCGCATTCGCTATTGCTGTCTGTGAGTGAAACAATTCAGATCGAAATAGCGAATTTGGTTCCTCGGACCTTACGGCGTGGTCTAACGGCAAGGTCTTTCTGGAGGCCCGGAGGCGTCGCAACACCCTTTGCCTCGATCTACCGAAGGCCGATTTCCTGATTCTCATGCTGACGAGATTTTCCCTCTTCCTCTTCATAGACTCCTACACGATCCGCGCTGTTGGTCAAGAAGATTTCTCTGACGTCAAGGTGCCTGACACGCCCGTCAAAAAATTGCCCGAGCAAAAGTAAACTTGATCCAGAGAGCGGACGTGGCCTTCAGCTGCAGCTGCTTGGACACAAATTCTGCATTGTTCTTGATCGCAACCCGGCGTGTACAATATTACACTATCATCTCGGAAAGGTGCGCTTAATTGGTCATCTCGACGCAGTGGGATGGTCGACCGAGCCCCTCGGCAGGAATCATACACTGGAGCACAACGGGGTTAGGGAGTCTTCCTGGGTCAGCAATTTACTTGATATCCTGGGATTTGCTGGCTCGGTGGGGTTGATTTGTTGGATTTATATCGTCTGTACAGAGTGGATGCAGTGGTTGAATATTGACCTTGCACTTGATTATCGTGAAAATGAACGGCAGTCTCTTCTCTATTTCTATTACCAACCATAACAGCGACTCACACTTGGTTGCGAGTTGAAGGGTCTTTACCCGACTTTCACTTTTTTCATAAGAAGCGACATGGACAGAAAAGGTACAAGAAGATTGATTGAAACTATTTAAGCTCAAGGAACCGGCCATGCCAGGAGCATAGACAGCTAGTTTGAGGATATAAAAAGCAAGCACAGGAGAAAGAAAAGTCTAATTCACAAGCAGGTCTACTCCGTTCGCAGAACGCGAGGACCCTTCTTCTTCGCAGCGCGCTTGCGCTTGAGACCCTTGTCAAAGGAAACGGCGTTGCTGTGATCGCGGCCAAAGTTGTCCAGGTCCTTGACCTTGAAAATACGGATGATCCAGTTCTCGCTGGTGAATGCCTCCTCCAGGGTGTTGAGCTGCGGGCTCTCGGCTGGTACACGAGACCCACGAACACGATCGACAGCTTGACCAGCGGGGAAAAGAGACTGGTAGTTGTAGTATGACATCTTGTACCTATACAGTCAAGTGGGTCAGATCGTGTGTGTGCAAAGAGTGCAGAGGACATGTGACTTACATCAAGCTGTTGCGCATTGTTGGGGTGGCCTCATCATCGACACGATATTCGCCACGAGAGGTGAAGAAATCCCGCTCCTTGACCTCGTCGGGCCAGATACCTTCGGCAATGCGGACCATCCACAAGAACTTGTTGAGATCATCGCCAGAATAACCCAGCAAGCCGCCAAAGACAACTAGGACATAGTCCACATCATGTTGGCGCAAAATGGGGTAGCTGACTTCCTCACGGGAGCTCATAGCCTTACCGACCGTGGCGATATGAGTGTTATTCCAGGTGTTGTTGTCGACGAGAGTGGGTCTGTCGGCCATACCACCAATCTGGTAACCATAGTCCCACCAGGACATGATCTTGGCGTTGTCCGGGGTGTTCTGGCGGAGCCAGTAGTACGCCTCACGGTAATCATCAATGATATGCTGACTACCATCGGGCAGTCGGCTAGCCAGCACCACGGAAGGAGAAGAGTAAGCGTTGGAAGTAACCCAGGTGCAGTGAGAAACGAAGAGAAGCAAGTAAACAGTGACAGAGGCCGAAACAGTGAGCTTGGAGAAGAACGAGTAGATACCAACGACGGGCTTGGAGGTCGACCGGAGAGTCTTGGAATCCTCTGCGCCAGCGTTGGCCAGCGCCTCTGGATCGGGTCGGCCCATGGTCAAGAAGCTATCGAGAATGCTTGACAAGGCCAACGCAGCGGCAACGCAGACAATAGGGGTTAATGTCAGCATGAGACGGACCATGACTCCTGCGAAGTAACTCGCGAGCACTGCATAAATGATAACGAAGACGTGCTCATCCTTCAGCTTTTGGAAACACATAAAAACACCAGCCGGGAAGAGCCAGATGAGGAAATTAAGGTCGAAGAAGAATGCGGGCCATGCAGTAGGTTGGTGCTCAGACACCGAGGCAATAATGGGAATGTGAATCTTTGCATAACCGGTGTCCCAAAGTGAGTAGAAACGACCACTCCATGGGGCAATGATTCCTGATACAGAGAGAAGCACAAGGCCACCGAAACCAAGTCCAAAGGTGAGCAAGACCATTGCGGTCAAAAGCTTCTGGAACTGTTTGCCAGGCAAGAATCCACGGACAAACTCCGCAAATGCGACGAGCTGGATCAGACCAAAGACACCAAGAGCGGACATGTGGTCACTGTTGCGAATGGGAAGGAAGCCGACGAAGGGAATCTGCATGCTGCCCAAGGTTCCGAGGGCGTACCAGGTGGTGTAGCTGATGTAAACTCGAGAGCTGTAGCGACCCATGCAAAGGAGAACGAAAACGTGCAGAGGAATCAGATTGGTAATGAAGACATAACCACCCCAGGCAGAGACCATATATCCGTAGAACAGAGCTGTCAAAGCTCCCCACATAATGGAGCCATTCTTGACAGCCTTGATCCACAGGAAGAATGTGAACACCAACAGGAAGATAGCAATGGCTTCGTTGTCGTAACTGCCAGCAACAGATCGTGAAATATAACCAGGGGCGATTCCCATGAAAGCAGCGGCGAGAAGGCCGGCAGATGGTGAAGTGGACATTTCACATGTCAAAAGGTACATGGCCAGCGCCGTCAGGCCTGAGAAGCCAGGGGCAAGCAAAACACACACGTTTCGAATGTCGACCGGAATGGTAAGGAAACGGAGGATATGGTAGATAACACCACTGGTAACCATCAGACCGGGATAAAGAGTACCACCGGTGACACGTCCCAGGGGGTGCCATGTTCCTGAGCGACGAGACAAACGGCGTTAGGAAACCTCAGATGTATAGATGGCGAACGGGGACTGCTGGAAACGTACGGTCATCGAACCAATCCCAGAAGCTGTAAAAGCCATTTTGTACCAGATACTTTGTTGCACGAAAATTGAACCAGGGGTCGACTGTAATTGAATGTGTGGTCAGTATTTCCACATCGGTATGCTTATCGACTCTGAGCTCGACTCATTAAAGAAGGGCCAAAGCTGTGTGGTGCATACATTCGTGAATAATACTCTCGAAGCCTGCAATTGACGTTAGACTTGACCATATCAAGTTGGAAAATTGAAAAGTCACATACGGATAACGCTGAACAGGCGACTAGCAACAGCGGCCGCCGCAATTGTTAATAGGATGATGATCCGCAAGAGACCGCGTGTACTTTGGCCGGAGCTGCCTTTCAGCACGATGTCGAGGGGTGATGATTGGGCCATAGTGGCCAAGGAGAGGGCTCGAAGTCCAGGAATCAAAAGAAAAACATGAAATTAAGGAAGGAATTGGGCAAAGGTGCCAATGGTTGTTCTTTGAGCACCTGGTTGATGGTGTGGAGGAAGAAGAGCTGCGCAAGGTGGTCACTTCTGAAGTCTTGGCATTGCATCGGGGAAAACGCGCCACCTCCGACTACTCCCCGCAATTAATCGCAGATGGAGCGACTCATCATTCACCGAGTTGCTTTGAAGTTCACATTGCCTGAACCGGATTCACGGACCATCACGTAGCTCGCTGTCGTTAATTTTTTTTCCATTCAACACACACCCCAAATCATATTTGTCAACACAGAGCCGACAGATCTCAGGGCAATCTCAAGCTCAATTCGAAATGGAGCTTCCACCTCTCTCATTGACCCAGCTATCGACCGTGGTCGCATCAAACCTCTTACCATCGCAGCTTTTTGAGGTTCTCTCACAATACGAATCAGAAGCGGTCCTGATGTCCTCCGATTTGACGAGGGTTGGATCGGAGAGCGAAAACCAGCAGTTGTTGAGCGCGTTCTATTCAAGTTTCTTTTTTGCCCACCTTCTTACGAATCAGCTGTAAGCGCAGGACCTTAAGAATTATGACGACCCAGGATCGGCTTGCGCTGACTGAAGAGTTGTCTATGTCACAGGTCCGAGGCACGTGCATTGACACAGCGAATGCCTGATGCCTTTCGAGACCGAGATGCAACGATCCAAAACTGCGTTGGCCTACTTCGAGCGCTTTGGCAAACCCAACATGACCAAGTGTATCAGATCCTGCGAGAGCTCCCTTGGCCAAGAGACACTCAACCACTAGTGCGACGATATGATCGTATGAAAACACTCAGACGATTTGATGCTCCTCGAACTTCGAAAGCTGACTTGGCGGTGACACAGATTTCTTCCAGGACAAGACATTGATTGCGGTCAGTAAATGCTACGAGGCGATAAGACCTGCTGTCGCTGCGACCTATCTGGGGCTGAATCCGCAAGCTGTAGAGAGTGGAGAGCCCTCTGTTATCGAGAAATTTACTAGCTGCGGTTGGAAATGGGATCCGACAGCCAAGTTGCTATTTCCCTCACCAATTGTCGTGCAGACGGGGGTGCAGCCTACGTCGAGTGGATTCTTCGATACCATGGCACTGCTGGGAAATCGGGTGTGAGACAAATCGATCTAAGAGACCGGGGTATTGTTTTGTCCCTCTCTGTCTGTCCCTCCCTCTTGTATCCAGATAGTGCGATCAAGTTGAAACCCTTTCGTCGGCTTGTTGTGCAATGTGCACAAGTATCACTCGCCCGCGCGTAATTAATGCCAGTAATGAAAGGCCCGGCTTGACAGCATATTCGGAGACACGACACTAATCCAGTTGCGGCGTTGAAAAATGCGTAATACGATCATTTTGCTCTTTCCTTGTGGTCCAACTGTAGTGTACAGTCGCACGATAGCCCAGGGTATGTACAGGACCCGAATGATAACGTCTAAAGTGATGAGTAAAAGAAAACAGATCAAACGGAAATCATTGCATCTTTCGCTCGCAATGTTGCAACACGGGGGCAAATTAGACCCAAACAATCGTACAGTAAACGGACCCGAGCAATCGCATCTGATACCCTGGGGGGGAAGTGCGAGTATCGCATCACAATGCGTATCCCTCCCTTCTCTATACCATATCTCAAATCATTCAAGGGTTCTCCTTGAACTTAGCCAGCAAGAAAGCCTCGAGATCAAACTTGGGGTCCTCGAAATTGGTGATCACTGTACGGTCGAATTGACAAATTAGCGTCGTGTATCTGGACGAATTATCGCGGTAGCCACAGAGACACCGGTTCCGTTTCTTGTCGTGAGGGAGTTCATCGTCGCGTCACATACCTCCGCTTGATTGCGTGGTGGTCTCCTGCTTGGGCTGGGTCTTCTTCTTGTATTCGGCCTTGGCCTGCTCGATCAGGCGCTCCTTGCGGGCGTACTCGTGCTCGATCTCCGTGCGCTTGGCGGCCTGAGTGATGGAAGACTGGTGGTAAACACCATAGATGAGACCAGCGACGAGAGCCGAGTAACGGAAGACCTGAGGAAGAAGCAATGGCCAGTTAGATATTCGATCTCACTTTCCTGACGTCTGGATGGGGTTTGACTCGATGCGGAGTGGGACTCACGTTGACACCCTGAGTACTGGCCATTTCTGCGAGTTGCCCGGAAACTGAATGGGAGAGCGAGAAAGAAGGAGTGAAAATTCCGAGGGACCGTTCAACAAACTTCGACCGTCAATGGCAATGAATCCTCGGGTTTGAACAAGGCGAGGTGGTTCAGTCCCTGTCCAACGCGAGTTTTTCCGGCGCCGTTCGGACCTGGGCGCTTATGTCATCCCCCTGCAAATAGGTAGCGGGAAGCCCGCAGCGCAACAACATTGGTACAGCTCTGTCTACGTTTACAGTGATCAACACAGCTTTGGGATGTATTTGCATTGCTTGTGATCCCGAAATGTCAACCATCCAGCAGCGCAAGAATGAGATTTTGGCGAAAAGGGCGAAGCTAGCAGAGCTCAAAAAGCAGCGAGAGTTGCGTCAAAAGGAGTTCTCGACTAATCGAAATAGTATTGGGGATGCTTCAGAGGTAGATGCCGCTCAAGGAAGCGCCCGCAATTTTCCCTAGTTGAACCTCCCTACTGACAAGCGACTTAATCAGATTGCTTCTCCTGTTCCCAGTCGTACCGACAGCCGAGCAGAACTCGATGATCTCATTTCACGCCTAGTCGACCGTCCTGGTTCAGCTTCACTCAGCCATGGTGCGGAAGGTCCATCACGGAAGGGAAGCCGACCCAACTCTGTCCTGAGTGCCAGTCAACTCAGTGGTGAGAATGTGGAAACACAGTCGTCAGCAGCTCGTCCGCTATTACAGTCCGTTGCCGTCCAGACTATCGGTGAAGAGCAGGCCTATACGCATTCCGCATCAGAGATCCAGACTACACCTGCCCCTGAGCCGAAGCCAGAGGTCGTCACATACAGCAAGGCCATTCAGACAGATGATCTCGAATCGCCAGCTCGGTCGGAAGCCGGCTCAGATGTTTCAGATGATGAGAAAGACGCTGGCGTCTCAAGATCAAGCAAGCGTCTCAGTGGGCGGGGCCGGGAGCGCGATGAGGAACTACGACAGAAGATTCGAAAAGAAATCGAGGAAGAGGTACAGATGGCCAAGCAAGGCGCCGATCATCACGGACCGACACATGCTTCGCATGTCCGATACCCAATGCGCATGCTCGACGATGACGAATTGAAAGCGGTCACTTCATCCAACGACTTCTTGGATTTCGTGGAGCGGTCATCGAAGGTGATTGAGCGGGCATTGGACGAAGAGTATGATGTTCTTGCCGACTATGAGCTCGGTATTAACGGGGATGTGGAAGAGGATGAAGAAACCGGGAAAAAGAGAAGGGGAATCCGGGAAGTCTGCCAGTTCTGGGATGAGCGATGGAGCAAAAAGCGCATGATAACCGACCTAAGTTTCTCTCCAAAGGTACGAGCGCCCAGACTCTGAAGCAATGTGAAGCATGCAGTCTCTGTGTCCCATGGGAAGTAACCGCTGACTTTGTTGCAAAAGTTCCCTGAGCTTGTTCTCGCATCATACACCAAAAATCCATCGGCTCCTCACGAGCCAGATGGACTGGTCCAAGTCTGGAATCAACATTTGCACTCTCGACCCGAATATGTTTTCCACTCAACGTCCGACATTCTCACCGCAAAGTTCTCACCCTTCCACCCTAATCTGATTGTCGGAGGTTCATACTCAGGCCAGGTGCTCCTGTGGGATACTCGATCGTCTCGAGCTGGCGGTGGCGCCCCGGTACAAAAGACGCCACTGACTGGCTCTGGACACACTCATCCCGTTTACAGTATCTCGATTATCGGCACCCAAAACGCACACAATATTCTGACGGTCTCCACCGACGGAGTCGTCTGTGGTTGGACGGTCGATATGCTTTCCCAGCCACAAGAATACCTTGAATTGACGACACCTCCACCTTCCAAAACCGAGGATCTCGCCCCGACAACTATGTCATTCCCACAATCGGACCCTACTTTCTTCATCGTAGGCACGGAAGAGGGTGGCATTTATCCTTGCCATCGCTACGATCGAGCCGGAGCCAAGGCGGGAACGGATCACCGTCTCGCATACCGTGGACATGCCGCTCCGATCATGTCTACCGCATTCCACCCCGCGCGTGGTCCAGTTGACCTGGGAGACCTCATGCTCAGCTCAAGTCTCGATTGGAGTGTAAAGTTGTGGCGCGTGCGGCCACCTGCGACGACCGCGGCTCTGACCTCGGGCATGGCCCCGGCCCAAGTTGTCTCGCCTATCCTAGATATCGTCCGAGACGACGTCGTCTACGATGCCCGGTGGTCCCCTCACCGACCTGGAGTGTTCTCACTCGTTGACGGTGCTGGCAACGTCGAGATCTGGGATCTATACACGGACACCGAGGTCCCCGTTGTGCGCACATCGCCGTCTCGTGGTCCGGGGGCAGTCCCATCGCGCAGTCTCAACAAAGTGGCCTGGGAAGAGCGCGAAGGTCGCCGTCTAGCAACCGGTGGTCTCAACGGCGTCGTCACCCTCTTCGAAGTAGGCAAGGGACTGGGTGGACCATCCGAGGAAGTTCCTGCCGAGGAATGGGCTGGTATGAAGCGATTGGTTGGCAAATTGGAGCAGAAGGATCGCGCCACCTGATAGTGCATCATGGCAACGGCATTCGGCATACGCTCATAGTTTTCCCATCTTTTGCCCTCTTCAATATTCATCCTTCTTCCTGGCTGGTATTTCTCTGTATTTTGCAAGCCTTTGTGTTCCTTTTTTTTGTATTGTGTTCTGCTTGCCATATACCCAGTTTCTTGAATGACATGCTGTTAGAGTGAAAACATTCTTGCTTGACCGGGATGGTTGAGAGAAGCCTAGTCTTCCCGTCGCTGTTCAACGAGTCGGGCTGGTAGGACGCTTGGGTAGGTTTGTGGAGTGAACAAGTGTCTGCATCATTAGGACCTCACAGCCGCGCACCTCATTTGTCCATCGCCACTGAAACGTAGATGGAGAATAGATGGAATGACCGGAATAAGACGCCTCGATTTTCGCCTACCGTTGTTGCAACATATTGTATATTTGTTGTATATCTATCGCAGTATTCAGAGGTGAGAAGGAGCACGACGCCTGTGTGTCTAGGTCGTATATCGGAATTCAGGCTGAAGCATTGATGGATTAGGTGACATTGTGTTAGCCTGGCTCTCATAGCTGCAAACTCACAAGCCCGGGAGTACTTACGACGTTCATGATGTGTCGACCGCCGTCTGCCAAGTTGTTCATCCGTCTAAAATAGATCGAAAATAACACAACGAGCATGACAATCGTGAGCTGAGATCTGTAAGTCCATTGGCCCTTATATCAGCATCGTCGGAAGAAAATTCGTATCTGTGATTGTTTTCAAGTGATTACTTACCCCAGAGCTACCCCAAACGCCGTCGGATACTTTGGCGCTTCTACCTGTCGGACGACAAAACTGCCTGCCACACTGCCCATGCCTTCGAACATCGCCACCGTCGCGGCTGTAATGGCTCGTTTCCACTGACCAATGACGTTGTTGGCCTGGTATGCGTTGAGCGCCGCCCAGTTCGATACGTAGCCGCCTGTTGCAATGACCATGCCGGCGTATCGCGCTCCGACGGGAATAGCAGGGGCCCCGTAGAGCATCACGAAGCCGAATATGATGCAAAGGGCATTGAGACAGATGAATGGCCCGCGGGAGTTGAGGGAATCGGCGCAGAGAGATGTTGCTAGGACGGCGATGGCAGCCCAGAGGTATGGCTGTGGCGAGGCGTCTTGTTAGTCAGTGTGCTACGAAGGCGCTCGGATTTGTTCAGACTGTGGGACACAAAAAGAGAACGAGCTCGATGACCTCGGAAGAGTGATTCCAATCTAAAGTAACTGAGCGACCTTTGTCGACTTACCGGAACTGATAACAAAATCGCTTTTTGTCCGACAACACCCAGGCCATCTTCAAGTATGGTTGGCAAAAAGTACGACACGGCCGTTGAGACGAGATTCAGAAGAAAGTACAAGCATGCAAAGCCATAAAGCTTCACATCCTTGAAGCATTCTGTTGCCCTGGCCCAGTTCAGGGGCTCAACAAAGGCGTCAGCCCGTTCGTCATTGACGCGAGCCACCGCAATGTTTCTGTCATCTTCATTTAAAAACCATTGACTCGGCTGGGTTGTTTCTGGAAAGTCGATCATCCACCAATAGGTGATGATGCCCAGCGCAATGGTGATGGGGCCCTGCACCAGGTACATCCACCGCCAACCCGAATACCCTCGTACGCCATCCAAACCGGCCAGTCTCCAGTTTAGTACATTGCCCAGAGCGAGGAGAACCACCTCCACCGCCTGCAGAATGGCAAATCGAAGCTGCTGCTCTCGACGTAAATACCACGTGCTGATCAGATAGGTCAGCCCCGGATACATTCCTGCAATGGCCATTCCTTGAACCACCCGCAGGATGATCACATGCCACCATTGCTGCGCAAACGCGGTGAGCATGTTCATGAGACCGAACACCACGGTTGTGAAAGCGAACCAGCGCCGAGGGCCGAAATAGCGCACTGCGAGTGTACAGGGCAATTGGCAAATCACACTGGCGATGGTGAAGGAGAAGATGGCCACGGAGAATCGAGAGCCCTGGTCCAGACCCAAATCTGCCGGCATCGAGGTCACCGCGGCTGATGCGAGGATGCCGGAGTCGAGCAAATTCAGGCTACACAGCAGACCCGCTAGCGTGCAGAGACGCAGGTCGACTTGACGACGGATATGTCTCTGCCTTTTGAACCATTGAGGAAATCGTTCCTGTCGCTCCCTTGGGCTCATTCGAGGCCATGCCCCGTCTCGGAACCAGTGGTCAGGTAGGTCTGCTGCAATTGTGGCAGAGGAGACCGCGGGCGGCGCTTTCTCTAGGGGGCGATGACCATCCATGTCGCTGGGGGTGAGAAGTTGTCATAGGGTGGAATGAGTGCAAGTGGGATTGGACAATCGTGTCAGTCCGACAACGACCTCTGGTCGTTTGTGATTCTACAAAGGAGACGGTAGGGGGAACGTGGGACAGTAGAGAAGTGCAACCAAAGCGAGGCAGGTGCAATTCTGTGGGTGTGATAGAATCTGGGGCTTATCGCACTTTAATCCTATTTCAATCTCGCCCCGTCATTTTCGTCTTTTTTATTCCTCCGAGGCTGGTGTCTCCTCAGCTGCATGCTGCACGATCGGAGACCGAAGCCACTCGAAGCCGTCCGGCCACGGCTCAATTTGAGTCCGGGAGTCATACCGTCCAGGGCAGGGGTGACTGGACGCATCGACAGTGTTTTTGGGAATCTCTGGCGTGGATCGTAAGACCACAGGTCATTCTTGCAAATGATCGGGATGTCAAGAGAGGACGTCTGAGAAACGGAGAATAGGTACCAACTCCCTGTAGAGAATGACCGGGGTCTAGATGTACTGTATCCAGATCGCACGTGCCTCGCTAATGTCACGGGGTTTGTGCCAGGAATCTCGATACGCTGAAGTCGTAGGTTTAGTCGGAGAAAGCTTGGTGCTGTAGTCAGCCATGTGGAATTAGTGGATGGCCCGACTACGCTGATCCAGGCGAGGAGCGAGCTTCCGGGTCCTGGCAGTCGAACGGTCTCCCGTCGAATTTGAACGACGTTTCTTATCAAATCGAGAGTCCGCAGTCCTCTCTGTTCGGGTCTTTGTAACTCAGTTCATCACCATGTGAGGTACAAGGCGAGGTTACATCCCACCACCACGGCGGGTCACAACGCTGGTGGAGTCTTTGCTACAGTAAGATGGAACCATAGCAAACAGCTTAATCGGGAAATTCGTCAACATGGACCGAGTTTAGAGGGCTATAAACAATTCTATGGCTTTTTCAAGGTCGCCAAGCTTACCGTTGATGAATGATATTGAATGATATCCGCCTTGATATTCCTGTTCGGTGGTGGCATTGCCCCCTCCCAAACGAGTCGGCCCTACGGAGGTCAGACGGGAGCTTGGCCCTGAAATCTGCCTTCCATATGGGAACCTGCCTGAACTGGAAAGGCTAGTCAAGTTGGAGTGTACCTGAGATCTGACCCATGTGTCAACCCGGGGAATAGATCAAAGAGAGATGATCTGAGGTCCAGTGGGCTGCTCAACGCACAGTTGCACACTGGTCCTGCCCTCACCGAAGGTCCCCTGTTCGAGTCTTCACCGGTCGCTCCGAGAGCCTGATGTGGTCTCCCAACAGTCCAACTCCTTTCACGTCCATCACTTCACCCGAAGCTCAAGCCCGGGCTCCGCTAGCTGCTGCCCCACGCGGTCACACGCTCGGGCGAATGGAGCTCTGGGCCATTTTGAAGATTCCCGTGGGTCTGCGATGCTGCGCTCCTCACGGGCCACGGCCGCTTCGACCGGGTTGTGGGGGCCCAGATAGAAAGACAGAAAAAGAGCAGGGCTTTCTCCTCACGGCGAGGTGGAACAGACAGCTTTTCTTTCGACTTCCCACTCGGTCTTCCAATCTCCTCGGACAGCTCAAAACACAGTGACACCTTCCTTCCCTCTGCCTCAGCACATTACCCATCGCTCCCACCGCCGATCATGGTCGAATTGATCAGCCCTCCCGATCCCAGAACTCTGCTTCCTCCGCTTCTTGCTTGTCTCCCCACCGCGTTTGTCTCTCCGCGCCCGCCACCAGCTCTTCTCCCGTTACTCTCTCCGATTCTGCGGCAGCGAACGCAATTTTTGACATCCGTGTCCACTTCCTCCTCCGAGTCGTGGCTGCGTCTGTTATGTTGGGACACGACCAAAGCCGAGCGTGTGCAGAGTATCGTCGATGAGTCCACTTTTGAACCCCACCCCGTCTCGGGCGAGATCGACATGCCCGATGACATTCCCATCGGGTATAAGCGCATCGATGACGAGACGCTTCAGGCTCGACTGTTGCTCCCCGAGTTTCACCTGACGGTCATTTACCTATGGTGTCCAGACGATGAGCAGGGTGGTGGCCGGGGCTGGCGTGTCGCGGAACTACTTCCGCGAGAAGGCCCCGCCGAGGACGATAGCTCGTGGATGCAGTCCATTGGCGAGGCCAATGAGCGAGCCCAGGAGAAGCTCTTTGCCGATGTGATGGACGACCGACGGGATGACCAGGCGACGTACAACAGTTCAATCCAGATGAACGCTGCTGAGAATGAGGAGGAAGACGATGATGACTACTGGGCCCAATACGATGCAACACCGGGGAGCAAGACTCCGGCGCCTCGGGCAGGTGCCGCATCCCACCAGCCGTCAGGATTGTCAGAGGCATCATACTATTCACAGTACGGAAACGTTCAACCGGCGATGGATAATCATGACCCGGGAGAAGAACAGCCCGAGGTAGGACCCTCATCACTGAACGGCGATATGCTTGCCAATCTGCTGCGACGGCAGGTCCATGACTCGGTTCCAGCTTCGTCTCTCGCTCGTACCAACGGCTATGCCGCGGGCGAAGAACCTGGCGATGCGGCGGCCCGCTCTCTCAGTCACCCACGCCCTGCGTCGGTGTCATCGAGTGGCACCGAAGCAGTCGCAAAGCTGGAACAAGAGGCGGAGAGTCAGAGCTCATACGAAGTCGGAGTCAAGCAGCACATTGGTACCAGCATCAAGAGTCTGTTCAGACTGGCCAAGGCGACTGGCATGACGCGTGCTGAATTCCAGAGCATGGTGCGCACTGAGCTAGAGCTGCTGGAGGTGACCGATGCCGATGAGTAAACTCGACGTGCGCTCTTTTCCCATTTAAAGCTTTTCCCTCGTAGAGCGCGCACTCGGGAAACTCTGCTCCAACGAACCCCAATCGAACGACTTGCGCAGTGACGATTTTGAACTTGAACACAGGACCCGATGCATAGAAGAAGCATTTCGCATGCCACCATGGCCGGTTGGAGTTTGTTTTGGGTATTCTTATTTGACTGGGCAGTACCCTTAGCGTTTGAACTTTTCGTGTTTCAATGGAATGATTTGACAACCCGGTCACATTATTAGATGGAAAGTCTCTACGCCCAAATGCACGCAGGGGATTTGGAAGTGACTGTTCTGTTATGCAAAGGTAGCGCTGAGAAGTCGAACGCTACAAGATGAAACTTCAACACATCGATCAAAATGCAGATCTCAATAGACGGGATCTCTTTTGTCAACGACATGAACTTCGCAATACAACACTTCACAACTCTCATTTTATAATGTTCCCCTATTTCTCCCAACCAGCCCGCCTCCCAATGACTTTCGCAACATAAACAAGCCCCAACAAAACAGGCACCTCAATCAGCGGTCCCACCGTCGCAGCCAACGCCTGATTACTCTCCGCCCCAAACGTCGCAACCGCCACCGCAATCGCCAACTCGAAATTATTACTCGCGGCCGTAAAGCTCTGCGTAGCCGCCAACTCATAGCCGAATCCAAATTTTCTCGCCACAAACAGCGTCGCAAAGAAAATCACCACGAAGTAAACGATCAAGGGCGCAGCCACACGCACCACGGAAACAATCTGATGCACAACCTGACGGCCCTGCGACGCGAACAATACCAGGATCGTGAAGAGTAACCCGATCAGTGAGAACGGGCTGATGATCTTGATGAAGACCTGGTCGTACCATCGAGGGCTAGTCAGGGTGCGGAGGGTGAAGCGGGTGAGGAGCGCGGCGCCGAGGGGGATGCCGAGGAAGACGGCGACACTCTGGGCGGCGGTGCTGTAGGAGAATGTTATATTGGCGCTTGTTGCGGGGCTGATGATGTTGATGAAGAGGATTGCGAGAGGTGCGAAGAGGACCATTTGCAAGAGGGAGTTGATTGCGACGAGAATGGCGCAGTACTCGTTGTCGCCGCCGGCGAGCCCCGTCCAGATGAGGACCTGTTTTGGAGGAAAGGGGCGTTTAGTTTGTGTGTCTCGTTTTGTGGTGATCAAGAAGGATTGGGATGGGAAGTGGTTGGAAACCATACCATTGCGATGCATCTAGCCAGTCCGACGAGAATCAAGCCTTCTCGTAACTCTGGCTCATCTGGTAGGAATGCCCAGGCAAGTCCGAGCTGAAGAAAAACCGGAAATATCAGCATATGTGCTTCAAGTCACCTCCTCAGAAGACGAATCACTCTGTGTCTCATATGCTTACCATCAGAAACGGAGCGATGATCCAATTGACAAATATACTGAACCCAATCTGGACCCAGATTGCGCGTTGCTTGAAAGCATGATGCAATGACTCGAATCGAACCTTGCACAGAATGGGATACATCATCACCAGTAGACCAATCGCTGGAAGACAGTACTCAAGTCAGTCCAACTCGTTCTCTGTTGCGATCAGATGTGACACAAACGGAAGACATACCGATTGGAATTGACACTCCAACAAACTTCCCCTTTTGCAATGCCGGACCCGTTTGTTCCACAAAGTTTCCGAGTAGGATTCCAACTGCCATTGCAAGAAAGATCCAGAGAGCCAGAAACCTGTCTAGCCAGCCCAGTCCCTTGATGACGGAGGTTTGTGCTGGGGAATCTGGCTTTTGTAGGTCATTTTGCTTTTCGAGGTCATTGAGGGTTGGGTCCTGGGCATTGGAACAAAGTGCATTTGAAGTGGGCGCAGGACGCGACATTTCTTGTTGAGACAGAGAATGCGTGCTCTTTAGAGTGGTCATTCTGTCGATATACGGTCGTTTACTCGTGCTGAATGATGTTCTGCAATGATATTCTTCTCAGTCAGCCTTTGAAGATCGACAACGAGTCAATGACTCGAAACATTGAGCCACCCGCACCTTTTTCCACCGCAAACTCACATATGCTTTCGATAAAAGAACAAATTTTCAATTCAAAGCTCCAAGCTCGAAGTGCACAAGTCGAAAATACGAAAACGCCCTCGTGAGATGATAGTCACCTTGATATACTCGGATGCCGCACTAGTCCCAACAAGGCTAAGGAGTGGCGCTGTCCCAACCAATCCAGGCTCCATAATGACAAACTTTACCTGGCCCGCCAATCAGGGCAGGGCAGTGACCAGCGAGCTCCGAGAAGTGTTTAATGCTCCGAAAACAACTACCATGGAGAGTACCTGGCGTTTAGGCAGGTTGGAATGAGAGGCGTACTAGTAGGTAGTGCAACTCAGTACCTACTCGTAGTACCTGCCGTACGTACCTGTACCTGGGTCTGATTTCATATCACATCGCCATCTGTCGTTCGATTAGCCAGTTACGGCCCTCGGGTGACATGTGGGATCTTACGCAATTATGCAAGTTCTGACAGTCAGCTATCCTACTTTGGTTAGCAGAGAACTCTACAAGTTCTAGGGATCTGATTCATGAAGATTCTATCTTACTAGGAGATGCGAACGAGACCTTTACACAACACTTGTTGGCTTTCAGGATGAAAAGGGTAATATGATGTTTTTGATGCCGTATCATAGCTGATTGTATCCTTTACTGCAACACCTTTATGATTGACACAGTCCTGCTAGTTGAACTCATTTGCAGTTTTATTTCAATCTTCAGAATCAATGAAAAAGAAAATCACTTGCGCGTGCTTGTCAATAACCTAATAGCCATAAGCCCAGGAAAACCTGACCGCTACCTGAATTTCACACATCATGTGGCAAAGCTAGAAGCAAAATTTACCATCAGTCTGAGCAGAGGAGCTAAACCCAGATAGGGTTAAGCTAAGAGCCAACATCGCTTTCTTTTTCCTTGCAACTTCGAGAATAAGATCATGTCGTCGAATGAAGAGTTTCTTTGCTTTTTTGGTATTTGATGGACAAGCTGTGGGTATTTACACCAGACGGAAGGCTCATCTGATAGAACAATCTTTGGTCGTAGGTATTATGAACTTGCAAAGGCCGCTTACACTTCCGCCAGAGGCGACAATATTCATTCAAAGTGAATCAAAGCGAAGCCTCTAAAAGATAGCAAGATTTCGACGAAGTAGCTTTTGGTATGTTTCTTCGGGATCATTTCATGTGAAGAGCATTGGTCCGTGACCATCACGAACCTTGTTACCCATCACTTCTGTGGATCTATGAGGATTTGTGAAGAGAGATCGATTTACTGGTGGTGATGACCAAATACCTACTGCTTCCCGGGTGAGTAGTAGCGAGTCTAGCGACCATACCGGGTAGTAGAAGTAAAGAATCCATCAGACGGTAGGGGAGTCCTGAACAGCTATATGACCAAGATTGTGTCTTCAACATTTAGACAAACCCCCTATTTCCGTCCCGGGCTGCATTGTCATATAATGGCCAGGAATATCATTCGATCTTTGAATATCGGCAAAGTACGGTGAGGTCCCATCAAGACTATATCCCTATTCACTTCCGATTCAGATCGACTAAGGTGAAAGTATCAGCCTACTTGGGCAAGAAGATCATTGGGCTTTATTTTAGTAAGCGATGTCAACTTGCATCTTCAAACGACTTGAACATATCATGGACCTCTTTCCACAGCAAACTTGACAAGATTCTCGCCTGCGAGAGACCTTGAAGCTGTTTTCAACCAAGGACTGCTGCTTTCAATATGAAGGAGAAGGCGTGATCGAAGTAACCGATCCTTGAGTCGAGCTTAATTTCACACTTTGTGCTTGATCAGATGCATCCCAGATGGTGGCTGATCAACGAAGAGTTTTTCGCTTTGATAAAGACCCTGGAAGGAATAGAATCCATCTCCTTTTGGCATGTGGTCACAAGCCCCTTAAAGAGCACCCGTCCAGCATCAGCCACCGGATGAGGCTGAAGTTGTGGAGTCTGAACTCTGGAGATCCTCGTGTGGAATTGGTGGGTGTCCGGCCGCTCAGGCCACCGCCCAGCTGGGAACCAAGAAGACACGCAAGCAGTCAACTCCATCTCCTTTGAGCCTCCTTGTCCAGCACCCAGCTTTCTCGGCCTCGTACTCGGAGTGCCATGCCCTATTGGTGATTCTGGTGAGTTGAGAGGTAGACCCTCGCCCATAACCCCCATCGATGATTCTTTATCCCTTGCCCTTCTTGTTGCGACGTTGCTGACAAGTAGACCGTTTCGGCAGTCTATTTACTTTTAGGTAGTTTCACGGTCATTCTCTATCGGTCTCTTTTTTCTCATTCCCCTTTTTACTTTCACCAAAATGTCGTCGCCTTCTCCATCTCTCCGCAAGAGAGGTGGCAAGAAGGAGACACTCGTGGCAGAGCCATCAGACAATGTCACGCTGCGTCCTGCAGTCGTGGCTGCACGCAATCAGTCCGAGTGGGATTATTGGCTGGCCATGATCGTCCTCACGGTTCTGGCATTTGCAACTCGATTCTATCGAATTGACTACCCCAACGAGGTCGTCTTTGACGAAGTTCACTTTGGCAAGGTAAGCAATATCCCGGGAGTGAACACAACGGAAATGCCGTGAAGCTGGAGCTGACAAGCGCCGCCTGAATTGCTAGTTCGCCTCCTACTACCTTCAGCGCATGTACTTCTTCGATGTGCACCCTCCTTTCGGCAAGCTCCTCTTCGCTTTCATGGGCTGGTTGATCGGGTACGATGGCCATTTCTTCTTCGAAAACATTGGTGACTCGTACATCGACAACAAAGTACCATATCTTGCTTTGCGCGCAATGCCCGCGACTCTGGGTGCGCTTACTATCCCTGTGGTCTTCTTGACTATGTGGGAGTCCGGATACTCTCTCCCAGCTTGTGTCTTGGCCGCTGGCTTGATGGTGTTCGACAATGCGCACATTGGTGAGGACCGCTTGATTCTCTTGGACTCCACTTTGGTCTTGTCCATGGCTCTCAGCATCCTGTGCTATGTCCGCTTCTACAAGCTGCGCCACCAACCGTTCAGCCGCAAGTGGTGGAAGTGGTTGCTTCTGACTGGTTTCTGCATGAGCTGTGTTATTTCAACCAAGTACGTCGGTGTGTTTACTTTCGTGACCGTCGGCGCTGCTGTCATGATTGATCTGTGGAACCTGCTGGACATCAACCGTCGCCAGGGTGCTTTGGACATGTATACCTGGATCAAGCACTTTGCCGCTCGTCTGGTAGCGCTCATCGTCATTCCCTTCTTCTTCTACCTCTTCTGGTTCCAAGTCCACTTTGCGGTTCTCAGCCGTTCTGGACCTGGTGACGAGTTCATGTCCCCTGAATTCCAGGAGACTCTCAGTGACAATGCCATGACCGCGCAATCTGTTGGAGTGCAGTATTATGATGCTATCACTCTGCGTCACAAGGATACCAAGACCCTCCTTCACAGTCACTGGGAGAAGTATCCCTTGCGCTATGATGATGGCCGTATCTCAAGCCAGGGTCAGCAGGTCACCGGTTACCCTCACAATGATACCAACAACTTCTGGCAGATCCTTCCCACTCGACCTCTTGAAGATGGTGATGAGGGCAAGAGTGTGCGTAACGGCGACATTATCCAGCTATTCCACGTTGGCACAAACAGCTACCTCTTGACTCATGATGTCGCTTCACCACACTTCCCCACCAACCAGGAATTCACAACGGTGACCCCCGATCTTGCCGAGGGCGAGCGCCACAACGACACTTTGTTCGAGCTCAAGATTGAGAATGGCAAGCCCGCTCAGGAGTTCCGCACCTTTGCCAGCTTGGTCAAGTTGATCCACGTGCCCACCCGCGTTGCCATGTGGACTCACACCACCCCCTTGCCCGAATGGGGCTTCAAGCAGGCTGAGATCAACGGCAACAAGAACATCCTCGCATCCAGCAACCTGTGGTTTGCGGAGACTATTGATGGCCTTGCTGAGGACAGCCCTCGCCGCATTCGCGAAGAGCGCAAGCCCAAGTCTCTTTCATTCCTGCGCAAGTACTTTGAGCTCCAGGGTGCCATGTTCCACCACAACAATGCCTTGACGAGCAGCCATCCTTACGCCACTGAGCCCTTCCAATGGCCATTCTTGCTGCGCGGTGTTAGCTTCTGGACCAAGAACGAGACCCGTGGTCAGATCTACTTCCTGGGCAACCCGATTGGATGGTGGATTGCCAGCAGTCTGTTGGCCGTCTTTGCTGGTATTGTTGGTGCAGATCAGCTGTCTCTCCGCCGTGGCGTAGACGCGTTGGAAGAGAGTACGTATTCTTTTCCCCCAAGTCATACCATCACTGACAAGCAATCGGCTAACACTATACTCTTTCTCTTATAGTTTGGGGACCTGGTGCCCGCTCGCGTCTGTACAACAGCACCGGTTTCCTCTTCCTGTGCTGGGCCGCTCACTACTTCCCCTTCTGGCTCATGGGCCGTCAAAGATTCCTGCACCACTATCTGCCGTCTCACTTGGCGTCTACGATGGTGACTGGAGCGTTGATTGAGTTCATCTTCAACTTTGAGCCCCTGGACCCGGCCACCGCCGAAGCACCCGAGGATGATCCTTCTGGCAAGGCCAAGGCCAACCGCAGCCTGGGTCGCTTCATCACTGCCAAGGAGCGCATGGGTCCTAAGTCAGTCATTGCCGCTTGGGTTGCGACCAGCGTGATCCTCGCCGCCACCATCTACGGATTTGTCTTCTTTGCTCCTTTAACCTACGGCTTGCCTGGGCTCGACGTCGAGGGTGTCAATGCCCGCAAGTGGTTGAACTACGACCTCCACTTTGCCAAATAAGGTGGCCTCATTCTTCTTCTCGGGCTTGCTGCTCCACGGTACACTCGTACCACGTCGGAAGCAGCGAACTCGACAGTCGATGGAGCGGTATCCCAGGCGAGGCAGGCAAAGCATGTCGATGTGCATTTTAGTTTCGACAATTGATCATGTACGGGCGCATGCATGTCATCTTGCTTACTATGTGTTTTCTTCTTGTCGGAGTAGAACATAATGGGTTTGGTAATTGAATCGGACTCCTGGTTCCAGCGGACGCCTCGATTTGCCGTCTTTCATGTCTGTACCTATATATTCTGTCAACTCGAAAATCCATTTCAAGATTTAATTTCTTTCCTTTCCAGCCGTCCAGTTCCATGGGATGACATGGTATAATCTATCTTGTTCCGCTGCGTTCCACATCCAGAGCTATTGCCATGCTGGTAGAAATTCTGTGTAACCGCCGAGGGTTTCCCGAGTCCGAGAGCTACGCAATTCCAACTCACATGTGAGATGGACGCAAATGTCCAATGTGCCCACCTGGCACCTACTTCAGCATAGATTCCGAAAGAGCTCTGTGCGACCGCAAAGCACGCTGCGCAAACGGTCGATATCAGAAGAACGAGATCAAGCGGAAACAATCTTGTCCGACTAGAAATGCAGGTGATCGTGCAAACTGCAACATGCACCATGAACAGGACACCCTCTCGTGGCAGTGACGAGTCTGACGACGCTTGTACCGCGAATGGACTACATTCAATCATAATGATGAAATTTCCAGCTACATCACCTGTCTATTCGTCCTTGACGTGGCTGTAGCTTTGGAGCTAGATAGGTACTTACCGTATACGTCGCCTGTCAGAAAAAATCCAGCTCTGTGATTCAACCGGGCTGTGGGTGTGTGTCTGGGCCTACTTGGAGTTGGGTTGGATTGCGAGGCGGTGGGAATCGCCGGATTAGGGCAATGGCAGGCATGGACGCGCAATATTCCGGGCAAAGCTTGGAATAGAGTTGCTAAAACTTTTGGACGTGCTTTGCTCGTGGAATTGGAGAAATGGGTGATTGGTCTTATTTCTGGGAGGGTTTATACTCAGTATGTAGAACGAGAAGTAAAATGCACTGATGAACCATTTCTAGTACGATATACAGTACGATTAGTAGGGTTCAGGTATGAGTGGTGATTTTACGCCAAGGTCCCCGGGAGGATTCGAAAAGATCGCAAATACAGACTTTGGAAGTTATCATGCAAAGTCGATTCGATCTTGGGAGAAACTAGGCAGTGTGAGTGGATAACTCATGGGAGATACAGCAGGTAGAAACGGGAGGACTCGAATGTGAGGGCTGCTTTTATATACGGCGGTGAATATCAACGATGCAGTGATGGGCCCTCGTCGAAGAGATGGAAAAAGTGGTTGCATGGAGCTGTGGGTAGGTCCCTTTTTACTTGATGATAGACAGGATAAGTAACTAAGGTGAGTTACGAGAGTGGTGACCTTCCTGGAGTTCTGTTGACAATTCCTTGCGTCCTATGTCCTCTGCCATCATAGACATCACTCTACCTAGACCAATACACAGGAATTTTTTCCCGATGTACTGCACACTCACAGTGCAGTGCACACAGCGAAAGGCAGAGCCAGAGCCGTCTGAATAGCCAAGCAGCTCTCAAGTAGGTATGGTACCAGGGTACTGCACGCTTGCACAATATCTACTTGTATAGTATTGCACACTTGATCCATTCTTCAATCCTTGTCTGTTTTCGTAGGTACCTCTTGTCCCTCTTGTCCCTCTTGTCCCTCTTGTCCCTCTTGTCCCTCGGTAGAGGTACCGAGGCTATTTCTCTCCCGCCCAGCCAGTAGAAGTGGTAGATCGAACCGCGGAGCCTTGGCTCGGTCGGGATTGGGTGGGATGATGGATCATGATAAGATCTGGGACGAACGAAATGGCAACCATGGTCGAGGGGTGAGAGCTACGACAGTTCCTACCGGATTTCGCAACTACTTCTGGTGGATGGTTTGCGGTGGGTTGCTTGTACTGTAGGTTCAACACTCGGTGATGGAAATATACTACTGTGGTGTTTTTGTATAGTAATAATGGCGAGTGGCTAGTGGCTCGTATCTAGATGTAGAAGTTAGGTCGGTAGGTAGCATGAACTAACTATATATGATCAGTAATAAAGTGTTACCCTCGGTAGCAATGCGGCATTATTTTGAATCTGTTGACGATAATCGAGACACACGGTCTCGACGAACCCTTTCTCTTTGCGGCGACGGCAGGCCCTGTAATGTACGCTTGTACTGACTACAGTCACGACTCACGACAGAATACAGTACAAGCGTTGCGCGATGTATATGATAGCTTCCATGACAGTCGGGATCTCCACGTCTGCAACAGTCAGATTCAGAGGAGCTGATTTGGCCTCCATCTGAACTCGAGTCTCCGCGTTCTTTAGGTCTGCGTCTGAAGTCTCCGAGTCGGTCCTGATCGTGGTCCAGGGCCCGCCCGAGGCATGGGCAGACCCGAGTCCCGAGGGGCGATGATAGAGATTTCCACGGTCGGGATTTCGGGGCTTCCTAGTCCTACTACTGTGCCGGTGTACCCTGTTTTATTTATAGGCTCTTTCTCCGCATGAGTGTGTACCAGAAGAAAGACCCTGTTCTTGTTCTTTAAAGGTGTTCCTTGTATAAGGATTGAGGACAAACTTAGTCCTTGACTGTGTCCATGGCAGCAATGGGTGGACTCCTTTCGATAGTGTCCTAGCCGAACTTGTAGTGGCAGGGCGTTTTCCATACTCAGATCAAGCAACATGCGAGCCAGACGCCTCGCGGGGGACTCCTCCGGGATGATATCACTGTCAGCATGAATGAGTGACAGTCTGAGTTGACTAAACTTGCTCTGCAGCATCGAGCACGTCTAGTGCACGATTAGTGTGGTGGTGTACTAAAGTTAGTAAACGAGTCTCACCTGGATCCGCTGTACGGGCGGAACCAGGGCCATTCACATGCCACCGTGCGGACTCGGTCGCGCCCTCGCGACCCGGTCATCCATCGGGCTGAGGGCGAGACAGCGTGCTGGGCATGGCCACTTGAGTGGTCAGAGGTTGCTGAGTGGAATAATGTCCGTTGAGCTATTTGTGGTTTGTCATTTGTACCAGGCGAGTATGATGTTCCATTGTTCTCAATAAGAGCGTCAGCACCTGAGCATACTGGCATAGTACTTGGAGGATCAGATAGGGTGCATGTGTACAGTTGTACACTGTTGACTGTACAACTACAATAACTTCCAGTTACTGCACTGCTACCATGACCATTGTCAATGAAAGGCCTAGATGCTACTTGGACTCACATGCTTGAGACTTGAGAGATATAGTGTTCCTGAGATGGGTTAATTCAAATGGCCCCCCTCCCCCGGCCAGTGATATCGTCATCGGTCGAGATGGTGGGAATGCATTGGGATCATCGCCGGGATGGTCTAGACCTGGTCCCTGTCGGTGGTCACCTCTGCAATTCCAGATGCGGACTAGCGGACCAGGTGGCCACCTGCAGGGCGCTTGACTCGAGAAAGCCGTGGTTGATGGCTGTCGGGTTGGATGTTTGAGTACCAGCCTGCCAGGTAAGTCCCGTGTCCAGTATCCAGTATCCAGTATCCAGTATCCAGTATCCAGTTGTCCACTGGTAGTGCACAGACAAGAGTACTATGGAGTATGGTGCATAACTGGACACGACTGGATATGGATGGACAAATGAATTCATTGACATGCTGCATAGACCAAAGAGGTTCTCTTACCGCCGCCGATCGCCATGCTACAGGTTTGTGACTGTTATCTTCTCTAGTCTTTCTCTCCCTTGGTGGAGGGTCCTTTTGACTCTTGTGGTTGATGCGCGCTCTCCTGGAGATGCCAATTGGTACTGTTGGTCAGGCACTCAGTCCCAGGGACCTTGAACAACATAGAATTGGACACTCGTTCCCAGGTTGGCTTCAATTTCATCGAACACGTTTCGTAGAGGAAGACAGACTTTCCCGTTCCAGTAGGTAAGCGACCCCGAATCGAAAACTAAATTGCTCTTCTCCAATGATATCCCCTTGTGCAGTGCATATTTTTGCATAGCGGAGTTGGCTGCGGATACGGAGTGGCTGATGGCTGATGTTGATGTTTTCCGAAACCTTTGTTTAGCGAATCTATTCAATCACTTAGTAAGTTAAGTAGTAGTTAGTTATTTAGGAGTGAGTTAACTAGTTAACTAGGAGTGAGTTAACTAGTTAACTTGTAGTTAGTTAACTAGTAGTTAGTTAACTAGGAGTGAGTTGACTAGTTAACTAGTAAACTTAGTACTAGTAACTCAGTCACTAGTTACTAGTTAGTAACTTCGTACAGTAGTAGTCACCGATGAATTCAGAGCTTCACCTCTCTCACATTCCATCTGATACAGCCCAAGCCCGGAAAGAGTCGTACTTGATGATATGATGTATGAATCCAGGTGCCTCATCGTAGTTGTCAGGACTCAGCTGTCATTCCGCGTCTGACGGGCCTCCCTTGGCGACGGTCACCTGGTCTGCTGAATCGGTCAGTCCGTCACCGCGGGAGACCGTACCAGGATGCCGAGAGTCCGGTCGGCATGACAGGATGTATGTCATTGTTCCTCAGCAACCTTGAACCATTCCCGGCCGCCGTGGTCAAACTGGGCTGCGCGGGCGCAGGGATTCGGGGGAGGAATCCATCGTCGTACTATGAGCGTGCTATCGTGACATCCTGTTCACTGTGGACTCGGGGGAGTCACTGAACGTCCAGCGAGTGTAACAGGAAGAAGTTCTGTACTTGCCTCGCATACTGCGGTCTTCTAGGATCGCACTGGTAGTAGAGCCGCGCACGAGTCGTAGATCATACCACCGTAACTACACTCTCCGGTACTACTATCATAAGTGTCAGTGACTTTCCATTCTTCTCAGTCCTCACGCCTGACCATCTCTTCCCAACCCCCAAACCCGACGTCTCCACCATCTCCAGTCGACGTTCACTCCATTCATCCGTTGTGTCCAAACGGATCCACCACACGCCCCTCCGGATCGAGTATCGCAGTGCCAGTTTCCCAGTTCCATTCTCCACTTCTTTCGCGCCTTCTTTTGGGCTCTCCCACCGGACTCCACTCTGCCCGATCGGACTCGCTGCTGCATGTTCAGCGGACTCGCCCTCTTAGCGGAGTGCCCGTCGCATCGCGTCTTTGCGCTCTGGAGTCTGGAGTATCGAGACACAAGTCTCTGCCCGGTAGAAATCTCCATGCGGCGCTCTCCTGGATTCTCTCATCCAGTCAGACCCTAGTTCCATCTGTGATCAGCCCCCAGTCACTCACTCCCACACACTCTCTCTCTTCTGCTCGGGTGTGGACGGTGGTCATCGTCTTTCATACTTTCATCGTGGCTCTCCCAGTCCGGCATCGCGCCGTGCAGCAGCTGGGACGCCCTGGAAACCACCATCGCTGATCAAACACTAAAATCAACCCACCATCCCCCCATTCCACTTGCTCCTCCACTCCGCCATCGTGGTGCCTGACCGTCAACTGGTGATCCGATCCGTCTCAGGGGAAAAGCTACCCACCCTCCATCCACTACGGTGTCTCGCTCGTCCCTCAGGACCCAGGATAATTATAGGGTTCACAAAAGGACACAAAGCTTTGCGGCGGAAATTTTCCCAATCCCATCCCAGTGGATTCCTGCCGCAGCCCTCGGATTAGCCGCAAGAACGACCAGCAACTCCTGCTGCCCTCGTCCGGTTATCGTCTCCGTCCAGAAGCTTCTGCTCTACAAAGACGACTTTTCGGACTTACTACGGCCCCCCCCCCGTGTCCGTCTGATCGACTCGGTTGCCCTCTGTTCCCCGGCAATTCTTCCTTGCTTGGACCTCGTTTTTTTTCTTTTCCCTGGTCCATGCTTCATTCCACGCTCGACAGGTTTGATCCGTCATTGCTGCATTGTTTGGGATCGTTTCTCTGCCGTCGCTTCTTTCTCTTCCCAACCCCACCCCCTTTTTCCTTTCGCGCTATCAATCTGCCAACTGCTGGATTCTGTAAATCCCTTGCGACAGCTCTCTCTGTCGGCTCAATTCTCTCGACGGGCGATCGAGTCCCCCCTCCTCCTGGATTGATTGGAATTTTCTTTTTCTTTTCTGGATTCCCTTTCTGAAGTTTCCACTTTTCCCCTGCCCACTTGCAGCAGACACGTCAAACGAACGCATCTGAGGAGAGCCTCAGCAACCTGCCTACGCACCTCTGATCCTCGCCCACCCCCGATCTCTGACGGTCCACTTGGTGTCACGGATGGGAATGATTCGCGGGTGAAGGGAGCATCATCCATACGCTAATTGACCCGCGCGCTCTTTGTCTGTTTCCCCCGACTCGACTGCGGTGACTCGACTTCGTCCAGCAACCGTCTCGACCAGTCATTCCATCATTGCCCGCATCCACATCCACACCCACGCTTGCTCACTTACAATGCCCATCAAGCTCCCCAAGGGCTTTGCCCGGAGAAAGTCCTCGGGCAATGTCTTGGAAGATGTAGATGGTCAATCCCAGTCGACCTTCCGAGTCTTTGAGCGACCGGGCGCTACTCCACGATCAATGACCGACGACGCCCTCACCAAACGGATGAGCGAAGGGAATGCCATCGCGGAGGACCCGGACAACATCTTCGCGGGAGCCGAACATCCCATGAACCACACGCGGTATGCCCGTCCCCGGACCGTGGAATCCCTCAAGGACCGACTGACCGGGCGCCGGAACAGTGGTCCCAATTACGAAAGCTCGACATCTACCCGCCAGAGTACCTCGTCCACCGTGCCATCATCCACCGAGATCCCATCGTCCGACGGCTCCTCGTCTCCCCATACCAGGATTCACGACGTTCCCGCTCCGCCTCCTCTCGCAGGTGCTCTTCGAGCCGCTGGCCGCACCTTTTCCTTCGGCGGCCGGTTCAGCAGAAGCTCGGCCAATCCCGGTTCCCCACGACATGGTAAACATGACGTGCCACCAGAGATGCCCAAGCCCCGCGCCTACAGTGGTAGCACAGACGATACCGCCACACCACCAAGGCTACCGGATGCTCAACTGAACTTTGACCTGGCCTCCGGCGGGGACGACTTTGGGAAGATGTTTGATCATTTGGGACAAGGGCAGAATGCCTCGATGCGCGACCCTTCTCCACAGGCAACCTCACCGGTATGTGTCTCTGGATGAGATTTGGATGGCAGACCAACAAACTCGCAAGGCGGGAGCAAACCATAGACCACAAGATCCGGGATCGACAAGCTAACTAACGAGCGCATAGTATTCATCATCCCCACCGAAGCAATCTGCGCCCGACTTCCAGGAAGGCAGAGCTGGCCGACCGGCCCCCATCAAAACAGATCGGACGGCGCAGGTGGAACCCTCGCAGTACTCCTGGGATAGTCGACACTCGGGAGATAATCTGTTGCACAGCCCGAACCACGACGTCACTCCCCCGGTCCCTAATGGTGCTCGTAGGCCTTCCCCGTCGCCTGCTCAGATGCTGGGCGCGACCACCTCACACCGTGCTTTGGCGAGGACGGATCGACAGCCGTCGGATGGGCTGCGACGAAGTGGCTACTATCCGGCGGAACAAGAGACCAGTGCTGTCGAGGATGATGACGCCAAGATGGTCTTGTCGTCCATGCCATGGGCGAAAGGGACGTCTCAGTGGGAGGATGCCACTCCCTCCCCGTCCGGGGAAACACCACTACTGGACAAAGGCAAATCAACGAGCCCTGGGGCGGGACCGTTGAGTCCCAACATTGACGACAACATGTTCGCAGCCCGATACTCACCCGCTCCGAAGAAGAACGAGCTGGATGATGTCCGTCTGGCTGTGCAGTTTGCCGACAATTACCCTAAACAATCGACGTCTCCCGGCAACAAGGTTATGACTCCGTCCCAATTCGAGCATTACCGCCAGCAACAGGAACTACGACGCTCCAACAGCAACGCGACACGCAGCGAGGATGAATCTGAGCAAGAAGAAGAATTCGATGACGAGGAGGATGAACGCGAGAAGCAGCGCGCAGCCGAGCGACAACGCCGGAAACAGGAGGCTCACTTGTCACTCTATCGGCAGCAGATGCAAAAGGTGACTGGGCAGCAAAGTCCGTCTCCTCTTCTCCGCCCCGAGACATCGAGCGCCAGCAATAGCACCCCTAACCTTCACCTGCGCCCTTCCATTCCAGGTGAAAAGTCCTCCAGTGGCAAGAGCAGCAACGAGGAGGAGGATGAGGAGGTTCCACTAGGTATTCTCGCCGCCCATGGTTTTCCCAATCGCAATCGCCCTCCCACCCGTCTGGCAAATGCCAGCTCTCATCCTAACCTCCGCGCGTCTATGCATCCGTTCGCCTCGTCGTCGAGCTCTCTGGCCGGTGCCGATGCTGGTCACCGCGGTAGCCTGCCAGTCTTTGCTCGAAATCTTCCTCAAGATCCCTACTTTGGTTCTCGCATTGTCAACCCCACCAACCGCGAGCCTTTGGCTTTGGGTGGTGGTGCCAGTTCGGTGTATGGAGGTCCTCCATCTCCTGCACCCCATCCCCCGGGTGGTCTAGTTGGTGTCATTGCTCATGAGGAGCGTAGCAGGGCCGCTCGAAGGGCGGGTGGGGGCGGCGGAAGCCCCAATCCCTTGGCCATGTATGAGCAGATGCAGATTGGCATGGGCAGCCCGCACGGTGTACCTCGTCCCTACACGATGATGGGTCAACCAGCCCCCGTGACTCCTAGCGAGCAGGCCTCAATCAACCTTTCGAACCAAATGCAGAATATGGTCCAGATGCAGATGCAGTGGATGGGCCAGATGATGCAGATGCAAGGTATGCAAGGCATGCAAGGTATGCCAGGCATGGGTGGTGCTCCGATGATGATGCCCGGTGCTATGCCACCTCCGATGATGGGGAGCATGCCCATGCAGGGTACCCCCATGGGTCCTCCTATGGTGCCCGGTCGTCCGATGAGCAGTGCTCAGTCCACAGCGAATCTCAACCACTTGAGACCCATGTCCATGCAGGGACAGGGAGCGCCTATGGGTTATGACCAGCAGCGAACTATGAGCATGGTCGATCCCAACATTGCAGCACGACGTGGCTCACCACTGCCGAATCTTGCAGGCGGGCCACCTTTCCGACCTAGCACTGCCGGCTATGCCGCGTCCATTGCCCCGTCGGAGCGCAGCAACGCTGGTCTGGCATCTCGATATCGTCCTGTGTCAGTGATGGCAGGCGAGCCTGGCCCTGGTCCTGCTCCTCCCAGCAAGGCCTGGAATAACGAGAACCGCCATCACTCTCCGACCATCCCCATCTCACAGCCCCAAAACAAGCTGCCCAAGTCCTCTTCTCTCGCCACTGTGACTGTCCGACCTGTCTCGCGCACCAGCCAATCTCCACCTGGTCGCAAGGCTGCGGATCACGAGGATGAAGAGAATGATGACGAGGGCTGGGCTGAGATGATGAAAAGGCGAGAGAAGAAGAAGAGTGGATGGAAGCTGAAGCGAGGAACCTCTTCCATCGGCGATCTTCTGAGTGCCGTGCACTGATAAACGTGGCTCCATTCCACTCTCATTTGCATCTGGGTTCCTCTTCATTTGTTGGTGTACCTTGGTCTGATAAGCGATTTTCATCCCTTCCATGCTGCCCTACTGCTGTATAGAACATTAATATTTCCAAAACTTGGGCCGACTCTTAATGGGTTCTTTCTATGCGGTGTTTTCACGACATGATTCCGACGCACATAATACAAATATGCCTCTACGTTCTCTATCAACTCGAGGAATTTGCAAGGCGCTTCCGTCGCGCATTGACTGCCGCCGATTCTTCTCAAGAGAGGACTGAGATGAGTCTCTCATATGCTCAATTGAGCGACGGCCTCCGATCTTTTCGACTCAGTCGAACCTCACCCCGAGTTTCCCCACTGGCGGTCACGGCACGGACGCGCATGTCACTTCCCGAGAGGTTTTCGAACCAGTCTATATTTGCTTTTGCTTCGTTTGGCATTGGCGCAGGCGGGCACGGCGTTTTTAGTTCATTGCTTTCTTCATTCCCTGGGTGCCTGATCTCTTTCACACACACACTCTCTCTCTCTACTCTTGTGTCTCTGTTCCCCAGTAATATTGCATCATTATCGCATCAAGTCTCGTCTTACCACATATACAATATTTTCCATGGGCGGATGAAATCGATTAGATTGATTCTTCAGTTGGACTCGCTCTATGATGATCGTCAAATAATCTTTTTGTCTTATGAGATCAATCAAATACCTTGGATCATCCATCCGCATAAGTTTCTGACGCCACTTGCTTACTGATCCTTTGCTTCTCCTCGAGTATAGAAAGGGTCCCGCCTGTGTAGTTTAAATTAGGCACTTTCATTCATCGTTGACTGGATTAGCCATCTATACCAACGCCCCTCCACTACCTTAAACACTAGACGTGGCCTCCAGTTCAAGCTCGTCTTTAACCATCATCAGCCTCCCGCAATCTGGACACGCCGGGCCCAATGCCGATAGACGTATGAAAGCACCTCAGAGTACTACATGAGTATCTTGCAGATCAGCTTCCCTGTCTTTAGTCTTTACTGTGTAGTGATCAAAAGCCCAGACGTTTCGAATTCACCATGTAAATTAGGCACCGGAAGGCAACGACGTGACACGAGTACGGGGTTTCGCCATATTTGGATTCGTAACGCCCATAATGGGGTTTTGTCTCATAGTCACATGTGCCCTCGTTTGGTATGTGATTCACTTGATTTACTGTAGACCTCAGCAACCTACCTCTACAGGAAAGTTAAGACGTACTTTTGTGTTCAGGTTGGTACCTGGTATTGGATGCTGTACAATTTGTTACACGCATGCATTTTATCAAGGTAGAGTATAAGGGTTGAGTGGTGAATCTCATCTGTGACTGAAAGAGGCAAGAGGCAAGATGATTGGATGGAACCGGTCTGTGTTAGCTGTAGCTCGTTGATGCAGAGCGCGGCTTTTTAAGTCCATAAGGTTGAGGAAACTGGCGTCATGCATGGATGTTTTAAACTATAAAGGTACAGTGAGACGATCGAGAGGAGTAGTGAGCGACTTTCAAAACTACTCAGACCTATAGATAAATTTCTTTGACGTTGTTGTTGGGTACATGTGGTGATGGTGACCCAGACGACTGTCCGGGGGGGGGGGGGGGTAGGAGAAAAATATATGAGATACGTACCTCGTGTGTATGTGCATGGCATTCATTCCATTAGATTTCATGTCAAGGTAGGTCGGGTGGCTGGTAGACGCAGATATATATCCAAAAGCTTGCCGCGCCTTTGCTCTGAGCTTAGCGCTTAAATAACTACAGGTTGAAATTCTCCTGTACACCTAGACTAGGAACAAAAGGTAGAGATGGGAGGTCCTCACTCAATTTAGAGAAGAGCCAGACAGTGCTTAGAATAAAGTTCAATGGTGTAAAGTACTCTACGTGTGAGAAAGAACAGGACAAGTGAGGTGAGGTGAGGTGAGGTGAGATGACCCTAACTCCACTCACCATCGACGACCAAATTGAAAGCCCGGCTACTCACTTATTCATACTCGTCAACATCCCTTGTTATAGATTGTATTCATGTGAACTAGATCCCAGCCTCAAGCTAATTTATCGAATGCATTCGATCCTCATCTCGCGCTGCTCGAAAAGACGACACCTCTATGGGTTCTAAACCAAGTCACGTGGTCTCACAATCATCGGTGACCGAGCCTGCATCATGTCACGTGGCTGATATCTTGCATGGACCGGTCCGCGTCCGACAAGGGACTTCTCAACATCTCTAAAAAACGACCCATAACGCCACTATTTATTTCCATCTTCAAGTCGGAATAGTCCATAATCAACTACGAAAGCCCACAGACCATTCAGTTTCACAAGCTTCTTCTTAAGGGGGTAACAGAAGCCTTGTCTTGAGTCATCCCGGGCTTCTCTTCATCGCAGTTCCCAATTTGGTGTCGGAGCAGGCAGCTACGAGGTCAAACTGCAGCCTACGGATCATCTTCAAGCGCCGTCCAAAGCAGTTCTACGAGTCATACAAACATCATCAGCGTTAGACTGACAGTCAGTCAAACTACTTAAAGCCTTCGAGACCCTGCGGTTTTCTTCCTTCTTTCACCTACCCAGTCTCAGAGATCAATCCTCTGAGCGCATCAAAAATGAACGCTCCAGACCGGTAGGTGGAAAACAGGCTATTTCATGGCCTACGTCCCCCTGCTTTGTTGCCCTTCTTGCCAGACTGAAGGGCACAAGACGCATATGAAGTTCTCAATGATGCGCAATTCAATCCGTGATTGGGTGCTGCTGAGAATATCTGAATCAGGTGCAATGCATTCATTTTTGCTGCCCTGATCAGATAAGCGGTCTTCCAGAGTGACACATGGGACACGCAACTTCATCGCTCTTGTCTCCCCTTCGATCTGGTTCCTGCACATTTCACTTTTCTGCCCCATCGCGCCTGCCGTTTTTTTCCTCGAACAACCTGTCACTCGTGCGCTTGACAGTTTTATTGTTGGTCTTTTTTTTTGGCTTGCACTTTGGCATCATGTCTTCCACATCAACACCCAACTTGTCAAATCAAAGTGTTACGTCTGCCCACATGTCTGATCGCCGCACACCCGAGCGTCTTTATGGCTACCCTCCCATCAGGGGCTTACACCCGGTTGGACTCGGGACTCGTACCGGCACGGCCACACGTCAACCTGGTGAGAATCCGGACGAAGAGGGCCGGCCACCCCGTGGTATTCCTTTCATGACGAGCACTGTTGCTTTTGCCCGGCAGCGTGAAGATCGATCTCACCCACGTCGTGCTATGAGACGGGACGCTGACCTGGAGTCTGACAACAACCCGTCTCCGTGAGTTCATGATCGTCGAGATACATCACAAACACTATACACCTGCCTTTATGCTCTTCCATTGCCTGTTCCATCGTTTCTTTCGTTGTCTGCGCGTTCTTTTGCTATCCCTATCCTCACCTACCAGACTCCGATTCTGTTCCACCGAAACCCGTCCCGACTCTAACAACCCTTTTCAGATACGAGGCGATTCTCCTCGCTCCTGGCGAGCAGAAGATTGAGGTTGAGGTCGACACCCGTGAGTATCCTTTCTCTGCCGCTCTTGTCTTGTTGTGAAAAGGCTTTGCTCATATAAACTACCAGGTCTTCCCTCCGCCGCCATCTTCACTTTTCATAAGGAAGACCACACGTTGGCCAACATGCTGCGCAGTCGTCTCCTCAAAACTGCACATGTCACCTTTGCCGCGTACAAGGTATGTCCGCTACCCGAACTGCATTATGCTATCAAATGTCCCAGTTACTGATATTCTCTCCAGGTTCCTCACCCCTTGACGCCCAACTTCATTCTTCGTGTCCAGACTGACGGCACTGTCACTCCTCGCGATGCTGTTATTAATGCATGCGAGGCCCTCATCAAGGACCTTGGCATCTTGTCCCGCAACTTCACCCGGGAATACGAGCTTTGCAAGATGGCCAAAGCTGCCAACCAGCAGCAGAAGAACATGGGTGAATAAGTCTTCTTAGGGACCCTTGTTTCTTTCCTTTTGTCTCCGTCTCTTCAGCCATGACCTGAAGATTGACGTTTTGTTTCTAGTCGATGGACTGCCACCTACGGGGTCTTGAGCAGTCTTCTTCTCCTTTCTGTTTTTCCCTTTTTGGGTAGCATAGTCCCGGTTCGGACTTTTCTTTAGTGTTCCACATGTGCATTAGGCCATGTACCAAGCATGATACCACTTCTATTTCAAACTTTGGCAGCTTTTACTTCTTGGTGCACCTTGTCAATTGCTGCTTGAAAGGTCGTTTGCCCGATGAAGCTGCAAATGTGTGTGCTCAGTGGCTTAGCTTGCAACCTAACTTATGAGCGTTTCTTAAGTTGGAGAGAGACTGAAAGTAGCAATCAAGCTCAACGGCTTCCCATCTTCTCCCAGACTTTTGAATAATATCAAATGAAGTAAAAATCATTCAACCTTGACTCTGTTGATCAACATCGTGCAATCTAGATTCACGTCCACGTTTCCCTGCTGTTCCAGGCACACGGGTGCCGGGGCGGCGGGGACCTCGGCGTGACTAAGCACCAATTCTGGGTTAGTGTGCCTCCACGTTCCGACAACAGCGTCATTTAACTACGTTGCTCCTGAGTCCTGGACCACCCTCCTCTACACTAGCCACCCCCTCGGCAGCTGTGTTCTGTTTGTGACCGCCTCCCCCATCAGATCGCCCGTATCTGGGCATTAATCTATCAGTCATTTTCATGCAATTGTGAAATTGCTCATAATGTTCTCCTCGTCGAACACCTTCCTCGGCGGTGGTGCCGCTGGCCGTCCAGGCCAGGCACCATTCATGCAACAGCAGCAGCAGCCCTCATTTTCGCCGTATCCTCAGGGCCAACAGCAAGCGCCAATGCAACAGCCTCAAGCAACAGGGTTTGCGCCCCAGCCCACTGGCTTTGCTGGACAGCCCTCTCCTTTCGGTAGCGCTCAGCTTCAACCCCAGGCTACGGGGTTCCCCGCAAGTCAGCAGCTCCAGCCTCAATTCACTGGCTTCCCGGGTCAACAGCTCCAGCAGCCGCAACAGACAGGCTTCCAACAGCCCCAAGCCACCGGATATCCTGGCCAGAACCAGTCGCAACAACAAGCTCCTCAATTCCAAGTGTCGCAACCCACTGGCCTGCCAAGTCGGCCCAAGACCTCGTCGGAGATTGCCAATTCTTTCCAGGCGGATGCAGGCCAACGTCCTCAGGTCCCGCCGAAATCTGGATCGCGGATTCCTAGTATTCGGTTGTCATTTATCACTGCCCAGGACCAGGCCAAGTTTGAGCAACTGTTCAAGTCGGCTGTAGGCGACAGCAAGACAATGGAGGGTTAGTGACCACTATAGGAAAGATTAAGTGTCTTGCAAGATTTGCATCATCTGACTGTTTGTTGGTATTTGAATTCTAGGTGACAAGGCGAGAGACTTGCTGATGCGCTCAAAGCTACCTGGTAGCGATCTCTCAAAAATCTGGGTCCTCTCCGACTCGACCAAGTCCGGTCAGCTGTTTTTCCCTGAATTCGCTCTGGCCATGTACCTCTGCAACATTCGTCTCAATGGTCGCGAGCTTCCCGCAACTCTACCTGAGAAGATCAAGAACGAGGTCTCAAGTATGGTTGACATTATTTCCTTCGATGTTCCTGAGGAGCCACTCGACTCGGCCCCTCGCACAAATGTTCCCAGCTTCGATGCGCCATTGCTGGAAAATAAGTCCACTCCGCCAATTGTCCAGCAGCCCCAACCTCAGATGCCCGGCAATCAGCAGCTTCTTTCGCAGCTCACTGCGCAGCCTACTGGATTCTTCCCCCAGCCGACGGGCCTGCAGCCTCAGCAGACCGGCTTCCCGGGACCAAACCAATCGCAATTTCTTCAATCGCAGCAAACCGGGCTCATGAACAACCCACAAGCTACAGGCTACACTGGACCGCGCCCGCCCATGCCGCCCATGCCGACTGGCTTTGGCTCCGCCCAGACCGGAGGACTGGCCGCGCAACCTACCGGAATGACAGCACAGCCTACGGGTGTGCCGGGCCAGTGGGGCTTGAACAATACCCCTTCGCCCGGTCTTCCCACCCCTGAAGCCATGAAGCAGCAGTTGATGCCCCAGCTTGGCCGCGGGGGTGGATCCAATACCGCGGACCTGTCTGCAAATTCCCCTTTCCCCTATCCTATCACAAAGGATCACAAGAGATTGTACGACGATATCTTTCGGAATTGGGATAAGTCCCGCAGTGGATTCGTTAGTGGTGAAACCGCAATCGAGATGATCGGACAATGCGGACTGAGTCGCAGCGACCTGGAGCGGATTTGGACCCTCGCAGACTTCCATAACCGCGGTCGTCTGAACATGGATGAATTTGCAGTGTTCATACATCTTGTTTACCTTGGTAATGCTGGTCATCCCATTCCCAGCCGACTTCCTGCTGAGCTGATCCCTTCATCGACCAAGCACCTGAATGACTCCATTGGTACCGTCAAATCCCTTCTGTCTCGGGATGCCGAGACCCGCAAGGCTACTGGTGCTTTCCTCCAGCCTCAAAAGACTGGCGTCAGTTACCTCAAGGATCATTCCTTCCGTAGCAGTGGCGCTGCGTCGTCTGGCATCGGCCGCAAAGATGCCACAATGTTCAAAAACAACGACGCCGCTGGTGGCTACCGTTCTAGCGCCCGTCGCCGCGTTGGCCAAGATGGAAGGACCCCGTCTCCAGCTCCCTCTTCACAAGGATCCGAAATGGAGGACCTGACTGTCCAGCAATTGGAAAAGAAGATTCGCGAGGCAAAGATTCTGCTCGATGCCGTTGACTTCCAGGATGAAAATCGTGCCGAGGATGATGACTCGCTCGATCGCATGGACCGCCGCGAGGCAGAAAGCCTGATGGATCGTATCCGTCGTGTTCAGGATGACATCGACACTCACCCTAACGCTGCCTTCCGTGGCCTGGACAACGGGGCTGAGCGACGCTCTCTGCGCCGCCAGCTGCAGGCTTACGAAGACCAGGTCCCTCAAGTAGCCTCTGATGTCAGGCGAGTTGAGCGCGAAATCGCCGATGCCAGACTTGAGTTGTTCCGCCTGAAAGATGCCAAGGCTCATCCTGGCAGCGCCGGTAACATTGTGGGCACGGGTCCCGGTGGTTCTATCACCGAAGCCGATCGCATCAAGGCTCGTGCTCGTGCTCGTATGCAAGCCCGAGCTGCTGAGCTTGCCGGTCGCCCAATTCCGGCAGGCCTTGATGACGACGGTCAGGCTGCTCGTCGCCTCGAAGCGGAGAACAACACTGTCAAGGCCGAAAGAGAGCGCAACGATGCCATGACCCGCGATGTGGAGGAAAGCGTGCGAGACTTTGCCAAGTCTCTGGAGGACAGTCTTCGTGAGCAAGGTGTCAGCTCCACTCGTGAACATGAGAAGCGTCGCTGGGAAGATGCTTTGGGCGTCGAGGACACCATTCGTGACTTTATCTTTGACCTTGCCCGCAGTAGTCGAACTGCCAGCATTCGTAAGGAAGAGCGTCAGCGTCCATCGACCGCCTCGCCTGTTCAAGGCCGTTCATCCACGGCGTCGCCAGCTGAGAATTCTTCAGTGCCAGCTCCTTCCTCTGCACCCGGATCGGCTCCAGGAGGTACACATGAGGATCGCGTGGCAGCAGCACGTGAGCGCGCGCAGAAGCGTATTGCTGAACGCATGGCCGCTGCGGGCTTGAAGCCCAGCGACTCTACGGAAACCTTGGCTCAACGCCAGGAGCGTGAGAGACGGGAGCGTGAAGAGCGCGTCAGGCGCGCAGAGGAGGAAGATGCCAAGCGCGAAGCAGAGCGACAGCGCCGCCTCGCTGAAGAGCGCGGAGGAGCTGCGCCTGCACCCGCTGCTTCGAGGACGGCTGGCAAGAAGCCTCCCCCTGCGCCGCCATCTCGACGGGCCCGAACTGATAGTGCGGGCCAGGCCGATTCAAAGAAGGCCGAGGATGTTGTCCGCGAGCAAGCCATCAAGGAGGAGCAAGAGCTGCAAGGAATCGAGACCCAGCGCCTAGAGTAAGTTTTGGAATTGGTTTATTTATTTCTTAGTTGTGACCGCTTCGTACGCTAACGGGGTATTAGGGACGAGGCTAAGCAGCGAGAAGCGGAGTTCCTGCGTGAGAAAGAAGCCCAGGAGGCGAAGCTTAAGGCCCTTGAAGAGCAGGTTCGTCAGGGAAAGATCAAGAAGCAGGAAGAGAAACGTCGCCGAGAAGAAGCCGCTCGTCAGGCCAAGGAGCAGGAGGCTAGACTTGCAGCTCAGCGAGCTGAACTTGAGGCTGCCAAGGAACGCGAGCGTCAACTGCAGCGTGAGTTGGAGGGCATGGACGAGGACTCATCGGATGACGAGGGTCCTGTGGATATCACCACTCCTCAAGATAGTACTCCGACGCAGAGTCAGGTCCTACCGCCTGCCCCTCCTCCCGTGCCTACCATTGCCATCCCCGAACCTGCTGCGCCTGTTGCGACGCCCTCTTCTGAGGCTGGGAACGTGACCAGCCCCGTCGACGCCGAGTCCAAGAACCCTTATTTCAAGTCACTTAGCCAACCTTCATCAGAACCCTCCGTTACTTCGCCACCGAGCTCTCAGTCTACCAATCCTTTCCATCGCCTGGCCCAGCAGGAAAAGCAAGAGCCTCTCAAGCCTTCCTTCACCGGTGCTGTGCCCTTGGAACGCAAGACTCGTGCTCGACCTGAAGACAGCGATGACTGGTCTGTTGCTGGATCTGAGTTTGACTCGTCCGATGATGAAGATGAACATCCAGGCGGCGGCAGTGCCAAGCAACTTGCCAGCATATTGTTCGGTACCATGGCCCCTCCTCGTCCTCTGAGTGCTATGGATGAAGACAAGTCCTCGACCCCGGTGCAAGCCAGCCCTATTGCTGCCCCGCCTCCGCCTCCACAGGCGGCATCTGAGCCCCATGAGGAAGTAGAGGGTGTCTCATACCCAGCTCCTCCAGCTGGCATTCCTCCCCCACCACCTCCACCTCCTCCGGGTGCTCCAGGTGCTGCATTTTCTGCGCCCCCTCCCCCTCCTCCAGCTGTAGGCGGAGCTCCTTCAGCACCACCACCGCCGCCTCCCCCAGGCTTCGGCGCACCACCCCCCGCCTCCTCCCGGATTCGGTGCACCAGCCCCTCCCCCTCCTCCAGGTGGTGCCCCCGGAGCTCCTCCACCACCGCCTCCTGCCGCGGCTGCAGCGCCTGGCAATCGCTCCGCTCTGCTTGCCTCGATCCAAGCGGGCAAGGGTCTTCGTAAAGTTCAGACCAACGATCGCAGCACGAGTTCGTCGGCTGGTCGTGTGCTGTGAGGTGCATACTTCATGGCATAGATATTGTATAGGGCTGTCAACAATAGATACTTTCGACGATTTTCGCTGGAGAGTTTCGAGGAGAAGTTGATGTCATTATCTTAGCTCTCTTTCTTCGACGTTATTAGCTTCATGTGGCCCCGCGTCTCTTGTAACTTGCTACTTATGATATACCGAAGCAGCCAGAGTTGCGAGCGAGTATTAAGTGTGACGATGGAAACATGCAAGCGGATACAATAAACCCCTAATTTTATTTCATTTCCCGATTACATCCAGAATACCTTTCTTAAGTCCCGCTTTGGTCTTGAGCATCTGACGCCCTCCCTTGATATAATGTCTTTTACACTCCATCTCGTAGAATTTCTCCTCCGGGACTCTGAAGCGCACTCTGTCAGCTGAGAGATTGTGTTTAGAAACAGGCTACACCTAGTTATCTCGCGCCGGAAGAATCTAAAAAGTAAACCAAACCTAGACCTCGTAGAAGCACACGCGCCAAGAACGCATTCAACCGTGAAGATGATCATGACCTTCACATTCATAGAACAACCCACTATACACACCGAGATCCCGTCTGGCCCGAACCTTTAGGGCAACCTTTCAGGGGGGGGGGCGGAATGGTCTCGACATTGAAATTGAATGTTGAGGTGTGCATTTCGATATGGCTCCCATGCTCGAGATAACCGGGCTGCCTTTGACTGGCCATATTTGGGAAATCGTAAAAGGTGTTTCCGGGACCAGAGATCCGCTTCGGGCTTATCATGTTGGAAGATACCAGGTCTTGCTGGATGTGGGGGCTATCATGTCTCGTGATGAAATGTATAGAGTATAGACTTGTGCGAGATGTTATCAAGATGTCGTTGACACCCCGTGCCTTCTGGTATGAAGCAGAAAGAGAGACAAGGTGGAAAGCAAGAAAATGGGGAGTAAAAACACGGTACGATGAACGAGTGTTCCAACGGAATCCTCCAAACGTAACGAAGTAAAGCCACAAACAAACATGCATAAATTCCAATGTCCACCGGGGATGCGATCATTGGGGGGCAAAAAAAAAAAAGAAAAAACAAAAAACGAGTCTTGGTAGCTTTGGAAGACTGCAGATCTCTCCAAGATAAATGAGATTTTTTCCCTAGGTCTTCACACCAGCCTTGACACAATCATTATTCTCTCCACCACTTTCCGAGTCCATGTGTCCCGGTCCTTCGGGCTGAGAAGCCCTCAACGTCTTCTGCATTCTGCGCGCCACCTTGGGCGGATCGAAAATACTCTTGGACTGGGCGAAAATCTCATCGATCTCCTCCAGGGACCGGCCCTTGGTCTCGGGGAAGAAGAAATACACCGCGGGGACGATCAGCGCGTTCACCACCGCAAAGACAATGTAGTAGTTATTTGCGATGGTGGCGAAGCCCACGGGGGTAACCTCTGCGAGTAGGAAATTGAAGGTCCAGACCGTGGCCGTGGAGACTGCGCTGACGGCGGCGCGGACTTGCAAGGGTGCCATTTCGGCGGCGTAGAGGAAGGTGAGGCCCGAGTAGCCGACGGTGAAGATGAATTGGAAGCAGTAGAGGGCGATGACGGCGATGACGAGGGCGGCAGTGCTGGATTTGGCGGCGGGGGAGGTGGTGCCGGCGAGGACGGCCATACAGATGGACATTGCGCCGGCGCTCCAGAGCATGAGGGGACGGCGGCCGAGTCGGTCGATGGTGAAGTAGGCGAGGTAGCCGCCGAAGGGTTGCATGAGACCCATTGCTGCGGCGAGGATGCGGGATTTGACGGCGTCGGTGCCGAGGTATTGCTGAGAATGCGAGGGTTAGAAAGGCTGGTCTATTTTGGTATGAGGTGGTGGTGGTGATGATGATGATGATGGCTTCGTCTTGAGACTCTGCCATATAGCTGGAAAAGGAAGAACAGGAAAAGGAGAATGTCATGATTGTGGAGCATGAGAATTAGGAAAAGGAAAAAAAACAAAAAAACTTGTTCCGAGAAACGAGGTCCTTCAACCATATGTCTTACCTCGAAAATGGTCGTTGCGTAGTAGGTGATCAAGTTCACACCGCAAATCTGCTGGAACATTTGGCCTGTAGCCGCGAGGTATGCACGATGGAAGAGACGTTGCTCGCCGTTGGTGAACATAGCCGTCCAAGAAGTATTCCCACATACGGCCAGCGTAGTCTGAATCTCATGAATGGTATCCGTGATTGAGGACGAGTGCGGTTCCATCTCTTGCAAAGCCGCGAGAACTATCCTCGCGTCGTCGATGCGACCCGTCTTAATCAGCCAGCGAGGCGACTCGGGAAGCATGGTGATGAAGATCATCGCAGTCAACGACAGGACAACCTGGAAAGCGAGTGGGAAGCGCCACGAGACCGAACTTCCCTTGATGAAGTAGAAACCGAGGTCGATCCACAGCGCCAGTGTGACGCCGACACCGACGAAGATACCATCCGTGACGACGTTGGAGCCACGTTTGTGAGCAGGGGATATTTCAGATTGCCAGACGGGGACGGTGGCGACGTAGCCACCAATTCCGAGGCCGAGGATGAGTCTGGCCACGATGAATTGGGCAAAGTCGAACGAGGTCGCCATGAGAATGGCGCCGACGATGGTGACAAAGTTGGTCCAGAAGATGACCTTCTTGCGGCCGAGAAGATCACCGAGATAGACGCATGATAGAGCACCAAAGATACCTCCCACGGTGTACAGGGCAATGACAGTTCCTGTTCGTTTGATAGGCACGGTGTGGGTTAGTATCCCTCGAATTACGGAGTTGTCGCCGGTTGGAATGAGGCAGCAGCTCACCTTGAATTGTCGAGTTCATCGACTTGGTCTCCCCTGTCGTGTTGATGGTGTCCATGCGAGGAAATGCAGAGTTGAATGCAGGTAGGGTCAACAGACCGCCTGCTACACTCATATTGTAACCATAACAGGTAAAAGTTGGTCCCACGACCAAGAGCACCGCTGCCCTCAAGAGAGCATTGCCTCGAAGGCCCATATATGGCTTCAAGCCCATGATGGCGAAGATGAGGAGGAGATTGGGAGATTGAGATGTCGGTGATGGAATAGGTTCAAGAAAGCAGGTAGTGCGAGACGTGAAGGAACAATCAGATGGCGAGCTTGTCGGAAAAAGCACCCATCCACAAGCATCCACTTCCTTCTAAAAAGAGAGGTTCCAAATTGGAAAGAAAGGGAGAAGTTCTTTCCAGAAGGGGAAAAAAAAAAGGCCAAGGATAATATCAGGTCGTCGGATGATCAGTGATCAATATATGATCCTCTTTTCTCGATGACACAAGTGACGGAGAGTGACGACGTGGAATTGGATAATGATATGCAACGATTGAACGTGCAGCCGATAACGCTTTCCAACTGATTTGAGACTCTCTGTTTGGAGCCCCTCAGATCGAGCTTGTTCTGCTGTTCTTGTGAATTCTTGTTGCCCCCAATTCCCACATCTCGGCTGCGGTGGGTCGCCTCTAAGTACTTCCTACGCCATTGTGGTCGTCGGTAGTCGGCGGTCCCCGGACACGAGGCGATGCACCCATGGGCCCTCGATCGTGGCCGTTTCTGCCAGGAACTTTGCCATGGACACGCGAAATGATCGACTTGGCATTTGATAATAGAGAGCTTCTTTGCCCCTTGGCTTGCAGGAATATCTGGGGTAGTGTCGACGGTGGGGAATTTGGGCAGGTCCGGGGAAAACAATTGCTAAGAGAATGCTCTTTGTGGGAGCCTCAAGACCGGAGGTTAGATTGTTTGAGGGAGAAAAGTCTTATGGAAGTGGCCGATGCTATTTTGGTTCTTGGGTTCTGATGTTTCTTTTTCTTTTTCTTTTTCTTTTTTTTTTTTCTTGATTCTTTTCTTTTCTTTTTCCAAATCCTTTCCTCTCTCGTGTGGTGCATCTGGAGACTTGAGAGGTTGGGTAAGTAGGGTTTGAAACGTTGTGGGCAGCTGGAAAGAGTCTGTGATCTTGGTAGGCAAATTGGAAGGCGGGGAAATATGACCTTCGCTCTCAATTGTAGATTCATGGTCATCTTCCGCAGTCGAAGATAATTGATGTAGCATAGACTTGCTTCTGTTCCACTCTACATGATACAGTTGAAGTCACCCTGTGACCCTACAATTGAACAGGCGCGCGACTTGATTCAAGACGGCAGAGAGCCAAGCTGAGCAGTAGACTGCAATCGTCAGAGCCCTGACTCAGAGGGTCACAATCAGTACTACTCAAACAAGCTAAGAATCTCTGGAGCCTCGCCTAAAGTCACAACTACCGACATGTGCTGTGCATGGGTCCGACCCACCAATTATGATCCTGTGTGCAACAATGATGCTCTGGAATAATTTGACTCTCGTCTATATGAACCATCATCATAATAATAGACGATTATCGGACAATGCTCGTCAGGTAGTCACTGTATGTGTGCTCCTGTAGGCGAGCGAAGCGCTCCCCGGACCGGACAAGCGCGTACTACAATCGGTACATCCGAATCCGATAGCGAGCCGGGTCAGCGGCAACTTGCAAGTCTCCAGTACACGCGACCTCGGTTCCAGAACCGCTCGGGCCCAGCTGCAACGCACCGGTTGAGACTACTAGAAAAAGTACTGGTACATCATGGTCTGTCACGAACTGCGATGAGCTACTTCCTGGGGTATGTCAAGCACTGGTTGACGATGTACCCACTACCTAGTAGTACCTACTAGTAAACAGTAGTCCTACTCTCGCCTTGTCCATGATTCCCAAAACATAGCCACCACGGCAACAATTGACAATCAACATTCCTAAAATTTCAACGCCTTCGACTTCGGAACCGCCCGTGAACAAATAATGATGAGCTGTCGTCATGCTCAAGCAAAAGCGAAAGTGTAACAGCGTTGTTCTCCCGTCTTTGCCTCTCTCTCTCTCTTCATCGAAAGGATAAACCTCCTTTCCGCCGTGAGCCCCGGAACGATCAAACGACAGCAGTCCATTACATGATTACTCCATTCAGCATTCAATTCTGCAGTGGGGATATGGCGGGTCGCCCAATCATGACACCAGCTCCACGCGAATCGCCACTCCGGGGAGAACGAGTCTGGAAAGGGCGTGAGCCTGAAGGACCCCAGCAGAAGGTTTGATGCGAGCACGTGAATGGTCGCATACCGGATCTTGACATGACACTATACTATTACCCAAGATGCTCGAATTTAGCTTCCCGTTAAGGTGAACCGGATTGGTCGGACAAAAGCCTGGACCAGAGCTCTGGCTTTTTGGAAGTTCAATGAGAGGAGTTCCAATTGACTATGCGCTTTGGGGCTTGGTCCGAGAAGCCGAGGCTGCATTGGATGGTTCTTCCCCGCAATGCGCTTGAATGGGCCTTTGGTTTGATAGATTTTCACGGATATCAAATACACTTCGTCAGTTCTTGTACAGTCCCTGTGCTCGAGAGTCGAGCACCATTGGCAGTCGATTGTACAGACGAAAGTCCTCAAAGGTCTCGTGCTGTCAACGCCTCAGGACAGAGTAACAATAGATGGCTGCAAATATGGATTGACCTCTTGTAATAGAGACGGGACGGGGACAAGCAGTTGGCAGTTGAAACGCCACTCGGTTCTTCACTTCTCTGTAGGTACCTACGTCTTTCGGCCAAATAACATAGACTACTAGACTTACTGTAGAACTGGCCCTTGTCATGACAATGATCTACTCTCTAGTTCTACGATCCTTAACAATACTCCACTCAAAGCTCGCCAAGAACTCGGAACACAAGTCGACTCCATGGTGCAAACCACACCTGATAGAGGTCGATCATAATCCACACTTCCCACATATACACAAGCACACACAACGAGAGTCAAACTACCCGATTCATCAAAAAAAAAAAAGCCCCCAAGCTGACTGCAAACCCACCCTCCACGGCAAATGAAAAGCATAGTCAAAAGCAAAGATCAAAAAGAAACTTTTCGGCTTTGACCGTCAACAACCCTCCCCCCGTTGTTCGAAAAGCAGGACGGAGGTTTCCCTGCCACTCGTGGCGCCCCCTCTTCGTTCGTCCCTCTCTCCTACGCGTCTTTCCCCCGGATCTCCAATTTCCGGGGGGGGGGCACTAACCTTGAAAAAATGGGTCGCTGATCTCGCTCTCCTTCTCTCAAATGCTGCTTTTGATTGCCGCCCGTGCTCAAGCTAGTTAGATTGAGTTTGAGTGAACGTGGTTGGTAAAGGGTTGGCGGCACGGGTACAGGCGATCGCCGGGCTCGATGAAATGGGGTGAGGAGAGGAGAGGACAAGAGAGAAACTTTGCTAGATGAGGTGATTGGGCGTGCGTTTGCGACGAGAGCTTCATGTGGCAATCGAGAAGATGGTCCTGTGTGGACTTGGTTTGAGTCTGCCGAAAGCTATGGGACCGCGGAGCTGGATTGACCTCTACCACGTGGAGTCGAGACGCTATTCACCCCCGAGATGCACCTCATCAACTCCCGACCTCACATCTGACTATCGTTGCCGTCTCAAAGCATGACTATGAACATGAACGCGGAGCATATCCACACGCAGCGTTTGCAGATCTGTTAGTCAAGGTCGCCATCATTTTGAGAGAGAACATGTGTTTCATTGTTTGTACCCGAAATGACCATCCAATTAACCTCTCAAGTGACACATAAATGAAAAGTTGCGAGACAAAAAACTCCGAAATTGATCACCATACAAGCTCTGCGATGACATTGCCCAATGTACTGACGCACCAGACTGCAATCAAACCCCATCCAATTCGGCGATCCATGCGCCAATGATTCAAAGGGACCACAATAAGCAAACCCGCAAGGATGAACAAGAGAGTTGCACCGCTGATGACAAGTACCTTGGAGATGGCAATCTCGTAGGTAGCAGGCCGAGTCATCGTCCCTACCGAATGGGGAGAGGGATGACTCGGGCCCAGAGTCATGTACAAACCCCCCAAACCAACACCCAGCAGAATATTGAGCATGGGTCCGCCAAAGCAAGCGCTCAGAGCCATAACAGGATATCCCAGCCGGGCAATGGTGATATCAGCAACCAAATCTCCCAGTGAGTTGCCCACAGCAAAGACAGTAAGTCCCAGCAACGAGTCGGAGATATCAAGAATCACGCCGATCGTCTTGAGAATGGAGACTACCTCTGTAGCGATGGTTGCAATCCAGCAGATAGCGACCAGAAATCCCAGCATGGATAAGAGTGGCTGCCATATCGCCGGCAAGCTTTGCGCCTTCTGGACCTCAGAGTCCTGGCGGGCTCCCTGAGGACTATGATAGGATTGGCGGTGACGAGTAGATAGAATGAACATGCCAAGACACAAAATTGAGAAAAGAAGCGAGATCAACGCAGTGCGTAAAACATCTTTCGCATCTGATTCGGTAGTCAGAGAACTCCAGGCAAGGTAGGTCAGGATGAATGGCCCGGTGAAAAGCTGGATGGCGACGAGCCAGCGATTCCACTCTTTGACCTCTGTAGCTGCTGCGTCGGGAGCAGAATGTGACACTGCTGGCAACTCAGAGTCCCCGCGTAGACGGCCAATTGGTTCGTGTTGCGAAGGCCTAGGACCAGGTTCAACACGCCTAGAGGCGCTATTGGAATGATGATGCATGGAAGACTGGGGCTCGGTCGCATGAAGTGTTGGATTGTCTGCTGGCAGATGGACTATCGGCGCAGGGTTGCCGCCTTGCGCCGCTCCATCGACAACAACGACAGAGGGCGGATCGAATTCATTAGATTCGGGTGTGGAGGGCTCAACGACAGGGACGGTTACCGTGAGAAGAAAGACGCTCGGTGCAGCAACTATGCCCAATAGTCGCTCGGTTACATTTTTTTTCTCCAGCCAGCCAGTGTCGGAAACAATGTGCCCGCAATATGAGCAAGCCGGGGAAGAGCCAAAGTCTTCCATCCTTGCACCCAAAGAGTCCCAGAAGCCGGAGTATCGGCAACAATTCCGTTGAGCCCGTCGGGCGTCAGCAGGCGTTCTGAAGGGCTAGTTGCAGTATTGGGCAGGCGCAGAGTTGGGACCCCGGGTGAGCTGGGAGGTAGATCGAAAAATTCAGGGAATGGCACCACTGGGCTTGCCAGTCCATCCTCGGATCGATCACCGCCGCTACCTCCACGTGGAGACACTGCGAGAGGCGAGCGGTCGCGCGTGATTTGTGTTTGATAATCTGGGGATGAGAATTGCCCCCGCATGGCGGGCAATTCAGGCGATAATGACTTATTCTGGCTGGTTGTCGGACTTGAAGATCGCGACGGAGACTCAGACTGCGGCGGGGATACCGTCAAGAATGTGTTGAGCTTGATTCGGGGAGATTTCTGATTTTGCCCCTCGCTGATATCCTCGGTACAGTCGCTAGAAGGACGTCTCACGGTCAGACGGGGAGCTTGTCCTGGTCGCTCAAATACTGTGCGGTCAATTTCCAGACCATCCGCATCATTAGCTGAGACTGCCCTGGCGCGTGAGGTATCCGCGCCATGTGGCGATAAGAGACCATCGATCGTAGTCGGCCTGCTGGCCCTTGGATGCGATGCTATAGACCGAGTGTCAAAAGCTTGAACAGAGTCGTCTTCGTTATCGGAATAACTGCTCAGACTGATGGTCGGATTTCGCCGAGAAGTTCGCGATTTTCGTAGCGATTGTAGCACAGACTGGAACTCCAGCGCACCAACCAAGCTTGGGCGAATAACGTTGCTGGTATTCCGTCGCGAGCCAGTCGGACGCCGATTGACATGCATTTTGCCACCAATCTCTGCCAGGTATCGATTGCGCTCATCATCGTCTTCGAAATCATCCTCATCTGCCTTCCATGAAGGAAAGTCATCCTGCCGTTCCAAGAGATCAAAATTGTCTGAAGATGCTCCACGAAGGAGGCTTCGTGACTCCGAGGCAACGCCTGGATCGTCATCTTCTTCCATTGAGTGGTCAATATCTAATTCTTGGTTCTCTGGGATGTGGAAAAACGACCGAGCAGCCATGTCCCTCTCGTACTTCCGACGACGTCGAACAATATACCAATGCCAGCTCACCACCAACATCACATAGAAAACGTAGAGAGCGACCATTGCGGCCGATTCCCAGGCCTGGAGGCGTCCATCCGCGACTAGGACCATGCTGAAGCCAACCGCAATCACGAAGAATCCAACATCGCGGACGAAGCTGCGTCGCGCAACTTTGAACGGGCGAACCAGGGCCATTGAGCCGGCAACTACAGATGTAATGAAAGTTGCGGCTCCGATGAGCTCTCCAATTGCCAAACTTCCACTATTTGACCGCATCGCGGCAAAAGTAGAGAAGACGTCCGGGCTTCCATTTCCGAAAGCAAGGAAGGTCACACCCGTGAGGCTTTCGCTCATTCCAAGAATACTTGCAAGTGTGCTCAAATTGATGCACAAAAAGTCACTAGCGGCGATTCCAATAGTGCTGAATAGGAATGATAGCCAGAGGACGATGATAATGAAGGCGACGGGCTTTGCATGAGGCAAAGCGCAGTAATAGAGCTGCAAATACGATAGATAGCCATCTTGGTGGTCCGGGCAATTCTGGCGAATGTAGGCGCATTGATCTTTGGCATTGCGAACTAGCCGGCACTACCGATCGGTTGCACAGACGAGCCGGTTAGCTTGAGAGAAGGACGGGCATAACCGTTGATGCTAGAGACATACCTCTTCCTCTTCGGTCCGCCGAACAAGTGCATTTGCTACGAAAGGCTCAACGAGTAGGTCGGAAGTCCGCCTTTGCAGACCCCAGCTGGCCACAGCAAGGGTGGCTATGACAAGTATTGAAACGTAGAACGGGCGCACTGAATATCGCGGACTTGATCTAGGAGCCCGAAGAATAGAAGGAAGCCTGTTCATGATTGATGCGAATTTAGATTTGGCCGCATCTTGCTCTTTCAGCAAGATTGAGAACCAATTTCATCACACAGCAACAGGTGAGGTTGCTCAAACGAAGCTGGGGAACAACCCTCGAATTGCAATTGAGCTAAGTTGTGGCGGAGCGGACTCGTCAGGCCTCGACCCAGTTGAGTGATGTCAGCCACCTGGTTCGAATTAAGGGAGGTGTGGGCCAACCCACCAGTCTCCAACCAACATGCTTGGCAGGCTGGCAGCTGCCCTCATGCAAACTGTAAAGCGAGGAGGCCAGCGAGGTGACGATGCTGCACTGAACAAAGCCTTCAGAAAGATGAGCGACAATCATAGATCCCATGTCCGTTATGAACATTCTATTGACAGTAACAATATTCGTGTTCGCCTCGCGATGGTCAAAATGCACCTTGCTACGCCACGAGACGATTTAGCACGTGATAGAGCGCGCACCAGGCGTCTACAGCTCGCCGTATGTTTGTTGACTTCCTCATCTGCTTAGTCCCGCCCCTCCTACCTCCGTTAGCACGGGTCATCTCCATAATTTCACAACGACAAATCTTGTGATCCCCTACTGGGGGAAACTGCAACCATGCCTCGTGTCGCAAATAAAGCCCACCGCCGCTCAGGCGGGGGTACTTCAACCCCTCAGAAGAACGCCCCCATCCGGTAGGTTGAGCGCAAAACGCTACCAGCAACGATTTACGAATGACTTACTCGTGAATAGCATTCCCCTCAACGATGACATGGGTGAAAAGGCGGCGCGTATGGAAGCTCGTCAAGCTCTCCAAGACCGCCAGATGAACCAGATCAAAGCTGCAGTCAAGACACCGATGCCTGCACGTCGTTATCGTGAGGATGGCGACGAGGACCTCGACACGCCGCGCGGATCTAACCACCGTGGTCGCGACAGCGATGCACCCGGCCGAGGCGTAACCCCGATGAAGCGCGTACCCATTTTGGCGAATTTCGAGGAGTGGATGAAGATGGCTACAGATAACAAGATTAACGCAAACAACTCCTGGAACTTCGCGTTGATCGACTACTTCCACGACATGTCACTTCTGAAAGAGGGCGACGGCGTCAACTTTCAAAAGGCGAGTTGTACGCTGGATGGCTGTGTCAAGATCTACACTAGCCGAGTTGATAGCGTTGCGACCGAGACCGGAAAACTTTTGAGTGGCCTGGCTGATAGTCGTGACAAGCGAGGCCGGGATCCCGAAGCTGAGGGGGAAGACGGGGACGAGGATGAGGATGGTGAAGAAGGCTCCGGGCGCAAATCGCGCAAGAAGGTACGTACGACACAGCTTACTTGAGATGCGTGGACCCCGCAACGCCTGCTGACTCCGACCTTGGATAGACGCGATCGCACGAGGCCACCCTTGCGCCCTCTTTCAATTCGCTGCAACTCAAGAAGTTTGAGCTTGAATTCGCCGTCGATCCCCTGTTCAAGAAGGCCTCGGCTGATTTCGACGAAGGCGGCGCTAAGGGATTACTTCTCAATCACCTGGCTATTGACGGACATGGAAAAATCGTGTTTGACAGTAGCGACGACGCCGTTGACGACCACTCAAAGACTGCGGAGGATGAGGACGAGCAGCCGGAGTCCGCTGATCCAGTCTCTCATGACGTGGAAACATCAAAGAGCTCTCAACCAGCTGCCGAAACTTTTAACAACGACACAGACATTGACCTTGCTACTTTAGCCAGTCAGTTTTTCCCGGATCTTGATCGACTCGGTGAGCAGGATATTTGCCCCTCGCTCAAGAATCTGGATCTTGGGGATCCTGGCGCAAACCTGGATATTCCCCTTCTTAAGGCTCCCGAGGACTGGAGGCATGACAAGAGTACCGATGAACATCGATCTGCGGAAGACCCATCTGGAATCATGCTGGATGATGACAATGCCGTTGGATTCGATGATGATGATTTAGTCGGCTTCGATCTGAGTGGGGACGCTGGTTTCGGTGACGGCGGTGAAGCTTGGGCGAGAGAAGCCGCCTTAGAGCCCATGCTCAAGGTACACCGGATGGACCATGACGGTCCCGATGCTGATGGCGATGAGGAGATGGCAGATGAGGATACTTTCGCTATCTCCATGTCGCATCAACCTAGCAAACAGGACCATGAGAGCATCTTGAGCTATTTCGACAACGCACTTCAAAAGAATTGGGCTGGACCCGAACATTGGAAGATTAGGAGGATCAAAGATACGACAGTAATTCGGGACTCGGGTTCCGTGCCCAAGCAACGCAAGGAAAAGGAGCCCTTTGAGATCGACTTCTCTGCGCCACTTGACCCTCTTATTGCAGAGCTCATTTATTTGCCCGCGAGTTCAAACTCGGCTATCTCCATCCCGAAGACGCAATGGAAGACTAAAGGTCGTAATCTGCTGCCTGATGATAAGCACTTCAACTCGAAGAGCTTGCTGAGTTTGTTTTTGAAGCCCAAAGCCCGTATGGGATCTAGGAGGCTTCTCAGCCGGAGGACGCAAGATCCTAAGGAGCAGGTTTCTGGGCATGGCGACATGGATGAAGCTTTCTGGGCAAATCACAAGACAGAAGATGCGACGGCTGACGAAGGCGGTGGCGGTGCTTACGATGCCAACTTCTTTGCAGACGACGATGGTCTCGCGTTCCCCAACGGCATGGACCTAGATGATGAAGATGAGAACTTGCCATTTGCAGACGCGCGAGAGATACTTTCACCAGCAGCTGAAGGCCGACCTGGTACTGCAGCTGGCAATGCTACCGGTATCACTGCGTTGTTGAACATGGTTGGTGCCACGCCCGGCCGACCTGGAGCGGGCGGTTATGGATCACAGTTGGTAACTCAAGGTGGCCGTCGTGCTCGGCCAGAATACGTCAACTACGCTCGGGTTGCGAAGAAAGTTGATGTTCGACGACTCAAGGTCGAGATGTGGAAGGGAATGGGTGAGCGTCTTGTTGCCGCCACGGAGAACGCTTCATCACAACCGGGTTCGAATCCCAGTGATCCCCCAGCTGAGCCTGACAGTGACGGTGACGAGCCAATGCCACCGACTCCTCACTCAGGTAGACTGGGCGAAGCCGAGGACTCCCAAAAGGATGGCAGATTGAGATTCACGCATATCATGAATGGCTTGAAGCAGGTCTATCCCACGGAGACGTTACGGGATATCAGCACGTCATTTGGTTTTATCTGTCTTCTCCATTTGGCCAACGAACAAGGCCTAGTCCTCGAAAGCGACATGGACAAGATGGCTAATGATGCCATTGGCTTGGAGGAGATCTATGTCAGTCGTGATGCCCATGCTATCATTGAGGAAGGTGGCATTTGAACCTGATTTGGCCTCTGTTGTGATGCTTTATCCTTTGTCGGATTTTCTGTACAGTGTTTTCCCTCTGAATTAAACGTGCCTCAGCCTCTATGTTGGTTATGATCGGATGGACAGATCCATTGAGATCTGGGTATTAGGAGTTTTGGCGCGGTGGGTCTGACGATGCACCATGACACCCTTGATTGTTTGATTTGGCATTTGTTCCGATTACTTAGGCAAGTTGCAATTGGAAGATGTTCGCTTGACACGGCCTTTTTTTCCGTTGAGAAAAACCTTCGACATTCAGAAAGCTGAATAGTGAAACGTCCGTACGTATCGTCGGTTGCACTGGGATAGAGCGCTCAAGGATTCCGAAAGCAGTTCCACTGAGATCCGACCTAGGTTTGGGGGCTTTCCAACCTCGTCATCTCCAAACATGTAGGGACTAGGTAGCTGAGACGGAACGCCTTGCAGTATCTGCCCGATGGCCTGAAAATCGAAGGAATACTACCGCGCACTTACCCAGACAGCGCGTATGAAGCACGAGAATTGCCCATGCGATGCACGGAGTCAATCAGCATGAAGCACCCAATCTTGTACCGGTCTTCTGGAGTATCTAGACAGCACCTAGCTACCTACTACCTGCGCACTAAGAACCAGGTCATACTTACCTAGTTTTTTAGATTACCACCGCTCTCGTTTAGGTACTGTAGTGCTCAACCTTCTAGTAGCTCGATTGGTGGGGTTCCGTTGCAGTAACCAGTGAACCACTGACCAGGGCTGGTCTTGTAGGCATGATTCCCGTCTGCGGTATTGGAAGAGCTTCACCAGTTGACCCGTCTTGTCCTGATGCTTTTTCTTCGTTTCATTTTCATCGAGACTTGATCCACAGTTTTGCTGCCCGGGGATTTTGATGATCAGCTTGTGGGAGAATCTCCTTCATTCCACGCCGTGAGCCTACAAGCAAGTCCGGTTTGAGAGATGTCGATACTTAGAAGGCGGAATCTACATCAGACCTAGGGAATCTTGGAAATGTTCTACGCAATTTCATCAGAAGCCGCTCATTGTAAAAGCAAAATGCAAAAAAGAGTAGCAATTTCGTGCCTCCGTCAAGGAAAGCACAAGGTATCTGTACTAGGTATCACATATACAAAAGAAGAAAAGAAAGCAACGCCGATGCACCGACTCGCTGTCGAGCACAAAGTCCGATAGCGGTTCTTCCAGTGGACCACAGGCCCTGGTTGAATCACTGCGAGAGCTCGAAAAATTAATTTAATGAACCCTGAACGTCCTTGGATACAGTATCTGTTTCATATGTCCAATTTTCGACTGATGCACAGTCTTCGCATTGTAGGGGTTTTTTTCCGTCGGAGGTTTTCAATTTTTTTTATCGGTTTCCCCCCCCCCCCCCCCCCTTTTCTGTCCGTGTTGAGAGGGTCCAGTGTCCGTACTCAAAAACAGTGAGTGAGCATCCTATTGATGCACCGCGGGTGGGAACGCAGGCATCATAGGACTCGTGTATGCGCCTGGGATTGGCACAGCACCGTAGTTGGTCTCACCAGGTGCCGCAGCCACATGTTGCGGCTCGTTCTGGGTCGGTGGAGTAATCGCCCGAGGTGGGGATACCATCGTGAAGCCACCTTGCTGCGCTTGTGGGGTAGACTGGTGATGACGACTGGGAGGTGCTTGCAACTGGAATGAGGAGACGGGTCGCGTGGGCGAGCGAGGTGAGGCATATTGGGTCGTGGTCGGCTCAGCTTGACCCTTTTCTGCCGAGGACAAGGGATCGAGAAATGGACTCTTGCCGGGGTAGCTCGCGTAGCCTGAGAAGCCAGGAGTATTCGGTGCCGACTGCATACGCAGTTGCGCAAGGTAGAGATCAGAACGGGCCTGGTCACGTCCATCCATGGTCTTCATGAGGCGCCGCTTGGACCAAACTCGGTAGGCAACAACGCCGTAGATGAGTAGGACAATGAGCTCAATGACGATTTCAATGATGGCGCACACAAGACCCCAATCCTGTATCGAATTTCTTAGCAGAGTGCTTTTCAGCTTAGAGACTTTCTAATTAGGATTACAAACCTGAAGACGGCAAAGCAGAGCGTAGTTGATAGTGTTGGAATACAACTGCTCCCGAGTATTTTGCGCGCAAGACCATCCCCACATGTCTTTGTTGTTACTCGTTGCCTTTGAGTGCTGGTAAATGGACGCCGCGACGATCCACATAATGAAGTTGAAGGCGAAGAAACAGATCGAGAATGTGGTGTAGTAGACGGTGACCTTCTCAGCTCGACGGTGTCCACCCTTCCAGTAGCCCCAAAATACGATCAAGCAAGCAAACAGGGAGAAAGACGCCAGCCCCAGAAGTAGGTACTGTGCCCAAGGATTGGTACCTTGTGCCCAAGCCGGCAAACTGTTGCGTGGCGGGAGAGACTTGGTCGCTTCGAAGACGGTCAGAGTCGTGGCGAGAAGGGCCATCACAATCAGACTGCAAGAAAAGTTGACGCCACGTAGGAACATCTTCGCGATGCGGATGCGAACTTTGACTCGCTGGATGATTGTCAGCATTGCACTCGCAAGTGGTACTGGCACAGCGTGAGGTGCGCCTGATGGGTATCTCTTACCAAATCCCTGGCATTTTCTTTTGCCGTTTCCTTCTCCTGCTTCTCCAGCATATACTCTTCCCGGAACGTCGGGCTAAGTGGATTCAAGGATTTGGCAGTGTTGGGCACTCTCAGCCCACTTCGCAGTGGTGAAGCGAGAGCGGGCGTCATCGGGGGTCTTGAATCAGCCGCGTGCTGCGCTGGATCGCTGGCAGCCACATAGCCGAACCCCGTATCGCCCACACCTCCGGCCTGGATTTGTTGGTGATCAGCGAAAGGCGAGCGACATGATGATGGGTCAATTGGCGAATGTACCGTGGTAGCCTCAGCAAATCGAGCTGTACGAGGACTCCTGAGCGAGGCACCGCATTCCTCGGGTGGGCTGCGAGCCTGCTGTGTAGGTTGCGATTGTTGCCGCGGTAGGTCACCCATACCGCTGTGATAGGAAGTCCGGATGAGATCTGCAGGAACCACGGGCTGGTCCATCCGAGGAGAGTCGCTTGCGTTCGACATGATGAGTCCAGTGGAGTACAAGAAACAACAAGGAAGATGCACAAGACGTTGCAATTCAAGAGAACCAGCTCTTGATGAGATCCCGTAATCGAAAGTCAGGCTTCACCACGGGACTTTTAGTTGAGACTCGCTTCCAGGTGCAGAGAACAGAGTCAAGTTGGCTGCTGTGGAAACACCTCTGTGGAGAGTGTCACAACGGCTGAAGAGTGAGTAACCTCAAGACGTTGTTTCGGTCGCCTTGAGATATACCGTGTGCGGAACCTGCGTCCACGGAGTATCCTGGATGGGAAAGACGGGTTAAGATAGTCAGGCAAGGCGACAGAGATGCTCGAGGAGAGAGAGAAACTGCATCTGCGGACAGAGACGTTGGTCACAGGCTGCTTTGAATATCAATCACACTGCACCCTCTGGGCAGCTCGGAGGCCCTCTTCCGCGCCGGGAAGGCAGAGGGGCAGCCCTGCAGCCCATGGCCGTATATCACCCAAACTATGCCAAAGTAAGCGCCGAGTGCGCGATCGCGCAGCAACGACCAGGGTGATGATTGGAGACCAGTGGCTGGTGTCAGATGCAGGATGCATCTTCAAACCTTTAGAGCTCATGGATCCCGGAGTGTGACTGGTTGCGGGGGGAGAATGTCCAAGCTTATCACAGTGGGACTAGGAGCCAGTCAGCACCCGCAGCGAGGCCTCGTTGATCCCGGTGGCTCCTCACGATGCATCCTCCATCACTGGAGCCGGCGCTAACTCGCCAGGGATAAGGCCAATGATATTCCCTGCAGAACCGCCCCGGTCTGCACTGGTCTGCACTGGTCTGCACTGGTCTGCACTGGTCTGCACTGGTCTGCACTGGCCGGAGTATTGGCGGACATGTGGTGTTGAGAGGTGGGAAGAAAGTAAGAAAGTAGAAAGACGGAACGAGGGAGAGGAGAAGTCACACACAACCTGGGAATTTGGTTCATGGGGTCACGAGTCACGACAGAAATACCCGCCAACCCTAGTCAGCAGCAATCAAGTCAGTAGATACTCGTCACACCACAGAGTTTCAAGTTCCTGAAAAATCTTTCGCTGCCGACTGTATAGAGTCGTCAAAACGAGATGACCTTTTCCCGCCCAAGCTGCTGCTGCTGCTACCACCGCTACCACTACCACTACTACTTTCATACGATGTTGTTTAGCACCTGTCGTCGTTCTCGAGTTGGGTACTTATTACGACTCAAACAGTGAGCATGGATAGTATGATAGATGAGTGTTCTGCATGTCCCATGAGACATGAAGTTCTCTACTAGTCGAGGGATCTTCATGGGGTATATTTGTCGGTAGATTCCATTGACCTCCCGCCTCTTAGTCTCAATGAAGTAGTCTCTCCGGTCATAGATGCCGACTGGAAAACCAGAGTAGAGACAACAAGGGCGCGAAAGTATCTTCCCTTCTGCCGACACGGTGTGTTGTGTAAAGAGAGTCAGGATCGGATGGTAAAGACATGACCCGCCAGACATTTCTCATCATCCAGAAAAGTCATTGTAGAAGGAGATCCATTTGCATCGCCAACGAAGATCTAGATGCCGGAATGGCGATAACGGCGCACACTCGCAGTCATGCTTTCATAATCACGCATAGTAGTATAGACTTCCCGACAGGACCGGAATCGCGGACGATCGTGATTTCCTATATCATTACTCAACTACACTAGACCATGTCGTCGTCAAACACCTCGTGGTATTGCGCAAGGGTGGCAGCGATAAGGCTACGACCCGCTTAGAAATAAAGGTTCATTCTGCCTACCTACAGTGTAGCGAGTATACACTATACACAAACTCATTTGAGCTGTGAAGCAACAATTAGGTAATACAGTAGTAGCTGCCATTCTTCTGACAGACTCGGGGTGAATCTGGGGATCAGTCAAGCAGCTCATACCCCGGTAGAAGGAATTGGGCCAGGTCTGGTGCCCGGATCGCTTAGTCCATCTATATCTCTCTGCCGGACCCGGCGATGGCTGGTAAAAGTGCCAGACTTACTTTATTAAGGACTGAACGCCCATGAGCTAGTACTTTGCAGTCACATTCCTCGCATCATTGCACACCTCGGTCCTACCCACGTTCTCATCCTGACATTTTCCCGTCTCGAGCATGGCACAATATACTTGAACTGCCTCCATCTGGCTAAGCCAGTATCACTGTGTCCTATCTTCATATGTTCTTTCAAGTACAAGTATCAATCATCAGTCCAAGCATAGGATCCGGGTCGAGTGATAATACAGACTGCTTGACGATAGACAATGGTAGTGGATGACTGGACACAAGCGGGAACCTGATTCAGTTGCTAAGGAAGGTTGGTACCGCGCGTAAGCTTTTCCGCCCTAATAAATTGGCTGCATCAATCACATTAAGCTAGCCCTTAAGCTTGAAGGGAGTCAATAAGGATCAAGTCTTCCCCGCCTCTCCTGGGATGATCTGCGACCTAAGCACACGATAGCTAAGCAATTATGTTCCTTTTCAACGGTGTGCAGGCGGGTTCAACAGTTCAACAATCGTACCACTGTAGTAAAAAGAATAGTACTGGTGTGCTGAAGTACATGAGCATTGAGCACTAATGCACTAGATGTCTGCGGGGTGATCCGTGTTTATCACTCTTTCTCGTCCACTCAGCGGCTATACTTTGACTGGGATGCGCAAAGTAGTGCATGATTGTCGATGAGCTGCTATGCAGTATGCAGTAGCACACGGTTGACAGGTTGAGCGGTCAAGTACGGATGCATGTGTCTCGAGGAGGTTCTACTTGGCCCCCGCCGCAGCTTGTTCAAACCTTCAGATTGATCATGAGTAATACTACCAGTCTAACCTTAGAATCAGACCTTCGGAAGCATAGTTCATGCAGTTATAACACCTAGGGACTCCATTTTGCCCGAGCACATAATACTTCGGCAGGCTGGTTGCACAGAGTGCAGTGGACATACAACTCAGTATAGGTAAATCGCTCACACGCAGAAGTCGGCCCGATAGTCTGTAGAGCTCCAACGTGGCATATCCATATTACACGAACAAAGATGGTCTTTGCTGCATGAGATCGAACTCCTGTTGCCTCCGCCACGAGCTGGAGCTTCAAGAACGTGACTCAAACCAAGGTGCAACAGTCCACTCTGCACTGGAATCTGGAAACGTGAAAGGGTGGCGACCGGCTCGTCGATGGAGAACAGCTTTGCCTTGCCGTCGGCTACAGTTCCTATATCCATAAGACCCCTAGCTGAGAGATGATCAATCTCCCATCGGCGAGTAATAGTAAGTTCAGTAATCTAGAGGAAAGGGAAAGCAGAATCGCTTGATCTGCGAATACTATCCACATGCTAATATGTCTCGACGTTTCAGAGGCCTTCGCCGTCAAGCCACTCTCCAGTCTCCACTGATCTGTCAATCGCGTATCCACTCCATTTCTCGAACGGGACGGCCTCAGGAAAACATGCGACAGTTTGCTTATGTCAGCACTGAGATTTCCGCCTCCGACAGTACCAGTGGGACATCCAGAGTCCTCCATTCGCACATGGGGCATATGATCAAGCCGTCTACCTGGCTGAATGTCTCATTGGGGAAAGACAGTAACTAGTTGGAGTATAAGTGGCTGTACCAGTGGAAGTGGTGAAGAGTTTGCCACTTACGGGTTGGCCTCTTCAGGAATCAGATGGGACCGGAATTTTAGTAGATGAAATGACGATGTTCCCTTATGCCACTGCTTTGAGGGAGTGCACTTCTCCTATCAAGATCCCCGATCTGCCTGTGGCAACTTTCACCGGGAGATTATCTGATCTCGATATCAGGATGGAACCGATTCCGCTAATGAGACTGTGCAGCACAGCACTTTTGAGGAAGAGACGGTGAACTGTCGGACCATATAGAATGACGCTTCCTCAAGTTGGCGACATTGTTGCCACTGGACTTATAAAACTGGTATGTTGGTAGGTACGTACCTTAGGTCACTAGTAACTACGCAGTGGGAATACAGAATGACCATCGTACCACGCTACGTCACGGACAAGCTGATGGACATGATGTAATTGTAGTGCAGGGTCATCAGCATGGGACCTCAGAGAACTCAATTCCTCTCTCACTGGGACCATCCTTCTTTCAGCCGCATGGTGCCTGAGAACACGGGAAAGAGTAAGTGGAGGGAGGCGTCGGGAACGATGGGCTTTTAAGGGTGGGATACCTGGCGAAGGACGAGGGACCGGTGGACGGAATGTGTAGAATAGTGTAAAGCAGAAAGCCTCGTGCAGGACCCACACACGTTAGCGTGCGACACAGCCTCAATCTTATCCTAGGTAGAGGGTACCCTCAGAGCCCTCGGCTCTGTCCGGAAAGATCATGTACTCGCTACTCAGAAGGCACAGCCGCCTCCACGTCAGATTTCATTGCTGAAGAGCCTCGACTGTTTTGGTTTATGTTGCGTGTAATCAGTAATATATAGCTCACGCGTCGTTTACACCTTACAAACTTTACAGCAATTGTATACTGGAGACCAGAAATTGATTACTGTACTGTATAAGCCTACAAGGTGTATATTACCATGAACGACTTACCTCAAACATCAGCTATACGATAGCACAAATTGGCCACTGCTTGTAGTGGCTAGTGGCTAAGTGTCATTCTCATGCTTGTTTAGGTAATGACAAATAACTGGAGCCTGAAGACTCAACCCGTCTTATAGTATTTCAGTCTACCAGAGAAACATAAATGCGGTGCTCGTGGTGGAGGGCGACTCGACTGACTAGGTCGATGAGTCGATAATCGATGCTTTTTCTTTATATCCTGTCATATATAGTTATATTACCAAGCTATACATGTTACATGTATAATTGTATATAATGTACCGCAGCTAACTACCGCTTAGTGTCCGGGTTACACAAGAGGTAAAGAACGAAAAAAGAAAACGACTTATCGTAATGAGTCAGCTCTCTATCTTATGGCTGTCTCGGATAATCCTCGCCGCAGAGGGAGGAAGGGTTCAGTCGGAGAGGAGTTCCACTGTCGATCTACACTTGTAATAATTGTAAGGAGGCTATGATGCCTGGCGTGGTCATCCGTCTTAAGAAAAGGTTCCCAGTCGTCTTGCCGGAGTTCATGATCCAGTGATCCACGGATTCCACTCAACCAGTTTGGTTGTGACCCATACCGTACCAACTTTACCGACAGCCATCCCAGCTGTCAACACTCCATCCACTTCCCCGTGCCCGGTTTCTTGTTTTTCTGTCAATCTCCTGTCATGTGCAATGGCTTTTCCACTCCCGAAGGATGCTTCGCTTATCCACAAATGCCGTCCACCTGAAGCCTCGATCAGTCCCATCTCCTTTCAGGCGTTGGTCGATCTCTATTGATACGGACGATCTCCGTTCCTAACAGACGCCCTGGCCGTCCCACTCCGGTGCCACTACTAGTTGCGAACTTGCAACGATCTGCCACACCCTGGACGAAACGCAGTTCCTGTCTTTTTCTTCTTAGTTTCGTGTATTTCCTTTTCAACCCGGTAAGATCGTTTCCGTGTCTGGCGGTACAGTAACTGGGCATACCCAGACTCAGAGTGATCCCAACTCCCATCATCCATGCTACTGTATGCGTTCCCGTTTGGGTCTCGTTAAGTTGTGCGTGTTCCTGCGCCTGCAACATCCGCCACGGTTCCAAACTTCCAGACTACATCCTCCGGTCTCAATTGGCATTAGATCAGTTTCCCTTCACCCTCGACTGCCCTTTCTCCCCCAGTTCGACATCCTTCCTCCCCCATCGGCGGACCAGGTCACAGTAAAGGAATTGGCCTTTATCTGATTGATCTTCCCCGATCCTCCGCCGAAAACCATCACGTCAGAGCGTTGACAAGTCTGAAGCTGAAAACCTCCGTCAGCTTGCGCCACACTGGGTTTCCCAAGGTGAGAACAGAAACGCCCCACAAGCCTTCGACTCTCGTCTTGAAGCCAACTCCTGGCTCATCTACCATTCCCCTCCTCTTCGAGTCCCAAGTGTATGGTCGACCGCTGCATCGCCTCGCTCATTGCCAAAGCAATTCTGTCCCTGGGTGAAGTTGGTCCGCCCCCGATTTCTCCCCCCCCCCCCTCTCTCTCTTCCTTCCTCTCCATCCTCGGCCATTGATGACTTCATTGATGTATCGTCTCACTCTGTCACGTCTGATTCTAACATGAGCTCGCAACCAGCCATCGCCCTGGTTCATCCTCCGCCGCAGGCTGGCGTGATTCCTTTGAACCTTATGGCGGCATTGATGCACGCGAACCAAGATCCTGTCGTTGTCACCTATTCCGTCTCCGGCACCACCGCTGCGACCGCCAGCCCGCATTCCACTCATTTCCTGCCTCCGCCCAGTAAACACGAACCGAATCTGAGTTCAATCGCCAGTGACGGTCTGCGCATTTCACGATCCCCATCGACCCAAATGGCTAGTCCAGTGGCGACCACGGCGGATCGGCCGGCCGAGTCGGAGAGGGAGGCTCAACAGAATACATCTCAAGTGGCTCGTGAGGCACTCGGCGCAAGCGAGAAATCGCCCGGTCCATCTTCTCATGAGCCCCAACTGCATGCCTCACCGGAACAAATGCAGGTCGACGCAAAACCAAATGAAGCCCCCTCAGATCCCTACGCGTCGGCTGATCACGGCCAGAGCTCTTTGATGCATACCTCCACTGTCGCGAGTCCCGGTCCGATTGAAGAGGCTTTGCAGGCAGATCGGCCTCGACCGCGAGATGAGGAGATAGGTCAGGACAGTAGCAAGTCCTTTTCGTATCCCATCCCGGGGGCGATCAATGACGCGCGACGGGGACTGAGCTTACCCAACGCGGGCTACAACCGAACCAGCCCTCGCTCACCTTCGGCGAAGAAACATCGCTGCCCTTACTGCGCGACCGAATTTACTCGGCAGCATAACCTGAAAAGCCATTTGCTCACCCATAGCCAGGAAAAGCCCTTCGTTTGTCAGACCTGCCAATCGCGATTCCGCCGATTACATGATTTGAAACGACACTCCAAACTTCATACGGGAGAACGCCCTCACACCTGCCCCAAATGCGGCCGACGATTTGCCCGAGGTGATGCGCTCGCTCGACATAACAAGGGTCAGGGGGGATGTGCAGGTCGGCGCGCCAGCATGGGAAGCTTCCACCCAGATGATGATTACGTGGACGGACAGCATCCCGAAGAAGGGATGGAAGGAGTTGTCTACATGGAACCTGAGCGGATGGATGAGGAAGAAGAGCGACGGCTCAACTTACCCAGCATTCGCCGTCACGAAAACGACTCAATGTCTCGATCCACGGACTCTCTTCACATGCCTCGTCAACCGAGCACTTATCCGCCCATTGCCGCCTACCTTGCGAATCTACCTCCGGGCACACAAGGTAGTTCGGGAGCGTCTCCGGGAGCCGTGACGTCGCAGGCCCCGAACCATACATTCCCACCTGCCGGACATCCATCCGGAGCCGCGATGTTCCCACCATCAACGGCGAGCGATAGTCCGCGACCTCTGTCTCCGAATGCGTTGTCGCAACATGATCCCAACGTATCTGTGCACGCAGCTCACTCGCCGGGGTTGGGGCAGCCCTTGCCGCATCCTCCACCATTCTCTAGACCAGGCCAGACCTCAACGTCCACTCATGCTCCGCCTCCTCACAACCTTCCACAACCTAGTGTGCACTTGCCGCCACCTGTGTTGAGTTCTCCGCAAGCCCGATTTGATTCTCAAAGCGCTTCCAAACATGCCACCTCCTCGCATAGCCACTCCGGTAGCTATGGGTTCACGGCTCCAAAGGTCGGGCTCGATGGGACAGATCATACGAGCGGTGAGATTGAGAAATTATGGAGTTACATTCATGACATGCGCAAAGAAATCACTGGTCTCCACGCCGAAGTCGCTGCTCTTCGCGCGCACATTGCATCCACCAACGCCACGGCAGCTCCTCCACCGCCAGTCGAAAATAACCCAGCAAACTCCGGTCCTCGGCAGTCAGCTTGATGATGTTTTTTCTAAGAAAAAAAATTTTTTTCACCACATGCACAGTTGTTCTAGGAGTGTACGATATGAATAGAACCAGTCTGACTCGTTCTTTCGATTTTCTTCACCAACTGGTGTGATTGACCTCGAATTCTCGCTCTCTTTGTGGATAGTGTTCAACGCTTTATACCAGCTTTTTCTCCTTCTTCTCTGCGCCTCATAATTGATGACCCTCTAGTGATTGGAATGTCACGTTTACGGGTTTGTCTTTGAGGGTAGTTGCCGGTGTTGGTGGATTGGTTTTCTCTTCTTCACTATCATTTATACTACTTACCCCTGCAGTCCAATTGGTCCATGCGAGGCGCTCGACAGAGGAAATTTTCTTGATCTCAGAGCGCTGAATTTGATCTTTTCTTCACGTCTTCGGTCTCACTCATTGGAACGTCGTTCTACTCTTTCTATTCCGATCGTTTCTTCATCCTCCTCCCCCTCCTCTTCTCCCCCCTCCCCTTCGTCTCTTCCTACCTCTCCGTCTCTCTCTGCTACATTGGGCCAGATTTGTCCGTTTCAGCTCCACTCGGAGAGGTGACATGTCGATCTCAATCAATGAGACACCTTGTTCCTCCCCCGGCGCCAATCAAGTCGAAGATCACCGACCTTGAAAGACTGCAACTGAGCATCTCGGAGGCGAGGCTTCTCCCAGCTTTCGCGGGCAGTGCCAGCTTGTCAGAACCCGTGTCTGGATCGTCCAGTATCAACTTTCGTTCAATCTTCTCCTTGTTGAATAAAGGGAGCCTGCCATGGTTTCAATCAAAAGCATCCTCCATTCTCCTGTCCGTAGGTTTTTGTTTTTGTTTTTGTTTTCATCCCGTAAGGCGTTTTTGGGACATACCCTTGTTTGTCATCTAAGATGGTAATACGATTTGTTCTAAAGCTATGTCGTTCAACCACTGGTGTGTAGAGAGAAGAGGGAGCCCCGGGATCTGTCACTGGTCGCGAATTTTACCTCGGTTCCAGGTGTGAGCTCGTGGCTGACTTCCATATGTTGATCTACTGTCCCTTCGAAATACGATCATGGAGACAGGATATCGATAGCTACTTGCATGGATGCTCTTCCAAGGATTAGATGACGGATCATTGTATATGTTGTGTGAGACCTATCATTTTTTTAAAAACTTACAATTGCCTCTGAAGCTCCTGACACTCACAAAAAGTCTCATTTGATCACGTGTTGATGTACAACCCACTTGCATACAGGACTAGAATATAGATCAGTCTTACAGCCCTGGGAATCCCTACACTTGTGTACGTCACACAGGATGTAGAGCTGAGTCACTGGCTACCTATCTAGTACGTAAGACATATACATGTGTTGAGATAGCTTGGTGGTTTGGCGCGTCTCACCAGCGTGGTGCGCGCCCACGCACACCACCTTCGTAGCTTAGATAGGCACCTCTCACCAGATGCAATCTCACCATTCCTTTCTCCCCTCTTTTGGGTCTGCTACGTTTTCCCAGTAGCCTCTAATAGGTTATGAGCCCTGCTTAGCGCACAAAAAGTGAGGTTATTCACATTTCCTCACTGCCTAGGCATAACTTGTATAATAACCTCTTTTTCCATCGTTTTTCGGCGCCTTTTGCGCCTTCTACAGAGTGCAGACTTCGTACCTCCTTACAACTTAACGATCCCTACGGCTACCGAAGCCATCGTATCGAATCGTCGCTAAAGTCCCTCCTTCGGCTTTAACGCCATTCAAAACATATAAAATCCTTCCGGCTTCTACACTATTTTCAGAGCTCTTACGCTCTTTACCTATATAGCGGTATATCGCCGTAGTAGGCATACCTACGTAGCGGTACTTCGCTGTAGTAGGCTTACTATATAATATATCTTAGTTATAGTAGACCTTATACCTTCCGGCTCTTACGCTATTTAGAGCTTTTACGCTCTATATCACCTACGTAGCGGTACTTCGTCGTAGTAGGATTAATATACAAAATAACTTCGTATTATTTATATATATTTAATATAATTTCCGATCTCGAGGCTTATAAGGCGGCTAAAACCTTCGCCGAATTAGTCCCTATACTTAAGGGAAGAGCTAACTTCGAGAAATAGAAATAGGGGCTTTAATTTATTATAGATAGCCTAGACAAAGATCTATAGTCTATTATTACAGATAACCTAATATACCCTATTTAAGAGCCTTATGATACTCCTACAGAGGAAGCTATCCAAAACGTCCTTTTCGCTTAACTTAGATAAGAACCTACCGAAGAGGAATTTAATAAGTAGATTAATAAAAATATAACTTAACTAAATAACCGATTTCACTAGTTTCGCCGGAAATATACGCTTACGAAATACCTAATCTATTATATACTTAGCGATTTAGCTCGTAGCTTTATACGCGATTATAAAGATTCTTATAAAATCTTCCTTCGTATCAGTAATATATACGGTATTAGTAACCACACTACTTTAAGCTATAGGCTATTATCTTTAATTAAGCTTATATATACTAGTAGTAATCCGTATAATTTTGTTACTAAATAGTAAGCTACTTTAGACCTTACAAATTTAGCTATTCTAAATACCCCGTTACTACCTAAATAGGCTCTAGCTCATTTCAAGCTTATAATCAACGGCTACTAAAGCATAAAAGGTTTCTTAAATATATATAAACCTCTAGCTAATCCGGATAGTATACTTAACTATATTTTCGGTAAATTTATTAAATATAAGTCGAATAAAAAGTCTATAAATATAGTAATCGTAGCCGTTTCTACCTTAAAAGATACGAAATCTACGTAAAATAACGATCGAGGTAGAGGTAGAGGCAGAGATCGAGAAGATAGAGGCCGCGGTAGAGGCTCCGGACGAGGTTATAGCTAAAGTCAAAATAACTAGGATAATAATAATTAGCTATCGTATTATTATATCTACTATAAGCGTTTAATAGCTTATACTAGTAAGTAGTACTTCTTTAACCCTAAATCTAAGAGTGCCTCTTAAGACGGAGTTAATATAGCTATAGCTAGTACTTCTAATTCAAAAAAGGACTTAAATTCGAAGGAGAAATCTGAAAAGAAGATCTTAGTAAGCTTCGCCGAAATAAGCTTATTAGCCGTTAATATTACGGCTATATTAATAGATAACGATAAATAGTATACTTAGATAGTAGATTCTGGCGTATTAGCGTATATAATATCTTATCGTATAAATTTCATTAATTTCACGCTACTTATTACCGATATAAAGCTTCTAAACGGTTATTAAGTACAGACTAAAGGATATAGCGATATTATCCTAAACTTTTTAAATAGAAATAATATTTCTAAGCTTAAGCTACTCAGAGTCTAGTATATTCCTTCTTTTAATATAAACCTTATTTCCTCGTAGTAACTTACGAAGGATTCTAGTATTAAGACTCGATTTAATAAGATATACGGCTCCCTATATAGGGGGGAAGAGCTTATCGTTACGGTAAAGTAGAAGAACAGTTAATATTAGGTTTATACTTATAATAGTAATAGCCTTATTAATATACTTAGAGCTCTATCTATTTAACTATCCTATATATTTAGTAATAGCTACGTACCCGCCGTAGATTTAGCTATAGCTTCTTAAATCGGTAAGATTCAACCTATTTTAATAGACCTAGCTTATCGTAGAGCCTATTATATAGGCGAGCAGAAGGTAAAGTATATACCTAAATATACCGAAGGAATTAATATCAAAAAGGGATCTAGTATTAAGTACCCTTATCCTTCTTATATTCTTAGTAAAGACTATACCTTACCTTTTAGACGAAGTAAGCGTATTAAGACTATACTAGCGCAGAAGCTTTATATTAATATTTAGGGTCCTATCTCTATCGCTAGCGTTAGAGGTAATCATTATTTTATAATAGTCACCGATAATACTACTCGCTTCTATTAGATCTTCCTATTAAAGGCGAAGAGCGAAATTACTAATAAAATTCGTATATTAGTAACCTATTTTTCAATATAATTTAACTATAAAGTTAAGATAATTTTAGGCGATAATATATAAGAATATATTAAAATCGCCACTTTTTGCGAAGAAAATAGTATTATTTAGGATCCTATTCCCCCCTATATACCTTAGCTTAATAGTATTACGGAGATCAGGAATCGTTAGCTTATTAAGCCGCTAATCGCCGTATTAGCTAAAAATCAGCTTCCTAAATATCTATAGGGCGAGCTACTTTTAGGTATTAATTATATAATAAACCGTCTCTAGTAGTCTACTATTAATATAACTCTATATAAAGCTTTCTATAGTAAAAAGCTAGATATTTTAAATCTGTGCGTACTCGGCTACTAAGCTTAGTATCTAATTCTAAAGGAACGTAGGGTAGATAAGCTTTCTCCGTATATAGCCGAAGTAAGGTTAGTAGGCTATAGTACTAATAGATATCGACTCTATAATATTTATTCAAAGAAGATCGTAGTCTCTCGTAACGTGGTCTTTAATAAGAATATAATAAAGGATCTACCTAAGCCTACGTACGATCTTAATATAGAGCTAAAGTTAGTTCCTATATAATCTACGGCTAACTAACGCCGTTACGTACTATCGGATTTCCTACCGGCTAATAGCGATTAACTAATTTAGCTAGATTTAGCTAATAGCCCTAATAAGCTAGTATAGCTAGTAACTCTATCTCCTTATATTCTAATAGGAGACCTACTATTATCTAAGCGATCTAATATACTACTTTCTTTATTTAAACACGAAGTCTAACTTAAAAAGCTTCGTAAACAGATTAAGCGGAGATTCGCCTATAAACAGAATAAATATATCGACGATAGCCCTTAAACTATAAAGGATAGTTCCGAAACTATCGAGGGTAGTTCTAAAACTATCGAGGCTAATCCTAAAACTATCGAAAGTAGTTCTTAAACTATACCTAAGATAGGTCTTCGGTGTTCCTTATAAGTCCGCAAGAAGACTTAAGTAGCTATAGAGTCAGAGGAATATTTATATTTTCTTAAGCGTTTAAATATAGCTCTAGCTAATTATATTAAATACGCTACTTTTTTAATTCGTAGTACAACCGCAGACTTATAACTACTTCTAAAGCTTTTATATTAAGCTTTAGCTTAGTTAACGCTATATAAACTAGATAGCTAGTAGGATATAATACAAAATTATAGTAAGGATAAATAGACTAAATAGATTAAAGCGGTAGATAAGAAAATACAGAAGTAGCTAAAAAACGGTACTTAGCGTATATATAATCTTCCTACTAAAGGCACTAAAAAGACGCTTCTTCCGCTTCGATAGGTCTTTCGTATTAAGGACGATAGGACCTATAAGGCACGTCTCGTTATAAAAGGGTTTAAGTAACGCGAAGGAATTAATTATCTTGATATTTATATAAGTATAGCTAAAGCTTTAAGCTTTAAAATATTCTACGTAATCGCTACGTATTTCGGCTAGTAGATATATTATATTAACTTCGTTACGGTATTTCTTAACGCAGAGCTTCTTAAAGAAATCTATATTTAACTTCCTAATAGTTTTAAAGAGCCTAGAAAATACGGCCTTCTTTTAAAGACTTTATACGGTCTAAAATAGAGTCCTCGCGAATAGTATAATACTATCTATAGGGCTCTAATAGTAATTAGATTTATTCGCTTATAAGCGGACTATTCGGTATTCGTATATATAAAACGTAAGCTCTATCTTCTTATATATATTAATAATATACTAATTATCACGTCTTTAGACGTATCTCTTATATAGCTTAAGGACTATATTCGAAAATCCTTCGATATCACCGATAACGGTACTACTACGCGATTCCTTACGATTAATATTATTTAATCTATAGATAGTAAAGTCATACTTTCTTAGCTCGCCTATATTCGCAAAGTCCTCGCGAAATTTAATCTATAAGATATATATATAGTCCCTACGCTATTTTATAATAAGGAGATCCTATAACCGCGTAAGGATACTACTACTCTAGCGGAAGTTAAAGCTTACCGTAAGATAGTAGGCTTACTTATTTAGCTAATAGTTAATACGCGACTAGATATTATATTCGTAGTTATAAAGCTTATAAGATATACGTATAACCCCTCCGCGAAGTATATAACGGTATTAAAGCGTATCTTCCGATATCTTAAGGGTTCTAAAACGCTTACTATCGCGTATTCCTACTTACTAGACCCCCTCTTTAGATTCGTTAATACAGATTAGGCCGGTAAATATATAGATAGCAGTATATTAACCTCCGGCTTCCTTTTTAAGCTTACAAATAGTGCAATTACTTAGGCTTACAAAAAGCAAATATACGTTACTCTTTCCTCTATAGAAAGTAAGTATATAGCTACATCTTTAGCTATCCAAGAGGTGTTGTAGCTATAGCTTTTCCTTAAGGAACTTAATATAGAGTCCCTTTTACAACTTCCTACTACAATCTACGAGGATAACCAAGGCGCTATTTACCTTACTAAAAGCTATAATTTACACCAACGAACGAAGTATATTAACGTTAAATACTATCATATTAGAGACTAAGTCTCTAGGGGGGTATACAAATTCGTTAAAATCTCTACTACAGAGCAGGCCGCAGATAGCTTTACCAAGCCGCTATAGCGAGTCCAATTCGAGAGGTTTCTATACCTTTTAGGCATGAAAAAGCTCTGATTCAACGGCTATTCAACGGTTTTTTAACAGCCTTTACAGCGAGCTTAATTCTAAGGGTTTAAACACCTTTTTTAAGCACAAAAAGCTGCATTAAGGCGTTATCAACATATTTATATGATCACTTTTCATGTTTTGAGTGAGATTAGTGGATCGAGGTCCAGGGGGTGTTAAGATAGCTTAGTGGTTTGGCGCGTCTCACCAGCGTAGTGCGCGCCCACGCACACCACCTTCGTAGCTTAGATAGGCACCTCTCACCAGATACAATCTCACCATTCCTTTCTCCCCTCTTTTGGGTCTGCTACGTTTTCCCAGTAGCCTCCAATAACATGCAAGCTTATATTGAAAAGCCCCCTGTTGCCGGTGACTGGAAACTCCACGCCTTATCGGTAGCATCAACATAGGAGAGCATTTGTCCGGCCAAGGATGAGACTATATCGCTGCCTCTATCAATGGAATGGGTGTTTAACTGTTTATGAGTTTAATGCTTCATTATACTGTAGTTACCTGTGCAATTGCTTGTGCAGCATGAATGTAAGCAAGCCTCGGCCTCGGCGTCCCCACCTCAGCTGCGGCCTCGAGCCGAGGCCCTCCTCCCGCGAAGGTTCGGACAATGGATGTTCCCCGCTCGAGTACGGACATCATACCTTACTGTAGGTATCCATTGTTCAGTCCAAGTCCATAGGTGCCTGTGTACACGCAGGTCCATAAGGTTTGGTCAGTCTTTGTGCAGTATGCATATTCATCTTTGACAACGGTATATCGCAGTAGAAACTCGACTTGAAACACTAGCACCCGAGATATTCAACCACGTTATAGGGGCGAGCAGTGAACCACTTTGTGTTCGGTTCCTTTCGAATTGTACTGTACGCTTGATCCCCCACAACTTGAACCTGACCCCACAACCGTCAATTAGTCAGAAAGTTTGGAATATTTGTCCGAGCTCTCGTGCACCATTCGTCATGAAGACGCCAAGTTCACCTCGACTTTTGTAGTTACGGTACTGGATCGGTTTGGTAGCTTCTGGCGGTCCCTTGTTTCTTACTCCGGTCTGTCTGTACGCTACCACTCGGTAGTCCGGGTCTCCGGGACTATCATTGACTCCGCCTGGTGATTAAGGTTACCAGACTTTCAATTTCCGCTTCTTGCGTCTTTACCTGCAACGCACCTGTTATTTGAACTTGACTTTCTAGTCATCGGACTAACACACACACACACACACACACACACACACACACACACACACACACACGCCGTGCTTTCAATCTCTCCTGAAGAATGTCTTCTATTGCTCCATCCCGCTCCTTGCAGGCAACCGCCTTGACCTATCTGGTTCTCTCGATCGGACACACGGTACGTTGACGTCGAGATCACTCCGGCACGACGCAGCGCCCTTGCACTTCATCTCTACCTATTCTCAAGGACATGTACATTAAAATCAGAACCCACTGCCGTGTCCCTTTTTTTTTTGCCTTTCTTGCTTCCCTTCCCTAGCTCGTCAGTTAGGCTGTACACGGACCCTGAGACTATTCTTTCGCAGCACGCACACTGTCCGAGTGGATGCTAATTGATAGCGACTTTTTCCAGGCCCAAGGCAGAGACTGGACGGCAGAGAAATTGTTCAAGAACATCAAAGGATCGAGACCGTGGGCGTGTGGAACGGTGGGCTGGTTCCAGGTATGTGGTGAAGCGTGATAGATAAAAATCTCGACTTCTGCCCTGGTCTGTTCTGTTGTGTACGCTCTGGCGTGCGCAGGTGGCTGTTCAGCTTTTGGATCATCGGCTGGGCTGCAGGTGGTTCAGGGATCAACACTCGGCCTCCTTGTGTCGATGATCGAGGATCCAGTCAGGATCCTGGCAAATTGAGAGGAACAAAAGTTCCAAAAAAAAAAAAAAACCAAATGTGACATGAAGATCCCCTAACTAACGACTTGTTTTCTCGTTCCTCGATTAGGGAAGTGCATGGCTTCTCATGAGCAGTACGTTTCGCTCCATTCCGTTTCTAACCTGACCGTGGCAGAATCATAGTACATGGATGACCGCAATCTTTCCTGCTGTCACCAGTCTTGCCAGGTCTATCCTGAAACACGCACATCATGGAACTCACTGACAGGATCTCTCGCTGTATCTGTACCTCACAGGCATCCTGCATTATCAATGGTCTCATAACCCGGCAGCCCTGCAAGACCCATTGACCAAGGCCATCGCCGGCATCTCGAGTGCCATTCTTTGGGCCAGTTCGGTCTGGTACGCCAAGACGGGAGTCAAGGACAATGCGGTGTTGGTGGGCCTCTCGGCCGCGTTGCAGACGTATTCTGTCTTCTCGCAGTGATTGGATTGGAAGATATACATCATTGAGGTGGTCAATTGATTCGTTCCTTGGGGTCGGATGGTGGAATGGGTACTGGGTGGGTGATTTGGGTCTATTGGTTGTGTGCAACAAGCTGGAAGTCCAGGACATGCTTTTCATATACTGAGGGGGACTTGGGACTATGAGTATTGATGCAGCGATATATGACCTATCGATCTCCCAGATGGTGTCTAGGAACGAGGGCTGGATTCATGAGACAGAAATCAGTCCTATTGTCAGACGGTCCTCGGGCATTCCTAGCGAGTCCTGTACATTGAGTGCTCGAGTCGAAAGACCCACTGTCAAGAAATCGATATTTGGATCCAAACTACCGATTCATCAAGTCGAATGCGCGAAATCTCGGTCCTGTCGAGTGTCCCTCGAGGACCGAATTCCATTATGTAGAATCCCGAGAGGATCTCACATGCCCAACACAAGGCCCATCAAACCAAGTATCTCCAGGACTCTCACCGCAACCCGAATGGCCTGCCTCTCCTGATACTCAAGTCCTCACATCAAGCCATACATCTTGAAGAAATCAGCCTAAGTAGCAGCCGTGCCTCTCCTCCGCATCGTCCACCCAATAAACAACCCCACATCAGCAACAACAGCCTTGGGCACTCCACCCAACGCCCAACTCCGCTGGACCCACTGCGGAATCGAGCCCGCCGCGTCGGAAGTCGTCGCCATCGTCCATTCGGTATACGACGAGGACGTCTTGGACTGGGAAGAGCCGGACGCGGATGGAGATGTAGATCGCGATCGGAGTTCCGCGCGTTCAATGCTCGCATAGTTGGCGAGGACGGCCCGTTTGGGGATCGAGGCGGATATTGTCTTTAGCAGCGCGGGCGGAGTGGACGGCGCTGCTGCGTGCAGAGGGATTTGTAGTGTGAGGAAGCTTGGTGCTTCGGGGGTTGGGGGCTGCTCGGCTCCGTGCGAAGACGGAGTGGATGGGTGGCCATGGTACGCTGCGGAGATGGTGAGGGATATGAAACAGCGAGGGGAGATGAGGAACGATGGTTTGAAGGTATGCGTGATGAGGTTGACTGATTGCAAATTAGTCAGAAGAAGTATATATGTATAATACACTCCTCAGAAAACGATATCATTTTGCAACACCCTTATCCGACTTCAGACGGGAATTGGGAATGGCACCCAAAAAAAAGAGGACCACGGCAATAGAACAAACAACAAACAAGAAAGGTACGACTTACCCTCCATCTCAACATCCTTAAACGTCACTCCATCAACCTCAATCTCCCCAATATGTGCCTCGTTCCAATCCAATAACTTCTCAACCGCCGAAACAGTCGGCGTATACTCCATCTCATGCTGTGCATGGTCCGTCCTCAACCCTTCCTGAAACTCAGCCCACGACGCCGTGCCGTCCGCGCGCGCATTGACATGTTCGCTTTGCCGACAGACCCAGAACTCAGACCGAGAGCGAGAGTTGGACTCGGAATCAGTCTTGTTCTGTGCACCGGGACCTGCACTACCGCTACCGGCAGCGCCGGGGACTGTCGCGGGCTCAGCAGAGGACAAATGACGCCATTTGCGGAGGAGTTTGACTTTTGCCTGCGAGGGCGAGGAAGGGCGCAATTTAGGGTCCGCGGTGAAGGTGGACGGGATGGAGGCGAGCAAGTCGAGGGCTTCGTGGAGAGCGGCGATGATGTAGGGGCGGAGTTCGGGGCGAGGCGCGTCGTCGGGGAGGGAAGGGTGTGGAGGGATGCTGGTGAACGGATGGGGTTGAAGTCGGATCAGGGGCATTTTTAGGATCGCGATGGATGGATGGTGGAGCGGGAAACTTGGGATGGTGTTCTGGTGTGGGAAGTCAGGGTTGAATAGTTGCTTCGGGGATGAGGGGGCGAGATGCAGCAGCACCGGCGTGGGGCTGGCAGGTATGCGGTGCGTTGCTTTTTGTCTCGGGAGATGCGCGCATGCTTGAATTTAGTTCAGAGATGGCTGGGGCCGAGGGATCGGCAAAAGCTTGTTTTTGTTAGGTTGGTGAGGAGATGGATCGAGAGATCGAATCGCGCTGTATGACTAGCCTTGGATCACTTGTGGAACCCCCTACTGAACGATGAATATTATTTCAGAATGATGCTTCACGATATACAGAGAATCTCATCATGTCACACAGCGAGAAGTCCAGGATCTGTCCATGTTCCACCTGACCGATATTGTCTCGTCGACGATTGGTAGCACCGCCCTCCAGCTGAGCTCGTCCATAGCTCGGTACACTGTACAGTCAAACCGTGTGCACTGTGCAGTGCGGTCCTACAGACATCGGATGCCGGGTCCCACGCTGCCAGTCTCAAAGATCTCTACTAGGCCTGCACCCAGGGCTTCTTCCAGCGCCCAGCGAAATTGCATCCCATACAGATCCTTCCACTTCTTCGTTCGACCGGGCAATACACCGGCAAACTCCCCTCGTGCGCGTTTGGCCGAATGGAAACTCTTCTCCGTCTCGACTGCTCCGTCCCAACGATCTTTCAACAAGCCGAGGGGTGCCTCACTCCATGGGGAGCGCCGCAGCAGGGCGATCAAGTGCGCCCGACCTGCACCCAACAGTCGTAGATAAGTGCCCGTGTTGGGCAAGGACAAGAATAGAGTCGCCGCACGAGCCTGCGCATCGGTTTGAACCGGTCGGTCATTGTCTGACGCCAGGGCCGGACCTTTCCGACTGGCCGACGAGATGACAGCCGGAGGGAGATTTGGCAGAGAAGTCACATTCAGCGATGCTTGGGTATAAGTGGATGAAGAGACTAAGAAGCCCGCTCGGACGAGCACTCGATACTCGTCGGGGGTGAAGATACTTTGGGAGAGCGCGGACGAGGCTCCGATGCGGGAAAGGATATTGAGGAATTTCTCTGTGCAAGGAAACATTAATGTCCGTCTTATTATTTCTCTTTTTGTCCCTCCCCCCCCCCCCCCCCGGCTTGATCTTTCACGATCGGAGTCTCGACCAGACCAACAGCTGCCTCAAGCTAGTGGTGGGTTTCGAGTGTTCCTCTCCAGGAAAGGAAGAGAGAAAAGAAAAAGAAAAAGGAACTCTCACCCTTCAACTCATCACTCAACGCGGAGTTCTCCCGGACCGACTCCTCCCACTCCTCAGCCAAGACCAGACAGTCCCCCAGCCCTGCTGCGTCGTTACCTCGACCGGGGATGATCAAGCGTCGAATGCGACCCGCCTGCAACAGCTCGACAATCTCTCGTTCCACCTGCGTTGGCGCGTTGAGCAACGTGTGTATATGTGCCACCGAGGCCAGTGGGGGCAGCGACCGGCGCAGGTTCAACACCTCCGCAATGCGAGTGCTATTCATCCCCGCCCGCTGAGGAAGCTCGTCGAACATTCTCGTCCGGATGGACCGAATCGCCGCAACCACATCGCGCACCTCTGCCGTCGTGGAGATATACTGCGATCGCCCTTTGTCAGGCAGCGGATCCTCGTCACCCAGTTTCTCGGCGGCGGCCTTTACGGCGTGCGCCGCCGGGGAGTGTGGTTTGCGCCGCCCATGATCGGCAAAGGGGGAATCACGACTTCTCGGGGTAGATTTACGCTTCTTGACTCCGGCTACGGGGGCAGAGGTGAGTCGCAGGGTCATGCCGGGGGGGGGGGCCAGATGCTCGCGTCCACGCGATGACCAGGGTCGGACGTGCCCAACAGCGACCACGAAACCCTTCGAGTTTCAGCCAAACAAGATTGATACCCAATTCCGAGTGGGAATCATATGTGATCCGAGTAGCAATCGACTGTTCCCCAAAGGTCCCAATGAGTCTTGCTCGGGTTTCTTGGTCGAGCGAGAAGGCGATGGTCACTTCGAGACGATTACTTCATTCTTCTCGGGTGTCAGGTGAGGGCGGGTCCATCTGAATCAGGTGGTTTCCGCCTATCGGAGCGGGTAATTGCCGTATTGGGCAACCCAGTACCACTACCAGTACCACTACCAGTACCACTACCAGTACCACTACCCAGTCCCCGACAAGCACCGAATGTCATTCAGGGCCGGCCAGAATTGGATCCTCTCCTCCATCCTCCTGCAGATTCCACTCGAGGAGATCCGTAGTCAGTAGTGACTCCGTCCACTAGGACAGTGTGTACAGGAGTCGCAGGTGTCAGTCAATCATATCGCTGACCCGCATGGTCCTGGTCCTCTTGAAGTTGTCACCTCTGACTAGCTCCCTCCTGGTTTAGTGACAACGGCTACCGCCGTGTGGGTAAGACCCGTCCTGGCGGGACGTTGAAATCCTGCGGTTGCCAGTTCTCGAACATCCATCGATCCTGTTCTTCCAGTCCAGCTGTGCACTGTGATTGATGGCTCCGGCACCCTGACGATCTCGGTCTCGCCCGACTGAGCCTGAGCCTGAGCCCGAGCCCAGCGGTTGGCGATCCATGATGGAAGACCGACTTGCATGGTTTGGAACGTCTTTTTGCAGAAAGAACCAGAGTCACCATGGGCCACTTCTTGGTGGCCTGGTCCCGACTGCCCAGTCCCGACCGGACTGTCCTTGGAAGTTGGTACGACGACGACTCGGTGATTTGCCCATTCCCTTCAAACGGGCGAGAGAGGCGGTTGCCTGTCGTGTTCATTATTGCATCAATCTTATCCCCAGAGGTACTGTACGTGATGCTGGTCCTTGCCTGTCGACGAGACGGAAGAGTCTCCTTCCATCAGTCCAGCGGGGATCCTCTGGAAGCATAATCAACGCAAGGAATACGGATTCCTGCGCAGATGCGGCGGCCAGCGCCAGCGCAAGGCTCCAGCGGGGCAGGGACGAGGGTTGTACAGTACATCGGCAGTACTCAATTTTGCCTATCAGACTCCACCCCACCTGCGTCCATGTCGGTACATGACGTCGTGATGAGTACGGAAATTCGGCGGAGTTCTCCTCGTTGCACGCTCTTGGGAGACCCTCCAACGACCATGCCACTTTGACCATTGCACCAACTTGCTCAACTGACATGGGCGATAGTAGTTACCAGTCACGAGCGGCGTAGTTGCTTAGGATTTCCACTGTTCCAGTCCTGTGGGAATCGAGTGGACGACAGTCTGACAGCATCCCGCAGAGAAACTCTGAAATGGACTCGACTCCAGAAAAACAAACCCAAATGAATTGAAAAAAAAAAAAAAAAAACAAAAAAAAACACAAAAAAGAAAAAGAAGGAAAAGAAATGAAATGAAATCATTAAATCTTTAATCTCTCACTTCCCTCTCCCACGCCCCTCGTGTTTCTTTATTGACCACCACCCTCAGCGACCTCGCCTGTCCCTCTCCGGCCATTTTTTTTTTCTTCTTCTCTCTTTTCTTTCGCTTTCCATTCTCTCGCCGCAAGCTCACTCCTGTCAATCGTGCCCCTCCTGCGTGTCTTGCCCCTCCCCGCGCCTTTCAGGCTGACCGAGCAAGATGACGATCTTCATCGCGTCCCTGTAAGTTGAATCGCTCCCCGGCGGGTCTTCGGTTCCCCCCTGGGCGATTCATCGAATGGTGACAGCTTACTGACACTCATGGGCTGCCCGTAGCTTCCTCCCATACACCGTCAACTTTCAAGTAGATCAGTCGCAAGAACGTCCGGTAGAACCCACTCCCCCAAATGCGGGCGCAGCGATCAACGACACGGTGACGCCGTTGCCTGCAGCGGCCAGTCTCTTCGAAAAGAACAACCCCACCTCGCACCCTGCGCTCACGCCCGGCGCCACCACCGATCATGAGAGAATCTTTGCGAATAGCGTGCACAAGGCGGAGAGTGAACGTTCTGGATACCCATTTCCCTCCTCTGCGGCCGAGGCCCAGCTGCTGACCGAAAGTGAAGCGCATTCTCCAGCCTGGGGGGCCACCACCTCGCTGAATCAGCCACCCAAGGCGTCCACGCTCATCCCCCCTTCGCCCTCCATCCTGAAGCACCAGGATCCCATCATCTCCCCCCACGAGAAGTCCGTGCCCACCAAGCCGTCGGTGTCGGCCCCCGTCCCTCCGCTCGGTGCCAAGAAGCCCAGGCCCGGGGAGCGCAAGATTTCCTTCTCGAGAGCCGAGTGGTCCATCGAGACGGCGGAGCAAGGGAACGGTGGTCTGCGCAATGCGGTACGATCCGCCAGGGACACAGGTTCCCTGCAGGATATGATGTGGGTGGGCACGTTGGGCATGCCTACCGATGCGCTGAGCAAGTGGACGCGCAACGATATTGCCGAGCGTCTGGAGGATGAGTACAACTCCCTGACGGTCTTTGTGAACGATAGTGATTTCGATGGCCACTACACTCACTTCTGCAAGACCATTCTGTGGCCCGTCTTCCACTACCAGATTCCCGACAATCCCAAGAGCAAGGCGTACGAGGATCATTCGTGGATCTATTACGTCAAGCTCAACCAGGCCTTTGCAGATCGCATTGCGAAGAATTGGAAACGGGGAGATTCGATCTGGGTCCAGGACTATCACCTGTTGCTGGTCCCGGCCATGCTTCGGAAGATGCTGCCCGATGCGCAGATCGGATTCTTCCTGCACATCGCCTTCCCTTCGTCGGAAGTGTTCAAGTGCTTGGCCCCTCGCAAGGAGTTGTTAGATGGGATCCTGGGCGCCAATCTGATTGGATTCCAGACGGACGAGTACTGCCGTCACTTTTTGCAAACCTGCAGCCGAATCTTGTGCGTGGAAGCCACCAACGAGGGCATTCAAATGGAAGATCGGTTCATCAACGTCGGCACCTTCCCAATTGGGATTGACCCGACCTCGTGGGACAAGCGTCGCAAGGCCTTCGACGTCGAGTCCTGGGTGGATACCATCTCCGAGCGCTATCGTGGGAAGCGATTGATTGTCTCGCGCGACAAGATCGACTCGGTGCGAGGAATTCGTCAGAAGCTATTGAGTTACGAGCTCTTTCTCAACACGTACCCTGACTGGGCGGACAAGGTAGTCCTCATCCAGGTCGCAACCAGTACCACTGAGCAGCCTGAGCTGGAGGCTATGATTTCTGACATTGCCATGCGCATCAACTCGACGCATTCGACATTGGCTCATCAGCCTCTTGTCTTCTTGAAGCAGGACCTGGCATTCCCCCAATACCTGGCGCTCATTACCGTCGCCGATGCCCTGATGGTCACCAGTTTACGCGAGGGGATGAACTTGACCAGCCACGAGTTCGTCTACTGCCAAGATGGAAGCTACGGTGACAAGAAGTACGGGTCTCTCATCCTGAGTGAATTCACCGGAAGCGCCTCCGTCTTTGGGAACCATGCGCTTTTGGTCAACCCTTGGGACTACCGACAATGCTCCGAAGCCATTCACACCGCGCTGACCAGAGACGAGGCCAAGCGCAAGGAAGTGTGGGAGGCGCTGCACAGGGCGGTGCTTCAGAATTCGACTGCCAACTGGGTCAAGTCCTTTAATGAGACCCTGACCAACGTTTGGAATGAACAGTCGTCCCGCGAGATCATGGCGGTTCCACGGCTCTCTGTGCCTCGCCTGATTGAACAGTACAAGGCTTCCAAACGGCGACTCATGATTGTGGACTACGAAGGAACTCTGGCTTCTTGGGGCTCCCCGCGCAGCATCATTTTGACCACCCCGCAGCGTGCCATCACTACACTCACCGACCTGACGGACGACCCCAACAATGTTGTCTACGTGATGAGCTCTCGCATGCCCGAAGAGATGGAGCGCCTCTTCCGCCAAGTGAACAACCTTGGCCTCATTGCCGAAAATGGCTGTTTCACCCGTGAGCCCAATGGTGAGCAGTGGACGCACCTCGCCGACAAGGATCATGTGCAAACCTGGAAGTCTTCGGTGTCTCAAATCCTGTCCTACTTCAAGGATCGTGTTGAAGGCAGTTGGATCGAGGAGCGTCATTGCTCGCTCGTCTTCCACTACGGCTCTGCCGAGGACCGCCAGACTGCGGCACGACTCGCAGCGGAGTGTGCGGACCACATTAACGATGCCTGCAAGACCCAACAGGTTCACGCCATCCCCATCGAGGGTGCACTGATCGTCGAAACTGCGGGTACCAACAAGGCATCTGCCGCGGAGCTCGTGTGGCGCTGGTGCTTGGAGGATTCAGAGAAGAAGGAGGGGACCAGCAAGCCTGACTTTTGCTGGTCGTGGGTGATAACCGTGAAGATGAGCCCGTCTTCCGATGGGCCAACAAGTTGAAGACAGCCAAGGGCGTCGATTTTGCGATGACGGTCACACTGGGATCGCGCAGTACCGAGGCCAAGGCGACATTGACTCAGGGAGTCACTGGTGAGTTTCAGATAACAATCTTCCGATTTTGTTCTCTCGTTAGAAATCTGGTCACTGACATTCATCTAGGTGTCCTTTCCTGTCTGCAGCAATTGGCAGCATCATCTGTCAAGTCGGGTCCAGTCTCATGAAAAAGCGGGATGCACCGGCCACACTGACGGCAACTGAGCCATTAACGCGACATGCCGCACCGCTGTACACAAACGATGAAGAATTGACTCAACAAGCATACCTGCACGGTGCCTTTAATTACGCTTGCACTGTATGGCATGGTCATGCATACTCATTTGATCAAGACCCTTGAAACGATTCCCACGAAGATCAAGATCAAGAGTTCTGGGCGTTAGGGGGAATTATGAAGGGGTTTTCTTTTTCTCATCACCTTCCTCTTTATTTCTCTTTGACACTCTACAACTGGTTTGGACAGAGATGATTTTGAATTGTTAGAGTTGATAATAATCCAATTGCATTTGTTCGTCTATACTGGTGGCACTAATGTGGGAAGTCTGTTGTAGTCCCGAATTCTCGAGATGCTTTTACTTGCTAATTGGGATGGGGGCTTGGCGAGATATCCATTTCACCGGCTGTTGCCTACTGGATCGAACTGTTCTTGAGTGAGCGTCAGACCGTAAGCCAACCCTAAGTAGACATCCCAGGCATAAAAGGAAACTCTTGATTTCGTCACTCTCACACGAACCCTGGATAAACCTCTTTCCAACGCCGCCAAACCCAGCAAATGCCCAGTCACCAACTTCCCACCTTCATCTACGATCCGGCACCGGCTCCCTGATAATCGCGCGCAGAACCATGGCAAGCTCATCTCCCGTCAACCTATTCTCAATCCTCTCCTCCACCCCCTCCATCTCCACATCCATGTCCGGATCCGCGCCTGTCTCGCGCCATGTCTCGCCGGGCTGAACATTGACTCCCGCGTGTACATCATCATCATCATCATCCACACCACCAACACCATCATCCGCGTCATTCTTTCCTCGTATGATGATCGAAAAATGCGGAACCCGCGGATTCTCACCGGAGCAAGGCAGGGCCGCGCTCGTCCTCCGGCCCCGCCATTGCTGCCACGGTGCGTCGAAACTTCGATAGATCGCCCAGGTCAGGTCTCGCGGGTTGGTCACGGCGAAGGGGCCCTGTTTTGAGTGTATGCTGTGGCGCGGCGCCGGGTTACTGCTGGTACGGTTGGTGGAGTTGGAGTTGGCGTTTTGGATTGTATACATGTCATTGTTGGTCTGGGACGGACGCGGATTCCACCAGATGGTATCGCTCGAGGGATCGAATGATCGAGAAATCAATTGTAATTGGTGATGGAGTCTAGCGAGAGATATCGAGTCAAGGCGGAGCCAATTGCCGTCTGCGCTTCGGGTTTGAAGCAATGGTTTTGGTGGTTGAGTTTGGTTTGACGGGTGTATTTTTTGTGGGAGACGAGAGCCTGATGATGGAGAAGAGGAGGAGGAGGAGGAAGAGGTTAAAGGTTGGGAAGATGTAAAAGAGAGAGAAGTAGACGTCGGACAATCTATTGCGAAATCCGATAATCGCAGCTGTTCGTGAGCGTGTGGCCACCGTGGGTAGACAATATCAACAAACGCGTTGAATACTACGTTTGGACGTTGATATTGGAATTCTGGATTCCAGTCTCGGGTCTTTGATGTTGGACCGTGGCCAATTGGAGGAAGACGGATTCCCTGAAGTTGCGTGGGATAGCACGTACGCCTGTTCAGTCTGTCACTTTTTGCGCTTGGGTCTCTTTTAACGATGCTTGTATTCTTGATGATGGGGGGGCTTGCGTTGGAGAGGTCCCTGGAAATCGCGGGATGCGTTCTTTTGGGTGTTTGAAGATTGCTTTGAGGGGAACAATTGGTATAGAAATGCATCGTGATTCAGGGATCAATTTGAAAAAGTCATTTGCATTTGATGCTCAAGCCTTGACGGGTTTAATAATTCTAGCATTAAATAGATCGGGTAGATGCTTTGGTAACTTTCAGCTTTGGAAATAATCCATCGTTCGGATTTGCAAAGGCCAAAATGGGAGCCCTGATTCATGTAGAGACAAAGTCCCAAGGATGTGGAAATGGGACTTGATTTCCACATAGGGGTCACTATTGTTCGTCTCACTCCCCAGACGCTTTGGATTCTGGGCGAGGGGAATTCGAATTCCGCGTTCGAAACGAAGGTATTTCGAGATTCTTTGTCTCTTTCACCCATTTTCGGGAGTCTTGTTTTCCGGTCTTTCAGGGGTTGGCAAATCTTTGTTTGGAGACTTGGTGAATGTAAGAAATGGACCTTTGCTACACGGGACTCAATAGGGTCGAATTTGACCAGACCATGTGAGTTGTGACATCGCTGTGTTCGAAGCAAACTTTGCTGGTCGAAAGGAGATTCTGTCTTGGGATTGTACGTGGAAGTTGAATACCCTCGCCGTTGTGAAGACTCTCCCTAAGGCTACCTGAAGGCTCCCTGAAGGCTCTTTGAAGGGACTGTCTGAACAAGCTTACCCAGAAAAACACACGCCAGTACTGATCAGTCCTCAGTCAAGGAATAGTAATCGAGCAATGCCTCACTCGATACTCTCGAGTCGATACTCTCGAGTCGATAGTAAGTCAAGTCCCCATGTGAGAAACCGATAAGCTGATTATGGCGAAGCGATAAGCGATCCGTCGGCGATAAGACGGTGCCCGCAACTCTTCGGCTGTGCCTCAACATGAAAGGAGCCAACAGCCGAGGCTCGCCGAGGGATTGGCGATGCGGAGAGTCCAAGCCCAAGTAAACACGGGTACACCATGCAGTCAGTTCCTACCCTACTACATATTTGTTGCAGAGTCCACAAAAAGTCACAAGGATCCTGAGACTTGCCCTATATTTACTCACATTGATCTAGCAATGTCTTCTCCCAATGCGTCCTTTGTGGACGCCATTCGAGTCACACCCCATGGTGGGAACAAGTACAGCGCGAATCTTCACCGCGATTGGTGTATCGGGACTGGTAGGTGCAATTCTATCTGCCTTTTTGTCCCCTTTCCCTGAGACACATTGAGAGAAGTTAACAAGTCTCCCGACAGTACCCCATGGAGGCTACACAGCAGCAGTCCTCTACAACCTCGCCGTCACACACTTTGCCCACGCCCACCCCAAACAATTCGACACCCCCGCAACCCCCATCTCCCTTCAACTCTCCTTCCTCCGTCGCACGGCCGCCGGCCCCGCGACCCTCCACGTCGAAGATGTAAAGCTCGGTCTCCGCACAAGCACGATCCACGTCAAGCTCCTGCAGCCCTCGGAAAAGAACCCCGCCACGCTCCAAGTCAACGTCGCCGGCTACATCACCGTCAGCCCGGCCACGGCCGAGGTCGGCATCAGCGCCCCCACCGGCTGGAAACCCTACCCCGTCCCGCCCGCCGGCTCCCGTGCCAACGGCCAAGTCGACCTGTTTGCGCTGGCGTGCACCGGCCAGGACGGCTCATGGACGAAACTTGACCCTCCGTATGCGGAGTTTCGACGTGCAGCGGCCCAGCTGGAACTGTACGGGCCGGGCAAGGGTCAGACGCAGCAGCAGCGGACGGGGACGATGGCGATTGATCAGTGGGCGCGGTTCCGGCCGGGCGGGGATCAGAATGGCCGGTGGACGGACGCTGCGGTTGTGTATCTGTTGGATATGTTTCCGATGGCGTTGGATGGGTTTGATACGATGTCTGCGACGGCGGTGGCCAGGGAGAAGGGGGAGCCCGGGCCGACGGGGTCCATGGCCAACTTTTGGTATCCGACTGTGACGCTGAATGTCGATATGAAGAAGCGGTTGCCCAGGGACGGGGTGGAGTGGTTGTATAGTCGCATTGTGACCAAGGTGGTGCGTGATGGTCGGACGGATCTGGATGTCACTGTGTTGGATGAGAATGGGGAAGTGGTCGCACTGAGTACGCAGGTTGGCTTGGTGGTGAGTGCGAGTCGGAATGTGGGCTCGAGGAAGTGGCAGAAGTTGTGAGAGGCAAGCTCATCTACCAGTCATGACTACTGCCGTCACTCGGAGCCCGGTGGATACAATCAGGGATTCAATACATAGAGCCGCGAGAATGAGCCCTTGAGGCGTGGTCTGTTCCTCATGGATGGACATGAATGGATAGGTCAATCACTCATATATACAACTCAGTTATAACATATAGTATTTGAAGGTTCTCTTGCCGGCACTAAATCTGTAATTGTTCAAAACATTGAACCTTGACACTGATAGATGTAGTGGTGTAGTGGATCCCTATAAACAAAGGATTGAACTAATGCTTCCCGAACCTCTATTCTATCCTCGTACGAGCATTGAAAGTCTCTACAGCTTCGCTTGATTCTCCGGCACAACAATCCAAAAAGCCATCGAATCCGCCTTGACCACTTTCCTCTTCGTCCACTCCAAATGCCCCCCCGCCCCCGCCTCATCCTCCTGCACCGCCTGAGCTCTCACCCAATACTTCCTCCCTACCCGAGCCACCACTCGAGCTCGCACCACCAACAACTGCGGCGTCACGACGGGCTTCTTATACCGCACATCCAACTGCGATGTAAACAGCTTCCCCCGCGGATTCCTGTCACCCGACGGACTCGGACTCGGACTCGGACTCGGACTCGGACTCGGACCCGGACCCTCATCCCCTGTCGTCCCAGCACCAGAACCCGAAGCATGCGCAGCAACAGCCAACGACATCGCCTCATCGATCATCGTCGCAACGACCCCCCCGTGCACCGTCGACGGATGACCCGCGACCCCCGCCCCTCCCAGATCATAAATCATGATGATATCCGCGGGATTTACGCCGGGCGTCGGTGCGGCTCCGCTCTTCTTGAGGGCGGCCGCATCTTCTTTGGTAGCAGGGAGCCAGGCCGGCGGGGCTGAGAGCGGGCTGGTTAATTGTTGACGTTGGAGGGTGAGGACGTGCGGGATGGTGGTGGGTGTGGCTATTGTTGCGCCGAAGAAGGTGTCTTCGCCGCTGGGTTTGGGTCGGCGAGAGTCGGTCGTGATGGCGGTGTAGTCGGGCGAGGAGATCAAGGTATTAGCCCATGTGTGGTTGCGGAGATGGGCGATTGTGGCGGAGATGGCATGGTTGGTGCTGGTGGTCATGATGGGCTGGTCGTGTAGGCTCTGTGTAGGTGTGGACTGTGTACTATCCAGTTGTATACTCGACTGCGTAGTGGCGCTTTCAGGTGTTCACGAGAGCCGAGGGAGTCGGTTCTTTCAAATTGAAACGAAGACAATATGTGTAATTCCAATAGAATGATTGAGGCCCCCCGAGTGAATAGGCAGGGTCTCGTCAATGGCACCTCTAGGAGCCGTGACGCTGAAAAGATGTATCTACGGGTCTTCGGTGGCCCGCCGGTAATATCGCGGGACCTCGGCTGTCGTCGCTTGCCATATAAGGTTCAGGTTGGGAGGAGGGTTGGGTCTTTCCAAGGACATGATATCATTGTCGAGCAGTGATGGACAGAAGATGGATCTTTGCGAGTTTCCACATGTGCAGACAATGATCCAGACCGCGTCGACTCAGGGACCCTTACGATTGCTCGTGAATTCGGGATGTCCAGCCCCGTTCAGCTGGACCTTCGGTACCTAATCACCTTCACAGTCTCCCAGTCTCCCAGTCGTGTGGCGTTGTAGATCACGTGATAATCGCATTGATCGGCGGCGTCATTGTTGATCAACCGCGGACCACATCCGCGCGTTCACGTGGAGGGCCAAGTGCCGACCGATCGGAAACATCCTGACTGATGGAAATAGTTGGGAGATAGTGACTGTAGTCGTTGACCATGGCAGTAGAGGCCTAGAGGGTATGAGGCACTATTTCTTTTCTCTCTTGCTCTCAGTACATCCTTCCATATACTGCTGTCCCGGTTATGCTCTACTGATCTGTTGTATTGCTGGAGGATATCCACTTTGCTACCAATCTGGGTTGTCGACAATTTACCAAGAACCTCCAAGTTAAACTCTGACGAGGTAGAGATTATCCAGAGCTAGAGCCAACCCATGCATGCCCAAGTCCCGTCGCCACTGTCGAATTGCCGTCGAGACGAAGTAAACAGCGCGGATCGTGGGTGAGGATCATCGTGGGTATTGTTGTTGGTGTCGTTAATTATTGGCTCGGCGCCGATCGACAACACATCGATGGGTCATTGAGTACAGTACGACCGGTTCAGCTCGTGAGCGAATAGGTGTTCTATAAAAAGCGTATGAACCACCTTTCAACGACACAGAAATCATGCTGAAAGATTGCCCGTTTGGTAGACTGGCAGCTCTACAAGGGATGGATCATGGGAGTCCGAGTCTGGGTGTTTGTTCCTTGGTGCATTCCACTGGAATCCAGGTCGATTCGAATCCAAGATCCACGGTCTCTCGATGGAGAATGTAGGAGGTGGAGGCGGAAATGTGATCGGCTGCATAGCGGTAGCTGCAGACTTGCTGACATCTACAGTTTTGCACCCCCGGGGCTTGGCGGTTTCGCAGCAGGGTCGCTTGGTTCTTGTGCATGGAGCAATACTAACGATTCTACCGAGTCTAGTCCTGTATGTACTATGTAGGGCTCTACAATACTACAATTGAGTTCATTAACAATGAGATGCAATCATACGGTCGCGTACTAGTAGTGTTTGTGGAATTGCCAGGTACAAAAGTACTGCGATACTCTTGTCCATGGACAATGGAACAAGATGACCCAATGGAGATAGCGTGGACTGGTTAGCTCGCTTAGTCCTGCATGATATCCAGGATCCGCCCAACCCTCCGTGTCTCAACTGAGGCAAGCGCATTTCCAGTCCATCCGACCGTGGACGGTCTCACCCAGAGAGGAGAGAAGGAGAAGACGACCAGGGGAATAAATGGTCTGTAAAAAACGATTGGGGCAAGGGGAAAACTTTGACCAAGGCATGTGGTAGCCGCGGAATGAAACAGTTGAACACATTGATCGCCGCTCGATGGTTTGATTCGTGGTGATGGTGGCCCATGGGCTTCCCTGCTCATGCTGCCATTCATTTGTCAATGCCACCGCTGTATCAGGTACAGCATGTATGATCGGCCCAATCGCATTGTAAACAGAAAACCGGGTTGGTTTTCCCCCTCGTACGGGGTTCCTCCTCATCAAGTCGGGGGTGGTCTGGTCGAGCCCTGAGATTGCTGAGATTGCCCTTCAAGCGCTGAAAGCGACTGGTGGTTAGTGGTTACAGATCAGGCTCGGAGAACTGGACCGTGGACCGAATGCATTTTGACTCCAGTTCTTGACTTTCTACCGACTCCCTTACTCAGCAATCCGATGGTGGTGCCCACATGTTGAGAGAGCAGTTTGGGACTTGGTTGTTTTTTTTTACAATTCAACAATGCCGACTCAGCCGACGGGAGTTGCAGAGGAGAGGTGCCGAAGACCGCATAGGGCCATCTTGGAAGCAGATTGTACTACCGGCCCCGTGAGTGATCGTGCAATTGTAGTACAGTAGTGTGTCGACTCTGTCGAATCAGTCAATGACTCGATCATTCAAATGGAAAAACCCGGAGACTTCGGACCGGAGCTTCAAGGGGGTGGGCAAGCTTTTCAAATTTCTGGTTTTATGCGGCATGTTATCGCCAGTCAACTTTCCCTGGCGGTTACCCTGGCAGATTGCGGGCACTTGGGGCCCAAAGTTTGTGTCGGCTGCGCTGCATTGAGACTAGTTCCATGGGGGAAAGAGGGAGACTAGCGATGGACGAGCTTGAAGAAAGAGGAGAAAGCGATCAAGAAGGAGGACAAGACCCAATTATTCCGTCCGCGTACGGTTATCTGATTAGTGGCACCGCTCTTGGTCCTTGGGATGGATTCATGGGAGATTTAGGATTTTGGTCTGCTGCACGGATCGTGCCTGCCATTCCCGGCTTTGTTGACCTGCACGACCTTGCCTGCCCTCTCTCCTAGCGCCTTTTCGGACCTTAAGTCTCGTGAACTCTCCTCTCCCTCTTCCTCTTCATCCTTCACTCTGCTCCAGCATCTTCGACCCCATTGACACCTCCCTACTCTTCCAATTCCATCTTCCCCCAGAATTCCATCTTCCCCCAGAATTCCATCATGGTTCGCTCTATCGTCCTCCTGTCGGCCGTCGCAGCCACTGCGCTCGCCCAGAACTCCACCTACAGCTACACCTTCCCCCAAGGCTTCAACCTCGGCGAGGTTGACGCAACCACAAAGAGTATGACTCATTCCCCTTGCTAGTTGAAGCAGCTCTGCTGTTGCTGCTGCTGCTGCTACCGCTTGACGGTAGATCGGAAGCAGAACTGGAGTATCATAGGAAGAAAACAAACAAACAAAAAAACAGACGATCGCTGACTGAACCTGTCCGAGTCAGGCAACTGGTGCGAGGGTCAGCGCAACACATGCCCTCTGATCTGCGGTGGTGCCGCCAGCCAGAACACCTGTGACAGTGTAAGTGATCGGAGACGCGTCCACCACCACCACCTCCTCCTCCTCTCGTCATGGCCAACAAGCTGTAGACGACGGAGCCTCCATTCGCGAACAGTGGCTGACTGGACCTTCCATGACAGAGCTCTTTGCAATTCTCCTGTGTCTGTGTGGATGGCAGCCACCCCAATGTCACTGAATACCAGACGACTATTCCCTTCTATGTCTGCAATGCGAACATTGGACAGTGTCTTTCCAACAACGCCGGACAGCTCGATGCCCAAGAGGCTTGCAAGCAGATCAAATGCGGCAACAAGCAGGCCGGTGGCTCGTCCAGCTCCACCTCTTCGTCGGCCAGCAGCGAGAGCACCACTATGGCGTCTTCCACCTCCATGGCCGCAGCATCTGCCACCGGCGCCAGCACGACTGCTTCTTCATCTGCGGCGGCTGCGACCTCCAGTGGTGCCGCGTCCATCGCCGGTCTGGAGGGCTACTCCACTGGCATCATGGCCGGTGCTATGTTCTTTGCTGCTCGCCTGTTCCTGTAGAGAGCGGATCTAGTCTTTCGAGAATGATTGAAAGCCTGCTCTGCGGACTTCGACCTTCACCTCTCCATGACCGCCCGATCGATGCATGGGATTCTGCGAGCCTTTTCGGTGTCGGCATACCCATCCCCATTCCCATTATTTTTATTATTTTTTTTACCAGCGCAATAATGACCTGCTGATGCTCATATTCGTTTGCCTTGGGTCTTTCCTCCCATTATTTGATTCCCCGTCTTGAATGCTCCGTTCGGCGTCGGTGTTGTTCTCCTCATCTATGAAAAACGCGCGCCTGTCCTTCCTTGTGTATTAGCGGTGCAGTTTGTCCGCCTCTGCATACGACGGTCGCGAGCCCCGTCGCAGACTTGCTTATCTTCTTTAATCAATCCGTTGTGATATTCATCATTTCTGCCTGACTTGCGTAGATGGGAACACTGTAGATTTTGTAACTTGTAAGTGAGAGGCAAATCACTAGCAACAACTATTACTTCACGAGAGACCACAAATGCCACAACAAATTCCAGTCTAGTGAGTTTTATCCAGTCTACCCAGCTTTATCCAGTCTACTTAGTCCTGAATGACTTGGTTAGAGATCAAGTGGTTGGACCGCCCGCGACTTTGTTCATGCAGACGGTCGGACTGGAAAAGGTGATGCGCCAGTTGGTGTTCCCTTCGCCAAGACTTTTTGGCACACACTGAAATTTCTCAACTTATCGATACGACTCCACCATCAAAGAACTTGCCTGTTTCCTTCTCCCCTCCCCTCCTCCTCTCCCTTCAACGGTAACACGACTCTCCTCATCATGCCCGCTCCGACCAACACCCTCCTCATTGAGGGCTCTTTCTCCGAGCTCGCCGAGGAATTTGCCCAGTACATCGACACCCTCCGCAAAGAGGGCAGCCTTCAGTCCGAAATCGCCCCGCTCCTCGAGCCCATCCGTCAGCAGGAACAGTCCGAGGGCGAGGCTGACCTCAAGCAGCGCGATGAGGTCCTGAAGAAGCTGGTGGGCGCTGCCGCCGTGCTGAACGGTGCTCCTGAAAAGGGTGAGTGCGAAGAATTGTCGTGAGATTGGAACCAGAAGCAGCAAGATTCATAGCGGCGGGTCTGGAACGGGAAGGAGGAAAATAGCAGGGGGGGGGGGGGGGAAGAAATATTAGAGAAATGGTGGAATCTGGATGACGCTTGCGACAAACGACCCGCAAGAAAGACAAAAAAGGACCACGTTGTTTGTGGTTTGCGAATGACGGGATTATGCTGACCTCGCTTCGATCTACTTCATAATAGAGATTACTCCCTCTTACAACCTCCTTGTCCATCTCATTCACCAGTCCTCCGACGCCGATGTTTTCCTTCCTCGCATCTGCACCTATCTCGCTAAGCCCATCACCACCTCCCCTCAGTTCGGCCCAACTCTGGCCATCTCCATCCTGACCACCATCTTCAACACCCTGAACACCAACGACTCGAGCCGTTATCACGTTCTGCTGGCCATCGTGGCCGTGATCCGTCAATCAGGCTCCGGATATGCCTTCGAGGCGCTGAAGCCTCAGCTCGCTTCACAGTTGCCCACGTGGTTGGCCGCCTGGGAGTTGGACGAGGAGGAGACCCAGAAGGTTCACCTGGCCATTGCCGACGCCGCTACCGCCGCTGGCGATGACGATCTTGCGCAGACCCACGTTGTGCAGGCTTTGCAGACCATCCCCGCGGCCGAGGCCACCAAGCCCGCTGCTCGTGACTTGGCGGTTCGCGCTCTCGCCTCCGCGCTGCGCCGCCCCACGGTGTTCGATTTCACTCCTTTGACCGCTTCAGATGCTGTTCAGTCGCTCCGCTCCAGCGATAGCACCCTCTTCGAGCTGCTGGAAATCTTCACCTCCGACACCCTCGATACCTATGAGGAATTTGTCGCGGCCAACCCGCTGAGCTCCATCTCCGGTGGTGTTCTCGCCGAGGCCGCCGATGCTCTGCAGACCAAGATGCGCCTTCTTACGCTGACTTCGCTGGCCTCCTCCACTCCCTCGCGCTCTCTTCCATACGCTACTATTGTCTCAGCTCTGCGTGTGCCCGCCTCAGATGTTGAGATGTGGGTGATTGACACGATCCGAGCCGGTCTGGTTGAGGGTAAGCTCTCCCAGCTGAAGCAGGAGTTCCTCATCCACCGCGCGACCTACCGCGTGTTTGGTGAGAAGCAGTGGGCTGAGGTCCAGGGTCGTCTGATGGTTTGGCGCCGCTCCTTGGAGGGTGTCCTTAGCGTTATTCGCAGTGAGCGTGAGCGCTTCATTCGCGAGGGTATTCAGGCTGCTGCCGATCAGGAAGCCTCTACCACTCAGGGCAAGTCTGGTGACAAGTCTCGCTCTGGTGGTGACCGGAGGCGCAACCAGCAGCCTCGCGAGGTTGAGCCCGTTGCCGAATAAATGAAACGATCTCCATTTCCTATTTTGCAAGGGCGCAGCGAGGGTTTGTTCTCTATAAAGAGCAAAGAAAATGACCCGGGGCGGGGGAGAGAAAGAGAGAGAGAGAGAGAAATGATACCAAGAAGTATTGCATTCGAGCAGGTGTTTTTAAAAATTTCCGAATTTCCTTTTTTCTCAAGAAAAACACAAGAAAGAAGAAAGAACAGGGAAAACCAAACACACAACAATCTGATTACACTATTTGACGTTTGTTCCAGCTGCTCGCTTTTCTCTCGTCATTTCGTCTCGGGTTGCGAAAGCGCTTATAGAGCATAGAAAACAGTGGGATCTTGATTCGCGACTTGGAAACCTGGTCTTCATTCCCTCCATTCCATATCTGCTCTTCGTCTCTTTATTGAGCTCTCCTTTTCGAAAAGTGCCTTTGTTCAGTTTCCCTCCTCTTGCTCTACTCATTCCCGATGTGCCGTGTTCTTATCACCTCTATTACTGTCTCCCATCTGCGTTCTATTGACACCCCTTCCCGCCTCTTATCTCCTCCCCCCGGTTCCCATGCATTCCACGTCCGAATGCAGATGGGGAGACTATAGGCCTCATCTTAAGTTTCTTTCCACTCCATGCGCCATTGAAACTGGGATCCTCCACGAGTCATGTCATTTCCTGTTCGTTTCCTTGTTCTGTTGTTCTAGTTTCTGATCTGTGTTGCGTTTTCTACCTCTCTCTGCTGTTGGTCATGTTTGGCTTCTTCCTGTACTTGTTTGTTGTGGGAGAAGACTCTTTTATTAGACTGGTCTGGCTCTTGGCTTCGCCTGGAATAGTCAGATATGATGTGTTGGATTCAGAACGATTAGTAATTCTCTTCTGTAGATATTCTGCTCCCTCTTTGAGTGGAACTCTTAGATCTGGTGATGTATGTCGCATTGGGATGTGGTAGTATGTAATATAGACTCTCTGTAAATGTCAGGTAGTCTACACTCTACACTCTGCACTACCTATCAGGTCGGGCACTGTGCTTCATGCCTGAGTGTATACCTAAATAGGTAGTACAAGTGTATACTACATAGTATGGATGTAGCCAGATCAACCTCAGCCTGGCCGAGCTGGTCCTTCTGAATGACTGCCCTTCTCATGCACCGACGACGACGCTCTAGCTCGCAATTTGGTGTGGAAACGCAGCCGGGTAGGTACCGGGCCTATTCAATTGCTGATGGGATGTTGTAGTCGAGACAGTGATCTGTGCACTTCGAGGATGCTGCTAGCATTATGACTCTGTGCTCTCTGTGGATTACTAGTGGCAGACCATCAGTGCACCATGTTTATTGGATTTAACATCGGGCAGTCCTTTCTTTTCATACGAGAAGAGTACACCGGGTAAATGTACGGACCACTGGCAAGGCCAAAGGATGAGGGTATCAAAGGGGGTCCGACGTAATGGAAATGTCTCTTGTATGTCGGGCGACTCCATGTACAGTTAAATATCTACATCGCCACGTGGATGGACATGAGACCCAACGAGAGGAAAGAAGAAAACGCAATAACGCAAACAAAAACCATACCAGAGGAGCGCTGGTCACTTGGTCTCAACCATCTCCTACCAGCTCCTTGAACAACTTTCTCAAATTCCTCTGCCACAAACCCCGAGTCCCTTTCGGTACTTGAAAACCTACTCCATTGTGACTTTGGGTTTCCCTCTCCTTTCTTCTGCTGTGTGGGATGCCCCTAACGAGCGTGCAGACCACGAGCCTCGATGCCCTCCTTCACCAACTCATACACATCCTCCACCCGCCCTGTCGCCTTGACGTTCACCACCTTGCCCTTCTTCTCGAAATCATCCACCACAGGCATGGAAGTCTCGACAAAAGTGCGGAACCGCTTGCGAATCGACTCGGCGTTATCATCATCGCGCCCACTCGTCTCGCCGCGCTTCAAGAGTCGCGCCTCCATCACATCCTCGGGACAATCCAAGAAGAGCACCAATTCCGACGGACACACCGTCTGCTCGAAGAAGACCGCCTGGTCCAGCTTGCGCGGGAACCCATCGATCAGGAAGCGGGCCTTGGTGCCGGGGGCGGGCGGGTGGTTATCGAGGATCTCGCGCATGGCGTTGGAGAGCAGGTTGACGGTGACTTCCATGGGGACGATCTTGCCTTCGGTGATGTAGGTCTTGATCATTTGGCCGTATTGGCTGCCTTCGCGGAGCTGTTCGGCGCGAAGGAGATCGCCGGCCGAGAGGTGGGAGAAACCATAGTCGCGGACGAGGTTGGCGGATTGAGTACCTTTGCCACTGCCGGGGCCGCCGAGGAAGAAGACGACGGTGACTTCTTCAGGAGAGAAGCGCGGGGAGGAGGAGGAGGAGGAGGAGGAGGAGGAGGTGGTGGTGGTGGTGGTGGTGGTGGGAGGAGCCATGGCGATGTATGGGATGTAGGTATATAGCGGGGTGGGAGAGAGGAGAAGAGAGGTGATCGAGTTGGGTGGTGAAGTGGTTCCCAGGAAGTCAAGAATGGAAGTGAGATAGGAGGTGGAGAACCGGGATTAAGAAAAGAAAAAGGAGAGTGGTATTAAGGGGATGGCGGTGAAGTTTTACTCTTTAAGTGTGATTGTGTGTGTGGTTTTTTCCTTTTCAGGGAGAAGCTTAAGGAAGTTTAAAGGAGAAGCGGGGAGGGGCAACAAGAGAGGCGGTCGCTGCGGGACAACGTGCGCAACGGGAGTTCAAACAGTGGGCGAACTGGGGCTGGATCGGTTGACATTGGAAATCTAGATCGGCACGTCCAATTCTCACAGTGGAATGGTCACTCACGACACTCGAAGACATGTCGAATACTTTCTCAATTGCAGACCCTTTGAATCTTGCTTTTAGCGTCAAACTCTTTTTTTTTCTCTTTTTTTGTTCAAAAACATCGTAGTCCGTACATTGTGTCCTCCCTTCTCTGTCAGGCTGGTCCAAGTGGTGATGTCCTCTCTTTACGTCTGACGCTGAGGCGCCTGTCCCGTACGAGACTTGACGAGCAGTGCGTATGATCCCGATCCAATGGCCATGATGATCACAATAGGGAGGATTTTGAATTGCGATCGGTCATTTTGGGGTGCCGGAGACGGGCGTGAGCTCGAGGAGGAGGATTTGGGCGCGTTGCTGGAGGACAGGCGTTGCGAAATGGTGAATCGCGTCAGCTGCCGAGTGGGCATGGGAGACGAAGAGAGAGCTCCTCGCGTGAGCCGGCGAGCGGTGGCTGAGACAGACATCGTGTGAAATTCAAAAGGAAGATGCGAGAGACGCCAGAGGGATCGTAGATGAGGAGCACTGAGAAGAGAATTGGAAGAGACGCGATCTGGAAGTGAAGATGACGGAAGAAGACTAGTTGAGCCGCAAGCGCCGGGAGGAGATTCCATTGGCGGGCCGTCGGTCTCGGGATACTCCTATCGATGAACCGAGATCGGGACAAATGACGCATTTCTGGAGATGTCGATCTTTCAATGTTGACACATGCACACGGATCGTCTTTCTCGGCTGATGTTGACTTGCTTCATCGGCAGGAAAACTCGAACTGGTGACGAGCAGCCAGACACCTGAGATCTCCTGTGATCGACGATCGTCAAGAGCATCTAGGTATATCATCAACCTGGACAAGGTAGGCATTCGGTCAATGCCGAGCGACAAGGCCACACTTATCACAATTGCAATCCATACAGCTGTACAATCGATTCCAAATGGCCCGAAGATACTCATTAGGTAGTTGTTGTCGAGACTCATGTTCGACCCGAGCCATCTCATCCATCTCATCCGCATACGCATCGACCCCAATCCCTTCTCCATCCTGGAGCTCATCTTCGTCTTTCTTGTCTCGCATTAATCGCAGTCTTCCGATATGCAGAGCCAACATGTCCAGAATCACCGCAATGTCAGCAAATGGTGCATTCCGCCGCCTCAGCAACTCGCCTGCCCAGGACAAGGTATCTCGCACAGCGCCATCTTTGGAGCACAGGCGGCCAAAATCCGCTTCGGCCAATGGGTGAATCATCTCGAAGCCGTCGGGGTCATCATGTTCTTCACCGTGATTCTCGGAAGTAGGTGGGAATGTCGAATCAATCAGATCGAAGTCTTCGGCTTGGAGGGTTCTCAGGGGTGGTGGTTGGCCAAGAATTTCGATGTCACGGACCATATCGTTTAGTTCGGCGACGATTTCCACGTAGGCTGTTTCCGAGACGGACTCATCACTCAGTATTCTGACCCAGCCAAGAAGCTTCTCGCGAAAGTGTTGGCGGTCTCGCATGAACATTTCGGGATCCATGGTGCGTTCAATTTGGAAACGGGTGACAAGGAACTCGTTGACCTCTAACGAACAACAAACATGTCCGTGGCACAGCATGCTGAGTTGATACCGGAGGCTTAAGTAGCAGCCAGTTGGAAGATGCTCGAGTGAGCGCGGCTTTGCTTGCTTGCTTGATGTTTTCTCTGGGTACAACGCGCATTACGTCCCCCCGTCCTTGTTGCCTGAACGGAGGAAACCCCGTTCAATGCTCATGCGTACCAGCGACTCTGAGTCAACTTACCCAGGCAACCGACTACGAGAGATCAGCCTGGCAATTTCCATTGCCCAAAGAATGTAATCCAGAGCCATCAACGCCCCTCTTATCACATCGAACAATGGCTCATTCGCGAAGAAGTATCCTAATTATTTCCCACACAATGCTCTTAAGTCAACGACCTGGCCAGCTGTGGGAAGAGGTTTCAGGTTTCATACACAGCGAGTCAGACATTAACAAAACACCATGAAGTAGTCTTTCAGCATCCTACTCACCGTGTCATTGATATCTGTCCTTGGTCCAGTTGAGGCGAACTACCAGAAATTCTGACCCTGACAGCACACGAAGTGCCCCTGACCACGTCGACGCTCTTATTGCTCCTTATTACTACTCACAGTAGCATCTCCACCTCGGGGCCAGTTAAACTGCCACAATGACTATTGGCTTCAAAGTCAAAGCCCATACAGCTGTTCGTCGTGTTGGCGCACTTGTCTTTCTTCAAACTCTATACTGTCTATTGTTTTTAAGGTTGTTGAAAATTGTGCTGACACATTTGCTAAATCTTTCCCCTTTTTGATCAGAACAACGCTTGATACTCGAATTCTTGAGGCATCACGTCCAGAAATCACGTCTTGTTCCAGATCTAATAATGAATGTAATGCAGAGCTTCAACTATGAGTTCTTTGTCCTTTGCCTGAACAATTGCCTATGTCGAGTCATCTCTTTGTTCCAGGATCAAATAAAGACGCAAAGATATCATTTGATGTATATCTATCTACCCTTCAAGACAACCCTGTAAAAAAGAAACCATTTGAAAGTGGCGTAAGTATATCGGTCGACGATCTTGAATGTTCTACCCCGATCAGGTTCCAACCTCTTTTCCCATCCTCGCAGTCAAGTCTTTACATTAGGGTTATCCAACATAGTGGGAGGGTGTCTATTCGATGTTGATTCTTTCAATTGGCAATGACCATTCTGTTCTATCATATCAGTGCATAACAGACTTCGATCCATGAGAACGCATTCTAGAATATGGGTGTGCCTTCTTTCTGCTTGGTTTCGTATCGAGCATGTGATTCTGCCAGTCAACCTTGCGAGCTTCAGTGGACTCGCCCCTTCAAATCAATCTTACCGTTTCTCCCTACTTTTTATTGGGCTGCTTACTTATATTCTAGTCCGTTTTCTCCCGTCACGATTCAATTGATGACAACTAAATTGCTCGCTATAGCTGAACAATAAGTCATACTAGCATTCTAAACCGCATTTGCGTGCACATATTTGTTTATCTGGTTAGTATCAAGCTCACTTCCGGTGGCTATGCAAATGAGACCTGGTGAAAACATCAGACGTCGAGTACGCGCTCACCCAGGATACCAGTTTAGAGGTTTGATTTCTCATCGAAGGCAAGGTCTGAAGTAGTTGGCGTAGCTTGCTTTAATGCTTTTGGGAACCCGCGAAAGAATGGCTAGCAAAGTGCTATTGAGCCACGGAAAGAAATAGGAAGAATCTGGATTCAAATCTGAATAGAATCGAGAGACTCATCTCTCTTTTCAGCCCTTGATTGGATATCTTTACATCTATTGAGAACTTGACATGGTCATGACATATGCCGGAACATCCATCTACAGGTTTGGGATCATATCTCATTTCCTCCGGCGTGGATGTGACCACCTGTTTGTGCGAGAGCTTCCATCGCCGATGAGCAGCTTTCATATTCGATGCAATGGAAGACGCCAATTTGCCTGTCAATGTTCCAGGACTTTCCATGATATTTCTTTTCTGACTTTGCTGAAAATATACATAGCGTCGTTGATGGTTCAAAGATGATCCGTTGAACGGTATCTGATATTGATCAGTCTCTGGACCCGTAGAGTCTCTCATGTCTGGCTCACCATTGCACCTCTGCTACAATTTTCTCCGATGCTTCAAAAGGAGCCACACCCAAGCTTCAGCTAGTCATATAAATGATCCATGTAGCTTATGCTCAAGTTCACTTCGAAGACTGCATTGCAGAATCCAAATCTCCTCGAGATAGGTCCATCTGACTTGACTACCGAGAAAAGCAGGATAGAGTTGCGACACCCGTCCGGAAGTACACCTCATGGCACCAGAACTCGCAAATGTGATAATGTAATGCTTGGATACGCAGGGACTTACCTAGCGCTTGAGGGGCTCTCAGAATAGCTTACCCACATCCCATGCAGAGATCTATTGTTTCCCGATAGCCTTCAATGCTGTCATCTCGCATTTCGATATCTGTGATTAGTGCGTACTTGGCTGATCTTAGGCACCTGCTTAAAGTATAACGGCCGACGAGATGGAACCATTCAGGAATGAAAGTGTCGTAGGGTCCGCAGTTACTCGTCTCGGAAGTAAAGAAGGTCCTACCAAGCATAAGTGGATCAGCTTCAGATCTCTGGGGTATGGTTCCTTTCAGTGCGCGCTATTATTTTCTTGGTGAGTCTTTTTGAATGGTCTGTCTGAATGGTCTGTCTGAATGGTCTGTCTGAATGGTCTGTCTGAATGGTCGCTCTAACCTTTATCCAGACCCTGCTCCAGAAGTTCACACTTTACCACCCTTCTCGGATTTGAGTGCAAACTGGAGGTTGAGGCGAAGAAGTTGTCTTGGTTTGAAGATACTCGATATTCGTATAATAGTGTACGGGTCATCGATCCTTGCAACTTGAGGAGCAGGGGTGAGATCGTCGAGACATCGAAGCTTACCTTGGGCTTGTTGCTTGATTATCGCTTCAGGAACAGGTAGATGCAGAGATGTCGGCTTCAAAGACAATCAGACTGTGCTTCAGGTACCATCAAGCTGGTGAGTATAATACTCGTTTGGATGAGAGAGGGAGAGAGAGGAAAAAATGTGTGTGTTTCGTACTTGGTCGCCATCTCCATCGGTAGACTCTGTTCTGATCCCGTCCTTAGTTTATCATCATAGTCATGATCTTGAAAGGCTTCGATCAGAGCATTATTCTTTGGTGCAATAGAATTGCAGCTTTCTGCCTCTGTCATGCGCCATGGGGCGAACATCTGAATGCACGTCATATCCTCCTTGCCGTATCGAGATCCTCAAGACGCAAGCGAGCCCTCTGTGCACGGATGTCGTGAAGATGCTTTTCGAAGGATTCGACAGTGATGATATGTGGCAAAACCAGTGGCCGAGGTCACCATCCGCATAGACGTAGTCTGGCACTTTCTTGAGATCTCGAAAATATGCTTCGCGGTGATGCAGGCGGAGAAACTCTTTATTGACGTGTTGGTATATTTGCGTTTATAAGTGTCAATGGCATTGCCCGCACGCAGCGCCGATTAAGTTTTGTAGGCGACGATAGACTTTCAGTCTCTCTTCCTTTTCTAAGGCCAAGGATCGAGTCGTTTTGTTGCCACCACTTTTTTTTTCGGTTCAGTATACAAATGGACTTTGACGGTTGTAATTTCAATCCTGGAGAGAAGAGACCCTTTCTGCGGGGCTTTTTACTCGTCCATGCCATAGAGTAGCCCAATCCTAGTGCGCACTTAACTACGAGGAGAGTGTCAGCATGAGTCGAAATTTGGATGAGCGGAATCCCACCGCAGGTCTCTTATGTTATAAACTTTGCCATGTAGTACTCGCGCCAAATGGAACCTGGCTGGTCAATGTGTACCAATACCTGGCTTGAACCTGCAGTCACTACCTGCTCATGTCTCTTTCCATGTGATTTTAGACCTAGTCACAACAACCCGACCGATATGGCATCGTGCAAAGTACATGCACCCCATAGTCATACTCATAGAGTCTCAACCCGATTCACCTACTTTACTCAAAGGACGAAACCGCCAGTCCGTGGAGCAAGTCCAGGCTTGATCTACAACACTTTATTCAGAACTTTAAGAAATGGCAGAAACATGGGCCGGTGATTGACACTTGGATTACGGACAAAAAAAATGCAATGATCATAATAGGGTCATGAGAGTCGGAGTGAAGTAAACAATAAACATTAATAAGTGAGACGTGCGTCGCACCACTACACTGAACATTGACGCACGTCGACTTTTTTAGGGGGAGGGGGTTGACGCTTTTGCATACGCTTTTCAATCTGAAACTTTTTCCCGTGACGCAGAGGACCCCAAAGTCGAAAGTTAATCCAGATCCAGGCTGGAAAAGTGAGTGAATGTAGATAAGATCAACAAGCGGGATGGAATCTGATTTCCGCGGCGGAGACTGCTGACTGCTGAGAGCCTGACCTGAGACTGAGCGGATGATTTGCCCGCGAGTCGAGCGTAGAAATTGACTCTTGTTGTATGATCACTGCTTAAGAGTAGCCATCCACACGTCTCCCATTCGACAGTCCTGGCTTCGCTCATGCCAGGTGGCTCAGTGATCAGGACTCGATCGAGAAAACATCAAGTGTCACACAACTTTTGTTCTCCGTGTGTATTCCGCTCTTCATGGCGCTGGTAGACGGGTACAGCATGTATGAACCCACGGCTCAGACGCTACATTGTCGTCTTCTAGAAATTGTGGGATATTTTGTTTTCCAATGATGGAAAGCGATAATCTTAGTTTCAGAACATTAAACCGAATTTTGTTTTTCTTCTTTTTTTTTTTCTTTTTTTTTTGCAAATTGTTTTTTTTGACTGAACCCTCGCACGGTGAGAGGTGACGGGACTGGGAGAAGTTGTCGGTTTAGTAAGAGGAAATGTATTGTGGATCCATGGGAAGTTCCATCTGCGCATGTATCGCGCTGACGTCATGAGGAAGGCCGATCGAGGCAGACGT